TCTGAATATTTACAAGATTCCAAGCATGTCAAAGCAGGAGATATCATTCGAATTTATCACAAAGAATTTGATGGTTTTTTGACAGTGAATGAAAAAACAGGTCGTGTCAAATTCAAAAAAACGAGCTCAGTTCATGTCGAAGAGCGAATCAAATGGTGCAGATTCATCCATGATGGGAAGTTCATTGATGAAATCAGGATTCTCTTCAACATCGACATTTTCACAAGGATCCTTTCATGTGGGTACCAGTGCCAAAGATTTATTATCACAAAGCACCAAGTCAGGCTTTGCATCGATTGGACATAACCATGACAGCAGTCAAAAGTCACAATTTTTGAGCTCTTCAAGTAACAAAAGTGGAGATGAAAACACCATTTCATCCTCAGTCGATCAACAATTATCCTGTCAAAGTTTGTGGCAAATTGAAATGTTAGATTCCACAAAAGGAGGAATTGTGAGAAGAAATTTTGCGTTTCGTATACGACATGTCAGTACTGGATATTACCTCATGTTAAAACCAAGTTCTGAGCAAGAGGATCTTCGAGAGGAAGAATTGGAAGAGAATGAAGTCTCAGAGACAAATATTTCCTTCCTATCTTCAACACTTCACAATAGTTCCATTCATGATTCAACAAGTCAAAACTCCATTTCTGGAAGTACTGCCTCCAGTAGTACAAGTGGAGGTCATAACAACAGTACACGAAAGATGAGATCTTCTTTGCTCATTAAACAACCAAAACGAGAACAAGCATTCAGCATGTATGTGGAACCTCAAGAAAATTGTCACGATATTATGAACATGTTATTTACGATGCAAGATGCCATGTTGTCAAATGACATTTCTGCTCTCTCTTGGAATGGCCAATTTAGAATCAAGCATTATCAAAGTGGTACTTGGTTGCATGCACTATTTTCTCAAAAACCGTTTTCCACAGGAAGTGGTGACAAGGAATTGGAATCCCTTTCTAAAGTTCAATATTCTCCCGTTTATTCGGTTCCAACTTTGAAAGAGCAAGACGTCCTTACATGCTTTCCTGTCCGTCGTGAGGAATATGAAGATCTCCTCACCGCTCAAAGTTACCTTCCCATTCTCAAATATTTCCTCTCAAAATTGAACGATCACACTGTCAAACGAAATGACGTCAAGACTTTTATTAATTTAATTTCAAGTTGCATTAGATTCTGTACCACAAGCGACGAGAAGGATCCTCTCTTGCGAGGCGGTATTCCAAACAAATATCATCAACAATTAATGAGAGAAAAAGGAATTATTGCACTCGTGATGGAAATTTTGAATACACTCATTTCACACAAATATCTTACCTTGGAAGATATGACACGCATTGATGAAAATGCAGAAAAACAAGATTACTACGATGTTTTACAATACTCATATCGCTTCATTAGACAAGCTGTGTTGATGAATGAAGTGAATGGTCTCTATATGGCTCAATATATCAACTTTATTCAATCCACCATTGAGTATAGTATTCATGCAAGTGAGGCACTTCTTCAAATTCTTTCCAATAATTTTGCACTTCTCAACAAAATCACAGAAGAACAAATTGATTTTTTCATGACCTTACTTTTCAAGAGTAACAGTACTACTGGAATGAGTGGTGGAGGAAAAACGACTACTATTAATATTCCTACACGGTATCAAAATCATATAGGTGGTTATCTCAAGAAGGCAGTATACTTGTCCTTCTTGACAAGTTTAATTATTTGTGAGGGAAAAACAGTTGTGAAAAATCAAAAGTATATTTCAAATTTACTTCTTGCCACCTACAAAGAACAAATGAATAAGGTATTTCTCATTCCTCGTATTCGAAAGTCAGACAATAAGGTGGTCGTTGACATCAACCATGATGAAATGGATTTAGTGAGCTTTACAAAATCTGCAACCGATACAGAATATGTGAATTATTCCAAAGTCAATTTTGAATTACTTGTTTTCTTTCAAGAAGAAATCAGGTTATTTGCTGCCCTTTGCAGTGGAAACAGTGAATCAACCGAGTTGACAAGGAATGCAGTCATTCAATTATTTACCTATGAAATTGTTTACAAATGTTTACAAGAGCCAAACTTAACACCTGCTCTCAGAACTTCCTTTGTGAATTTATTGCTTCACAGTTTTGTGGATACTGAAAAAGAGAAAAGACGTGTGCTTGTAGATCTCACTCGAAAAAGTGAATCTCTTTATGGTAAAACACCTCACGATCACACTTCACGAGAATTGTCTGAAGTGAAAGACTTTTTAAGCTCTTATTTCAAGCAAAATTCAACTCTCGACATGGGCATTGAATTTAAAGATGTGAACAATTTCACACTATCACTGGTACAATTATGTAGAAGCATGCTAGAATTTGGAATTTACACTTTGAAAGATTTTGAGGACAGTGACTTGCTGATCGCTCTGTTTGATATTTTACGTTCTGATAATGATAAGAGAAATGGAATCTTATTGAAAGATGAAGAACGAATCAAACATTCAGAAGAGAATGAAGCCATCATTAACATCAAAATTGAGGTCGCAAAATTTTCCACATGCTTCTTGATTTAACATTAGACAAGAGAATTACCAAGTTTCTTCAATTCTTTTGGATGAAGTATCGTGTCGAAGATGTGAAAACTGTTCTGACCGATGATGAGAATCCAGAACCAACTAACGACAAGCAGAGGCAACAACTCTACAATCTGAGAAAGAAGGAAATTTTGAAGGTATTTCAAGAAATGGAACAAAAAGAACATCAAGTGTTAACTGACATATTCAAAAATGTTCTTCCATTCGACAAGATGGGAAACTTTGATTTGAAATTACTGAATTTAACAAGCTATGAAAATCAAGAGCTTGCCACCACTTGTCTCAGATTATTAATTCGAAAATTTAGAGCTGCGGATGAATTAGCTGCTGCTTTACCAAAAGTAGAATTAATTGTCTCAAAGGAAATGGCTTTAACCTATGATCATCTCAGAAAACAGACCAATGATTTGAGAAGCATTTTTGGATACGGACGAAGCAATTATCTTGGAGCTCGTCACATCAGCGAATACGAAGTGAAAAAAGCCATGAAAGCTCTTGATGAAATTCTCAAAGATATGACCACCAATGAAAAGAGAAGTCAAAGAATTATTAGAAATTTGGGCCTCTTTGAAATCACTCTCTCGGTGTTGAGAAGCGAATGGATGGTCTCAAATGAAATCAAAGAAAGTTGTCTTAAGGTTTTAACAGCATTCGTAAAAGAGAATCCAGAAAATCAAAAATTACTCTTTCCCTATATGGAATTTTTCATGAGAATGATCACAGAACACAAAAAACTGAGCAAATCCATTGTTATTCTAATGTGTGAATGTGTGAGAAATAATCGAGCATTGTGTAGCACCATTGAAGAGAAGCACATTGAGCAATATATTGATCTCATTGCAGAACAAAGAAGTGCTTACATGTTACTCTTTTTGAGAACCATTCTTTCGACACACAATGGAAACCCAATCAAAAGAAATCAATCACTCATTACAAAATATTTACTCGAACGAAAGAAAGATGTGGTGATTTTATTCAAAGACGAGGAAGGAATGAGAGAACGAAACAATCGAATTTCAAAAGAGGAACACAAAACAGAACCTGAAGGAATTTTAAATTATCACATTGCATTATTGCACTTGTTAGCAACGGCTGCAGATGGAAAAAATCGAGAAAGTGAACAACGTCTTCAAACTCTCTTCACATTGGAAGAATTATTGGAACAAGTCATATCTCCATTTACATTGCCAATGATTAGAAATCCACTTGTGAAAATTATTAATGAAGTTTATGTCAATGTTGAAAAAGTGACAGAAGTGAGTGGAGGAAGTGGAGATGGACATAAGAAATCTACTAATATTAATATTCATCATCCTTTAATGTACAAGATGTTTTCAAAAATGATTCGTGAATTTGAATTTGCTGAAATGAGTGCATTGGCGCTCAATGTTTCTGGAGGGGAACATATCACTCCTCAAAAATCATCCAATGTCTTGTCAGCTGTTACGTTGACCAATAATAGAGCATCTACGAAACCATCAGTAGCCATGAGACAGAGCCGAGCACTTGGAGTGAATATTCCCTCAGCACGACTCTCAGCAACAGGTCCAATTCGTGCACAAATTACCGACGAAGATCTCGAGAAAAATTATATTGATAATTATTATATTTTTGAAATTATGATTCCAGTGATTCATAATTATTTTCACCTGCATTTCCCTCCTCCAAATGTCACAAAAGAACAATTGGATATTGCTGAAGATCTTTTGTTGAAATTAATTGATTTACACAAACATACAGCGAATCAGGAACAACGTGACAAGATTTTCAAATGTGTAACTGCCATGTGGAAGAAGAGTATGTCTCCTGAAAGTCAAATTGCAATTACAAAATTTGTGACATCAAAATCATCAAAAGCAAAAGTGAATCGCACTCACATTACACACGCCTATGTCGTCGAGACCGATGAAATTATTAACAAGACCTATCGCAAATATTTACAGAGGAGAATTATTTCAAAGATTTTGCGTACAAGTGAATTCAGAAAGTTGGGAAATCTTTATGAAAAGTACAATGGTTTTGTGAAGGTTCTTGTGAGAATCCTTCGTAAATTGAATGACTCTGGAGCCTCTTACGATCAATCCCTGTTAGATGTTGGACTATTGGGCCTAGAAATTCTCAAAACAATTGTTCACTCTCAAAACAAACGTTCCAATTTACCTAAAAAGAAGAAAAAGAAATCAACTGAGGAATTTGAACCTTTGGATTACGTCGAGAAGAAACTTCCATTGGTGGTGATGGAATTGCTGACCTCACCAAATCCTCTCATTGTGAAATCTGCTCTCGAACTTGGAATTTTGATTTTACGACATGGTTATGGAGTCATTCAAAAAGAATTTTACAGAATTTTGACAGAGACAGATACAAGTTTCTTTTTCATTTCTATTCGAGATCGACTTCGATTGGCAAAGAAGGAAATTAAAGAGAAAAAAGAATTACCTTAAAAGAGGAAAGAAAAGGAATATGCTCTTCACAAGGAACGACAACGAAAAGAAATGAGCAAAGTTCGAGTAAATGTGGTCGATAACAATGATCCTCATGGAATGGATGCAACCAAAAATCCATCCTCTTCCAACAACACATCAGAGGCCGATCAAGAAGAAGGCAACGAAGAATTTATTGAAGTCGGTCATGTGGAATTATTACTCGAATTTTTGAGACTTTTATGTGAAGGTCACAATCTGGAAATGCAAACCATTCTCTTGCATCAACCCAACAATAGTTTCAATGTAAATATCATTCATGAAAGTATGGAATATTTGGTGGCATTGGAAAAGAAAATTGACTTTGACAACATTCAAATCGCTATTCAAGCTTTCAGAACTTTCACAGAATTTGTTCAAGGACCAGCAACTGTAATTCAACAAACATTGGGAACTTCACCAAGATTTTACTCTCGATTGGTGAATGAAATTCTTTCAAAAACCTATGAAGATGGTAATTTATTGAAACAACAAGAAGTCATTTTGAAAAAAGAAGTCGTCTTGACACTCACCAGTTTATTGGAAGGAAGTAACACTCAAAATTTATTGGAGATTATGAGAAATTCTCTCAATTTGGAAGAGTTGGAACAGTTATTATTATTCACTGCAAGATTTTTGCGATCCTTGCAATCTGAATCACATCACGATCGTGCCACGGATGAGGTCGATGAAGTGGTACAACGTCTCCGAAAAGATTTTGACACTCATTTCCTCTATGAAGCCACACGTGATAAATTGAATCCAGTTGTGGCCGAGGATTACATTAGTGCCGTATTTCCAATGATTAGAGATGCCTACGAAGAGTTGGGAATGCAAATTTTCTTTTTAATGAATATTTTCAAAGATGCGGAACGTGAACAATTGCGAATTCTCTCACGAAATACATTTTTGGAAGAACACAAAACTCTCAAAGTCACAAACTTTTTGAATTTACATCAAGATTTGCTGAGTATATTTTCTGAACACACAGGTAGTATTGAAGTATTGAGAAATAATAATATCGAAACAGTTTACTTTCCCATTCCAAGAATTTGTGAAAATTTAATGGATAAGGCACGTCATGATTATGTACATTCACTTCCAATCATGACTCCAGAAGAAAAGTGAGACAGCTCTATAACGATACATTTAGTCGATTTTATGTGGAAATGCAACACTATGAATCCATGAGAAAGAAAAAGTCTCTATTTGGAATGAAAGACAAGATTGAAGAAATTGTAAATTTGGATGTCATTTCTCATCATCGATCTTCCCATTCTTCAGAACTCGCGACAAGGGACACTTCCTCCTACTTTTCATTATTGGATGAAAATTCATCCTTAATTCCATCCATCAATGACATTCGTCGAAATTTGGCTCCAAAATCCAAACGTAAAAGTTTGTACCACATTCTGCACACAGCAATGAAACTTCTGCAAGTTGGGAATTTATTGCTCATTTTGGGAATATTTAAGACTTTCTTCCTTTATTTTCTGTGTGGTGATTAATATCGTCTTATTAGGAACATATAAGAGATTATATTCAGTAGACACTATGAGTGGTATTCCAGTTCCTGGTGACTCTAATTTTGATGTGTTAAATGCTCCTAAATATCCGTCACCGCGGACACTTGCTGGAGATATTGTTTTAACCATTGTTGGTGCCATTCAATTAATCATTACAGCAACATTGAGTGTAACCTATGTGAAATATTTTGTCACACTCGAGGTGAAGAAACGATTTAAATTGAAGAAACGTGAAACATGGGACAGCATTCCAAGAAATCGTCATTTTTATTGGAAATTCTTTTTATACATTTTGAGAGATACACAATTGTGGTTTTTCGTTATCTATTTCATGTTGAGTATGATGGGTTTATTAATTTCTCCACTCGTTTATAGTATTCAACTTTTTGAAATTGTGTTCAGATTTAAATCATTGACTGATGTATTGAATGCTGTCATTTCGAATGGAAAGAAATTATTCTTTGCTGGAATGTTGTTATTGATTGCCATGTTCTTCTTTGGATTACTCTATTTCACATGGTACAGTTATGATTTTATCACCACAACTACCAATCTCAATACTTGTGACACAGTGTTAGCATGTTTTGTGACAACATTTGATTATGGATTTAGAACAGCAGCATCGTGGGAGAATATTTATGCACCAGATCCTGGAGTTGGAAGAGCTATTTTGGATTTGAGTTTTACATTGATTGTTATTGTGTTTTTGTAAGTACTAGTGTTCCAGTGATCACTGTATCTATGTGATTCGAAAATTTTACTTTTCAATTTTTTATTGAACATTTAATTCATTCTACCTGATTCTCCGAATTCTATTATTTCATAAAATTCAATGTCAATACATGTCACAGAACCAACGTGGTGTTTGGTACCATTCTCGACTCATTCCAACAACTGAGAAAAGCACGAGAAGAACGAAAAAAGGAAATTACTGAAAAATGTTTTGTCTGTGCTTTGGAAAAGAGCAAATTCGACACCAAAGCCAACGAAGGAATTACCTTTGAAAAACATATTAAGGAAGAACATTATTTGTGGAATTATGTTTACTTTTTAATTTATTTATATGAAAAACCAGAGACAGAATATACTGGAACAGAAAGTTACATTTTCCAAAAATGTGAAGATAATGACGATGTGACAAGCTTTTTCCCAATCTTTAGATCCAAGACCATTGAAGAGAGTGAAGAGAATCATCATCTTTCTGCCTCCCAACAAGCACCATTTAAGGAAAATCATTAAATCACAATTCTCATCAATATGTCCAACTGTAAGACATGCGATGCTCTTTAGAAATTGGATCAAGAAATGATAAATTGGAAGGACCATTCGGTTTCACATCAAAATCTCCACCTTTCATCTGTCTCTTCAATTCTCATGCAAATATAAATGTTCCGCCAATTCGTAATACGAAAATGCAATCCATTGTTTTTCATACTTGATTTTATGTTCATATGAGAGTGCCTTCTTGAATACTTTCTGTTGTTCATCATTGGATTCATCTCCCAAAACACTCAACATTTGAGCATGAATGACACAACAACCAGCACATAAATCTGCGTTAACTTTGGAAGACTTTTCTTCTGACAAGCTCCAATCATTCTGTCTCCTCCACCCATCACATGTTTCACAAACAAATCATGCAAGGTTTTCAAATATTGAGGTTTAAGATTGGCCAAATCTCTTCTCAAATACGCTAATTGGAAGTAGAACATGACTGATACCAATAATTTCGTACGGTCACTTTTCACATGTTTCAACAATTCCAATTTTTCCTTTGCAAATTTGTTGGAATGAGTCATGCATGATTCGAGGCGACCATTGTTGATCATTTCCAAAACGCCCTTCTCATCTCCAAGGAAGATTTTACACACAACCAAAAGGAAGGCACAATTTCCTTTCGAATCAAATTCTGAATGTTGTTGAGTTGAAAGTAATTCCTCGAGTTGTTCATGAGCCTTCTCATAAATACTTTTCGCATCTATGACTACTATTCTAGGAGTGTTGTTATCTAGCAATCTAACAACTGTGTGGAGCGCTTGAACCTCACTGTTGTAGGAAGTTCCTTGTCCTAAGGTGTGACTTGAGATGGAAACGTTCTGATCAGTTACAATACCGTATCCAGCAATATTGTTACATGATCCATCAGTACCAATTAGTGTAGCTTTGTTCAAGAGGTTTGATAGGGATGTATTGTTACCAATATATTTGTAGTATTTGCTTTCGTCTTTGATTTTTCCAAAATCCATGCTATTGAGAATGTTGCGAATCTGGGTGACATGATTGGAATGTTTGATGTTACTGTTTAATTTCACTTGTAAATTTTTAGGGTCAGGAATCCACATACTTAATCTGTTCCAATCTTTGTAGAGCAGGAATTGTCTTAAACCTTTAGGGAATTTTCCATAAGGGATGAGAGTTTTTCCATGCCATTGGTCAATCGAATGCCATAATCTAATATTGGAAGATTTGTTCATGAAAATTATTCTCTTGAGATATTGAGGAATCCATGGGTCTGGTTTATACCAAGTAGAGATTGGATCTTTGAGGATGTCAAAACCATGCTCCTGTTTGATTCGTTCACAAAGGAATCTTGTAGAAGATCCAAGACAGATTTCATATTGTTCAAGGAACTTTCTGACTTTACACATTAGGTTCGAGTAACTCATTTCTTACAGAAATTAATCCGAGTCCACCTTTGTCTTGATGAGTAGTAGTTCCTTCAACCTTTTGGTGATTAATTTAGTAGCTATTTTAAGTCCTGAGTCCATAAGGGCAATAGGTCTATAGTTAGCAGAGTTTGAGTGGTCCTTATTCTTTTTGTGAATTGGGAGAATGCTGACACTTTGCATTGATTCAGGAGTAAATCCAGTAGTAATGATATTTTCAATAATTTGATAAATTTCCTCCTGTAATTCCTTACACTTGTATTTGATAGTTTTTTGTCTTAAACCTAGTTCGTTGGGTGCTGTGGATTTCAAATTCTGAATTATCCATTCTTTCTCTTCCGTGGTAATTCTACCGAGTATTTTGTCATTGCAATTATCAATTAATGGATGTTTGTATTTGAAAAACTTGATAATGTCAATCTGATGATTCCTTCCTCTAAGGTTGAGGTTTTGTTGATATTTGTCCTTGATCACGTTGGCAACTTCATTGGGGTCACTAATTTCAGTTCCGTCAATAGATAATTTGTATGGTGGTGATGATGTTTTGTAAATTTTCTTTCGCAAGTGTTTAGAGTTGGTTGCATAATTCTGTTCCCACCATTTCATCTTCCTATTCAAAGCCTTATCATGGCTCCATTTGATATGATTCTTGATTTTCTCTTTGACGCTAGCAAGACATTTTGGAACCTGTTCTAAAGTTTAACCAATAGTCATCAAAGTTTGTCACAAGGATATCTGTGCTCATTTCTATCAAGTATTAACATGAGCTTCTTATATTGCTTATTATATTTGTAGATTTTAGGATGAGGTTTAGGTGGATTGACCTCCATAAATTTGTCGCCTAATTTATCACAAATGAAAAGCCATTTGTCGTTGTCAGATTCTAAATTCTTAACTTGAGATACACATTCTTTGCTAATGGCCAGCACTTCTTTCTTATTTTTGGGATCTTGAAAGTTACGCTTCTTCCGAATTAACAAAGGTGTTCGTTGACATGAGGTCAAGCAGAATTTTAACCATTTTGTGATCTGATATGAAGTTGGCATTCAGTACTTCTCCAGATGCAATTGGAAATTCCTGGAAAAGAAACCTGATACAGTTCACAAAATTTCACAATGTTTCGAAAGAGTAAACAATAAAATTCGTTTGTTAATTAAAGGAAGGACTAATGGGTTTATGGTCTCTCCTTAGGGTTATGATCGGTGTTTGTGGGATTTTCTGCATATTTTGTCAATTGACTTTATTCAGCAGAGTCCCGAGCATTAATTAAGATTTGAGAAGGTAAAAAACTCCAAAAACCGCTCATCGGAAAAAAAGGAGAAAAGCAGGAAGGATGAAGGCATAAGTAACGACTACATGATGTGAAGCGCAAGAAGTCACAGTTAGGCGGCAGAGACGAACACTCCATGATGTGAGGTCATATTTAAGCAATTGCTTGATAAATCCATGAAAATAATAATAACTTGATAAATCCATGAAAATCATGAAAACATGATGAATTAAATAAATGAAAATTAAATAACAAAATTATATAGTTAGCTCAATAAAATCCTTGCCGAAAAGATTCGAATCAAGGTGGACCTGCACTGTCACAATGTTCTTCCTTACCACAAGAACATTCCGATGAGCGAAAAAGGTACTTGAATAAGCTTAAGAAAGCAAGTGGGTGGGAGTGCAAATGGGTGGGAAGTCACTAAGCAACACAAAGAGAGACTAATCATTAATATGCAGAAATTTTTTGAGCATGGAAAAAATTTTTCAAGCTCAACCAAACTCTTTAATTGTTTACAATCGAAACATTCATGCCCTTCACTACGTTCAGAACATATCACGGAAGAGAAAGAATGGATAATTCAGAATTTGAAATCCACAACACCCAATGGTTTCACAAACGAAGCATTCTTTTGAGAAGCAATCGAGATCACCAACTCTGCTTTGAAATAATGTTTTGTTAGCAAAACTGATGATAGCTTCAACCTCTCTTCATGCTATAAAGGCCAATAGAAATAAATACACAAGCAAGTAGTCTATGAGACCCATGTTTGAAGGTGTCTTCTTTGTTGACTGATTTGCATTCTTTGATGGACTTATTAATATTTTCAATCAAAACTTGTTCTCTCCTTGATATAGTATCAAAAACAAATTGCGACCACGTTTTCAGATGAACTGGTTTGAATCCTGACACAACATAGCCAACTCATTCAAAACCTGGATCTCCCAAATCAAAATCATTGCCAATTATTTTCCTGAAATGCTTATTATATGTTGCGATAACTGAATCATGTCTTTCCCTTGAATGTTCGTTAAAAATGAAACAACATAACCCTCATAATCAAGTAAAATTTGTATAAGTTTCCCATGTCTTCGATAATGACCATTATAATCTACATCTATACCACCCTGCTTTCGAGTTTTATGAATCGTTCCGTCAATAATATTTTTCAATTTAGGATGCAATCGACTTCTAGTTTCATGAATTTTCTTGTTTGGAATATATTTTGCAAATAGTTCTACTAAAAAAGGAAGCATTTCATCCAGTACTTTACTGACATAATATTCTGATGTATTGAATAGACAAACCAAATTATTCCTTCCATTATATTGAATGACGAAATGGAGAGCCATTAATAATTTGTTAGGTAGGGACATTGATAAGGGACTTGTATGGTCTTTCATAATATCTTTCACTTGTTCCAAAATCTAATCAAATTCTTCCTTTGATATGTTATATTAATGAAAATTTGTACGGATATTTACACCACTGGGAATAAATAACAAACACCGAAAGTTCTGATGTTTGGCCAGAACACAAACCCATTTGTTCCTTAAAATTAACTAAACGATTCTTGTTGTTTACATCTTCGAAAGACTAATATTATTCATTGCGTTAGCTTTACAACATCTTTCAAATCATTGTCAGCAAGTTTTCCAAAAGACAAGTCGGGAAGATAGCTCTTAATTGTTGAGATAGAGGGAAGCAATAAATTAAGCTTATCAATGCATTTTCGAATGTTATAGTGTCGCCAGAAATTCCTTCCAATTCCTTCTGAAGAGGATCCATTCCATTCATAGAAACCAGTGCCAAGCAAGGATTGAATGTGTCTGATGCAACTCACAGCACTGGTGAGAGAAGTGAGAACGACTTTGAAGAACCTTTGGAGGAAGAGACCACGAAAAAAAAGGTGTTTCATCATGTAAAAATTCAACCTTCTTTTTTCGCTTCATCTTGCCATTCATTAAATTGCATCATATCTCTTTGAAGGATTTCATGAGTTTGTAAATGAAGAATTGCAACAAAATGAAAAGCTAGTGATGGAATCTCACAAATCAATCTGGGTATAATTTTGACTTGGATGAATTCTCGAATCAAATAAGAGAATACTTCCTTCTTCATTCTATTTACTTTAATGATAGATATGATGGAAAATCTCAAGTTGCATCATTTATTTTCACCATACACCAAACATTCGTTGAGCTTGTAATTTTGTTCCTTGACAGGTTGCATCAATTTCTTTGCAGCATTTGTAAAGTACTGATGCTTTTGAAGAAAATCCAAATTAGAAATGTGCCAATCGCGAGGCGCAATTGGCTTTTTGTAAACTCTTTCCAATTCGAGTCGAAGACATTCCGATTTTAAGAAATAAAGATCCGTACCCAAATGACCCAAATCTGCATCGCACACAATTTGACACAAACGACAATCACCAGGATTTTGAGGAACCATGGTGGCCATAATGCATTTACAAACTTTTTCAATCTGTTCCTCTGAATAACCAAATTGAGGCAAGTATTGACGAGCTCGTTCGCAACCTTTTGGTTCATTCTTTGAATATTGATCTAGATAACCGGTGTCATGGAATAGAGCTGCTGTTTTTCTGTTGTGTGGTTTGATCGGGTTGTATCAATATGATTCAAAGTTTGGAACGAATTGGTTCATGATGAATGGTGAATATGGATGAATATGAGATTGTTGGATCCATAAGATAGAGTCGTGATTAAATATTGCATGATACCATTCCATGAACCAATGATCACAACATGATCGGAGTAGATCAATTCATCATCAGCACCATAATGAAGAACTTGAAAGTGTTTCAAAAAACAAGAATACAACACCTACACAATCAACAAATCTTCCTCATTCAGGCCTTCCTCTTTAGCCAACAGAATAGAAGCAGGAAGCACATCTTCAAACGTGTGCCCGATGTTATGATAAAACAAATCCTTATCAAGAGCTTGCAATTGCTCGTGAACGAGTCGATACACTCCTTCGTAATTTGCCATTTTTTTTGGATGTTGTTGTTGCTACTATTAAAATAATCGATTGGAAAATTGTTGCGTTCGTTTGTTGGATCGAGAGGACAAAGAAGAACCCACCCAAAATTGGATGAAGATATGGGCAGTAGTAGAAGCGAACATACATATATGGATGGAGTGAAAACCCCTTCATTTTTGTTTTGTCGAATTTCCTTTTGGAAGATTCCACAGTGGACGAACGGCCGTGTTACATACATTGAGTATTCTTCAATGGTTGAACATAAATAGTCCAGCTATATCAGGTGCTGGACAAACAAAGTCTAAGACCATAATTGAAAGCAAAGAATCTGTTATTATAACTATTCTATATAGAATGAAAAAAAAAGAAAGAGCTGGAAAAGGATTGAACTCTTCATATGTTTGGTCTTGGATAATTCAGATTTACATGGAAGGTATTATAAGTGCACTGTACTCTAATAGCTACTATCAGATTTGCAGAGTCATTTAAGGTATTAAGAAAATTAATTGAAAGACTTTATATAATAATTTAGCAAAAAAAAAATTACTGATCGTGAAAGGGGAAGTCACCGAAGCTGAAAGAGATCATCATCCCATTCAAAGAAACGACACAGTTCACGATGAAAGAGCAAACAAGCTATTTTACCCTTCCAAGATGAGGCGCACGGTTTTCCTTTTGATTTACAACTGTTGCGCACAACGACCATCCTCGACGTTTGTTGATGATTCTTTATTCTTCAACCAATTTGAAGTGGAAAAGGAACGACTCTCAGTTTCAATGATTATGTGAGTTGGCACGCCCAACAAGTGGCATCCGTGTTAACTTCTCCTCAATCTATCGGTGGTGTTGGGTTGTCTGTCGATAATGTGAAGCCTTTGTATGAATCTGATTTTAAAGGGTTGTCTCTCCACAACATTGTTGAGGTTATCAAGATGGAGGGTGTAAAACATGCCCTTGATCAACAAAACCTCCCCCGATAGCAGTAGAGAAGCACTTATAACAAGAATATCACTCCTCATCTCTCTGACACTTGTCAAACTATTGTCTTCTGGGTTATCAATGAATTGATGACAAGACAATATTCACTATGGCTTTTGGAGCCAGTTAGTGAACGAATTAAGGAAAAGTGATGTGAACCAATTTCAAAAGGAGGTGCTGACTTGGCTCTTGATCAAGTTCTTCATTAGATGGAAAAAACTCTATACCGTCGCAAGAGATGTCATCTCATCCAAAGATGTATCTGTGGCTATCAGAAACGCGAATTATCTTGACTTGGCTTTATACAAGAAAGTTGTCAAGTGGATCCATCAATTTCTGTTGGACGGCAAGTTTCAAATTGAGATGAAGAAATTCAACAAACACTTAAAGGTTTGACAAAACTTCCCCCGATAGCAGTAGAGAAGAGGAGTTTTAGCATGAAACACCGTGAAGAGGCGATTAAATTAATAGTGGACATTTCAGGATCAAAAAGGAGGTAATAAGCAATATTTGAACTAATTGCAAAAGGTGGAAAAGGAATTGGAAAATCACTGCTACTCAACATCATGATATCAAGCCCACTACTAGTTCATCAATCAGCATTTGATCTCCACCCACATTGTGTTGATCCAAATGGCTTACATTCTGTTTTGAAAAATCCGTACGAATACTAATTTCAATTCACGTTCGAGGAAGGAAGCACAATCTCGAATTGACTGGAATGTTTTTCATTGATTACACAAAGAATCACTTTCAGAGAAAATATAAGATATGGGCTATCATTCCACTTTCATGGTTTACATTAACTATATGTTGGTTTGGAAGTTAACTCGATTCGCTTATATGTTTTATTCTTTTCGATTTCTTGCTTTGAAATGATAGTGTGATTATTCCCAAAGATTGTTGTTATGGGCTTGCTGTAATTTGGATTCTGTTTCACTATGAATGTGAGCCGACATAGCTCAGTTGGGAGAGCGTAAGACTGAAGATCTTAAGGTCCCTGGTTCGATCCCTGGTGTCGGCAAAATTTTATTTTTAATCACAAAAAACGAACGAGATGAGTAGAAATGAATCATGTTATTATTCTGAATACATTTGTTTGTGGAACTTTGGCAGTTGACCTTACATTCCGAAACACGTGTTTCAAGAATTCCGACAATCAAAAAAAATGGCTCCTCAAAACAAGCTGTTCTTCCTCTCTTTTCTCATCGTTGCCTTCTTCTCTTCATCCTTTCTTCATGCAGCAACGAGCAGCTCGGATGATTCCGTCATTGATTTAACCCAATATAACTTTGATCGACTAGTAACGAATAGCGATGCTCCATGGATTGTTGCTTTTATTGCTCCATGGTGTGGTCATTGCCAAAGACTTCATCCAGGTAGGTAATCGGAGAGAGTTTTTTCTCTTGATTTGTGGAATACGAGCAAGCAGTATATGGATGATGGTTTTAAATCTCGACATTTGTTTCGTTCCATCTTATCATCTTGCCGATCATTCCGATCATTCCAACTTTTTTCCATTTCTCTATAATAATTTATCGTGATTCATCAAATAACGATACATGTAATACAAATGATAATCCTCTCCGACAGAATATGAAAAGGCTGCCAAATCTCTTGGAGGTGTTGTCAATATGGGACGAGTAAATTGTGATAATGAGAAGGAATTGGCCCAACGATTTGGAATTAAGGGATTCCCAACCATCAAAGTTTTTCCAACCTTCAAGTCCTCAAAACAAAATCCAGAGGATTACCAAGGTGCACGTGAATCTGGATCTCTTGTCAGCACTGCACTCTCACTCTTGAATGGTGTGAGAGATCCTGTCAGAAAAATTGAAACAGAAGAAGAATTGACTCAATTTATTACATCCTCAGAGGAAAATGATGACAGCACCATGTCAAAGGTTATTCTCTTCAGTTCCAAGTCGTCCAATCCAAACCTATTCAAGTCTATTGCTGTTGAATTTACAAGTAAGAAGGTGAATTTTGCATTTGTTGGTGACGACAAGTTTTTGGACAAGTTTGGAATTGACAAGACACCAGCAGTTTTGCTCTTTAAGAACAATAATATGGAAGATTTTATCAAATTTGATGGTGCCTCATTGAAGAAGAACAGTCTCGTTCAATTCATCGAGACCAATATTGAAAAGGGTGAACGTTCCCCAGTGGCACCTCCAAAGAAGAAAAAACCTCCACTCACTCGGTCACAGTCATTGAGGATCAAGAGACCTTCTCAAAGAAGTGTGAAAAGATGTGTGTCATTGGATTTGTTAATGCTCAAGATGATTCACAAGTTTCTACCTTGAAACAAGTTGCCGGAAAGTACCCTGAGAATGTGGTTGTTCAAGTCAATGCTGGTTCGAGTGCTTTCTCTGCTCTCAAAAGTGTGTTCAATCTCGAAGAAATCGGCAATGAAGGATTTGACTTGGCAGTCTTCAGAGGTCACAAGCTCAAGTATGCCACTAAGCAAGGAGTTAAGAATGTGAGTGATGCCTCTGTCTTGTTGGATAGAGTCATTGGAGGAGATCAAACTTTCCACACTCTTTCAGAATTCCCTCAAGTTGGAGAAGCTGCAAATACTGCAACCAAGGACGAATTGTAATAAATCCTAAATTATTGTTCAAACACACACGTTCACCTATTATTAAGGATTCGAATCTAGCAAATCTGTTTTTCCTCAATTTTGTTGTTACAACAAAAAAATTCCATCTCGCCTTTAGGTCAATAAAGGTGATAAATATATTGAGTATTACACAAAGATATGTTGGGTTCATGGTATGTCATAAAGTCATCATTAAAATAATTGATAGTTTTTTTATTGTTTCTTGGTGTTCATGAGACCAAAAGTAAAGATCTTTTTAAGATTTTCCTTCATTTGGCTATCGTCAGTGGTCTTGGCCCCTCCAGAAATGCCTTGCCAATTGGTAGTGTTACCTGTTGCGGTGGTTGAACCTGTGCCTCCTGTTGCTGTTGTGGATGGCTGTGTGGAAGATGAGGCACTACTTACAGCGCCACTACCGGCACCACTGGTTGCAGCTGTTGAAGAGTTCGTCATGGTCGATGAGGTGGTTGTGGAAATGGAGGATGATCCCATGGATGAATTAGTACCATCATTTGTTGATGGTTTCATCTTTTCAAAGAGAGAGGTCAATGAAATTAGAGTAGAACCCTTATTTTCTTCTTTTGCATGCTGTTCCAAAATGTGTTCAAGCTCTTCCTTCATTTGAGAGACAAATGATGCTACCGATGAGTCAGTAATTAATTCACAATCCTTTGAAAGATAGTCAAGACCTTCAATGATCTGATCAATAATGTCATCAGTTAACATGCAGCCATTGAGAGCTCTGTAATTATCTAAAATATATCCGGCAGTGTCTCGTCGATCTCTCAGATCACTATTAAGGTTGTTTTGCTTGCCAAGCCAAACCAATTTCTTAATAATGAAAAAGTCACGGAAATAGGACTCCACCTCAGGAATAATCTTTGAGAACATGATTAGAATTTCTTTAAACATGGTTCGATCTCTGGTTTCCAAAATGCTTTCGATTTGAGTTGCTAGCTTGTCGAAATCTGCCACTTCATTCAAATTGCAAGCCAATTTGCCTAAACCTCTTACTGCCTTGACTTTGATTTCAGCTTCCATGTCTGAGGCGAGCGTAATCAATGCAGGCAAGACCGTTGCTGACAATACGTCAGAGCTCAATGGTTGAATCAATTCAACAAGAATATCAGCCACTGCAGATCGCACCACTTTGGATGGATTCACTGCTAATTTACAAACGACAGAAAGAACATCTCCTCTCAATTTTTCATTCGTCACAGCAGATATGAGAGCATTGTAGAGGAAGGGCATGTGTGACGAGTCCCAAGTTCTTTCAGAAATGGAGACATTAATGACAAGATTCTTGATCACATCCATAATCCTTTCTTTAGGGCTGAATGGTAGAGTTCCACAAATATAGACTGGAAGCAGACGTTCCTTGACAAGACTGACGCTCGACCTATCAACGTCCTTGTCTTTTCTTTACCACTTCAATGGTACCGTCTACGATTGGATCAGAATTTGTCTCAAGTAATGTGATAATTTTGAGCTCAAACACTTTAGATATAGTTGGTTCTCCGAATGTTTCACAAAGTGAATTGAAGAGGAAATAAATTTCTTTGCAAATCTATTTGCGGTTAGTGTATGAGCGTTGCATTGCAAGATTTCGACAATCAAAAATAGTGTGATTCAACAAAGTCATAATTAGACATCACATGAACAAACAACAACAACATGTCAAACTTACATTAGTATGTTCCACATGAACCGAAGCAGCAATGGACAACAATCTTCGAATACAAACATTCAACAACCAATATAAACCTTTCCATGTAGCAGATTTGGTCTTCTCCAATTCAGAGAGAGGATTGTCATTAATATATCGGTCCATGATCTTCCTGAGAGTTGGTTCATCTTTGACCTCACCCTTCATATCTGCCGGCATGGTATTTAGCATCATCTTGTGAAGGTATGGAATAACTCCACCAAAACATTTTAAGAGTACGACAATCTTTGCACTACTTGCACTGGAACCACTTTTAAGTCTCTTTTTGATTAAATTTTCAATATTGCTCAAAAGAGTTGGAGCAAACTTTTCGAATAAATAGTCAAAATTGAAACACCACGTAATGAGTGCTGGAACAAGAAGTCTAATGGCAGCTGACTCCACTGTTTCTGCCTTGTCGTATAAAAATTTGAGCGTCATCTCTTCAATTTGGAAGTACTTGCTCTTACTTTCCACATCCTCTTCCTCTGTGAAAGTGGAGATGAGTTTGGCCAAGTTGATCACCACAGATTCTCTCACCTCATCGGTCTTGTCTTCCATTAATTTTGCAAGAGTAGACAAGAGCATGGTTGGTCTCAGAGAGGCCTTAACATAATGTGCAAGTTCACCACATGCCTCGGCAACCAAAATCTTTTCTTTCTGTGTATTTGTGTGTCATTTGTTTCCAGCATTGAGGAAGTACTTCTTTCTCAAATCGGTCAGGAGAAATACGTCTTGCCAAAGTAATGCATCCGTTAATGATCATTTGGCGCTCCTGTTCGTCTGGCTTCTTGACGAGATTAAACAACGCCTCGGAAAGAGTCTCCCTCACTTCTGCATCAGGGTGTGCTTGTAGTGTAGCTGTAAGAATGGGCATGAATTCTTGTCTCTCGTTTGATTTAACAGCTGCCAAAAGAGTTGGCAATTTTTCTCCAACAATTTGCACAATGCTTGATTCTTGGTTTTCATATTCTCTCAATTTGGCTTGCAAAACCATGACATCATTCGAAATTGAATCGGTGCTATTATTGAGAGTATCAGTCTCAGTCTCCTCGTGGTGACTCTCTGTTGAAGTAACAGCAGAAGTACTCTCTGCTGTCTTTTTCTTGCTTAATGTTCGACATGTCTTGTTCGAGTGCCTTATTTTGAGCTTTCAATTTCTCTATCGTCTTGTCTTGACGCTGTATAGATTTCTCTAAATTCTGAATGAGTTTATCCTTGGCTTCCAATTGAGAAAGTGCTTCTCGAAGTGCTTTTGTGTCTTTCATGTTTTGTTTTGTCTTGTCTCCAGAACTATAATAATGTCTGTACAAATAGTGTAATCCTAGAGGAAGATCATTTTCATTGGTATGATTGGGAAGCATTTCATCAAGATTGAACATGTCCATCTCGTGCACCTCGTCAGAGAAACTGATTGCACTAATCTTGTATCCTTGCTGTGTCAAATAATCCTTGATGAGGTAATTAATAACTTGTTTTTCTTGTATGGTTAAAGGTTCCGATGCCATTTTGCTCTCGGCTGATCCTTCTCCATTTTGTTCTTGATTTGTGGGTGGGGATGTTATTCCATCCTCTCTCGTCGATTCTTCTCCTCCGTTTTCACTCACTTCGCTTTCAGAGTGAGATCGTTTCACAGTTGATGTGAATGCCTCTCTCATTTGTCCCTTCAATTTAACAATATCGGACTGTAATAGTTTAATTTCATATTCCATGAGTGAGATCTTTTCATCCTTCTTTTTTAATTGCTCTTCAAGAGCTTTGGTATGTTCGGAGTCGACCTGAATCATCATACCGCCTCCATTGCTACTTGTACTTTCCTGTACATTTTTATATTCCTTATTTTCAAAGTAATCTCTGAGGATTTTCAATTCAAGACCCTCTTCCAATAACTCTTGATAAAACTCTAATGCAGTGAGCATAAAGTTATTCTTGAGTAAATAGCTTGCAACATATTCGTTCATTGTTGTTATGATCCGTAGGTGTGGTGTTGGTTGTTGATTTAATGATGATTTAAATTTACTTTTCCGGTAAATAAATAATAATCAGAGATGAAGATGATGACGTCAAAGTTCCGGAATGATGATTTTGTTCAACAAGATAAATAATCGGTGATACACTATTGTCTTGACGACGACGAACACATGCCTCTCAAGTATACGCTGGCTGCAAACACACACAAAAAGGACAGCTGAGTGAGGTTATACAGAAGAAAAAGGATAATGAAAGCGAACGACTGCTGTTGTTACAAGCTTGTAGTGAAGAAAAAGGATAATAACGAGGCCTCGCAATAATTATTTTTTTAAAAAAAAATTGAAAAAATTCCTTTTTAAAAAATTAGCACTCTTCATCACTATCAAGGCCGCTATTCCAAAATGGTGAACGAGCCTTCAGGATCGTCCACGACGAACAACAGAAGCAGCAGCATTATGGCTCACCATCTTCAGAAGAAACCCATTGAACAACAGCCCATCATGGTGAATTTGGAATCGGGCAATGGTAGTGGTGGACAGGAGAATAAAAATGTACAACGAAGGAAGGCCATCATCACTTTTCTGTTTCAAAAAACATCGATATGGGCCATCATTACTCTCGGAATTTGTTGTGTGTTTGGGTTGATTTCCATTATATTGGGAGGAATTGCGGACAACTCGATAGATTTAACGGAATTAACAGTAGCTGTTCCATGTTTGATTCAAACACATCGAATGAATTGTACGAATGATTGTATCAATAATGGTTTGGACATTGTTCCAAGTAATACGACCATTTCAAATTGCAGAACTTTTTGTAAATCACAAGTACTTGTGATGTTACCTTCTTCATTTAATACGACAACGAGCAGATTGAATCAAACAAGAATTACATTGCCATATGCAATGTCAACCACGTATTTTAATTATGCTGTAGGAACAACTACAAAATGTTTCATTAATCCATACACCATTGATCAAAATGATGCAAATACGGCCTTTGCTTATACCATAGGGCCAAGGTTAGGCATGAGAGTTGCTGCTATTGTGTTGGGATGTGTTGCTTTGGGGTGCTTTATTTATCTGGGAGTGTTTGTGGCGTTCGAGGTGTTTAAACGTTGTGCCAAGTAGACCTTTAAGGAAATTCTTTGAGAGGAAAATTCTGTGGAGAATAATTCACTGTGACAAGAGTCGTTGCAAATTTTGACAACAAGTAGTCGAACAGCAGCAACACATAATTGTTGTTCATGAGTACTAAATTCTGCCATTTCATCTATTCCGATTGCATTTCTAATTAATAATATATTATTTATTTATGAAAACTTGACTTTCAAATTTCTTCAAACGAAGAAGTTGGACAGGTCTGCCACAAACCGATTCGTTCCAAACCGTGTGAGGCTTTGATAAACTCCCTCACTTGTTGCATCTTCGTGAAACATGACCAAACATCCTTGCATCTCGTTGAAATGCATACTCAAAATTCTTCGAGCTTTGTGAATGGGAATTCGATGAAAATGATGCCTCACAGAAGGTGTGACTTGGTCTTGCTGTTGTTGCAATGTTGTCTCAAGCAACAACAATTCTCCCTCCACCGTTGCAGCCAGATATTGTGACAAATTTAAAGGCAATACACAGGTGCAAGGCTGTGGCAATAAGATAGGCCTCTCCATCAGGTGAAGAGAGGGTTTAGGATGTGTATTGCAAGTGAGAGGAAGCATTTTCTCAAAAGAAGAATGTTTGTTTCTAAAAGTGATCACAAAATGCTTCTCGTTATTTCTTTCCAATGTTTTCTGTACCTGAATCAACGTGGATTCTTCTTCTTTGGTTAGGTTCAAATTATCAATGGTGACCGAGCTTAGAATAACCATCATGCATGACGTTGTTTCTTGAATATCAAGATCATGGCCAAAGCATTTTGAAGCAAGCAACAATTCATTCTTTTTCTCTGTGTTCCACAATAAGAAATATAAAGTTTGAGTACTTTCTTCATAATCTACTAAGGTTAAAATCTCTTGTTGAGAGCAAGACGTTTTGTTCACATAGTAGTTGGATGAATCGAAAGAAATCAATTCCTCACGATTATTGAACTTTGTTGATGTTAACTGAACTCTCAAGATGCCATTCGAGGAATAAATAAATAAATGAGTGGGATTTTGAGAAGATTTTCCAAACGAGCAGAATTTTCGACATATTGCAATATGCTTGTTGTTGTCGCACCTTTCTGTATCATCTCCATTCTCTGAACTGGTCACTTCAAGTGACAAAGGAATTTTAAATTGCTTTTCAAATTTGAGAAATGACTTGTTACAAGCTTTTAACTTCAATTCATCGTCCAATAGGGTGAAAATTCTCAACATGTGGTCTGAGGTCATGATCAGTAATTGTTTCTTGTCAAATCTCACAAAAATATCCTCAATGAAAGCTCCAAAAGTTTCATAAATATTAAGCCGATCCAATTCTTCATTACAAAACAAAACATCGGCATTCACGAGGGCCACTCGTTCCTGATCATGACAAATATACTTGTTGTGACCATAAAATTTCACACCAAAAGGATTCACCGCAAGTGACGAAGAAGAAGGTGTTGTTGTTGTCGTTGTCACTTTTACATCCTTTTCATGAACAACATCTTTTCGATTCAACAAGACTGAACGTTGTCTCTCGTTTGAATACATGACATATCTTGCACCCACATTATCTGCTTGATCGGAACGATCTCGAGGTGGAGCTGCCGTTTCATGTGAAAAATCATTCTCATTCACATCTAAATCCACATAAAAACAAAAATCCATATTTCTATAAAAAGAAGGAGGATAAATGGTTGAGTAAGGTGTCATCAATTGATGAGTACCTCTTCCACCTGACATGACTGCTGTGTCACATCGAATAATTGTCACTCTCGAGTCCACACAAGTCTTTTCGAAATTTCTTCCAAATGCTTCCAAAGAGGTTTTAATTTGAAAGTATCTCGATCGTTCTGCATCTTGAGGTGTTAAATTGAGATTTGAATCAAAAAGTCCACCTCCTCCAATAAATGTCGGATTTACAATGATCTTGGGTTGATACAGTAAGGTTTCTTGTAAAATATTTTCACTCTCAATGTCAAAACAAATCAAGACTGCAATTCTTCCATATATGGTATCAAAGATTCCGACCCGATCTCCGATGGAGAGAGCAGTTTCATGAGCTGTCGGATGTCGTTTCTTGTACACTCCCAACACTTGTCCCTTTGGATTAATCACTGTGACCACATTGAATCGTTGATATTCCACCGAAAATGACTTGGAATTCTTTGAATTTGTGACATTCTCCACCAAAGTCATTCCAATAAATCCATAACAATGATAACGAGAAAGTACTCGTGCAATTTCCATTACTTCCGAATGTTGAGAGGGTGGAACTGTGCATGATCCCGAAGAAATCCAATGCTCCGGAGTAATGACAAGATCGGGTGCTCTCGAGTCATGACTCTGTTGAATGCAATCGGAGAGACACTTTTCGAGAATGGAATGACCCTTGTTGGGAACACTCGGAGTGGTAATGAGGAGTACTTTGATTTGTTTTTTTTGATTCTCGGAAGGAATGTATTCGGAAAGATAGGGATCTCGGATGATGAATTCCGGATGAATGGTGGTTGTGGTGGTTGAGTTGAGAATGGCTTCATTTGCTTGACTGGAAATGGTCAGGGTGTGACGTGTCTCTGTCTTGTCCTTCTTCATTTTGGAGAGATAGTACTTTTTTGAAGTGGTGGATGAAGAAGACATGGAAGACGGAGGAGGAGGAGGCGGAACGGAGGTGACCGAGTTCGAAGAGAATGCAAATGGAGGAGGAGGAGGAATGTTTGAACTCAACGTTGTGTGGTCGTCGACGCTGCTGATCGATGACCTGGGTGGAGTGGTGAACAAGGGAGGGGGTGGTGGGATGTTGGATGGTAAAGACATTTTTTTTGATGAAAGGTCAGAAAGTTGTCAATTAAACTTCGTAAGAATTTATTTTGCAGTTCCAAGTTCACACTATTGATGAACATTTACGGCAGCTAGTAGAGGTGAATATGGAACGTTGTCACAATGATCTCGAGAAATTATCGAGTAGAAATACACACGGGGAAACAAGAATTATTTTTCATCATCATGATTCAATGAAATGAGAGAAAGAGTTTCATCTCGGATTCTGTAATACCATTGCATTCTTCGTTCTGCATATTCGAGATAATTAAAATCAATGGTTGAGAACATGTGTTGTAACATGCTCCAGATAGACCAATGTAAATTGCTCACCAAACTCATGACATTGGCTTGTCTTCTGAATAATTCTAATTGTTCCTCACTCACAGAGGATCCTTCAAAATAGCTTTGCAAAAAGAGTGTTTGTTGTTCCCTAGTTGGAAATGCTTGTGGATTGATACACAAACCTCCAAATTCACAAAAGAAATTTCCAATATCGAATGCAGAGTAATTGTATCCACAATATTCAAAATCAATTAAATGATAGGAATGGTTTTCCTTTTCGTTGTAAATAATATTGTGAGCTCCAATGTCATTGTGACAAAATGATACTGGAAAGTCTTTGCAATAGGATTGGATGAGGTTGACCTCCTTCTCTAACTGATCCATGTCAAGCACACTTGGAATGGAGTCACTACTCTTGTTAAATTCCTCACGTCTGCTTTTTAAAAGATCAAGCCAACGATGAGTTCGCTCAAACACAACAGGTTTAACATGGTGTGCGTTGCGGTGATTGTTGTGGTGAGGCTTGCAAGAAGAAGACTCACTTTGAAACGACGGAACATGAATCGAATGTATTGCCTTCATAAGTTTGGCAATTTGCAAATAATGATCTTTAGCTCCACCTAACTCATCAAGTCCAATCCCTTCAAAATATCTGTAGATGAGCCCATTTTGAAATTTGCAATAAATGGACGGTGCCAACTCTGGATAATGTAAAGAAATTTGCTGAATGTAGTGCAATTCAGCTTTACGATCGATGAGATTTTCAGAGTTTTGCCCAAAGCAACGCACAAGAACCTTCTTTGGATTTGAAAGGTGGTCAAGAGTGTTGGTGTTTTGGTGATGATGTTGTTCTTCCCCATTGTGGTCGTCATGATTGTGACGAAGAAAATGTACCAAATACAATCGATTTGTAGTACCCCCAGTTAATTGCTTGATGTGAATATATTTCTGAAGAATGAGTTGCCAAAATTCAACATGATCATTCCTAGTCTTTTCATTCAACCCAGCCATGTCATTTTCATGGTGTGAATCTCGAGATAGAGAACACGAAACGTTGATTGTGGATGTAGGAATTGAATCAATCAAGTATTGTTGTTGTTGTTGTGGATTATTACCATCTCCGTGAATGATTTGATGAGGATTAATGGTTGGTGATTCGATGGCAGAAATGGTCGTCGAAGTGACCATATCCGAAGGTATTCCACTCGAGAAAGATCCCACAGAAGTATTATCATTTTCATTACCACTTTGAACTTTTTCGTCATCCTCTTCACCATTGAGGGTATCATCATTATTTTCATAATTGTACACAGGAATACGACTGTCATGATGGTGATCGAAATGAAATGGTGATGAGGGAGAGTAAATTGATGTTGTCAATAGTTGTTGTGGTTGCAGCTGTTGTTGTTCGGTGGTGGTGTTGCCATTTTCCTCTTCGGAGGTAATTGGCGAGTTCATTGATTCTTCATAAAAATCCTCTTCCGAAATTGACTCGTTTGAATTTGAAAAGATACCTCCCATAAAACGATGAGGAAAAGCCTTGTAAACCAGTTGAGCAATTTTGATATTAATTTCTTCTGAGGTAATGTCTGTTTCTTGAATGGGAATGGACATATGATCCAATGAGAGAGGCTCTGAAGAGGATAATGGTGAGGACCCCTTCAGAATGGCTGGATGAAACTCTTCATTCCGATGATGATGAGGTGGTTGTTGTTCAAGTTGGTCCAAGCGAATAGTGTTGAATGATTGGTCGGTGGTGGTGTTGGTGGTGGAATCATGATTACGAGCGCTGTCGCGACCACTAGTGACCATCAAAGATTCATTCCCTCCCTCAAAGCTACAACAGTTGATGCATCGCTGCGATAGGAAAGATTTCGTGTCAACCGACAAGGAAGGACTCAGGATATTGTTTGTTTGCATTTTTTTGAGGCAGGTGATTATTTGGAACTTGTTTTGATTTGGAAACGTTCATTACGGGGTTGATGGAGATCGTATTGTGTTCGAATTGGTCAAGGAGAATTGAAATTGCAAAATCTTCCATGAATGAACACATGCGTGACGTTGCATGATGGTTCAACAACGGGAGGTTTCAAAAACAGTGAAATGGTGAACTTTTTATTTTCCTTTGCAACTTTGCAAACTAGTTCAAAAACCACTAGAAAAAGTGTGACATGGTTCAATAGTTCTAGAATTTTACAAGAATTCATCGGCGGATAAGGTGGTGGAGGTTGTGGTAGTGGCTGTTGAGGATGGTTGTGACGAAGAAGAGGTGGAGGAAGATACAGGTGAAGGTTTTGAGGGAGATGGAGGTAGAGGGCGCGAGATAGTCAATTGATCATTGGCTAAAAGTGAAGAGTTGTGATCTTCATCTTCTTCTTGTTCATGATGGTCAAACATGTCATCCTCATCTTCCAGCTCGTCACCTCTCAATACATCATCTCTCGACCATAATTTACCCTCTCTCAAAAAGTGGCTAATGAACTGAGCTCTTGCTCGTTGCTCCTCAAAATATTTGGATGATTCATCATGATGAGTGTGAGGTTTATCTTGGTGTGGTGGTCGAATTAAAACTCGAGAGAAAATAATGGCAACCTCGTCTTGAGTGAGACCATTAGATTTTTTGTGTTTGAGGCATTCTCTCAAGAAAGACATCAAATAGTGGAATGTGTTGCAATGAGCATCATTCAACATGGAAATCAAATGGTAGCAGGTTGCTGGATTTGCACTTGCATTGAGACTCATTTGATAAAATTTGAATGGAACTACAGGTTCTCTGAGAGACTCTAAAAATGTTATCAAAGCTTCAGCAATAGAGTGACAAGACACTGGGTTTGTGATTGGTAATCCTTCGTCTAAGCAATCTCTAATGTAATGAACCTCTTTAGCAGTTCCAGAATATTTAAATAACCCCTCCTCTTTCAATCCTTTTTGATAAAGTAAATCGATGAGTCTCCATAGCTCTTTAGGAACTTTGAGATCTTTCTCAAAGCTTGATAATTCCAGTCCGTCATCTTTTCTTTGAATTGGATACTTTTGTTTGACAAGTTGGTCAAGTGTTGATCCAAAACATGACTTGACATAATTACCAGTGATAGAAATGAAATGATCTCTACCATTTTTCAAGTGGAGAATTAAAATATCGTCAATGGTGTCATCACCGCTCAATAACTTTGGCGCTCTTTGAGAATTAACTTGAATGGTAACCTTAATTTCCTCAGTCTCTCCAGGAATTACATATCCTTCAAGTGGTTGAATGGTCACATAGGGTTTACATGGCTGTGACTCTTGAGGTTTTGGTACAAATTGATATTCGCAAACCACTTGGCCAGTGTTATGCAAACAGACAGTTTGTGTAATGGGCTCATCGTATTTCACATTCTCATAATTGATGGATTGGCCAGTAATTGCAACTTCCGGCAACATGTCATTCTCAAGCTTATCCAGCATTTTGATGATATCCAAGTAACACTTCTTGTACTTTTCTTCTACAATCTTCTTCACTCCGACCTCAAACCACGAGGTCACTGGCTTGTGATCTGACATTTTATATTCCTTGAATGATTTGTACGATTTTTGAACAATTCTTCCCCTTTCATCCTCTCTCCATAAAATACGATCTGTATATGATGGCACTCTGCCCTTTTCACTGGTATCATAGGTGTCTGTGCCACTATCAAACTTGTAGGTTGGATCAAAGGTAATTTCTCCTTCACAGAAGCCAACAAAGGCGTTTTGTGCATTCTTTTCGATCATTAGTTGATCATATTTCATAAGGAATTTGTAGTCTTGTTTCTTAATCTTTTCTCTCACGATAAGGTTTGGTTGATTGATTCTATAATTCAAATCTCCAAACCAAAAGAAAAATTCATGTTGGTCAGGTCTGTATAGGAATGGATTTCCAAAATCTGCTTTTTTGCAAATATCGTGGAAATTTTGATTTCTTCTCTCGACAGCACCCATATGAGGAGCCAAGTGGGCTGTAATGAAACAAAATGTAGAGTCGAAAATTTTAAATCGAATTCCAACACCACCCTTATTACCCATCATACCCATAATGCCAACACCTTCTGCACAGTTTCTTATTTCTGTCACTTCATTGGCCAAAGATTCCTTAACCAAAACGCAATGATATATACCAACAAGTTGGCGAGCAGTAATCAATTTGTATCGGTGTTGTTTGGTTTCCTCTGCAAATGTTTTTATGAAGAGGTTTTGCCATTCCTGTCCAGTTTCGGTTTCCTCCTTAAGAAGAGCTCCTGCTGTCATGTCAATTTCTTGCATACCTATGGAGTAAATATCAGCTTCAAATTCATCCAATAATAGCCATTTTGCTAAACTTGTGTCCGGTGAAGGAAATTTGTTGTTCACATTCCAGGTGCAGACCACAACCGAAAGAGGTGTAATTTCCGTAAATTCTTCTTCTTTTGCTTTGAGTTGTCTTTGAATCCAGTTGTCTTTTCGAGAAGCCTCGTGTTGTAATGGATTCGGAGAAGTGTTAATGGTTGCTTTTTGGGCAATGTCAGTGGGAGTACTAGAGCCGTTTGATGATGAAGGCAATACTTGCCTATTAGCTTTTTTGAACATGTCAATTGAAATGTCCTGGTTGTCTTCTGACTTATTCTTTTGTTCTTTGTCTCGTTGCATACGTTGCGTGTAGTAGTGATGCCATTGTCTTTCTTCATTGTCTGATGCTGTTCCGTCATGAAGAGCATCCATATCCACAAGAAATTCCGATAATGACAATTCTGCTGTGGACTTTAGCAGGGAAATACGATTATTCGCTTTTGTCTCTGTTTTTGGTGGAGGTAAATCTAGTAGGGGTTGAGATGAAATTGAATCCGAAACGTATGTCGTTGCAGATGTTGTAGAACTTGTTGTTGTGAATGAAGGATGGCCAGGTTGATCATTTACGAGTTTACAGACTTTTATGAGAGAAGAAACGACCACCCATTGAGTACTTGCAGATTCACTCTGAAGATTGTACACTGTAGCTTGGCTTTTAAAGTACAAATCAAAGTGAATCTCATCTACAATTTTAATTCCAAAATCGTGCTTTTTGATCAGTTGGAAATCTCTTATTCGGAACGTTTTGTTATCCATGGAATAGTCCAAAAACATGATGGCAACATTTGTTGGAACGTCCTTGTGGGCGATCAAGGCCATTAAAACTGGCTCACTTTCTTTCTTGGTAAAAACTGTTGTACTTTTTGATGCCGGCACACTCTTTTCCGAGGATGAGGCTTGTTTTCCTGATGACAACGAGGAGGAAGTACTATTAGAACTTGAGGAGGTTGTTGTTGTGTTTTTGCTGTTATTTCCCGTTGTCGTGCTTGAGGAATTTGTTGTTGTTGTTGAAGAGGATGGCATCAAACCTCCTGGTCCATGCCTCTTATAGACGTTAACCAGAAATTTCACCTGGTCATCCTGTTGCAGCACCGATTTCACAAACGCTGTTTTAATTTCCTGATGATGATGAGCCGCGTGGTTATTGTTTGTGTGTTGATTGTGAGAAGACGATGATGAGGAGGAGGAAGAAGATTGTGGTTGAGGCTGCTGCATTTTTCTTTTGCGTGAATATATGCGGATGGTCTCCTCTCATAAAAGTACGAGAGAGGCAGACAATGAAAGGATGGTGGTTGTTGTTGATTTTTCTGGTTTGGTATTATTGAATCCCTGTCGTCATGATACGGATAGCCCCTTGTTGTTATTATAGGTTCAACTGAAGCGCAATCAAAAGAAAAAAGAATTTGTTGGTTGTAAATAATAATGGACTGAATCGAAAAAATTAAAAAATGTTGAAACGAATTCTTCCTTCTTCGTCCTCTTCATCACCAAAATTCTTGTTGAAGAGGCTAGCCGTAACTGGCACGATTAGTTGTAATAGCAACAACAACAACATCATGGTGAATGGAGCAATGGCTTCCGTGCTGTTCAATAACAACAACAACAATCATTCTATGAAAAACTTTCATATATCATCCTTCATGACCGCAGCGGAAACAACACTATCAGGAAACAAACAAACCAAATACCACATCAACACTCACGTGGTTACTCCAAACAAGCACAAATTTCCACTCGTTAACCCTGAGAAAATTAACAAAATGGCTCTTGCCAAAGCACTCTCTGCCAATATTGCTACAGGTACCAAGAAAGTGATGGATGCCAGTAAGTCGGTCATTCCATCCTTTGAAATTCAACCAGAGGCAATGGTAAAAAGTTTAACAACAGGAGAATTTACTGAGATGATTAAACTTCATCCATACTTGTTTAATTGTACTCCAAGAAAGGACATTTTATATTTGATGGTCAAGTGGCAATTAGCAAAGAGAAGACAGGGTACTCACAAAACAAAACATCGTTTTGAAGTTGCCTTCACGAAGAAGAAAATGTCTCCACAAAAGGGTACCGGTAATGCCAGACATGGAGATCGTGCTGCTCCACAATTTAGAGGAGGTGGTCATGCTATGGCAATCCGTCCTCGTTCCTACGCTTATCATCTCAATAAGAAGGTTAGAAGACTTGCTTTGCGTATGGCCCTCACCACAAAATATCAACAAGGAAAGTTGATCATTGTTGACGATTTTTCAGTGGACACCTACAAGACCAAATACATTGCTGGTCTCATTAAGAATACATTTTTCCCAGATGCCGATTCTCATCCAAAGGAATTGAAAGATAGAGGAGTTTTATTAATTGATGGCGAGGAAAAAAACAAAAACTTTGAAAAGGGATCATTCATTTTACACTATGCAGATTATATTTCCGTAAATGGTTTGAATGTCTACGACATGCTAAGAAGAGAAAAACTTGTACTTTCCAAGAGCGCATTAGAAGCCCTTATGAAAAAGTATGACAAGTATATTAAGGCTGAATATTATTAAAACAATTTATTGGATTTTTTTCAATTTGAGAAGTTTACAATATTGCGTAAACACGGTCATTTCGACGACTAGCAAGCTTTTCTGATGTTTCAACATGGTGGATTAAGAGTGGCATCACGAGCGTTGATACATTTGACAGTTTCAAAAGAAGTCCTATCACAAGTGAGAGCTCTTAAAAGCTCATCGGTGTCTCCAATTAACATTGACATTAATTCAATAATATTAGTTCTGCTCTGTGGAAATCAAACGTGGTCTTTCTGAGGGTTCCTCAACATGATCGATCTTTCTTCTATTTACTGTTCGGAGAAAGACAATTCGCTTGAGATGGGATTGTTACAAGTGGTGGTCATCGAAATCGTTGTTGAACAAACGGACACGCTTTCAAAAGTGGAATAATTAAGTAGAGAATTACCATTTTAGATTGTTTAATCGGCAGGAATCAGTTAATAAGTTTCTTCCGGAATGCATCTCGAATAGAGGTACGAGTCCTCATGAGAGCACAAATCTCGTTGAATGGATATAATTGCCAACAAGTATCCTCACTTGTCCTCAATTTCCCATGACTACAAGTTTCCTAATGCTTCCACTGTTGTACTCTGTTTGCAAGAGTGGGTATTCATCAAAATTTTGAAACTGTCAAAGAAGTCATTATGTCAGGTGAATGAAATTTGTTTATTTTCTTCACATGCTGTTAAACGTACTAGTTTCATCATGATGAAACATGTTGTCATGATTCAGAATCTCTCAGAGAAACCATCGATGTCTCCCAGCTCCCTTCATGTTCCTTCTCAATAAAATCAATGACGACCCACACCCACCTGTCACTACTCAAAAGCACCAATCTCTCCACAAACAAGAACAACAATGGAAAGAAATTGGATGAATCTTCCATACCAAACATGACATGCAAGCAAAGACCTACATAATTGTGTGTCCTTATGCATTTACATCTTGTCCCACTTTTCATCTCATTCACTTTCCTGTCATTTTCCCTTCTCGGAAAGTTGATACAGTTCGCAACAACTCCAAACAATTTGTGGGAAAGCATTACTCAGAGTTGTTCTTTGTAAATCCACGCATTTGTCACATTTCCTGACTGTTCGATTACGAGCGGACAGTGTACCCTTCAAATGTCATATCGAAGCAGTCCGGATTAAAATCGACTCAGAAATTTGAAAGCACCACCGAATATTGCGAACACAAAAAATCACGGCAACAACTTTGAATCCCATTGCCCCTCATTCTGCGCCGCAGTTTTATCGCAATAACAACAACACCACACGAACCGTCGTTTTGATAAGTGATTTCAAGTGATTTTCTATCCTTTCCTGTTGTTGCTTTTTGGACAAATTTCATTCACTCAACTGCCAGTTGTCAGTTTTTGCTGATTTTTCACAGTGACCTTCCATGACCACCATTAACGACCCACGTCATCATCATCCACTCCTCTCTCATCAATTAGAATTGAATACAGAGTTATCATATGAATCTTCTGGTGCTATGGCCACAACCAAAGGTTTTGCATGCACCTCTTCACTTGGTGAATGTCCCTCTGCGATGACATTTGACAGCAAAATTAAAAAACAAAGAAAGACAGGTTCGACTAAAGTAGAGCAAGCCAAACACAAGAAAAAGAAACGTTCTCTAATTGAAGAAATTGTCAAGAACACACCTTCTGCAACAACTGCCACTTGTCATTCCCCTCACTTGTCATCCACGTCTTGCTCACCCTTAATCCATTCTCCCACTCGTCGACGATCTCCAACAAACTCATCCCTTGTCTCTTATCCACAACAACAAGTTTCTTCTTCCACCATGTTTATCGATTGTTCCAATTCCATTTCACATCAACAACAAAAGAATTTATGGACCTCTTCCATGCATGCATCATCAGAACAAGCATTGTTGTGTTCTGGAAATGCTCCTCTTGCTCTTTCAGAACACACAAGAGATCCCCACGATGAAGGTGGCGACATGTGTCAAGTGATTTTGACGAATTGGAAATCACGATCAGAGACAAGACAATGGATTAAAAAGTGCATTAATGAAACGACAACAACGACGAGTGATTCCTCCTCTCCTTTATTGATGAAGAAGAAACATCAAAAGAAGATACAACAACGATCTGACCTCTCTCGTGCCACAATGGATCCAAGTGAAAGAATCTTTCCTAATGGCCATCCGATTCGAATTATCACTCATTCTCCTCCAATGACAGCCACGACATGTACAGGAACAACAACAACTACAAGCAACTCGAGTAATTCCTCAAAGTCCAATTCGAGCTCGAATCAAAAACATGGTGTGTTGCCAACGTATGTTTACACGACTTGTCCATTGCCATTTCAAAAACAAAAAGTTCATTCAAGTCTTCATGAATCAGGAAGCACCAACAACCAAACGCAAATGTTGGCATTGCCCTCTAAAGATTATATTTCGAACGAACCATCTTCATCATGGAATCATCGCATTGAATCGTTTGATTGTTTTGGAGATAAGACTACTCTATCAGAAATTGTCTTTTCAAAACAAAATTCAGTGTCCTTGGATTTGAGGATGACGAGGATGGAAGATCAAATGCTGCCACAAGTAGCAGTACTGTCGACACCTCCTCCTCTACCACAACATCTTGATGCTTTGGATGGCTCCTTTCCATTAATGTTGCAACATTTCCCTCGAAAGGAATCTTTGGAGGATCAACATCGACCAATGATGTTGCCAAGTTTCAGAGAGTTTGTTTCAACATTGGGTTTGCAATGAAACTCTTTGAATGCTTTCGATTGGTGCTACATGTCGAATGGAAATTATTGGTTTCTTTCAAAGAAGATTTAGAATTGGTACTATCATTGAAATGAAGTACATATCGACAACAAGTTTTTAACTTTGAATAAAACATTCAACTCACAATTTTGAATCATCACAGCCGTGTTTGCAATCCCAATGAGACTTGGGCATTCAAAGATGGAAACCACACTGTGTGTTGAACCAATTTTCCTTGTGTGGATAGTTAAGGATTGCAACTTTGGATTCTTGAAAACCAAAAAATTACAATTTCTGCAATAAGAGATCGTCAAATAATTTAATGTACTTTTGCAAAATTCGCAAATGAAATGTCATGTGCGTGAATTGGGATGTTAAATCAAAATCTTGTTGAGTGAATAATTTCACTTCACCATCGCTCAGAAAAACACTGTTTGAAAATTTTACAAAGAATAACCCAAATCTGTGATAAGGTTAGCAATAGCAGCCATTTGTGGGCCTTGCTTGGTAGCATATTGAGAGGAGCTGTATCCGAACCAATCAAAACATCCTTGTGCATTCATTGGATTGAAATATGAGACAGCAACTTGTGGATACACAACAATAATGTTGTTCAATTCAGCATGTTTGTTGTAGCCAGCATTGGCAACATAGGAGGTACCAATAACACTAGCTCCTTGATTGCCTGTTTTTCAAACAATTTGGAATGAGAATGTACAATATCCATGTATGAGCAATTTGAGATTAGACAGTGAGTACTACTTACATCCGTGGAAAGCAATAGAGACTTTACATTGAGCACCTTGTTGACAAGCAGTAGGAATGTAAATGTAGCCATTGGAATCAAAAGAGCTAGCACTATATCTTCCACTTTGTTTGTAGGTGAACAAGTTTCCACTCACAGCACCTCCTCCAGTCTTAAAGTCAGGATAGACTTGTTTGAAAAAGTTACCAGCACCATCAACACCACAATTGTTAATGTAAGGAGAGCCCAAATATCCACACGAGTTTCCATAATCATTGGTGATCATGGAGTGTTGAGCTGGTGTGTTGAAATCGGTCACAATATTGGACTTGCTCACTCCAAAGTAGTTGGTATACTGATCGAGAAGCTTTGACATGACTCCAGGAGCAACCACCGAGTCCTATCATGTGTTCAAAGATGGTGCAGAGAAGTGTTCATAGTTGCGACAGAACAATATCGATGAAAAGTGAAGCAAATCAGTAAAATTTCACTGCCAAAATCATATCACCACATACCTGAGTACCAGAGAATAGGTAAATCTTGTGATTCTTCACGTTCGATGAAGGATCAATCAAACCTTGCTTCTCGTACGATGACACAGTGCCGGAAATGGAGCTGAGAGAAATACTTCCTGGTGACTTCATACAAGCCATGAGAGCATTCAACAATTGACCTTGAGCGCACTATTAGGAGAGTGGAAAACCACCAACAAATTTCGCGAAAAACCCACAAGTCATAATCAACATGGAATCATGGACACAAATATTCGCGTTTTCGGTCAATTTTGAAATTCGTCGTCATCACACAAATTAAAAAGCAGCGAATTAGTGTGATAGGCGACCATCATGATCACCATCATATAAACAAAAGTAAGCCGTTATCATGAGGTATTATATGAGAGAGTGAAAATGAATGATCGTTCAGGATGGTTCATGGTGAGGTCGTGGACGCGTCATTGCGATGATGAGATGAAAAATATTTTATGGGTATTATTCATCGGGTCATCAGGGATGGGATCAAATAGTACGGTGATGAGTGTGGGCGTTACATAAAAAGGTTTTCACAGAATTCATTGAAATTCAAACAACAATTACAGCACACGCACACACTTACATCATAGGGACCTCCAGCAACAATACCACTTCCCTTTACAGACTTGGAAAAGGCCACTTGAAATTGAACTGCCATAAATCCTCCAGCAGAAATTCCTGATACACTCAATGAGCCAGGTTCAATATTGTATCGCTTGATATCAATCTGTTCCTGTGCGAGAACGGCACAAGAAGAAGAAGAGGCATTGAATACGACGCACCACACAGCCACAAGAACAACAACGGCCAACGCGAGAAGCTTCATTTTTTGAGGATGCATTCATTGGTGGAGAAAAATCGCGCATTCCAGGAGCAGCTCCTGTGGTTCAGGAGTTGAGATTACAATAATGGGCTCACCAATTCAATCGTACTTTTGGAAGCCCTAAAATGTGTGTACTCTGTGGATCAGAATGAATCAGTAATGAATATTCGCTATTTATTATCATACATTTATCTTCTGTTGAACGGTTTTCAATATCACCCATTTGATCTTTAACTATTTACACTCGTAGTGGAATGATTTTTTGTCTCAGCGACCGAGAAATCGCGACTTGATCAAGCGCTGAGACAAAAATCGTTCGCATTTGACAACCACAAAAAACATCATTTCAAGCCAAACCGAACATTCTTATGGTCACCTCCTTCACACGAAGGAAGACCAATCCAGCCTCGAGATAACGAATATTTGACCAACTCACCCAACGAACAAGACAACGAGTTTATGAAACTCGATTTGGTGTATCTCGAATTTTTTCGAGGTCTTTTTATAATCTTGAGATTCTTGAAGATCGAACTAGAACATGACGAATCATCGCACAACAATAATTTGGTTTTTAACAAAAAATTACCTTACCTTCGTTTCCTTGAAAAGATTCCTTGTGAGGTTTTTATTGTTGTTGTTGATATTGTTGAACATTTAGTTGTTGTGGAAGTAGTCGTATCTAAGCAGTCAGTAGTGCATCTTCTTCTTGAGATTCTTCTTATCATGAGTACAAGCGATTCAGGTACCAGCAGTACCTCATCAACGTCTTCTCGGTTTTCATTGGCCTCTCAAATTAAGGAACAGGTCATCTCTCGGATCGTTCAGCTTCGCCGTTCAAAGCCTCTGAATTCTTGGCGAGCACTGATCCTCACGAATATTGTGGAGATTTACTTTTACTATTGCGTATTGCTGCTTCCGACCATTCGGGATTATCCTTGGGGAACCATAGGGAATTATGTGTTTCTTGTTTTGAATTTTCCGAGCACGCTACTGTTGCATTGGCTTTCCTATTCGCAATCCTTGATTGCCTCGATCGTGATCATGAGCATGGTTGGACTCTCACTCGTTCTATTGACCTTTACCTTATTCATCTATTCAACTAGCAGCAGGAAATGGCGGTCAAAAGTTCGACAACTGCTTTTTGCATTCATGTATCTGTGCAAAATGTTTCATATTGTCATGCTGTTTGTTTGGGTGGGTTATTTTGATTGTAGCTTGGTGAGCGTGTTGCCTTACTCAACAACGAAAGTTCTCCACCGTTTCAAGACACCCCAAATAGCATGTCTTGACTCTACAAACACTACCATGATTGGACTTGTTATTTTCTTTATCTGTACTCTCTATGTATTGATAGTCATTGCAGAAGTGGTGACATTTGACACTCATGCACTAAGCAACAGAAATTTATTTTCAAATTCAAGCTTGACTTTCCCCATATTCATACGAACGATGGCATTTGTGAGCGTCATACAAATGTTTGCAATTCCACAAAGTTATGCGTTCATTTCGGCAATTACTAACATGTTAATCTCAATGGCATCAATAGCTTTACTATTTAGGACTCTTCCATTTAATAAGCGATGGATGAATTCAGTGTTTTTTGGATGGGCTTGGGGGCAGTGCGGAGCAAGCATTGGTTCTCTAGTTACATCTCTTTCTAATTCTGGCAATGAACAAGAATTAGGAATTGGATTGGCCATCTTGACAGTTGCATTAATTATAATTGGAGTAGTTTTTGGTGTGTTATCCATGGAGCTCTATACTCGATGGTTATTGAATGACCTCATCAAGCGAATAGCGAAGCAAGCATTAAGCATTGATGGAGTCGAAGAAGCTTTATCAAACACAAACGAAACAAAAATACTACCGCGCCATGCTCTAACAGAGGCCGTTTTTTGCATTTATCAACAAATGAGCAAGAATCAAAATTTCAAAGCTTTATGCTTGCTGTTTAAGTGCTCTCTTCAGGATTTTCAAAAAGAGCTAATCGTTGATCATGTCAGGTAAGTTGAATTCTTGTCGTGACACCGGATCAAGGTACATCAAAGTCGTGACTTCATTCAATTTAATGATTCAAAGATGCCTTTTCTCTGATGTCGCTTTTTCATTCGCGAAAGCCACTCTCCAATACAAATCGGAGGAGTCAAATGTTATAATTGGAGCTTCTGAAACGTTTGCCTTCGCCAAGACCGACTCTAACACGCACACCCTTAGTGTGGAGCTTCTCATGAAATTACAAAGATCAACCTTCAATTTTGCGACAATTCTTGCTTGTGCTATCAAGATCAAGGAGGTGCAATCAATTTCCGATTCTTCTCATCATGATTCAGCTGCCTCCAAAAATTATACCAGCGTTCAAATCATCAAAAGAAATCGAGAACCATTATTATCCTTATATAGAGATTTTTGGAAAGAAATGCTAAATGATCCAATAAGCATTTCCACACTCATGAAAATTTCAAAAAAGGTCAATGACTTGGTCGAAGAAAGCCAAGCCATATTTAATCAACTACTACGACACAAAACAAAATCAACGTTGCAGCTCTACGCCTCGTTTGTTGAGCTTATTTATTTCGATAAGGAACTGGCCAATACTTTATACCAGGAAGCGAACTCTATTGAAGATCATCGAACTCCAAAACCTATTTTTCAGTCTGTCAAATACGCCAAACCTAATAAGATCATTCCTTCAGAGAGCCAAGAACAGGTATCAATCCATGAAGATGATGGAGCATCCCACATCTTCGAGGAATGCCCTAGCGAAACAGCTCGTCCTGAGCTGAAGAAAGACTTTCTTTTTAGGAACGGTTTAAAAACTCCACGCTCAAACAGCTTGCTTCGAACTTTGTTTATAATTTATGTCCTCTTGGGTGTAGGTCTAATATCGGGCAGCATTGTAATGTCTGGATACCAATTCACTTTTATCAAGAGTAGCATTATGGAGCTGAGGACCATTTGCACTCCGCAACTCGTCCCTGTTTCCGTGATTCGTAATTTGAGAAGCTTCCAAAACTGGGTAAGTTAATCGTTTTCCTTTTTTTTTCTTTCAGAGGATGGGAACAAGGTTATGATACTCAACGATTTTTCTAAATAGCTTGCCTTGTTTGTTATTGATGACCATCAGTGGCCAGATTACAGAGATGGATACAAATTTATTCAAAAAATGGTAGGTTATTGCAACTGATGAAGAAAAGGACTTTAAAGGTTGTAGGATTTTATTGATGAGCATTTACAACTTTTGAAGGAAGATTTACAAATATTGCACGATCTAATCAAACTAGGACAAGAGGTTGTTTTTGATGCAGGTACGTGACATGTCAAAGAAGATATTTCAATATCACTATTGAATCATAAAAATCCATTTAGCGACGTATACTGAGGTAAGCAAGCCTAAATTTTGCTTCATTTTATTCAAACAAAATACTTGAACAAAAATAGTATGGAAAAAAATTATATACCCTTAATATTCCTAGTGTGTACTCTGTAAATGGAACTGATCATTGGAAGAGAAATCAATATACAGGAACTCCTAGTTTAAGAAATGCACCCATTGTTGAAATTACAAACTCTTTAATTCGATACATTGAACTGGTTCGTGCTGAATTCCCTGAACAATGTGTGACCTATGTCAATCAATCTTCACTAACTTTACAAGTTCAACAGCAGCTTAAAGCAATTATCGCAAACTCCACATATATGAATCCAGTTAACAATTATAATTTTATGTTTCTATGGTTGAATTCAAAAAACACAGACAAAATTTATGAAACATTTTGCAATAATTATATTGAGAAACTACGAAATCTTACACAGGATCTGATATTACAGTCACAATATTACTTTATTGCGTCGTTATGCATTTATTTGATCGTATCACTGTTGTTTATTGTTTACATACAGTATGAGCTGTCATTTGTACCAAGATTGATGAAAGTGTTGAACAAACATTTGCAGAAAGACATTGTTGGAAAAATATATCAATCGTAAGTTGATCAAACTAAACACTATGATTTCATACAACCGTTGTAGTGTGTCACAAAAAACATACGTCGAAACATCCTTAGAAAGAGCTGTGACGTCCAAAGCAATGTCCTCTAATATCATGTTAGTTCTTGTTGTTGCATGCATAGGCTTTCTAGTACCATTTTGTATTGGAATGTTTTTTTTTGAGGCCAGACTGAATGCAAAATCTGCTGTAAGTATATTCTTCATGTTGATCATTACAAATAGCTACTCCTTTTCTAATAGCTATTCACCTTCACCAATGTTGGGTTGAGTGCGAACATTATTGGTTATATACAACAATCAAGCTTTTTAATGACCGAGATGCTGACTTACTACGCATTAGGAAGAGAGAGTTTCAGATCAGAAACTACCACTCAAATAGGTACATTTTATGGACATCCATACTTCAAGAATCATGACTTCCAAACACTGTACTCGACTGTTCTTTTATCCTCTAATAATTTATCAGAAAATTGGAATGAACTTATTTATGGAGATGTCAATAAGGTAAATTTTCTTAATTTGATTTCTCGAGTTGAGGATCACATTGTATAACGAAATATTTTCACAATGTTATGTTCATTTAATATCTGACCTGTTTAAAAAAGCCTGACGGTAAGTTTGTTAACTGATGAAATATTTTTGGTGACTTAAATTTTCAAAACAGACGACCCAGTGATAGGCCTTTATTCAGATCTTGACCAATTATTGAAAGGTCAAGGCAATTGTTCTAGCTATTTAGAGCAATACAACATTGAAATGAACGCTCAAAATGTACTTGAATACTGTTTAGGTAAGTTTATTAGAGAGTAGAAACATGTGTGCAAAAAGGAAACTTTTTTCTATTGATGTTTCTCATTATTGCACATTTTACCCACTTACAGGTATTGAAAAGGTGGTAACAGATTATTTAACTCAAATAACTCAAATTAGCGAAGCCACAAGGGACTTTCTTTTGTTTGAAACCAATACAACCTCTACCTCTGTGGACTTGAATTTATACATGCGCCACAATGATTTGTTTCGTCTCACTATTCCAATGAACAGGAAACTTCAAGTTTACATGCAAAATTTTGTAAGATCTAGCGTTGAATTGCACGATTCAATCTTAGTTTCATTAAGCGTGATTGGATTTATATTATTGGTAGGATGTAGTGTTTTGTTACAGAAAATGATTACAAATCACTCCAATATTCTTCAAAAAACAAGAATGATGCTTAATCATGTTCCTGTTGATGTGTTAGATAGAGATGACGTTTTAAGAAATTTAGCACTATATAATGCATACCCAAATATTATAACAGAGAAGATCAAATCAACAACTTTGAATAATTTATCTGCTTCTACTACAGCATCAAGCATTTCTAATTTAATAAGCTCACATGTATATGGTACTATAATACTTAATTCAAAGGGAGAGATTGAAATCTTTAACTCAGCTGCTCATAGGTAAGGGTTTTAAAAATTGTGATTGAAAAATCATTCATTCAATACCTATTATCATGTCAACAGGTGTTTTGGTTCGAAACCCGTCGACGTTTTAGGACTTCAGTTTTATAAGCTTATTGATCCGATCTCTGAAGAAAAGGTAAAAAAGACGATAGATTCCATTTATTCGAGCGCTGTTAAATCTGAAAAAGCAGGAGACTCTTCGACATCAACTTTGAACGAGACTCTTGAGAATGTACAGTGTATTCGAGTGAACCTGACAAAATTTCCGGCCTGTTTGTCAATTTTTTCGACAAAATTTGTCGATAAGGGTATTGTGATTGTAATTGTTATCAGAGATATTACTTCAGAGTTAAAACAACAAATATTATTAGCAGAAGAAAAGAAAACATCTGAAAATCTCTTGAAAAACATTTTGCCTGACGCGGTCGCCAATCGGTTAAAGAAAGGGGAGACCTTTATTTGTGAGAAATTCTCTGACATTACTTGCTTTTTCAGTGACATGGTGGGATTTACAAAAATTAGTAGCAAAATGATTGCCACTGATTTGGTAATAATGCTTAATTTTATTGTCAATGGATTTGATGCTCTCACTGAAAAGTATAACATTGAGAAAATCAAAACGATTGGAGATGCTTATTTTTGTGTTGCAGGCTTGCATGGGGACTCATCTGATCATCCAGGTATGTTATTATTGGATTTCCATTTTGCATCATCATGCTTTGTAATTTCAACCAATATTGACAATGAATATTACTTTACAATTTCATTTATTAATTCAGAACGAATGCTTCGCATGGCTATAGAAACATTCCATGTTGTGCAGCAATTTAATCAAGGACAATCACAAATTGGCCAACCTCTCGATTTAATCAATATTCGAATTGGTTTAAATAACGGTGGAGTGATCGCAGGTGTTATAGGTAAGCTTGCAACCATGCACTTTTATTCTTGCTAATCGAACATTTTCCAATATGGTCTTCCAAATCTACACACATTATAGGAACAAAGAAGTTTGCTTATGGTATGTGTTCATGTCATTTCACTATTTAATTCACAATTTGTGTTTGGTTTGGATGTGAACTATTGCTAATATTGTTTTCCATTTCTATTCAAATTTATGTGAATTGCTAATATTAATATTGTTTTCGTACGTATTGACTTCATAGATCTTTGGGGAGATACTATTAATGTTGCTTCACGGATGGAATCCACATCACTACCAGGAAGAATTCAGGTTTGTATTGTTAAGAATTGAGCTTGTTTCGATTACCTTATACACGAATCATCAACTATTCACACAATGATCATTCGTACTCCAATCTGACTTGAATCCACAGGTATCAAGGTCAACCTATGAGAGGATTTATGATCTTGGCTTTGATTTTGAAGAGAGACAAATCGAAGTGAAAGGAAAAGGAATGACACAGTGCTATTTGTTGCATCAGTCTCATCATGTGGACCCATTGACACCCTTAAAAACTCACGTTTTTGTAGAGATGGACGAAGATTCTAGTCCTGCAACGACATCGATGAACAATGCTCCCATATCGCTCATTGCAACTTCGATGGAGGACAATTAATAACTTCGATGGAGGACATTTAATAGACACTGAACCTTGATTCAAATCAATCCAACAACGACCTTCCTTGCAAGGAATGGCTGTTCTTGAAGGTCTTCTGAAGGTTGGAAAGGGTTCTTCAATCCGGAATTTTTTCACGGGTGGCCAACTCCAGCGAATTTTTTTGTGAACACACAAAGCTACGAGAAAACTTTTCGCTGCAAATTTTAATAAAACAACGATCATAGGATGATTTTATGATGTTTCAATCCATCAAAACTTGCCAATTCAATTTATTGTTGCTGACACATGAAGGAAACACCACATCACTAATGGTGTCTCAAAACGATGAATTAAAAATTTGTCACGTCCATGGAGGACTGAAATTGTGACTGAGTAGAAGATGAACATTCCCGCTCATCGCAATCACATGATCGACACCATCTCCCTCTCAAACAGTCATTACACACTTTCAAACCACAATCCTTACATGGGGTTAACGATAAACATGATTTGTGACATGAATTGCATAGAAATGTTGGCATGTTTGGATGGCAGGTCTTACAACGGCCATCATAGTAACATTTATAACATGCTGAATTTTGACATTGAGTACATTTAGAAACAGCATTGGTTAATCTGCGACAACAGTTGCAATTAATAATTATGCATATGGAACAGCGTTGACATTCCCCAAAATAGGAACATTTCTCGCGTTTTGTCGAGATTACCATAAAACTTAATAAGCAATCCAATAGCATCATAAAATGCACAATGTGAATTGTTGACATAATCGATGTTAAAATGTTCAATCAATACATCCTCAGCAAAAACTAGTTTATTTTTCCCTGTCTTTGTCGTTTTACGAGGAAGACAATTATGTAAAGTCGACTCTGATTTCATTAATTGGAGAGAATCAACAAAAACAATATTGTCATAATTAAATTCAGGAGACTTTCCGAAAAATTCTTTTGCAAAAACTTTGAAGTCTAAACAGTCGCCATTGTGAGCTATTAAATAAGTTTTCCCTTGAGAGTTATTACTTTAAAATTGAATAATATCGTTCACATGACTTTCAATAGGTAGTTTTGATCTCAAATTGTTCAAATTCAATCCAGTTATTCCTTGTGCTTGGCTAGAAATGGCTTTACCAGGATTAACTAAGCCATACAAAACAACTCCAGCCAAAACAATATTCTGTAATTTTTGGTCACTTTTCCAGTGCTTTTCATCACACATAACCCTCCTCTAATTTCTATTTCATCATATGAAATTATGATCTTGTTACTAATATTATTCATTGCCATGGCTTTAACAACATCTTTCAAATCATTGTCAGCAAGTTTTCCAAAAGACAAGTCGGGAAGATAGCTCTTAATTGTTGAGATAGATGGAAGCAATAAATTAAGCTTATCCAATGCGTTTTCGGATGTTATAATGTCGCCAGTAGAATTTCCTTTCAAGACATTCCACAAACGAGAGCCACCATAAAATCGAAGTAATAAACACCAATGAATAATACACTCTCAATTAATTCTTCGAATTTCTTAATTTTAGTATCTCGTCGAGAAATTTTTGCTTTCAATGATTTGATGACATTTTTGTATTCTTGTGTCTTGGCAGCAAGGTGATTCATTTTGGTGTTTTGATTTTCAATCGTTCGCTGATAATGACGTAATTTTGTGTCATAACATTCATAACATTTTTCACAAACTCCATATTTGTTGAGATTGCAATTATTACAGTCGATGCTAAAAAACTAAATTCACCATGGTGATTGAAATTCACCTTTCCGAAGGTATGGTTATTGTGTAATATGGTCCCAGATGTCGTCAGTAAATAGCTCACTTTTTCGAAAGAAATGCCTTTACACCGAGTGTTATCTTCTTTGCAATTACTACAGCACTTGTTGTCGGAATGTTTGCATTGACCGAAATTATCGGGAACGATTGAGATGATATCTTTCACTCCTTTTGGTTGTTTTTGAATTGCGATGATAACAGGGTTGATGATGTGACGGGTGTTTTTGAAATTGTTGATATTGTTGTAATGTGTGTTGCATAGCAAAAGTGTATCATTTGACTTCTCTGTTCCGCTTATGGTGATGTTTGTTGGCATGGAGTGTGAAGCCTTTTATGAAGCAAATACAGCAACGTTTGGTTTTCAATTCATATTTGAGTATTACTATGTCTATTATTCAAGGATTTCAAGTTGCCTGTTTAACCTTTCTTCGCGCTTTCCCTTTAATTCAATCAAGTTCAATGACCCCTTTTTTAATCTGCAGGTTTTTATTATATATTAGGCCTCACAGCACCAAACTGAAGAATATGAAACTAAATGGAATGAAACCACTACCATATGAAAATCATGATTTCAGCGTGCTTAATTGTAGAACAATTCAACTCTGGATCGATTTCTCAAGAATGGTCGGTTTCTATTTTTAAACTTTAAAAAAATGTTCTTTTCCAAAGAACTATCAAATATTATTTTTCCTTTGTTTCCCATATCAAAGCATCATTCTTCCACAAAAGGAGTTAATATAAATCTCATGAAACCTTAATCTCACAAATGGTCAAGATCCCATTAGTTCATTGAGATCTTTTCATTGAGATTCGGTTGGAAAACAATGAATCTATATTTCTCGAAAGCAAAAGAAGACTTCCTTTCTATTTTTAAACTTTAATAAAATAATCAACTCTCTCCAACGAACAAACAAAACGGAATAGTATCAAGAAATGGTTCCCCACAAACAGAGAAAGCAAAGAGAACGTGCGATGGATGAGAATGATGAAGAGAGAGTGGAAGAGGCTCTTCCTCTTGGAAATTCTGAATTCAAAATAAAATATGATTCCGATGATGAGAAAGAAGAAGAAAGTGAACCAAAGTTGTATGAAGAGAAGAAAGCAAAAAAACCAAAACAAAGCAACTCAAACTCGGATGAATGTATCAAAACCTCATCATCTTCAATTATGGAGGACGAAGAGGAAGAGGAGGAGGAGAAATCATCAAATCCATCTTTATCAGGTGTTGCTTCATCATCAGGTATTACATCACCACCACAATCAACACAACCAACCGCTCCTACTCAACAACAAGCGTCCATAGTGGTTCTTTCATTCAAAAATTACAAGAAATGGACAAAGAAGTTGCTTCTTTGTTGATTTTGGATGATGGTGGAGCCTCATTGGACAGGGATGGTGTACAATCTCTCTATGACGCTCGTTTCAAAGGAACCTCTCTGGATAACATTGTTCAGGATATCAAGAGGCCTCTTGATATCCACGATGTAGATTTTGCAATTAAAGCCATGACTCAAAGCAAAGACTTTTCTCATGTTTCTGAAAGTACTTGCAAGAGCGTGGTAAATTGGGTGAACAATACTTTGATGCCCAAACTTTTTGATCTGTGGAACAAAGATCAAACAAAGGATGCATTGCGCCAACCAGAATTAAATGGTGGGGCTGGATTGAGAGATGATCAAACTAAACCTTTATATGATGCGAATTTTGATGGAAAATCTCTCTCAAAAATTGTCTTTGAGTTCGAGAAGGCTCAACAAAGTGGAAATGAACAGACTCTCAATGATATCATGGAAGAAGTATTTAAAAATGACAAGGATGCTCGTGACAAGGTGAAGAATTGGATAAAAAACGAGTTGATAGAAAAAAACAAGATAGAAGTGCCGTTATTCGACTCTGAAGAACAGACAATATTTCCCCTTACCTCTCTTGGTACAAAAATATTCACGGTTATTAATTCACAACGGGACCTTTTACAACTTATACAAGCCCATATTGGTGTTACCACTAATTGAACACTGAAACCTGACGTTTTAAATGCTTCAAAAACATTACTCAGCTCTTTTGGATACGATTTTGAGTTTGTTGATAGGGAGAACAGTGTTCAGGTAATTTTGAAAGAATTTGAAACATATGCTAATTTTTATGAACGAAATGAGAAGTTGGAAAAATGGAATATTGTACTCCCTTTTATTGCAGCAGCTCCTGGAGTTGGTAAATCAAAGCTACTTAAGGAAGTTGGGTTAAAGTTATTCAAAGAACACTTTAGAAAAGACACGTTATGTTTTCCTCTCTTTGTTTCTTATGGAAATGGTACAAAATTTGATCCTGAAAATGAAAAGAAATCAGTTGAATCGTTGTTAAAAAGAATGGTATTATCCTTTATATGCTCTTGTACTTATGAAAACCACGCAATGATTTTTCAAAATATCAAAAATGTCACATTTGACAGCATTACAATAGCAGATGTATTGAATTGCATTACTTATTTATTGGGAAACCAAAAGATAGACTTTTTTCTTGCTATTGATGAAGCCCATGAAGCCGATACTAATATTAATAACAAATGGAATCAACTGAGAATGATTATGTCTGCAATTGGACAATATATGCAACTCAAGCAATTGAAATTATATCCTGTATTTGCTGGCACATATCATACAGTCATCGAAGAGAATTTAAAAAGCACTTACTCTCCTCAATTTGTTCCAATTAACGCATTGCTTTCTTATAACAACTTGGCCAAAATATTTGATCATTTAGCCGGTAATGAAAAATATAAGGACAAGATGAAATCATGGAGAACTAATGCCGAGTTTAGACATTACGTTAGACTGTTCGCAGGATTTCCAAGAGGAATTGAATATTTCCTTTATAATTATCTTACTAGAGACTGTACAATTAGAGAAGCATGGGAAAGTGCAAGAGCTGAATTGGGAAGAAAATATAAGATTGCGATACCTATGAAAGATGCACTTTTAATCTTAGCATTAATTTTCACAAGAAGAGAAGTGAATAAGAGCATGTTAGTTGGATCGGTAACATTGTCCTATCTGGAAGACAAAGGTTATATTATGATCAACGAGGAAAAAGATGGATGTTTTAGAATAGTATATCCTCCCATTTTAATGTCTTCCATGATATACGATTCATATTGGAGAGGAATTTTTGAGGAACTGTTTTTTGTGATGCCATCAATCAAACTTTACGGGCTTAATTGGGAAGATGTTGTACAAAAATACCTCTTTTTGAAGTTGACATTTATTTCTCAATCACAGGATAGAATTGAAGGTTCATTCACATTTAAGGATTTATTTCCATTCGCAAAAATGAATCACAATACTTTTAATCTCGCTTTGAAGCCGATACCTAAGAACGTCTATTTAGATCAATCAAGAAAACAAATCCAAGATGAAATCTCTTCATTAGAATTGGGTAGCCTTTCATTGAAAATGAATTCTATTACCGACTGCTATATAGTCAAAAATTCCACCGCAGCTCAAGCAGGAGATATTATTATATTTGGTTTGCAACTTAGAAATGAAGACTTGTTACTCATTCATGTTCAATGTAAATGGTCAGACTCTGCCAAAACCTCAGAATCATATGAATCATTGATGAACGAACAGGAAAAGAATGACAAATGTTCAATATTGGACAAAAAAGTAAGAAATATTACGGTAATAATAACTGGAAAACCAATTTCAAATCTACCAGACGATAATGATTTGCCAGATGATATGATAATTATTTGCAAAGACAACTTTTCAGAATATTTTGGAACATTTTCTGACAGCATGAAATTTCTTTGCGCCAAACATATACTGCATATTAATGAATGCACTTTAAATGATTTGCAAAGTTTCCTGGCATTGGAGAAACAATAGCTCAGTATATCATTGACATTCGTGGCAATAATGGTTTCGTAGATTTTACGGACATGGAAACCAAAATACTCAACTCTAAAATCAAAACAAAAAACAAAATCATTCAGATACTGAAGAACATAGAAATCATGTTTTAAAATATACGTTGATTTGGGATTTATTGCCAAACAATTCACACCATTAAAGTATCCCATTCTGGGTAATATATTTCAAACTCCTATTCAATGAAAAATATTTTCTGCCTTTTCGTTGATAATTCTATTGACATTGTCGCCATGTAATTATTGATGACCTTAATATTGTCACGGGTTCACCGAGATTAACAATGTAAATTGTTTCGTTGTAAAGGATAATTCAAAAAAGATTAAAGAGATGAAGTGCCCTCAAAAAAAGGAAATTAAAAAAGGCTACAGCACTGCAGGTTCCCAAGTTGTCTCCAACCTCAATACTGATGCAGCTCGACGATGCTTAACTTCTCAAATCGGACGGGATGAGGTGCATTCATCGTGATATGGCCGTAGCCATTCTTGATCTTAAATTGCTTCTTTTCATTACTCTCTCGGACATAAAACAACGCTTTAGATTGGTCATTATTTCTCTCTATTGTGTCATTCTCGCAGGAATGACCAAGCCTTTCAGAATATGGCAAATTTTGTCTATTCATTCCAATTCTTTCCAACAATTTCTTTCATTTATAAAAAGAATCACAAAAAAAATTGAACCCAAAAATTCATTATTCACCTTAGGAATCCGGATCATGGTTGCGATCCTCTCTTGTCACAGCATTACATTGGTAGTGGTTTCACATTAGCGTCGTAAGACTCCCACCTGCCCTTTGTAGGCTTATGATAGATACCCTCCAACCGGTGTCGTAGGTTCGTTAATGAGATCTATGATGTAGGGTGGAGTTATTGCCCTGCCGTATTTCAGTGAATAGCACGGACCACCCCCAGAATTCCCATAACAGGTTCATCTCAACACTGAGTTCATAGAGTAGGCACGCAAATCCCTAAGCTATATAGATTCAAATCACAGGTCCCATAGACCTTCGTTGAATCTAGAAACATCTCCGAATCCTATATGTGTATCATGACGCTGCTAGTTCATTCAGGCTCCCCGACGATTGTTCATTACTCGCCACCCCCACCATAGCCCGTACATCGTCAATACCGAGAATCTACCTTTACCCCGCAGGAAGGCTGTCGAGCCTATGACCACCATCATTGATGGTTTCTTTAATAGTATCTCGACTCGATTCATTTGCAAGACAGTTGCGGCTTGCCATAATATCGATCACCCTGTGGTAGCTTTTTTATTGGAGAACAAACATTGTCTACCATCAGACGTGAAATATGAAATTGATATTAAAAGACACGGTAATTGGAAGAGCAATTCTGTACCAGACAGATATCAAGCAGTCAATGCAAACACAGCAACCAAAACTGCCCTCAAAATTGGTGAAAAACTTGTTGAAACAACAAACATCCAACAAAAGCAAAAGAATCAATTTGAAAATATAGAAATTAATCCATGCAAAATGTTCACAAATTGTATGTTTAACAATTGCACAATAAACTTTTAATTCACTGCAAAATCATATTTTAGCCTTTTTGGATTTTTTAATGGAGGATCTGCGTCTCCTGGAAAACGCTATTTGCAACTCAGTTAAGGCTGTTCCACACTCAGTTGAGGCTGTTCCACTTTGTGACCGACTTGATCTTCGGGCCTCCTCTCACGATCACCCATCGCATATGAGCAATGCGCAGCACTTCAGTTTTGCTTTTGGTTTTGATTCTAATTCGTTCTTTGCAAGATTTAAATATCTTGATCCCTGAACTTATTTTCTATTCTGATACGAACACTAGAGAAGATTTTTCGTAATGATGGTTCATCTGGAGGAGTAATCACATGAGGAAGCCCATTAAAACCACTATCGCCAAAAATGAATTCAGATGCGCATCCATTTCACTCAACCATTCAGAAGAGGTTAGTTTAAACAATTCATTATCATTAACTCTTCCTGGAAAACAAGGTGAAAGATATCCAATGTGGCCAGAATGAGTCATTGCCATCAAAATTGTGACGCTATGTTGGTTTTTTTGCAGAATAGAATTCAAAATCCAAAATTGCGGAATCACAACAAAATGCAGATTGTTCTGATCCGTCTATTATTATGGTAATCAAATGTTTAAAATATTCTTCACTATTATCCATTCTGAACTGCAAAGTTTGCATACATATATAGCCTTTCAGCTCAATATACAGCCAATCAAGAATTCTAATTCTTATAGAGGTTATTGTTCGTTTTTCAATTTGAAAAACGCAACTCAAAAATTGGTCTGTACAATATTGCCGCAAATGTACAAGCGTTATCATAATTTCATCTTCCACTGAAATTTCTATTGGTCTACCTAATGTATTGAATCGCGCTTGCTTTCTCAATTGGATTAACTGATGAAAACCTTCTTGACATATTCCTGTAATTTTATGAATTACGTTGCAACGAATGACATATTGTGTAAAATTACCTGATATGTTGAAAATATTGAAGAAAATTCGAAATATTTGAGAAATTTATTTTTTGATCAACTTGGAGTAGTATGGTTTTCAATTATTTCATTCTCATCGTCATCAGTTTCACTTTCGTCAATAATTTGATCTTTGATTCTTTTTTGGGATGATCTATTAGATTTAGGATTAATTTTTTTCTTTTTTCCTGATTTATGAGAGCACTAATGACGAACTAAGTATTGATTAGATGGGAATCCTTACAGAAAAATATATTAGTCTCGGTTTGACCTTTTTTTTCCTTAATATAAAGAGTTCCCTTACAATTCTCACCACACACAGAAGCAGAGTCAACATTTTTACAACCACTACACATAACGTCTTGGATAACATTCTCTTCATCAGATTCACCATCAAGAATTGATTGCTTTGAATCATTGGTTGAAATGATTTCATTATTGAGTTTGTCAATCATTTCAGCCAATACTTTGTTCTCAATATTATCTAGAGCATGAGATTTCTTGCATAATATTATTGTTCGATATTTTCAGACGTATATTTTGGGGAATCCTTTGGCAGCTGACCGTACATTGCAACAAATGCATTCTTTACCGCTAAGTTTATTAGGATGAAGTTGTGGAGAGACATCTTCGCTGGAAGTACTTGATTGCGTTTGAGATATCGATTCCAATGTTACTGGAGCCGTTAGAGACTTTCTCTTACTGACAGTGGTTGCATTTTGTATTTTGTGTAGATGATCACCGTCATGTGTCTTTGTTCCTTTACATGTCAAACATGTGCACAAAGGAACCTCTTCATTGGCAACACATGACTGATGATAGCATTTGGGTATGTGATGATTGAACGCAAAAGCATCAATGTTGGTTTTGCAAAAAGGACAAATCGTCTCCATGTTTTGCTTCTGTTTTTTTGTTTTTTCCGTTTGTTTCCCAAGTTTTTTTTAATTTCAGCATAAACTTTCGGAATTTTGCAAAATGATTGGAATTACTCGGAAAGAAGCTGAAACGTTCGGAAAGCAAGGGAAAGATTCGAATTTTCTGGGACTTTCTGGTGATTTTTGCATTTTCCTTCGTATTTATTTCCCTGGTCTCGAGCATTAAGATTTGAGAAGGTAAAAAAACTCCAAAAACCGCTCAGCGGAAAAAAAGGAGAATACCAAAGAAACTGTGAAGACAGATATGAAGAGTGAGTGATGTGAAGAAATTGTTTGATAAATCCATGACAATTGTTATAACCAGATGAATTAAATTAGTGAAAAATATAATAATAAAAATTTATGGTTAGCTCAATAAAATCCTAGTCGAAAGGATTTGATCAAGGTGGACCTGTACTGTCACAACGTTCTTCCTTACTGTTATATACGAATAAAATCCGTATGATTTCTTGAACGGTTAAAATTAGTCGAATAAGAGTAAACAAATTTAACCTCTTACAGAACCCTAATTTGCTGCCTACATTAGAAAGGTTGGTAGCTCAGGCACAAAATGGGCAACCTCTTCCTGCAGGTGTTGTTGTTCAACATTCTTCTGGTCAAAACGAACAACCAGCTGGTATTCATGTCCAATCCAACAGTAGTCAAGATCCACAGCCATCTAATGCTATCCAATCCAACACCGTTGAATCCTCTTCATCTAGTAATGCTGTTGGAACAAATATTTCACCAATTACTACTGCATCCAAATTTGGAGTAGGTCCTCTGCCTCTTCTGATATTATTGAAGTCATTCTAAAACCTGAGCAACAGGTTTGGGACTTTCCTTTTGAAGGCGTATCTGATGAATGAATATTGGAAGAAGTTTCTGAGAGATTTCGTTATTGGAAAATGAAGGGTGAACATGTTCCAGGAATTACCAAACAAGATAAGAAGAATTGAACTTCATGAAAGAAGACAAATCATGCTGGTCATAATGCTATTGAGTCTGCAATCACTAGGAAATATTGGTGGAAAGGAATTAGAAATATATATTAAGATATATTTGGAACAGTGTCATATTTGTGCGGATATGAAAAGTAGAGCTTCCAATGTCCAACGAGAAGTAAGGTTTATCATGTATAACCCTTTCAGCCACTTTTCAATGGATATGCATTCGTTTCCAAGACTAATGATTATGTTGGCTATCTATTTCACAAAATATACTTGGCTATCTCCCATCAAACACAAAACTGCTGAAGTAGTAGATACGCACTTGAGACATCTGTTGAAAGAGTTGCGAGATATCCATCATCAATCAAACTAGATAGGGAGGAGCCACTAATTACAGAACAAGGGGGGAGGGGGTCTTGAGATTTTTGTGAGCGTATACTGGTAATGGTTGTTAAGCATTTTGCTTCATGGAAAGTAATAGAGGGGGGTTAGCGAAAAAGTGTAATTTCTGTCGCCTCCCATAAAAGTGATTTCAAGATTTTCAAGCTGAAGAATTTTCCAAAGTCAACGGCAATAGCTGGAGTTGAAGATGCTTTAATGATTCATCGAGGGTAGATGAGAATGTTTTTTTGTTCTTTTTGATCCTCTTTGTCCTCTGTTTGATTTGCTTTATGATCACCGACATTCCTAGAATACCCCAAATTCGTGTGGTGTCAATTCAAAGATTTCTTTCGTTGTTCCATTCATAATCTTTCTTCCTAGATAACTCAAAACTGCAATCCACTATGTGTGATTTTGTGAGTAGAATGGTATAAAAACTGCTAGATCAATTCTGTTGATTATCATGTCCATAATTATAAAAGTTGGCCAATTGGTTAATTTGAATGAAACGTGGTATCTGGCATGTCGTTGATCCAGTTTAATTGCAACATTGCAGGAGACATTAATTTGTGTTCATGTACTCTAGTTCTGTCAGATCCCTCAGCTTAAGGAAAATCATCACCAAAGTAATCATTTCTCTCCAACAACAATCCTGCACTGACTATACACCTCTAAAATTCTTTCGGATTGGAGGAGGCGACATCAAACAAATCCAGTAACACTATTTTCTTCAAAAACACAATCACTTATAATACATGTCGTTTATTGTATTTGGCAAGATAGTCATATAGTTGAAGATTAGAGAGTCAGGCTCGTGTTGATGAGAATTTCTCTTGTCCTGCTCCGGAGTCAATGTTGTTTTAAAAAATTTTTTTTAACACAATTTGTTTGACAGGGCCCATTAAGGATAAAATTTTTGTCCACAATTTGAACATTATACTTCCTTGTTAAGTAGCTCAGATTGTTGAGAAGTATTTTCACTAAGCTTCTTAGTCACCATAACTTGAGATCGAAGATCGGATCTCAATTGATCCAATGTTGCCTTGAACATCTTCTCTTGATTAACAAGTTTGTTTTGAAGTTGAGTATTTTGTTGTTGTAGTTGAACAATAACTTGTTGTCATCTAGAAATTACACTTGCACCATAACAAGTCAAGCTGGCAACACCATTCTCTTATGCGTGCGCAACGCAGTTTTTGGGTGACGCAAAGCCACTTTCGCTGGAGAAAAGGACTTTCGCTGGACTGGAATTCTAGTCCATTATCCAAGCGAATCTCTGCTCACTCCAGCGAAAAAACCAAAAAATTACCTCATCCCGGCCCATACTTTATCCACGCAGTTGCTTGTGAGATTTCCTTTTACTTGTGAATATATTTTGAACCCTAACAATAATCGTTGTGATAGAGTATAATTTATTGAATTCAATAGAATACTATTCACAACCATCTCCTCAGAGTCTTTTGGAAAGGGATGGGACAAAACAAATCATCATCGTCGGGAGTCGTCTCGGATTCCTTCAGTGAGTATTTAGAGAAGGCAAGCCTTTCATCCCGAGAACAACAACAGCTTTTAGATCTCTACAACTCTTACGCATCCTCTGCTCCGTATCGTGATGATGAGTCTGATTCATCCGAAGATGATCAGAGTGAATATTTGAAGGATCCTCTCGAGGAGGAATCCGAAGATGTGGACAACTCATCAACAACATTGGCAGCATTTACCAATCCTCTCCATTTCACCTTATCGTCCTCCACCTTGGTGAATTCTACAAAGGTGCAAAGAAGTAACACCACTCCCGTGTTCAAATCTAAAAATGCCAAAATTACATTTCATATTGATCATATCACAGTGAGGAGAAGAAAACGAAGATTTCCACTGTCATTATCATCACTATCACCACCGAATAAGCATCACCATGATGAATCATCGTCACCACAACATGAAAACTTTCCCAACCCGTCGACGCCTTCACCATCCACAATACCTCCGAACTCCTCTCCTCCTCCTTCCAAACAATGGTATATTTGTGAGAAATATTGTGAACTGAAAAAGATGGATGGAAAATTGGGAAATGTTTTTCTTGCCACTCAAGTCGCGTACAAAAGGGACTATCACAACGACTACACACAACAGCAATCATCACCGCAACAACAGCAGCAAACGATAGCAGATATTTTGACAAGCCCTTTATTGCCACCTTCCTTTCAATCCTCTTCAAGTTCTGAAATATCATCCAACAACAATAATGAAAATATAGATGGAAAATCATTGAATTTTTCTTCAAGAAATCATTCAGTCTTGCATCCGCTTCACAATAGACCTGTCACTGTTAAATTTCTCAAATGCTCTCAACAAGAGTGGAGCGGGGCTAGCTCCACAAATTCACAATACCCTCTCGAACGATATTTAAATGAGCTCAAAAACTATTGGTACATGACCCTAAATTCAATTTCACATGGCAAGAAAAGTGACTATTTTGAAGAGAAAAAACATGATGATTTCTTTTTTAAAATCTATGTAGATCGTAATTTTTACAATTCACCAGTTTCTGCGAATGGGCATGTTTTTATCATGCTAGTAATGCCCTATTTTGAAAATAGTTTGAGTTCAGTGATTTCACAGTACAAAAGGATGGACAGGACTTTTTCATTATTAGAAATTATTCAAATTTTCAAGCAAATATTACGCCCAATTTTGCAATTGCATCAACTTGGATATGGACATCATAATTTAAAACCGGAAAATGTGTTCATCATTCCTTCTCATCACTCTACTCATCACCACCATCTATCCACACCCAGGAATCGGCCTAACAAATCGAAAAAACAAGGTTTTATGAAGAGCAACAATTCAAATGAATCTCCAACTGGATCCCTTCAGTTGTCATCATCGACTCCTACTTGCACACCTCTCTCTAAAATTGGTCATGACTACGACATTATTCTTACTGATCCCTTCCCTCGAATGAATGTTCTCCAAAGATCTAACATGTCCCTTATGAATATGAGTGCCATTCGAAAGAGTGTCGCCTCATTCAATGATTTATTACTTAGCGATTCACTGCATTACAACAGTCATCATCATCGAAAAAGCTTAATGAGTCTTGAGCCACTCTCTCCACATTCCACTCTTACTCCGTCACCATCTTCCAATTCCATGTCACCAGCCTCACAACCATCTTTCAGTCCTTCCAACTATAACACAAATAATCCCTCTACCTTCAATTTAACTCTCTCATTGACTTCAACAAAGTCTCTCAATGACTTTAAACCCTTTCCCAATCGTCATGCTTTTGAAATCAAGTCACTTTCCGAATATTTATCACCAGAATTTAAATCACTCAGCTGTGGGAAAAAATACTTGACCATTAAGCAATTTTCCGAAAATTTATCAACAGAAAGTGGATGTGAAACAGACACCAAGAACAATTTAGATTTATTATCAACCTCCATCATTGGTGCCACTGATGTCTTTGCTTTAGGAATTTTATTTTATCAAATCATGAGCTTGGACCTTTCTTTAGATGCTCTCGTTCATGCCTCTTCAATTCATTCCAAGAGATGTTTCATTCGAGAATCCATCATTATGAACTACAGACAAGATGTCGAGTTTTTAGACCTCTATGAAAGGTTGATCGATTTGATCACGTACCAAATGCTTGCAGTACATCCAGAAGAACGAATTTCACCAAAAAATTTATTCCTTCATTTGGATCAAATGGAGTCATTTATTAAGAGAAGGGTCATGGTAGCACATTGGGACTTGGATAAGACAGCTCTATCTGGCAATGTTGTCGGAAATATGAACACAAATTGTTCGAATTACAACAATGGCGCTCCAAAAACACTCTTACAAAAATCTGCTCTCTCCTCCAACTCTCTTACTTTCAATGACGAAGAAGCAGAATCCATATTTTACAAATTGATGGTGATCCAATATGCCGGTGTGAAAAACGCATTACCTGAACTCATGAAGAAGCTTTCTTGTATAAGCTTGTATTCTCCCCTGAGAGGTTTTCAAGCTCCATATCAAACAACGGGTAGCGATTTTAAAAAGACAACATCAAGAGGTGAGACGACCTCCATCTCAAACATGATGACTCTTGCTTCAGGATCTGAAGATCATGGGAAACTCGCATTGACAGCTGCTCTTGACGAATTAGATCACGATGATCCATTTTCCATTCTCGATCACATTGATCTAAACGGATTCTATCATCCAGAGCACAATATTAAATCTCTGAACCAGTTAGGCTTTTCACCTGAGGTATTTGCAATGCGAGGAATAGGCTCGTTTTTAGGAGCTAGCAAGTTTAAAATTGAGAAATTTCTCGAATGCAAGCGTTCGAAGGAGGTTTTGCTCGCCAGTAAGAGATCGCTCAAGAAAAATCCAATTTTCAAAAATACGCAACAATATCGAGTGACCTGCATTCCCATTTATTCAAGCATGACATTGAATGCTAATCCAAGGACATTGATCTCTATTGGCTCGAAACTTCAGGTACCTTTTAGTGAAGAATATTCGAGTGATGTGACGAAATGCATCTCTTCACACGATTCTGTAGATTATTACTTTAATGGATACAATATTATCGAGACCATTCTAAATTCATACAATTATTCGCAAACCTTGTTTCCAGTGATTGAAAAATTTTCCTGGGTGAACATGCATTGTATTGTAGAGCCTGCAAATATTCTCAACTTCACACCTCTTCACCAATATTTGGCTCTCAAAAAGGACTCTTCTTCCGATATTACGATCGACGACTTGACACCTTCCTACTTGAGCAATAGCAGCATACCACTTTCCACCACTCAAGAACAACAATTATACTATCTTGACGAAGAGGAATGTGTGAAATTACAAATCCATTCCTTTGTAAAGCCGCTCCCTAAACCAAATCCTACCCCATTCACTACTTTTCAAGTTTGCAATTTTGCTCTTCAGCTTGCTGAATCCTTGAACTATTTTCATCAACTGGACGTTGTTCACTGCAATATTAATACTGAGAGTGTGTTATTTTTCGATGAAAAGCTCGTTTTTACAGGCTATGATGATTCTCAAGTGAAAGGAACCAAACTCAATGATTATTCATTTGTTGCTCCCGAATACTTTTTTCCTTTGCAAAATGGACAAGCTCTTACGATTCATGACAAACTCGATATTTATCATTTTGGAATTTTATTGATAGAATTAATTCTGGGACTCGAATTGGACTCCTCAATTTCGGTGCTGACCATCACTCAAAATGAAGAGAGATTCATAAGGGAGTTAGATTTTCAATTCGAGCTTCGAAACGTACCAAAGCGAATTAGCTCACTCTTCAAAACGTGTGTTTGTGCCAATCCTAAAAAACGCTTGACTTCAAAAGACATATTGTACGAATTGAATGAAGTTTTAAAAAAGAAGTAATGGTGTTTATTTAAAATTGTTTCCTTATTGAACAAAATATGTTTCAAAGGTCACTCCTGCTGTCAACGACGAGGAGAACAACCTCCAAAACTCCAACATCTTCCATCTCTACATCGACCAATAGAGCCAAGATAAGATCTTGTTCCATAGTGAAAAGGTTGGAGGCAAATTTTACGCGCATGTACGTATGAACATGAGGCAGAACAGATCGAATTCACGTGATGGATGTTGATCATTTCTAGGTAGCCTGATGGATTCGGTCGTCGTGAAATTACAAAGTTTAAGAAAAAACCACTGCTTGAGTCATGTCATTAAAGAGCCGTAGACACATTTTTCACCTTTCCTATCATATGATCCAGACACGAATCATCACCTCTCATGTTGAAATTTCAAATTTACAGAACGCCAAAGCACTAATGCTGCCGAATTAAGGCAACAAGAGTTTACATGAGTCTCTCTAACTTCTCTTGAAGTGGGTGAGTAGGTTTCAAATTCCTGCAAAGTTACTTGTAAAAGGTAGTGTGTAATTCGGAAGAATTTGTTGATAATCGTCACATGTCATTTGTTTCAATTCCTCTTTGGCTTGGGTTTGCTGATAGTGGTCATGCACTCCTCAAATACCATCTAGGGCAAGTTCCTCACTCATAAATCGTTGGACAACAATTGACTTAGTGGAGTCTGTTTTCACAGTTTTTGCAAGACACATACAAAACGACGAATAACGAAGAGTTGAGTTTCAAAACTGTTCATCGATGGACATCTTTTCACAAAAACAATCATCACTTTCCAGAAAGATGAATGCTAATCACCACAAGAAGAGAATAGGTTCTCTCTGATTGCTCTTTTACTTGTCACGATTCGTTCCAGCATGGCTCAACAAGTTCGCCTCCCATCCAACGTCTAACGAATCATTATGAAAAGAGGCTAACGTTTGACATGACAAAATGCGAAGCCAGTCACCCATCACGAAAGAACAAGGAATGTGAGAGTGCTGATGCCTTCGGTGTGGTGAGAGAAAATTTTTTACGCTGTTTTCAGCTGCAGCCAGGACTGGCAACCATTTTCTCAAAAGAAAAAAAGGAATCCAACTCACCCACGCTCGAGTGGAACGCGGCCTTCTCTCTCTCCCTCTCTCATTTTACTTCTTATAGGCAGTGGTGCTTTGAAAAGCCTTTCATTATTACTGCTGCTCTCAGTGTTTTTATTCTCAGTGTTGATTGTTCTTACTGGACCAACCTTTCAAATTGAACACACAAACTCTCATTGTATTACTCTTGTCGAGAGATGAAGAAGAATAAGAAACTTTTTCAACTCTATGCCAATAATCTTCAGGTAGTAGGAGGAGCACAACAACAGCTTGCTACGACCACCACTACTACTACGAATAATACTTCAACAGCCTCTTCCAATTCAACCACCACCACGACCACCACCACTACAACAACAACCACGACATCTTCAACCTCTCGAGGAGTCTCCTCACCTGTACCTACCACTACTCCTCTGATGGACTTCTCTCCAACGAGATCCACTGGCGCCTTTATGAATGCTCCATCTAAACCAACAACATACAATTCCTCCTCAAGATGCTCACCTCCTCTTCAAACTCAACCACCCTCTCATTCTTCTTCGCATCTGTCCTTGGCTTCAACAACACAATCTCATACCGCTGTTTCAATTCATCAGAAAACCTCCTATTCATGTCCATCTTCGCCACTCCTCTTTCATAATTCTCCTCTCATGAACTCGTCGTACAGAGGAGGAGGAGGAAACACAACTACAGCCACTTCAACAAATATGGCAATTCATTACGTACAGACACTGTCTCATCCAACAATCACAAGGAATCATCATGGTACTCGAGGTTGTTGCCACATTCCTGGAGTGATATCACATTCATCTCCTTCCTCTCCAAAGCAACAACATGCAATTCCTCCACATACACCATGCTCCACATTGATCAATTCAAGCCCTCCTTGTAAATACATCCAAAACAGCATAATTCTCCTCAGTGATGATCTGATCAAACATCAAACTCGAACCAACAAGATCTCTCATCCAGAACCGTCCATGTTGTCGACACCAAAGAGCCCAGAATCACAACAGAAAACTGACATTTCTATGGGGAAAACAAATTCTTGTCCAGTAATCCAGCACCACCATTCCGTCCCATCGCTGAGTAAGGCTGAACAAGAAGAGATGTTGTATCGCACTTTATGGTCCCACATGGAGAGCACATCATCGAGTTCCTCTAAAATTGTGAAACCATCCTCTCACTTCAAACCTAAACGAACCAAAATTACAATTAATGAACTGTTGTGTTGAGTTTAACTGATCCACCAACATAATTACATAACCATCATAATTACCAACAATACACAATGTGAATAACAATTAAAATAACCTCTCAATTTTGACTTGACCATTCATTCGATATTGTCCAAATTTGTTGTTGTCAATTCTGAAGCTTTAAAAAAAATGCGTCCACAAAATCCTCACGGAACCAAAAAGGTCAAACGATCATCCACAGTCTCTCCTCCAGTTTTTCAGGACGTTTCCGATCATGATGAAGATGGAGATGAAGTGATTGATATTACTTCGGAACAAGATCCTCACCAAGGAACCACATCATCAAATCCGATCATTGAGGAAAGTCATTTGGATCAAGCACAAACAAGAAGGAGAAGCAGTAGTGGAGGAAGTAGTGCAAGTAGTGCCGGACGACATCGTAGACATCATCGTGATGATCATCATCCAACTCATGGTGTTGGCTTCGAAGAATTGAGTGATGAAGAAGCAGAGGATGTAGAAGTCATTCAAAATCCAGCAAATTATGTTCACAAAGAACCTCATCATCAAGTGGAAATTCAAGATGCACAGCAACAACAACAACGACAGGTACAATCTGCACGTCCTTTCCAAATCGAAGAACAATTAGAGCATGAAGAAAGTGAAGGAGAAGACGAGGAGGGTAATCGTTACATTCGTACCACCAAAACCTTTGAATCACCTCAAGGAGGTTTGAAAACAACAACCACACACAAAGTCATTGATCGAGAGGGTCGAGTCATTTCCACCAGCACCTCAACCACATCCAAGTCAAGCAGTGGTGATATTCCCGTGTTCGTTAGAAAGCAACAACAGGTTTCTTCACATCCAGGTGGTGGCAGCTTCTCTTCATCCACACTTTCCTTTTCCTCTTCTTCAGCACCTTCAATGAACCGACAAGCACAAATTTCTACACCATTCAATGCCTCCTCCAACAATAATAATGCAGGAAGTACCATGATGAATGTCGCCAACAATGATCCATTTGGAAACTTTATGAATCCATTTGCAAATGATCCATTCTTTTCTCGTCCTTTTGGAGGATCCATCTTTGATAATGATCCTTTCTTCTCGAATCCATTTGGATCGATCATGGAACAGCAGAGAAATATGATGAGATCATTTCAATCCAGAATGCAACAGCAACAACAACAATTCTTTCAACAACAGCCTCAATTTCCAAATCAATCACAATTTTCGAATATGAGATCTCAACAACCTAACCAGCAGCAGCAACAATTCTTTGGCCAACAAAATGCAGGTCCTTATGTAAATCCATCAAATTTCAATCCTCAACAACAGCAACCAAGACAACCTTTCGGTCAATAATGTACACAATAATCCTAGGTGCTGTTTCGTTGTTGTTAACTAACTAATAACAATACAACATGATTTTTGTTTTTTAAGCAAACGATTTATCGACTCACTATTAATTGGATGTTAAGGACTCACGAATACCTTCATCTAAAGCATGGATTTACATATGGTGGACTGAATATATTATGATGGATAATAATGACTTAACAAGTGTAGTTGGTCATATTCACATTAGGGTTATGAGCTTTTAAACAACCAGAAAAACCATCAATGTTTGAAACATGAGAATGGCGAGCATTGTAAGGACTGTCGCTTGGAATATTCTGTTATAAAGGATCCTCTTTTCGAGTCGGTGAAATTTCCGTTTCTTCTTGGCTTCTTGACGACAACTTTCTTGACAAGCACTGCTTTCGTCAGTAGTGGTGGTGGTGACGACTTCCTCTTTTTGGTTGATCTCCTCCTCTTGCTCATTTCGAGTTATTGTTGGTGAATGGACGGGTTCTGTTTTTACAGCATTTAAATTGGATGGCCCATTAGATCTTTGTTCATCTTGTCGATCGACTTCCTTCACATTTAGGTCTATCTCTTCTTTCTCATTCTTTGTCAACTTGGAGGACAAACATTGTTTTTGGGAGCATGTTCCATTTGTAATTGTCGTCTTTGCATTGGATGGATCGCTTTCGAAACATGGATCTTTCTCGATCGTTTGTGTTGAAATGGTTTTTGAATTCTCCTTCTGCTCTTGGATCGCTTGTGCTGTCTCCTGTCGAATCATCATGCATGGTTCATGTGCCTTCCAACACCATTGCATCATTAGAGTCAAGGAACGAACGTTTCCCACGACCCACAAGCACAACCAAAACACAAACCATTCGATCCATCCCATTCGAATTTCATTATTTCTCACACGATGGCAATGGAGAATGATTTGTCTCAATAACACCATACTTTGATGATACAAATCGGGATGAATAGTTTCAAAGTCTCTTAGACCTTCATGACCTTTCTCATCACTCATTCCAATGGTAAGAATATCAAACGATCTCATTCCCAATGCACGTGCAATTTCTTGCTTTTTCATTTCAATCCATTGTTGTTGTTTCTGGACACTTGCAGAAGAATCAGTCACTACTGGAGTTTTCATGGAATTCGTCACCATTCCTGAATGGTGTCCATCCACTAATAAATCTGTCTTTGTTGCCACAATCAAGTAAGGAATACTTTTTTCATCCAAATGTTGTTGAATGCTTTGAATCAATTTCAATTCCAACTCTGTAAACATGATCGGAATGGTCAATACAATTAAATGATGATACTCTCGCTTGATCTTGTTGTAAGATCTTCTGTTCTCTAAAAAACAATTGTTGGAAAAGAGTTTGGATTCTGAATCCATGTCAAAGCTTGTCACAAAATCATCCTCTCCATACGTTCCCATATATAACGCAGTTAACATGTTCATGTAAGCGTTGAGTTGTTTCTCGATGTTCACTCCTGGCAAATCAGAGAACATGAATGTCATTTCCTTCTGTGTGTCCATCAAAAATGATGTTTCCATGTCTCCATTATTTCTTTTACTACTGTTGTTACTTGAGCTGTTTCCATTCTTTGCATTGAATGGTTTCACAGAACAACGGAAAGGAATGGAATCTTGAACGAGACATCTCGTTCGAGTGGTATGATCCAAATTCTTAAAGATGGGAAGTGAGTGTTTCAGATCATCTTCCTCTGAATGAGGATCATGAATGGTGTGATGGAAAGAATTGAAGTCTGTTGATGTTTCATGACATGTGAATGTTTCAGGTGATTCATGTTTCAAGTGATTCTCGAAATTCATGATCGAACACAACAAGGATTTGAGTTGAGATTTTCCACTTTGACTGCAACCTGCAAGAACAAGGTTGTATCCACGAGAGATCTTGTGACCATAACTGTCACTTTCATACTCCGAGGACAATCTGGATAACAAGATTTCATTTCGAATTTGTTCTCTCACCTTTGAAATGGCTAAAAGTGTCGAGGATGCGATTGCTGGTGTAATTGTTGTTGATTCAATAATTCCATGATTGAAATGACCTTTTTGATGATGTCCATGATGGTGGTGATGGTGGTGGTGTGGATCACAACCATTGGATTCCAAAACAGAGGATGGAATTCCATTCATAGGCCTCTGTCCTTCTGAAAACAACTCATCAGAGAGAACTTTTGGATGTTCACAGAGTGGGTGTTTCAATAAATCTTGACCAACACTTGTCTGGTGAGTGTCAAGAATGGGATGATGATGGGTGGCATGTGACATTTCGAGTGGACAAGTTCCCGAGTCAGAATTTGACATCTTTTCAAGTTGGATTGAAAATTCTTCACTACTTTCAGATTCTCCTTCTCCGACCATGGAAGTGAAAGCAATCGTATTTCGAATATTATTCTCAAATGGCTCTTCACTTAATATGGTATTAAAAGGTTCAAAGGAAGAACCTTGTGAATCATCATCTTGTGCTGGAATTCTCGAAGACGCATCTGCAGACGATGAGAAACATTGTTCCTTCTTGTTCATCTTTTTTGGAGAATTCTCTCCAGAAGAACCTTCTCTTGAGAAGGATTGCGACGACATGAACGAGTCACTTGAAGAAATTCCATTTTTGTAAAACTGTTGAAGAATAATTTCCTTCATACATGTCATTCGATGGCGATGATCTTCATCTTCCTCGGAGTTGGGATCGCCACTAAAATAAATCTCATGTGGATCATGATCCTTTGGATTGAACTGAAATTCATCGTCATTGGGATCTCTTAAAAAGGTATAATTAAGGTGACCATGATGACCACAATCCATTCGATGACGACGACGAATGGTGTGAAGGGTTGCCATATTGTTGTTGGAATTCTCCAAATTGGAGGAAGAAGTGGAACAAGAAGAAGAAGAACATTGAGAAGGGTCATCTTCTTCCACACTTTGAACCATCACATAACCATCCATTAGATTGGTGGTGTTGAGGAGTGTCGTCGAATCTTGATGGATGGATGCGTCAAGAAGAAGAAGAGGAGGAGAATTTGTGTCTTCTTGACGTCGACACGAGTGATTGGTGTTGTTGCTGTTGATGTTGTTGGAGGTGTGAATCCATGAGGAGGGGTATGATTGGTGTGTGAGACAAGAAGAAAATGGAAGGTTTCGACAAGATGACATGTTGTTGTTGTTGTTGGTAGTGGTGGAGGAGGTGATGAGAAATTTCTTGAATGGAAACGACACCAACTTTTCTTCGAATGGAATATATTGAATTGAAAACAGGGTTGTTCAATAGGAGGAGGTTTTAGAATGCTTTCAGGTTGTGAAGGTTGTGGAGAAAGAATTTTGTGTAAAGTCGAAATTACAATAAGTTTGTTGTTGTTTGTATTTTTCATGAAATTGCAATAAATAAAACTCACCAAATTCTTCTTGAGGCCCTCAAGAAGGAATTCTACAACATGAGGATTAATTTCTGAATATGGAATATTACTAAATAAACCTTCATCATGGAATAGTGGTTATTAGTCATGAAAAGATGTTGGTCCATGATTACTGTCAAACATCGGTAGCAGTGATGGTTCTTTTGAAAAGTTTTCATATCATTGAATAGCGAAAGCACTTTAGTAAGGCCATTCACATCCGCTGTTCCATCATTTCTCTAAGGTTTGCTTTCGGGGTTGAATCCGGAGGAGATTTTTTCAAACTCCGTGACTTCCTAAAAAATTGAGCGACAACGACCAAAAAAAAATAATTCTCTCTCACAACTATCCTCTCATTCGATTTTACCATTCGATTAAAAAAGCCTTTATATCATTCGTATCATCATCATCATCCGATGAAAGTAATCCCAACACCATTCCTAAAGGCGTTCCTTTTCATCGCCTCTCTCATTCTTCTCATCATCATTGGTAGTAGCAGCACCTCTCTACAGGCTCTAGAAATTCTGAATTTAGATTCTTCTTCGGATCCTCTAGTTCATGATGAAGCCTTCATTCAACTCATTAACAAGTACGCAAAAACATGGCAAGCAGGAAAGAGTAAATTCTTTGAAGGTAAACGATTGAGTCATGCGAGAAGGCTCATTGGTTTGGGTTTACCAACGCCCGAACAAAGAGCCTCTTATCCAAAGAAGAATTCTTTGATGATGGGTGAGGAAGCAAACAGTTTGGAAAAGTATTTGGTCAAGATGGATGCATTGCCTGATTCGTACAATGCTGCCAATGATTCAAATTATTATATGTGTCAGCAATTGCACCGAATTAGAAATCAGGAACAATGTGGTTCTTGTTGGGCTTTCTCTATTTCAGAAGTAAGTAGTAGTGAGATAGGTGTCATCCTATGGGTTCATCAACACAATTATGAATGCACTGACAATTTACATGTCATTTCACAAATGAATCGGGAATGTTATTTTATTGGAATTTGTGTGCGAATAATTCATAATTTATTCGACAAAAACTAATAATATTAAATAATATTTAATAATGAATAGATGGTTGCGGATCGTTTTTGTATTGGAACAAGAGGTAAAATTAATACCATCATGTCACCACAATGGATGGTGAGCTGTGATACTGCTGACAATGGATGCAATGGAGGAGAATTCCCAACTGCTTTCCAATTTGTTGAGACAACTGGTTTGGGTAAGTGTGCATTTCCATCATTTGCAAATTGTGACACTTTTTATGTGACAAATGTTATGTGTAACAAATGATTCAATCATACTTGTTGGGCACACTTTCATGAATATCCACAGTCTCTGATGGCTGTGTCCCATATCAATCTGGAAATGGCTTTGTTCCACCATGCCCAAATAGTTGTGCCAACGGAGAAGATATTAATGTGAGATATAGAACAAAGAATTCACGTAATTTTGATGTCAACGATATGAAGTCAGTTCAAGCTAGTATACTTGCAAATGGTCCTGTCATTTCTGGATTTAAGGTATATCGTGACTTCTATAATTACAGATCCGGAGTGGTAAGTAGTAGTAGCTCTTTCGTCAAGTCCCTTGACTAAATTCACATAATTTCTCACAAATCACACCAATGGCAGTACAAACATGTTGCAGGAGGCCTTGTTGGTGGACATGCAATCAAGTAAGTGTCGCCAAATGAATTGTTCATTACGGAAACATTTAACTCGCTTCTTCATTGTTACAATAATTTAATGAATATTCCTCTTTAACAAACAGGGTTGTGGGTTGGGGTGTCACTCAATCCAATGTACCTTATTGGATTGTTGCCAATAGTTGGTCTGATGAATGGGGAATGAATGTAAGTAGTCGACTTGTCATTGATAAAGGAGGGTTGTTATATTATTTTCTAATTAATTACCATACATAGGGTTACTTTTGGATTTTGAGAGGAACCAACGAATGTTCAATTGAGGAGAATATGTGGGAGACAATTCCAGCATTGTAAGCTCTTTGCGAGTGTCGATGGATTCAAGTCTTATGAATCTTGATGATGCTAGATAGTACAATAAATTATTAACCTTCGTACATAACTTCATTGTGCTTCTGACTTGAATGATACAGTACAAAACAATCTTTCATTTGTCACGGATCAACGAGTCTTTTTATTATCTTGACTACCTTTTTGATTTTTTGGCAGAACTATTAGAACCCTCAGAGGTATAATCAGCGCTCTCATTGTCTTCATTGTTGTGCTCCTTTCGTTTCAATGATCCAACTTGAGGTTTGGTCTTTTTCTTGTCCATCTCTCGTTTTGTCTTACTTCTCGACCACAACATATCAGAGCGATACAAAATGTCTCCACTCAAATTATCCACAATCACCATAAAGATGATTTTCTTTGGGGCAGTTTCTCCCTTTTTCTTTTTCTCTACTATTGAGGGATCTTTGAGAATGATCTTCTCCTTTCGTTTTCCTCTCTTTGACGTGTTGTCTCTCTTGATGGGCACTCGGATTTGGCTCATTGCATGTGAATGTGAATTAGCAACATTGGTCGATAACATTTCTGAAAACTCCACCACTGTGACATCCTCCAAATGGGAAATATTCGTTGCAAATCCATTTTCCTTATCATTCCCGAGATATGCCCTTAATTGAATTTGTGTGTTTGAAAGGAATTGAGAGTACAGAGTTTGAGAAGTGAATTTTGGCAAATGAATGGTAGTTTCGTCATTCACAAACACGCTATGGGTTGATCCTCTTGGTTTGTGTGTCGTATTGCTAGTAAAGCCGGGCTTGCATGTCATTTCCAATTGATCTGGGGCTGTTTGAGTAAACCATTGACGAAATTCTTCATTGGAGCTCATCAATGAATGAGTGTCGTCACCATGATGATGATGAGTAATTTTAGTCATCTTAGGCTCTCCTTCCAACACACTGGTGGAGAGTGGTTGTTGTGATGACACTGGAGAAGAGGCCGTACTTGTAATGGATGACTCTAAGGATGCCATTGTAGGTATCACAAAATTGAACATGTTATTGTTGTTTGGAGCAAAAATTAAATAGCTAGAGGATGGATCAATGATGGAGGCGTCGTTGAGCAACATGGTGAAATCAATGTTATCCATGCTTGTGGTTGTTTGTGAGGGAATTAAGAATCGTGGCATGATTGGATCCCAATAAGGTGGTGCAACTTGTGAAGGAGGTTCTTGTTGAAGGATGTTGTTTGGAGCAAAAGATGAAGAAACGCTCACAGAGGTCAAAGGACATGTCATGATGTTGTTGGTGGCGGTGGAAGAAGCATTTGAGTGGAGAGGACAATGCACAGTACTAGGAAACATGAGGTCAGGATCGACTTTCATGTGAGAGGTTTTAGGAGTGGTTGGTGAGGTTTTTGGAATTGTCACGACCGTGGATGGAATGGAAGTAGTCTCCGAGTTGGTGCTTTGATCTTTAAAGGCATTAAAGAATGACTCCATATCATCAAGAGTGAGTAGTGTCCCTGAGGTATTGAGGGTGTTATTGGTGGTGATCGATGGTGGTGATGTTAAAAAGTCATTCATGAAGGAAGTGGTGGATGGAGAAGAATCCATATGATTGAGAAAATCCCATAGTTCTTGATGTTGTTGAGACATTTTTCTAAAACAATCGATATCGACTGGTTGTTGTACTTCTTCTTCTTCTTATTGATGGAACTCTTGAGCAGCGCAAATAATTTCTGTGCTGTTCTTGTTGTTTCACATAAACGCGAATGTTGTTGTTTTTTTCATCCTATTCAAACAACTGTTTTTTAAAGACAAGTTCAAGCGGGCTAAAAATAGTCCTAAAATAGATTTTCAAAAAACTTCAAAGTTCCTGTCAAAGCAAAAACCAAACAACAAGGAACTTGAGAAGGGCGAGTTGATATTTCGCTCTCGTCACTGGTATTATTGTTGATGAATCATGAATTTGGCATCTTTGCACATCTTTACAATATTTTCGGTAGTATTTGTCAGTGACAATGAACATTTTGAGATTGGACTAGAGATGAGATCGCCAATAACAAACAATTCCGTGGTGAAGATTGAAAGGAATGGAAGTGCGGTGTTCCTCTGTGGTAGAGTCAGACGCTCCTGTTGTTGTTGTGGAGAGTATGTCGAGAAATAAGGATAGGATGACGGTAGAGTATATGAAAGCATTTTCATGGCCTCAACGTTCTCATAATCCTCCAGTTCAGACAAAATTCTTCCGAATTGTGACCTTACTAAGGATTTTATGTCATTCTTGAGTGGAGAAAAAGTTCCAATGAAAATTTGTATCAATGAGAGCCATTCTGATATGCATGGTGTTTCAACAGAGTTCAATAATTGTTGAAGAAAATTTTCATTGTTGAGAAATGGATGTAACATGGAAAAGAATTGATGGGGAGTTGGACTCTTGGTATGCAAATAGTACAAGTACAAAATAAAGGAAGAATTGTACCTGCCAGTGTGTTGGGAGTTGCCATCAAAGGTAGCAGCTTTGAGTTGATCGGCAATTATGGTTCGAACGATAAATTCGTTCCACATGACTTGTGACAGAACTGATTTTGACTTTGGTCGAGAGCACTCGAGCATGTAAAGTGTATACACAGAATTGAAAGCAATAATCTCTTCATTTTGCTGATTAAATTAAAGTCATAATGTATTATTCGAATTTGTCAACAATGACAAAAGCATGTCGACATTCAACTTACATTTAAAATGTTGTTAAGCAATGTGTGCACGAGAGAATACTTCCAAACCTGACATTTTTCATCATATTCCAACTTGGAACAAATAGTACAAAGTGCTGTTGAGGCCATCACACGAATAAGTGGGGATTCATGACTGAGGCCATACGTTTCTATGAACTTTACATGAAGTAAAATATTCACACTCACGTTGCTGGCGCTTTTCATCATGATGAAAATAGAGGTTTGCAATTGGAGGATAAAAGACATTATCTTTGTGTATGACATGGTTGAACTTGAGGAGAGCGTCACCATAGTTGTTGTCGTTTTAGAGAGGAAAGGCTCTAAGCGTTCAATAATGTGTTCAACACACGAAATGACTTTTGAATGACTATTGGTCATATGGAGTGGAATAGGTTTGATGAGTATCGTGTTCTTTTCTCGAGCAAGCAGAAACATTAGGAAGCTAATTATATTGCCCACTGAGATGCAACATGGCCATAACTCATCTCCACCAAATGTTACGATCTGAAATAGTTTAAGCTCGAGTTGAAAAAGCGAGTTGAGTTGAGTGGTAAGCGATGAAGAGAATGGCACAGCCAGGTCTGTTCTTGTCAATAAAGTTGGTAGGAAAGTTGAAATCTCGTCACATAGTTGACAAATTTCTGAATTCACATATGATCCTTTCTTCAAGGAAATGTAACAAGTACAAAGAATTGGTTCCACAACCTGCTGCAATAAAGATGTTATTTCCCTCTCATTAATATGCAACTCGTTGATAAAGTATTCATGAAACAAACAAATATACCTCATGGAATGGGATAGACTATTGAACTGCTTGTCTGTGGAGACCATTTGCATGAGTGATTGAAAAACATCTAATCCTGCTTCCCGCAACAATGAAATACCGCTAATACTACTTTGTCCATTTCTTGCATCTTCAGTACGAAGCAATACCACATTCGAGATAAATGTTAATGTTACACCAGGTAATGTCGATTCATGATGTCTTGAGATCCATTTTACGATACAAGCAAGATTTGTGAGCTCTATTGGTAAGGAGGTAGAGGCCACTTGTAGATACCACTTGACGACTAATTGTGCATGTGAATGGGAACTTCTCAAGCCAAATTCAGAACATAGAAATGCAAATAATTCACTAAATTTTAGCTTGCACAGAGGAGAAATTTCAACGCAAGATGCAGCTGTTTCTGCAAAGAGCGTAAGCAAGGAATGAGCTTGCTCATGACCAATAGGATGTTCCTCATTAAAAAACGAAGCGTGCAGCAGCGCTAGAAGGAATTCTAATGTGGCAAAGGTGTTTGTTCTACAGGACATTATGTTTCTCAAATTTTCAAAATCCAAACAAATGTCTCGAATCACTGAATCCGAATAGTGATTCATATCAATGAAGTATAATGTATGTAAAACGTGAAGAGAAAGAATCTTAAAGGTTTGAATTAAGTCACGATCCGCAGAAGAAGATTGAAAAAGCAACGAGAAGACCTTCCTCTCCATTAGCTGTTTCGCAAGCGCAGTGTTGTGTTCTTTTCTGAGTCTCAAAACAAAAAAACTAAGGCATGAAGTATATACAGAGCTCATTCTGCTGTGCAACGAAATAAACATGGACAACTTGAAGCAACTCAATAAAATGGCGTCTATCTTTTCAGCGAATGGCAATAAATTTCCATTTTCGTACCCAACTAAGCAAACTGAAAGAAATTGCAATAAAAATTCTTCAAATGTAGAATCAAATTCTGCTTGTGTCAATAAAATTTTGAAAATGTCCAGCATTTTGTTGAAAAAGGAATGCATATCCACTCTTCTCTGTTGAGGAAAGGAATCATCAATGAAATATTTCAAAAAGTCATTTAAAGTGTTCAGCAGATTGATTGTCATTAATTCTGGAATATATTCGATTTGATGCTGCTGATTGTCTAGTATCGATAACATAAAATTTGCACAAAACGTGCACTGCACAATAATCTTGCTAAAAAGTTGTGGGCTGCTATTCTCTTCCAATTCTTGATGGATTGCAAGGCTTTCTGAAGAGAGAAAACAGATTTTTGTAATTTTCAGTATCGACTGCATGATGGATAACGAGTGCTCATCCATTGCATTCATTAAATTGCATGCTGGTGAAAAATAAGTGGTAAAAATGTCAATACCCATCAGTATTATTTTTTGAGTGAAGTCTTTGGAAGTCATGTCACCAACCAATGTCAAACTTTGATATTCTACAAAACTGCATAATATGGAAAATAAAATTTCACTCAATACAGCAGACTCACTCTTACGCAGGCATTCAAGTATAAAATCCCAAATATCAGAGTTCATAAAGCTCGTTGTGAAATGGCCCTGTGATAACTTTTCATTGCCCCGAGGGCTGCACAATAGTTGGATAATTTTTGATGCAAGTAGCTGAATGCCAATATTGGGAGAGAGTATGACTGAAATTAAGGCGTCAATCAAAGTATTAGCATCATTTAAAAGAATAGAAATGAATTGATATTTTTCCTTCGAATTGTAGTGAAGACAGAACCGTTCAATAAGGCCATACAAAACGGCAAGAGCATTCATGTGCAAGTCTTCTGAGTTCTGTTTAAGCAAGCAATTTAAGAGAGAAGTTACAAAATCATGTGACTCGAACGAGTCAAGAGAGAGGTTTTCTGTGTCAAGCTGTAAATATTTGATCATAATAAAAAGTGCTGTGATTTTCTTTTCGAGCGTGTACTGAGCGAGTACAGAGGTGTCCATGCCGCCATCGGTGAAATATGACACACAAAGCTTTAGCATGGAATTCAAGTATCCCTCGAATTGCTCGTTAATACGAGCGTGACTCTCTTGCAAAGCAGTGAATAAACCACAAACAAAACGAAGCCAGTCCGACTCAAGAACTTGTTCTGATTTGTTCTGATCGATGAGCTTGATCGATGTTCAACAAACATTGGGTATTACCATGTTCAATCAAACAACAACGAGTGAGTGCATTAAGTTATGAAAACAAGTTAAAATTCAATATACTCACCATTTGTGTCATGTGAGTCAAGTGGTTCAATAAAAAGTCATGGCTAACTTGTTGAAAAAACAAGTCAATAATCTCGCTCAATAACTCTTGATCCACATTTTTTCTTTGGTGCGACGGTTCTGAGGAATCTCTTTGAAGAGCGTGGGTTGTGGCCAGAACATTTTTCTCATTGCGAGTTCGGTCTAACATTCCTAAAATGCATGACAATAATATGGAGGAAATGGTGTTGGAACACAATGATGATGCATGTTGAGGCTCCTCATTCTCAATTTGAGAGTTTGTACTACTCAACATGTTGAATGAGGGAACAGAGTTCTGCTGGCTATTGCCTATCATTGATCGATTCTCCTTCACTAGAGTAGCACAAGATGATGCAATTTTGGGCATCTGCTGATTCCAATTTCTTCCTTCTAATGACATTCTCACCATTTGCAAGGCTTTTACTCTTCGGAGTGAGAGTTGCGAGCTGTCGAACATGAATTTCAAGGCACATTCCAAACAAATAACGGAGAGAGGAGTCTTTTGAAAGCCATTGTTGTTGTTGGAAAAGCCAACTTGCTTTATAAACGGCAAGTGGGAAGTATTGGTTGTTGTTGTAGTGGTGGCCATCAAATTGAATGGTTCCATGTTTGACGATCCCAATAATAATGAAAGAAATCCCCACTCGGAATGCCCACAACATGTTGTTGTCTTGTTTCGGTAATTCATCCTATGATTCAAAGGACAATGGAGGACAAAAGCCTCGAATGTTTGGTCTTGTTTTTTGCGCTACATGAATTGTGCAGCCAAAAGTTCCATCAAGACGTGCAAGCAAGCCTCATCACGATTGATGGCCAGCATAAGGCTTTCATCATTTGACAATTTTTAAAAGAAAAGAGAATGCACAAAGCTGAAGGAGACACCTGTTGTTAATCTCTTTATTGTTTCAAGTCAGAGGTCGATGATTGGTGATTGTTTCAATGTTTCTTCAATAGCACGAATTAAAAAGTGCTATCAATGGCTCGGAGATGGATGTATGTCTTGAAATTACAGCACGATCGAGACGTCATGAAACATTAAAGAAAAATGTATTTGCATCTATCGAAAAGTGATGATTCATTTCTCGTACAACAGCAACACCAACCAAGAGCAGCTGTGGATCATCATTCAAATCTCATTGAAATACAACTCGATAATATCCCTATAAATCATCATCACTCTTACCACTCGGCTGCTGAATTGTATGACATGAATAACATTTCATCGGGCGATGATGATGTCGATGAGGCATTGAGGAATTATGAACAAGATTTAGAGAGTGGCTCCATTGATCGTTCAAGCTCCTCTTCAAGTTCCACTCTCTCTGACATGGCTTGTGTATCCTCAATGATTCGGAATTTATCTAACACCACTGAGAATGAGGATCGAGAGATTTCTTCTGCAGCAGACATGAAGATGCCTCTAAGCACCATGAAATCTACTTCCGAAAATAAGAACACTTTTAGGGAAACATTGCCAACAAACCCGTTACAAACATCAGCAGCCACTCCGAGACGAGAGGCTCCTATTGAGCAACTCAAAGTTAGTCAGGGATCCTTACTGAGCTCGCCAAAACCTAATCAATTATTGAAATCATCACCACGAAACGGTTCAGGCACTACTACAGCTTGCTCGACGCCAAGAACTCCGACACTTAGTTCTTCTCCACGAGCTACCATAAGAAATGCAAGTGTCTCGACCTCCTTTTTTGAAATGTCACCTAGATTAAGCTCCTCTTTAGTAGCTGGATCAAATTCTGAAGCGTGCACACCCTTTTTACCACAATCACAACAGCAAACTCAAATTATTACACAAAACACATACAAGGGAAATTTATTATTTGATGCTTCGTTTGAATGTGGAAATTTGGAGCGAGTAATTCGAGTAGACGAAAATGAGTACGATTTATACATTCGTGGTGACACTAATGCGCAAAACAAAAAGATGTGGTTTTATTTCAAAGTTTCAAATGTGTCAAAAAATCAAAAAGTTCTATTTACCATCACAAACCTAAGCAAAAACAAATCTCTCTATCGACAAGGAATGACACCGCTCGTTTCAAGCACCAGCAGACCCAAGTGGCAACGAATACCTGAGAAGCAAGTCTATTATTATAGAAAACCTCCCAAGTACGAAAGAATTGTAAATACGGGCACCCACTTTTTATCATGGGTATTTGTGTTTGACAAAGATAAGGACGAGTATTTCTTTGCTTACTCCTATCCTTACTCGTATACAGATCTACAAAAATTTCTCTTTTTTATCGAATATCAAGGTTTTAACTATTTTCATAGAGAAGTGCTCTGCAGGTCGGTTCAAAATAGGCGATGTGACTTGCTTACCATTTCCAGTCCAGACAATTTGGTTTCTGATCCCACAAAAAAGAAACGACTTGTCATGGTGACAGCGCGAATACATCCTGGAGAGACTCCAGCAAGTTATGTTTGTCATGGTTTTATCAGTTTCATTGTTTCCAACCATCCAATAGCACAAATGTTGCGAGATCACTTGATATTCAAGATTGTGCCCATGTTGAATCCTGATGGTGTTGCCATTGGAAACTATAGGACGTGTAGTATGGGTTGGGATCTAAATAGGCATTGGCTCAATCCTCAAGAGTGGTCACAACCAACCATATTTTACCTTCGAAAATACTTGTTGAAATTGAAAAATGACCCTCAATATCAAGTAAGTAGTAGAAATGCATCATATATGTGTTAATATATGCTGAATGATCATGGAATTTGGGAATGAAAGATTGATTTTTTTATGGATCTACATTCTCACTCTGGAGCTAATAATGGGTTTATGTATGTCAACTATAACAATGCGACTACATCGAAAAACCTGAATGCCTCGAGCACTTTTAGTGACATGGAACAATTAAGGTATCCCAAGTTGTTAGACATTCGAGCTAAAGAATTTTCAATGAGTGACACTAAACGATGTAAGGACCCTTCGAAATTAGGTATGTTTATTCTCGTCTTGTCATGACTATTATTTTCAAGAAACAAATTGCCTTATCGTGTTATTTTTCTTTTTATCTATTTCAATATTAAACATACAACATTATATATATATATATACATATTAATTACTCAAATACAGGTACATCAAGAAGAGTATTGGGAGAAGTGTTACGCGTTGCCAAATATTGTTACACACTAGAAGTTTCATTCTTTAGCTTCAAGACATCTTCTGTAGAAACCAAACTTACTCCCTTCACCACCGAAAATTATCAAAGTCTGGGGAAGAATATGTGTTTAGCTTTGGCAGATTTTTATGGCCTCTCAATGACGAGAAGTTCCTCACCATTTCCTTCTGATTGAGGCAAGTATTAAGAAGATACATGCGTGAGACATCTCAATGGTGTAATGACTTGTTGTCCGTCCCTTAATAAGTCACTATCCTCAACAACAAAATTGGCTGGGTGAAACAACTCGACAGTTTTGCAGAGTTGAATAAAAAGAATACGAAAAAAAATGAAGAAATTTCACAAGATTTATTCATCATTTTCGTTATCTTACCAATTCTTGCGACACATGTGTCTTCGCAAACACAATAGTTTTATGGCTCCACATGATCGAAATGTTATCCATCATGATGTAAAATGTTGGAAATATTATTCAACGAACACTTTTGGAAATCACAATGAAAGTTCCTCACCAGCAACAGACAATGTCTCATCATCACAAAATAATCATCAAAATGTGGATCTCAAAAAACAATCTCGGGCTCACTTTCAACTCATGCATAAATTAGGACAACTCTCTTCACGAGCCATTACCAATCAAAAATTATCAAAATTCGAAGAAGCCCTCGAAGATTATAAGAAAATTATTGAACTTCAACCCGATTCTGTATTTGCCTTGTTACAAATTGGGCATTTACTTGCTTTTGATTTGAAACGAAAACAAGAAGCAATCCCATATTTTGAACAAGTCATTCAACTCACCACTCCAGATTTTGGAAACAATGGTGAATTGCAACCTCATGAATTGGACGAAATTCGAATGTTGGAAATTGAGTATCAACCCAAAGCCAATTATTTTCTCACAAAGGTTTATTTGGAAATGGTCCATGAAAGCTCATCGATGAGTGTTCAAGAACGAACACAACTGTTGGAAAAGGCAAAAGTATCCATCGATCATGCTGTACAATTATTGCATGAAGTGAGAGAGGATTTAGAAACTCCTATTGAAGTGTTACAACCTTTTGAACAATTACAGGAGCAAGTATATCAAGCATTGAGAGCTTAGAAAATTCAAAGAATCTATCTGTTCTTTGAAATGTTAGAGAGCATCATCGTGATGATTGGATTATGGAAGCAAACAAACCCAGTGGAGTCTCACAAAAATAACCTTAAATTGTGAAAATACCGTTTATATATTTAAAATTGTTAAAGTTGATCAATGATTCTCCTTTTTGCAGTTTCGAATTGGACATTAAAATCAACCAAGAAAGAAAAAATGCATGCATCTTCAAGAGGCTACACTTCACCATCCTTGAATGAAGTTAAAAAGACCTTGATGAAGGCAATCACCAATGATGAACAGCAACAACATCGGACAGCATTGATCTATTATTTACAATGTATGCAACAAGTTTCGGAGTTTGTTCAGGCAGAATTATTGAAAGCCTCTTCCAATCAGCAACAACATCCACTCTCGGAGCAATCTCATCAATTATTGAAATACTCAGAACAATGTATGGAGAGAATTACATCACTGGCTACGCCGTTATTTCAAAACAGTGGATCTTCTAATTCTGGTGGAAATCAAAATTCCAATAATAATAATGGTAGTAACGGTAGTAGTAATGATAGTGGTGGTCATAGCATTGGAACCCTCCGTGACTCAACTCCTTCCTCAAATACAGGGGCGTCATGTAATAGTACCACCGTCGCTACTGCTAACTCTTCAAAACTCAATCAAACAACTGCAAAAACCAGTCAAACGACGGGCTTCACTCAAGCAAGTTCTGGTGTAGTCACAACCAATTCCTCTCCTGTGGTGAATACCAATCTCTTAACAAAACGAAACTCATTCAAATCATCACAGTCGTCGGCTTCTACTCCCACTAACACTCCTCCTCCATCATCACAACAGCCAAAACTACTGAAAGGTGCATTTCCATCGAAAGTGACGAGCAGTAGCAGTACGACAGCCCAACGAATTCCCAACAACGCCATGCCCAACACGTCAAGTTTAGCAAATCAACATTCAACACCAGTTCTGAATGCCATCCCACAACCAAAAAGCTCTCCATCCAGCTCCACCTCTGCTTCTTCATCAAATGTTGGTGGCAACACGTCAACAATCGATTCCAAGAAAACTGTAAGTTGTGAGTCAACATGTTCTGTGAAATATTTACTTCGATTTAAATAATGTACCATGATCGGGTTTGACTACATGTCATACATGCATGTAATTCACAGCTCCAAATGAAAAGAAAGGAATATGAAAAAGCCCAAATTATACAAATGAAAGAACAAATGATTAAAATGAGTCAGGAACGAGCTCGACAAATGGAAATTCAAAACAATGTAAATAACTTTTTGCAGAGGATTCAAAATAAGAAACGAACCTTCCGATGGAAAGAACAAGATGCATGGTCCAAGTTTGTTGACACCAATTTTAATTACCAAAACATGTCACAACTTCTCATCGAGCAAGATCGAGTGTTTTTGGATGGACTCTCAAATCCATCCTTGTTGAAGCCTATTGAAACAATTCGTTTCGATGGACTTGAGGACGATTCCAAAGCAGTTGATCCAACCACTGAAGCTTCCATCAGGAATCATTGCATGAATATTCTCTCAAATCCTTCTCATACTCTCAGTCAAGTGATTGTCAAGTTTTCAGAATATTTTGGTGACATGTACAATAATGCACAGTATATTAGTAATGGAGGTGATCATGAAATACGAAGTTTAATTTCAAAATGTGTCAATGATATTGAATTATTTGTAGAAAAATTAAGCATGGTTTTATTTGGAAAATATTGGGAGCTTCCATCACACAAACACGAAGAGATTGTTATTGATTGTATCATGGAGACGTTGTGGGGCAATGGAATATTTTCCAAATTAATGTATTTATTTATTAAGGTGTATAGTGAAGAGACCAATAGAATGAATGAAAAAATTAGCAAGTGTTCGCATACCATCACACTACATGCATTGAGAGTCTCTGATAAGTTTCTTCTCGAGCATGAGAGAAATCCCTACGAGAAAAGTATTGCATTATTCAAGGAATCAGAACAATATCTATCGGTGAATAAGAAGATTGAAAAAATTTGCCAATCCATTAGCCAAATCTCGAAGGACGTCAATGACTATCATGCCAAACATGGAACTCTCAAAGAATCCATTGTAGTGGGAGCCGATGACTTGCTACCAATTTTCATCTATGTTGTGGCGAAGGCCAATTTTCAAGATTTATATGCCAAATTTCAAATGATTAGTGAACTCATTCCAGAATATACAATTAAGGGAGAATTTGGTTACGCACTTGCTACCTTAGAAACAGCCATGAATTGCCTGATGTCATTTGATAATGGTGAAATGCAAGAAATTTCTACCATTGATCAGATTCGAAATGAGCTGAATTCATTCGAGACTAAATTGGATTACCTTGATGATGCCTCTTCGATGAGCTCGCACGAATATGATATTCAGGAAACCACTCCATCCGCAGCACAGCAATTCTCTCCTAGTGGATATGGATCTGGTTTTGTATTAAGTAGTAGTAGTGGTAGTGGCACTGGACATTCTTACAGACAGGTAGTCAACCCAGCTGCTGACGAAGACACGGAAGCACTCATTGGCGATTTAGAGAACGGAGGAGAACTCGATTTGGGTGACATTTAATTTCTGAGCGCGTAAATTTAACCAAGAGTTTTCATGCATTTTCACGTTTGGAGATAATGTTGTGCTCAATCTATTTCTCTCTCTTGTTGATCTGGATATATCCACACCAAATCAAAATCTTAGTAAACGATGATCATCACCTGAAAATTCCAAACAAGTTCCTGTTCTGTGGCTTTCGCTCCCCAAAAACAAAATCACACACAAAAGAAACTCAATCCAAATTTTTCTGGCGCCACTCTCAGTGCTCCTTGATTTTTGATCTTGCAAACACAATCCACGAAAGCTTGGAGATACGTATGAATGTCCTCTTATAATAATAATAATTATTATTATTATGGGGCAGCAGCTGGATCTTCCTCTGTGTATCCGAACAATTCATCGTTGTTTCAATATTCCAACAATCATAATAACAATGGTGGTGGTTTGATGGTATCGCAAACCTATGAAGATGGTGGTATTTCGTATCATCATCATCACCGTCATGATCCTTATCATCCACAACACCAACAACAAATAACATACGCTCATCAACAACCTTCGATGAATTCATATTCATATTCGACTCATAATCCTCATCATCACCATTATCAAATACAACAACAAGTAGTGGCCGATCAATCCTCGTTCATCTCCATTGATTACTACAATGAAAATGATTTTTTGGAAAAGGAAGTCAATAGCAACAATAATACTACTTCCAGAAAACATTCTCATCAAAGAAGGGACTCTTTTGATTCCTCCACCACTCATACCTCGGTCGCTTCCTCGGTGGCTTCTTCCACTCGAGCCAGCAGCGTAAGAGGAATCTCGGTACCGAGATCGTCTTTTGAGTACTCAACTTCCTTTCATCCCAGCAACAACACAACAACGATGAATCCACAGCAACAACAACCAAACTCGAGCTATTATTATCGACCACAAGCACAACATCCCTCTTCATCTATCCATATACCCACACCTTCTCCTCCCAATGTACCATCATCATCCTCTCGAATTGTGCCTTCTCTCAATACTCAACTCATAACACATTATCAAGCTTACGAGTCGTTAGAGACTGATTCCTCAGTGGATGTGTGTCCCGTGAAGGATGATCATATTTGGATGATTGATAATTTGGTTACAATTGAAGAGGCTGAACAATTAATTGACATTTATCAGGATATTTCCCGAAGAAAGGCAGAGTTGCTTTTACAACAACAATTACAGCTTCAATTACAGAAACAGCAGCAACAACAACAACAACGAAACTCGCACTATGGAAACAGAGTGGCCTCATCGTCAGCATCATCGAAACTGCCACGAAAAGGGCCCTCATCGAACGATATTCTTGCTAATACCACCGTTCCTGCATCGCCGGCATCATCGATCATGTCAAATACCAACACAGTGCCAACCTTTCACAACTACATGATGAATAACAATGAAAATGGCATTAATTTTGAAAACAGAGTTCAACATATCGAGTACACAAACGAGGAATTTGCAAACTTTATATTTGAACAATTGAAAGATGTTCTTCCGCCAAATCAGTCAAAAGTTTTTGGAGAAAAGATCGGAAGAACATTTGAATTGAGTTGTATTAATGAAACATTTAGTATTTATGAATTACGACCAGGTGAAAAGATTGATAAATCGAAAGGAGAAGACAAGTGTAGAATTATTGAAGTTGAGAGTGAAGTCAGCTCAACATCAACTGCCGCAAATATGGAATCTTCTTCAGCTCGAGCTATTGGTCACAACATGCACAATAGTTATGTGACAAATTCGAGATATTCCTCAAATAATGCTGTACAGTATACGAGTATGGGGCCAAACAAAGGACGAGATAATACGAGTCTTCAACGTTCCATTCCAACCATTACAGAGCGATATCACGAAAAGAGTTTCCTCACTTGTGTCATTTGCTTGAAAGGTGTTGTTAACACGGCACAAAACGAGTCCAATCAACGCTTGTTTGGTATTAATCTGTATGACATGTCGAAGGAGAGACCTGAGCACTTTGTCGTTTTGGACCACGTGGGCAAGAGTTGCCTCTTCAGCGATAATGCTCAACTTTTTGAAGTGATTGAAAATTTTGGAACGGAAAATATTTATCTTTTAGTGGTCAATGTCATGTATAGATCGAAGATTTCGTCGAATCAACCTCTTAGTTCAAAATCTAGCGATGCTACTTGCACGCTCGAGCAGGATTCTCAAAATGGCGTGCTAAATGTCACAGAAGAAAATCAACAGACACAACAATTCTCAGGTTATACCAATGATCCATATGGAGACGAACATTATTTAGAATTGGAATCTCAAAAGAAAAAGAAGAAATCGAACGTGAGCAAATACGTATTGTTGGCCTTTGGAACGGGTATGGTTGTCCTCACGAGCTTATTTATTCAGGGTGGACGAGTGAACAAACCCATTGTTGCCAAACTTCTTTCCATCATTTCAAAACATTTGAATATTTAACGTTTTGTGGTGTTGAATTTTATTAGAAAAGATTTGTTAGAGATCTTTGCAAGATAGATCTCGTCGTACGCATTGATTTTTATTGAACCAAACAATTCTTATCGATGGATTTGTGTTTCTTTTGCTTACTCGGTATGTGATGATTCGCAATCTGATGATGCAGTAAATTCTTGCTTCCCACACGAAAATTTGCAGCCTCGATCGATTCAAGTGCAGCATTATTATACCTCAAATCCAATTCTTCCAAATTCTGCAAGAACGGACTCTGAGACAATTCAAGCACTCCTTGATCACCGATTTGATTCTTTCGCAGGGACAACTTTTGCAACTTCCATAACAGGGGGCTATGAGCAAGTGCAAGGGCTCCTTCATCTCCAATCTTATTGTTATTTTCATTGTCAAAGTTACTCAAACTCAATTCAGTCAAATTGCAAAGCTGTGAAGTGACTGGATCAGTCAATGCTTTCACTCCTTCAGGTCCAATATTATTGTTGACCAAAAAGAGTTGAGTCAAGTTTGAGGCAAACATAGCGTTGGCCACATATTTAACTCCTTCATCTCCAATGTTATTGTATCCTGCTTCGAGGTAGGTCAAATTTGACAAGTGACTGCTCTCACACAAGTACTTGATTCCTTCTTTTTCAATGTAATTGTTCGTAATATTCAAAGAGGTCAAATTCTTGAACAATTGAAAAGCATGATGTGCAATAAATTGCGCTCCCGTCTTTCCAAAAAAGTTTCGATACAAATTCAAGTACCTTAATCCCAATGATGATGCAGAATCATTTGGAAAGGAATGCGTCACCAACTGAACAGAAGCAGATTTCAATGGACTCCAAGCACTTGTTGTTGCACCACCAGAACTTGACAATGTTTGAGAAGTGAGTGGCATGAAATTGTCAAATCTCACACGATTTCCTTGAAATTCAAAGGTTTTCAACTTGTGGTAATTGTTGGATGTGAGAACACTTAAAAATCCTTCCATTGTAATTAGCGGATAATTTCCACCAATGTCCAAACATGTCAAATGAATGAGTGTGGAGCTAGTGGCAATGGCTTTAACTCCTTCATCAGTGATACTTGTCCCTTGCAATAAAAGAGTTTCTAATTTGGTTAAATATTCACTTTGTGCCAATTCTTTGACTTCAGAATCTGTCACTAATCGACAAAAACTTAAGTTAAGGTGCTTGAGTGAGGTAAGGTAGGGTGAAGTGGCTAAAGTCTTGCAGAAAGGATGTTGATATTTGATTTGGAGTTTGGTCAAGTTTGGGAAATAGGGTTGAGTTTTTCGAAAAGTCTGGGAGTTGTCACTTGTCAAATTCTTGGAATGTCGTCTTCTTGGAGAGACTTGTCTTGGTGAGATTTGTATCGAATGTTGTGACAAATTCAAAGCATTGCTTGAAGTTGGAGAGACATTCGAAAATACGCTGTCACTCATTAACAAGGCATTTCCTGACAACGGTGAAATGCCACCTGTCATTCCTGACGAGTCCAAAAACAACGCATTAATCATCACACTCTGATCCTTCATTGAAAAATTCAACTGCAAATCATCCAATTGAGTAAAATATCCTTCCTTACAACACTTTACAAAAATCTCAATTCGTTTCAAATCCTTTTTTCGATCTCTCTCATAATCTGGTGAATAAACTGTAAAAGTCAAAGGACCTGAAAAAATTCCATATTCTCGAATGAGATCTCTCCAACTCTGACATACCATTCGAACTGTCTTGAAGATGAAATTTCCAGAAAGAAATGTGAAAATGTAACATTTGAGTTCGTCAGGAAGCTCTTGAAAGGCACTTGTTGAGTGTGAAAAATTGTAATTGGAGAAATGGGCTTGTTTTGAGTATTGGATGCATGCTGAACGATCTCGAGTGGAATGGAGTGAGGATGTGGAGGATGGATACATGTTGTGAGATGGTTTTGATTTTAGGATGGGTAGTTGACTGGATAATGACATGGACCTCTTGCGTTGTAAACCTGGTGGTGGAGCAGGCGATTCGTCAGCAGCAAATGATTTCCTTGAAATGCCACTACTACAACTGTCGGTGAAGGAGGACATGGATATGAGTCCCTTCATGGTCGTTGCTTCCAATTGCTAAAAATGGAAAGGAGGTGATTGGCAACAACGTGATTGTCTGTTTTTTTCTGTGAAACAGTGTAAAAGGTAATATTGTTAATGATGATACAAAGTAGTGGAATGATGAACAAGTGTTAAATGCAAAATACTTTCACGTGTTACAACAATTTGACGTTTGGCAGTTGATACCTGCCCGCGCAGAGAAAACAAAAAATTAAACTGCCGTTGGTTTTTGCTTCTAATAACGTTACTAATGTGATACCCCGTCGTGGAGCCAAGTAGTTTCTTTGTTTTGTTTTCAACGTTGTTGTTTCAGTGCCGTGATTTGGAGGCTTGGTAGCCCAACCTGTCAGTTGTCCAAATTTTTTCAAAAAGAATTCTTTCAAAAGAGCCGATTTTTCATCCATTGTTGTACAAGACATCAAACATTTGATATGTGCTCGGAATTAGGTGTTTACCAAATTTGATTTGATCGTTTAAATGGTTTATCCTGAGTGGCCAATTTCGGATGGCTACGGCCATATCACGATGAATGCACCTCATCCCGTCCGATTTGAGAAGTTAAGCATCGTCGAGCTGCATCAGTACTGAGGTTGGAGACAACTTGGGAACCTGCAGTGCTGTAGCCTTTTTTTGCTTTATGAATTAGCCATTCTAGTAAATTAAAGTCGGTAATTAGTACATAATTCCATCTGATCCAACGATATGTTATCGAAATTAAACAATTGAATTTCCATGAAATCTTATTGTTTGGGAAAATTAAAACAGAAAGATCTTCCAAAAATGCTTGAATATTTTAATAGAAAAGAAAAACAACACAATATTCAAGAAAAGGAAAGTAGATCAGAGGTTCATCATGAACGATATGTCTAATCCCATTGGGAATCTCCTGAATATGGTTAGAAGAATCTCCATGGAGCCCTATTAATTGTGAACAAAAGGTACTAAAGAAAAATTTTAAGAACACAGGTACATTCAGAGTTGAATTTCTTCATTATTACAGTTTCATGAAGGAAGTAGTAACACTCAAAATTTATTGGAGATTATGAGAAATTCTCTCAATTTGGAAGAGTTGGAACAGTTATTATTATTCACTGCAAGATTTTTGCGATCCTTGCAATCTGAATCACATTACGATCGTGCCACGGATGAGGTCGATGAAGTGGTACAACGTGTCTCCGAAAAGATTTTGACACTCATTTCCTCTATGAAGCCACACGTGATAAATTGAATCCAGTTGTGGCCGAGGATTACATTAGTGCCGTATTTCCAATGATTAGAGATGCCTACGAAGAGTTGGGAATGCAAATTTTCTTTTTAATGAATATTTTCAAAGATGCGGAACGTGAACAATTGCGAATTCTCTCACGAAATACATTTTTGGAAGAACACAAAACTCTCAAAGTCACAAACTTTTTGAATTTACATCAAGATTTGCTGAGTATATTTTCTGAACACACAGGTAGTATTGAAGTATTGAGAAATAATAATATCGAAACAGTTTACTTTCCCATTCCAAGAATTTGTGAAAATTTAATGGATAAGGCACGTCATGATTATGTACATTCACTTCCAATCATGACTCCAGAAGAAAAAGTGAGACAGCTCTATAACGATACATTTAGTCGATTTTATGTGGAAATGCAACACTATGAATCCATGAGAAAGAAAAAGTCTCTATTTGGAATGAAAGACAAGATTGAAGAAATTGTAAATTTGGATGTCATTTCTCATCATCGATCTTCCCATTCTTCAGAACTCGCGACAAGGGACACTTCCTCCTACTTTTCATTATTGGATGAAAATTCATCCTTAATTCCATCCATCAATGACATTCGTCGATATTTGGCTCCAAAATCCAAACGTAAAAAGTTTGTACCACATTCTGCACACAGCAATGAAACTTCTGCAAGTTGGGAATTTATTGCTCATTTTGGGAATATTTAAGACTTTCTTCCTTTATTTTCTGTGTGGTGATTAATATCATCTTATTAGGAACATATAAGAGATTATATTCGGTAGACACTATGAGTGGTATTCCAGTTCCTGGTTACTCTAATTTTGATGTGTTAAATGCTCCTAAATATCCGTCACCGCGGACACTTGCTGGAGATATTGTTTTAACCATTGTTGGTGCCATTCAATTAATCATTACAGCAACATTGAGTGTAACCTATGTGAAATATTTTGTCACACTCGAGGTGAAGAAACGATTTAAATTGAAGAAACGTGAAACATGGGACAGCATTCCAAGAAATCGTCATTTTTATTGGAAATTCTTTTTATACATTTTGAGAGATACACAATTGTGGTTTTTCGTTATCTATTTCATGTTGAGTATGATGGGTTTATTAATTTCTCCACTCGTTTATAGTATTCAACTTTTTGAAATTGTGTTCAGATTTAAATCATTGACTGATGTATTGAATGCTGTCATTTCGAATGGAAAGAAATTATTCTTTGCTGGAATGTTGTTATTGATTGCCATGTTCTTCTTTGGATTACTCTATTTCACATGGTACAGTTATGATTTTATCACCACAACGACCAATCTCAATACTTGTGACACAGTGTTAGCATGTTTTGTGACAACATTTGATTATGGATTTAGAACAGCAGCATCGTGGGAGAATATTTATGCACCAGATCCTGGAGTTGGAAGAGCTATTTTGGATTTGAGTTTTACATTGATTGTTATTGTGTTTTTGTAAGTACTAGTGTTCCAGTGATCACTGTATCTATGTGATTCGAAAATTTTACTTTTCAATTTTTTATTGAACATTTAATTCATTCTACCTGATTCTCCGAATTCTATTATTTCATAAAATTCAATGTCAATACATGTCACAGAACCAACGTGGTGTTTGGTACCATTCTCGACTCATTCCAACAACTGAGAAAAGCACGAGAAGAACGAAAAAAGGAAATTACTGAAAAATGTTTTGTCTGTGCTTTGGAAAAGAGCAAATTCGACACCAAAGCCAACGAAGGAATTACCTTTGAAAAACATATTAAGGAAGAACATTATTTGTGGAATTATGTTTACTTTTTAATTTATTTATATGAAAAACCAGAGACAGAATATACTGGAACAGAAAGTTACATTTTCCAAAAATGTGAAGATAATGACGATGTGACAAGCTTTTTCCCAATCTTTAGATCTAAGACCATTGAAGAGAGTGAAGAGAATCATCATCTTTCTGCCTCCCAACAAGCACCATTTAAGGAAAATCATTAAATCACAATTCTCATCAATATGTCCAACTGTAAGACATGCGATGCTCTTTAGAAATTGGATCAAGAAATGATAAATTGGAAGGACCATTCGGTTTCACATCAAAATCTCCACCTTTCATCTGTCTCTTCAATTCTCATGCAAATATAAATGTTCCGCCAATTCGTAACACGAAAATGCAATCCATTGCTTTTCATACTTGATTTTATGTTCATACGAGAGTGCCTTCTTGAATACTTTCTGTTGTTCATCATTAGATTCATCTCCCAAAACACTCAACATTTGAGCATGAATGACACAACAACCAGCACATAAATCTGCGTTAACTTTGGAAGACTTTTCTTCTGACAAGCTCCAATCATTCTGTCTCCTCCATCCATCACATGTTTCACAAACAAATCATGCAAGGTTTTCAAATATTGAGGTTTAAGATTGGCCAAATCTCTTCTCAAATACGCTAATTGGAAGTAGAACATGACTGAAACCAATAATTTCGTACGGTCACTTTTCACATGTTTCAACAATTCCAATTTTTCCTTTGCAAATTTGTTGGAATTAGTCATGCATGATTCGAGGCGACCATTGTTGATCATTTCCAAAACGCCCTTCTCATCTCCAAGGAAGATTTTACACACAACCAAAAGGAAGGCACAATTTCCTTTCGAATCAAGTTCTCAATGTTGTTGAGTTGAAAGTAATTCCTCGAGTTGTTCATGAGCCTTCTCAAATTGACAGGACATCATTTGCATGTTGATCCATTGTCATTCCTTGTGAAATGTGTTCGAGAGCTTTTTCTAAATTTCCACTCTTCATTTCATAATGAGATTGAATAAATTTAAAGAAACCACTTTCATCTCCATAAATGTGTGAAATCTTTTCCAAAATGGGACGAACACTACAACATAAACGTATTAAGAGGCGGCATTGAGAAAAAAAAATTTCCCTTCCAGCCAATTTTTTTCTCTGGCTCGAGAGATCTCGTTACCTGTCACTCCCACCCCTGTATACGTTACTGGGGTCCTTATGTTGTAGTGCATGTAAAAGATTCATGCTCTTATCTTCGAATGCTCTTGGAAAACAAGTCATTAAGACATAACATGAATGAGACAGAGATGAGAAAATTAAACACTCTGTATTTGTAAAAGTAAAGATGGGCGTATATATAATGGTGTTCCCATTCATTTTGTGATTGAAATCCATAAATAGTAAACTTACCCAATTCCTAAATAGGTACCAAAAAGGACATCACTGGGAATGAATTGAGAACTGTCTCTTGATTCATTCTTGAGTGATTCCACACAATTGTGGACTTCCTTATATTTCAAATAAGACTATCTAAAGTTGTAGAAACCTTTAAAGTAAGATCCACTCAAAAATTGAAGCATTCCTCTCAACAAGTGATTTTCAGCATCGACCAACTTTAAATCCAATTCAAAGTTGAAGAATTGTTGTTCTGGAGTCATTTCTTTCAGTTCCACATAATTGGGGTGAGATTTGTCACATTCATCGTACAAGCAAGAGGACGATGAAATTACATTTTGTTGCAGATCACATAAATCATTCAATTTCTTTATAGTTTCAATCATTTTCAAAACATCATCCTTCCTGTAACAGTTTCTCAAAGATTGTTCTGCCTTCTCTAAACTCGCAAAAGCTGAATGACATTCACGTCTTTCTCGAGAAATTCCAGCAATATAAGTATCAATACTTGCATATTCAAATGCAAATCTTGGAATGGTTTCTACCTATGGAGATAAATATTCTCTTGCTTTTGTTAATTCTGCACGTCATACCATACATGATCCCTTCTTGACACACTTGTACATGGTGATGATAAAATAAGTGTTTTTGTTTTGGATATTGTTCAGAGAATCCAAATTCTTTTTTTTTTGTTGTGGTGATGAATTTATATGAAGAACATGCTCGATCTCTTTCGATGAACATGCAAGTTCCGTTTTGGAACTCGTTTCGTTTCGTTTATTATTTTAACGAAACACATTCACTGAATACATTGTACTAATGATTGGAAGAGCTGAACTGAGGAAATATTTTTCAAATATTAGTTAGAAAACATTCACCATTATTGATCATTTGCTCATTTTCTTTCAGCCACATCATGTTCCAAAAACAATTAAGCTTCAAATATTTAGGTTTTAGAATGTCCAAATTACTCTATTTGAGAACAATTCACAAGACAATATCAAATGTTAACCCCAGATCACCACTGCAAATGACATGAAGCTCTATTAGCCTTGTTCACCTCATCCTCAACACATGTTGGTAGGTTCTCACCAAGTTCGTTGTTGGTCTTTCATTTATCGACGTATCATTTTTGAATTCGAAGTGAGCATGAGACTCATTTTCATCAGGCATAAAGGAATCAAGAGAGTCTATTTTGATCGAACTCATCCATCTCTGTAATTTCGATACCCTTCTCCAAGAAGAAGCTTTTGGGTTCAATCAACCCGCACCTCTCTGCTGACGTCAATTATTTTCAAAAATTCGTAAACAATTTACGTTGCAAAGTTGAGGAAAAAATTTTTAATCTCAAAGCAAAAGCGTTACAAATTAATGTTTTCTCGTCAATAAAAAATGTCAATAATCCCTATTAACGTTTAAGAAATTGCGCCGTCAAATTAACGATCTGAATTGACGTCGAAAATTTGCGTTTCATCATCAATTATTGCTGTTAATTGTTTCGTTTTTTCCTCACTAATTTTACACAATTTTCTATTACTTGTTTCACTTTTCCAAGTTCTCCAACTCAACACAAACATGAGAATATTGACAGTCTCTTTAAACAATACCATTTAAATTTTCGAACTCCATATCTAGATGATACAAAAAAGGAAGAAAATGCCAAAAAGAAAAAGGGACAAGTAATTCAACAGGAACAGCAACAAATAACTCTTCAATCAACAACAACAACTACTACTACCAACACAATGACCATGTTGTCAGCGACAACAGATTCTCAAAATGTCCTTGACACAAAGAAATCATTGAGCAAATTGTTGGTTAATGTGGCAAAGGACCATGAGGAGGATTCAGCTGCTTCTTTGGTGACTGTGAGCCCAACCATTCAAAGCACATCATCTGTTGATCCATTGTTGCAAGATAAAGATACAACAAGCTCTGACCAGTAAAGTCCATAATGATTTGGGTTAATTTCGCTAAAGATACAGAAATAATCCATTACTCTCTCTGAGACTCTTTGTGAAAATCGAACGTTCATTTCTAGATTCTTTAATTTAGTATACGAAAGGCAATCAAGAGGAAATTGTAGAGATGTAAAACTCCTTCAAACTTCTTGTAAATCACCTTCACAAAGGTAAATTAAATGTAGCTCTTTCAAATACAGCGTTGTGAGCAACGATGATACATTTAGCCAAAAAGTAATTACAAATTTGTTGCGTTGCTTCCAGTTCAGGACATCCATTCTTAACAAATTTGCATTTGTAATTCCAGTTATTTGTGCTGTATATATATCAATAAATTAGTTGAAAAAAGATTAGAATTAAACAATAAGTCAAATAAAAAACAATGTCTACTTCAGCATTGATGTCCTGTTCAATAAGGTTAGTTCAGTAAAAAAAAGGAAATAAAAAAATGACCAAAGTCAAAAGAAATAACAACAAGTGTTTGAAAAAAAATTCTCTCGTAATAATGGGAGGGAGTGGTGGGTGTCAAAGCAGATTGCTGTGAAGTTGCAACTGGGTTGCTTTGCTCTTTGGAGAGCTGTTTTGCTTGTGCATTGGAGGTTGACATATTTTTAGCGATAAAAAAGTCAACCTCCAATTATTGTTTTCGTTACGTAACACTTCTGTTCTTTTCCAAAGAACTATCAAATATTATTTTTCCTATCAAAGCATCATTCTTCCACAAAAGGAGTTAATTGTTTCGAAGAGGTAAACAACAAGAATCGTTTGGTTAATTTAGAGGAACAGATGGGTTTGTAGTCTCTCTCCAAACACCCGACCTTAATAAAGGTCCGGTGTTTGTGGGATTTTCTGCATATTTTGTCAATTGACTTTATTCAGCAGAGTCCCGAGTATTAATAAAGATTTGAGAAGGTAAAAAACTCCAAAAACCGCTCAGCGGAAAAAAGGAGAAAACCAAAGAAACGCAAGGAAGTAGGATGGAGGAAGGCAGAGACAAAGATTCTAAGATGTGAAGCGCAAGAAGTCACATTAAGCAATTGCTTGATAAATCCATGAAAATAAGATAACATGATGAATTAAATACATGAAATTAAAATAATAAAATATATGGTTAGCTCAGTAAAATCTTTGTCGAAAAGATTCGATCAAGTTGGACCTGCACTGTCTTAATGTTCTTCCTTACCACAAGAACATTCCGATCAGCGAAAAAGGTACCTTAGAAGCTTAAGAAAGCAAGTGGGTGGGAAGTCACTAAGTAAATCAAAACGCACGAATATGCAGAAAATTTTTTGAGCATGAAAATATTTTTCGTTGCTCAACCAAACTCTTTTAATGTTTACAATCGAAACATTCATGCCCTTCACTTCGTTCAGAACATATCAACTTACAATCACCATCACGAGGATGGTCTTTTTCAGCATTATAAGAATGGTTGCAATTGAATTCCTTTTGTGAATTTGGTTCTGTTGACTGGGAACTATGTGTTGATCTTTTCTATTGATGAGGATATATTCAAAAGCCTACAAGGTTCACACCACTTGTTGCGTTTCTGCTTTACCATCCTTTTCTTTCCAAATTGTTTTGGAGCAGTGGAGTACCTGACTTTTGTGTCTCGCGAGATCCACAACAACAACAGAATACCAATTTATTTAAATGTCAACTTGGTTGTTCCTGCAAAACAACAACACAGGTAGGAGGTTTTCGTTCTCCTCTAGGTAAAGTTGCGCACAAATATATTGACACACGCTTGCGATATATTGAATGGTAAAACAAAGAAGTTCTGAATCCATTGGGGAAAAAAGGAAGACTGTAAGTCTAAACTCACAATTTTTTCTTAAGAGCATTTTGTTAAAGAAAAATCGACGCCTCAAAAGACAACGCTCGTGTGTCACATTCCAATGTTGCGCACAAACAAAAGTTTAAATATATATATATACCCTTGCAATGAATAAAACAGAATGGTGGAGAAGCACTGAATCGATGGGGAAAGAACGGGAAACCCTTGCATCAGGTAAATTAATTGTTCCCCAAGAATTTTACATCATTTAGCAATCTTCTTTTTAAAATATAGACACTACTCACGTATTAGAATGCAATGAATTGCAGTTTATTATGTACAACGAAACCTCTACCAAGTAATATATGTTTGATCTAGCGGACCTCACCAAAACACACCCTGGACAAAAAATCTAATTAGTTTATTGTTAGCACCATTGGTGCTGGTAAATCCGTGAGGATTGGGGATTGTTTTTGAACTGTTTTTTTGAATCTTGAGTTTTCATAGTATTTGGTGTGACATTTACCAACTAGTAAGGTGAGAATTATTTGGAGTTCAGGCCAATTTTGGTAAATATTTGGTAAATTTTTAAGGTTGGGTATTTGAGTATCTCGAATCATTACTGCGTCATGGTGGATGATGAAAACTTTTCTTCTATCACAGTATCTTGATTCTTGATAATCGTTGAGGATGCATCTTATTGATGTAATTTCTAGGAATTTTGTGTAGAAAAAGTCCCTAAAACATTGAGTGTTAGGGCAATAGTATATAAAATGTTTTAGGGTTCCGGGCATTTGCAGTGAGCGCATTGTCTTTCCTTATGTTGTTTGATATGATTACTTGTCAGATTTCTCCAGATTGACCATTTAGTCTCTGTGTCAATTTTAGATTTGATGAATTTCAGATTGATAGATGACCAGTTCTTGGTAAGGTGTAGACTGGAATTATCTCTATCAAATTGGCTAAACATTACTTCGTAAAGTTTCTTTTGTATGGATTTTTTGATGTCGAAAATAATGGTATTTGATGTAGTAAGGATGGTTTGGTTTAAAAGTTTCCTAATGTCAAAGTAGTTGTGCTCTTGAGCTCCTTTCTTTGCTAATTCATCAGCTTTGATATTTCCTTCGTTGACGTGTCCTTTAACTTTGATTAGTTGAATATTCAGTTTGGATTGTTGAATGACCTTATAATATTCATGTTTAAAGCAGTTAAACATTCCATAATAGGCTTTGTTTTTCAAGATGTGGATGGATATTTCACTATCTGTGTAAATTTTTGCCTTGGATTTAGGTGGAAGTATCTTTAGTGATGTGAGTAAAGCTGACAATTCAGCTGACGTTATGTGAGTATTCACTGTTAATTTTGTAACCTTGATTATATAAATAGAAAAGAATATCTTCCTTCTCGTTGTCTGGTATATTGAAAGGTTTTTCTAAAAATGAAATAATATCTCGTGAAACTAAACCAAAGTCAAATATTTTAACTATATCAATCTTTGCTTCAGTTTTACCAAGAGCTGATTGTATAATACCTCCTACATCGACAGAAAAATTAGTTCCAGAAAATATAGATACATGAAATTTTTTTGTGGTACCAATTAATTGTGCAAACTTGGTTAAAAGTCCTCTCTTCTCACCACTCGAACTTATTATCTCGGAAAGCTTTTCACAACCACCTATGTTAGAGTTACCAAATCTAACTTTCACAGAAGGAATAGTAGTCTTTGCACATAATGTTTGCTCAAATTCATTTACCTTATCAATAGTCAACACCTTATTAGGGTTCTTGGTTGCCAATTCGTTCCTTGTGTTAGAATAAAACTTTTGGAAATCGTTTTCCTTATTATGGCGTGCTTGTTCTATTTCCTCAAGAAGGTTCTTCTCAAAGGTTAACAATGGTATTATATCTTGTCTTTTTTTTATCAACTCATCCACAACCCAATTGACTACAGTTTCGCATGTGATTGGAGGTGGGCCAATATATTTTTCAATTATTTGTTTCACGATATCATTTGCAGAGAGTTCATTCCCATTTTGTTGAGCTTTTTCGAGTTCGTACACAATCTTTGAGAGAGTTGTTCCATCAAATTTTGATAGAAAGGCTCTTTGATAGAAAGGCTGAGCTTGCTCTATGGTTAATCCAGCCCCACCGTTTAGTTTTGATTGGCAAAGTTCATCCTTTGTTTGATCCTTGTCCCACAAACGAAAATTTTGGGCATTAATGTTTCATTGACCCAATTAACAACAGTCTTGCAAGTGCTTGAAGGAACTTGAGTATAGTCTTTGCTTTGAGACAAGGAGGCAATAGCATAGTCTTTGCTTTGAGACAAGGAGGCAATAGCAAAGTCTACATCATGCCTCTTGATATCCTTTACAACTGATTATTATTTGGATATCTTTATGCTTAGAAACATTCAACAAATTTCTTTGAGACAAAAGATTGAGCATTCTGCGAAACTACAAGGACACCAAATAAAACAATTTATAAACTTTCAATTTTGAATAATAAACATGAAACGGATCCACTGACGCCAAGATGGAAATATTATGCTCAATTAACCCTGAACGGATTTTTGAGATCGGTCCTCCTTAATAAAATTGAATGAGGCCGTTGGAATTAGGAGATACCATTTTTTTTGAATGTTCTAATTGAAACGTTGTTGTTGTTTCAAAAGTTTTCAATCGTCAATTATAGACATCCCAAAAGTCAATTAGCATGATTTAAGGTCTTTTTGATTTCTTTTGTGGTTGTAGTGGAGTATGAGGTGCTTTGATAACACGTTTTCTCTTTTCTCCTTCCTTCATTCAACCTTGCGAGAGTTTTGGCGAAGTTTTTTGGTGTTCTTGGTTCATCCTCGTCAACATTTCTTTCAACATTATTCACTTCATTTTTACCTTCCTCCTCTTCAACACAGTTATATCTTCTTTGTCTTCATCCTCTTCAAAATCTTCTTCATCTCCTTCTTCTTGATCTTCATCATAAAGTTGATTCATAAAATCCTCATCTAATAAATGGGACATATTTTGATAATTTCGAGCGGTTCTCTATGAATTGTTGTTGTTGCTTGATTTTCATACGGGCTGATTTTTGAAGTTGCTCTGTTACTCTTTCAGAATTCCTCATACCCAGAAGAGGTACCTCTTCTGTTGGAAAATCTCATCCTCGTCGACTGTGGAGCAAAATCAAACTCTGTGTCATGATCATCATCATGCTTTGTTACAACTTCCCTTCCTTCGTTTGTATTCGAATTCAAAAGATATCAATTTCTTTACCTCTGTATTCTTTGCAGAGGTAAGGTCGTCGAACATTTTGGTTTCACTTTTTGCTGTAAAAGGCGACCAAATCTGCCAGTTAGCACAACGCGGTACAGAATTGTATTATTTTGACAGAAAATAAAATTTCTACATCATCTTCAAGGTTCACACGATCTAATTTCCTCCAATGATTCCCACAACAGCAACACCACTCTTTGATTCATTGCCCAAAGAAGATTTCAATCAAACCACTCGGGAGTATCTCCGATCTATTACTCAACAAGTAACCGGAGCGTTGATCAATGTTCCATTGTGTTGCTCGGCCTTTTCCAAGAAGGAGACGACTCCTCTTGTCGGTGATGATGATCAAGAGGAAGAATTAAATCCAACATTCATTCAGAAGGAACAAGAACATATGGAATCTCACAAGATGGATGAATGTATCGTGTTTTATCAAGCCTATAATTCAACCATTGCAAATTATGCAGTTCAAAATCAAAGATTTGAAGGATGTTCGGCATTTGATATGAAACGAATGACTTGGATTAAACCAAATTATTTGTGGATGATGTATCGGAGTGAATTTGCCAAGGCTTGGAATCAAACGAATATTTTAGCCTTGTATATTCAGAGAGAGTATTTTGAGAAGGTCATTTTGGAGAATGCAGTGTGTTCCATGTGTTATCCAGAGTTGGAGAAATACTATGGATCTAAGGAGAATTGGAAAAAATCATGTTTAAAGCAAAAACAAAAAGTTGGGAAATTTGTGAACGATATTAAGAGAAAAGAAAAATTGAGTCAATCGTCAAAACATGTGTTGGATATTCAAGAGTTAGTGGAAGAACAAAGGAAATTGGAAAAGGAATATTCATCATTGATAGATCAGGAAGAAGAACCATCACAGAATTTGCAAAACAAAGATCCAATAGTTCGCAACATTCAAAAATCAGCAAAAACAAGTGACAATTCGGAAATTTCAAACGAAAACAAACAAGAAAATGTGGAGGAAGCATCATCTGAATCCTTTGTTGGATTTGCACGAGTTCAATGGGATCCATATCACACGCCATCCTTTGGAAAAGTGCATGGAGGATTAACACGGGCCATACAAATTGGTTTGAAAGGGTCTTTCATTAGTGACATGGTCAAGTGTGGAGCCTTACGAAGAATTGAAGATATTACCGAATATGTGAAACAACAACATGAAAAGTATCAGAAAAGTGGTGATATTACAATTCCAGTTGAGAGATTTATAGAAATACACAATGAAATGACATGTAAAAAATTGGGAATTGTCGAAAGAATTCTTTCACAACCAATGACATCAAAAAGTAACTTGGACGATTCGAAATAAAGATAATCAGCACCTTTTTCTATTTTGTAACAAAATCAAATGATCTTCTGTTGCACAATGTAAAAAGCAAATCATCACGAGAAAAATTGTGTTGGAAAGAATAGGTTAGGTTCATTAATAGTCACCCATGTGAGGAGTGTCGAATTATGCAACCAAAATAGCATTATCATCTTCACAAGAATTATTGATTTGTATGTGATAGTGACACGACTCCATAACGTGTGACATGATTCCTTGTCTTATATTATTTCCAACCTAACTATCGCTAACAGTTTTGTCAGAACAATTGATGCAAATTAATAATTATTTTGAGCAGGGAATGACGGTGGACGAGTGGGTGTGGAAACAATTTCAACTGTAACGTCTTCCACACTCGAACTGCTGAGTGTATTTTCGTGATCCTCATCGTCACTATGTTGATAAAAATACTTTTCATCCACATGAAACGATTTGTCATTCCTCAACACATGAGTGGATGCCAATATTCCTTGATATTGCATCGATGAGAGCATAGTATGACTGCTACCACTACTATTAATTCCTGAATTTCTTTTCGATGGTGACTTGTTGGCATTCGAATAATAATATCCATTTCCAAAAGATTGTCTCTTGTGATCTGTGCTTCCATAATTTAAAATTCCCTCAATACTACTCGAATGGTTGAGGCCAAACCTCATTCCCATCGCTCCCTCATTACTACTACTGCTGGTATAGCCATCTTCACTCTCTCCGCTACTACTATTCTGACCATAAATCATGATCATCTTGTAAAGCATACTCTTTCTAAAGATTTGTCGTCGTTTTCGTTTCGTTTGTTTATACTCGACACAGAAACGACAGAAATTCGTACAAAAGATTCCAACAGAAATCAATACGAGAAGAAGAAGACATGCTCCAGCACCAATCACACCCAATCCCACAATGGTATAAAAGTGAATGAGATTGGTTTTCTCAAAGGAAACATTCTTTGGATTGTGAGGATCATAAAAACAAGGTACATGATCTTGCATGGAATAATTAGCATAAGGAGAGTTTTTAGAGAATGGAATGATGGAGGATTTGATGGTTTCTCCCAATGGATATTCGGAAGAGCTTGGAAGGTTGAATGAGACTGAGTAGGTGCATTGAGTGGTTATGAGGCTTGCATGGGAGGAGGAATCATCATTGGTGGATGGTGTTGAAGAGAGGAATGATATGGATGATGGTAAGATTGTTGATGATGAGGAGGATGAGGAGGAAAGAAAGGAAAAAAGGCTTGATGAGAGTGATGATGATGATGAATATGAACGAATTTCGTCTGGAGAGTCATTCAGTGATGATGATGCCGATGATGAAGAGGAACAAGTCTTTTCAGAGAGAGAAGTTTTCAGCGACAATAACAACACTTGATCTATGGACTTGTCCGATAATGATAATAATTGTTGTTGTTGTTGTTGTGGTGATGAACACAGTTGATGAGGTTGATGATGAAATTGTTCTTCTTCTTGATTGGTAATACATTGTAATTTGGAGAGAATGATACAAGTCGCTGGAGAGGTAATACTATCACTCGGCGATGTGATGAAAACCACCAATCCTACAATAAGCACAGCAATGGCAGGTAATAAACAAATCCCGATACAAGTGCCATGGAGGATGAGTTTGAAGGGAGAAACGTTCTTGAAGAGCAGCCGAGAAATATCTCGTTTGGTAAATCTCATAGTACTAATAATAATACTCTATCTACTTCAAAGATCTTGTATTTAAACTCTCTTTAATGATCTCAACTCTTTCGTGTTCTTCTTTTGTTGAAAAAGATTTTTTCTTTCTCAAATTTTCACAAACGTCAAATTCCACTTGGATGAAACCAAAAGAATCATGAGAAGCTCCAAATTCAAATGTGAAAGAAAAACGCACACCTCATTCTAAAATTCAAATATTCAATTTCGGTATGATAAATATATTATTAGTTCTGAATTTCAGGAATTAGCGTTAAAAAAGTTTTGCAGGAGGAATAAAGGAGATGGGTCGATTTGGGCCAATTTCCTTCTTGGATCCAAACGAATCCTCAATTATAAAGCAAGTTCGATTGATTGGTAATTGCGTGACAGTAATGGTTGCCTTAGTGCCATCAAAAAATAAATCAAATTTACCACCCACATAATGTACTCCTCGTAATTTCATGCTCGTCACATTGAGTTGAGTGAATGGTTGTGGATTTAGTAACAGGAAATCATCATTTGCTCTTAAACCTCCATAACCGTTTTGAACACTTTGTAAAAATCCACCTGCACCAGTCAAGAAATTAAAAGATCCCATATCTAGAAAATGTTTATAAGGATCTGGTGTCTCTGAAATGATATTAAAAGGAGGATGAATGTTAAGAAGAGATTTTCTGAAGGCCTCCGCTGCTAATGTATAATTTTTCAAGTCTATTCGTAACATGTATGATAACATCAAGTTAGGTCAATGTGTTTTCATTAATTCACAGTTGGACCAAATTTTACCAATACTTACCCAAATAGGTCACAGAATGCATAGAATACGTCATTGCAGGTCCTTCTGACCACATGTATTTTTCATAATATCTAATGTCATTGTACCTGACATGAGGTGGCATTTCGAACATGAGAGGATAGCCTGTCGTGTGTTTTTTCATGGTGTTTTCCATCATGCAGCATGAGTAAATCACATGAATGATTGTATACATGAACATGTAAATAAATTACATGAATTTTTGAGAACGGAGAATTCTTGTGATCACTGTCATTTTCAAAAAAATCACAAAGAAACATACCTAACAAGACAACATCTGCTTGTTTCACATACTCAAAGAAATAAATATTTCCCTTTGGAAAACCATCATATTCTGGATGAATCTGATTCACTTCATCGAATAGAATGGTCATGTTATTGGCAATTGTATCATACAATGGGACGACTTGTTTTTGAAGGGCACGTGCAGCCTTATTTGCAAAACGCAGAGAAATTTGAGCGACAACATTTGTGAAAACATTATTATCAACTCCACTATACCATGGAAATCCAATGCCGAATTCGTCAGGGCCAACCACTCGATGAATCTCATAGAGTCCAAATGTATTTCGAGTGACACGACTTGCCCAGAATTTTGCAATTTCAGAAGCGATTGGATAACCTCGAGTTGAAAGCCAATTCAAATCTTTGGTCAATTGCCAATAGAGTTGAAGAGCGAAAGCAATGTCACCAGTGATGTGCTGTTCCAATTCATTAAATAATGCAATTAAATCAACTTCTCTTCCACTGTACCCTAAAAATAAATAATGTGAAACATAATTTCCAAACATAATCATTATGTTGAATCAATGAAATAAAAATTATCATAGATTGGAATCGATTACAATATCCACATGAACATGATCACATGTTTGAGAGTGACAATATATTCTCGCTTAATCAATTCAGTGACTTACCGGATTGGAAAGGATACATGGCACCAGAATAGCCATATCGTTGAGCATGTTGCAGTGCTTGTTGAAGTCTCTCAAATCGATATTCAATGAGACCATGAGCAAGTTCTGGATACAAGTACACGAGAGAAGGTAAAACAAAACATTCTTGATCCCAAAACATGAGTCCATTGTAGGAATTTGTTGCAACTGTTCAAGTTCCATATTTCAATGTTCATGAAAAAGACAACAATGGATTGTAATGATTAAATTGAAAAATAATTCATGAAAACCAACAACAGTGAAATTAGACCCAAATAGAGTGATGAATAAGGCCAACTACTAACCTCCTCCTGGTGAAATACCCCAATGATAATCTTTCCTTGTTGCACTCAACATGTAATACAAGGTACTATTCACAGTTGCAGCCAGAGAGACATTTCCTCCCAGCTCAATTCCGCTCTCCCATAATTTTGCCCATTCTTGAGTGTGATGATTCATTAATTGTTGTGGATCCATAGAAATTGCTTTCATAAAATCATGTGCTGCCTCTACCAGTGGATCCACCGAATCAAGAGTCGATCGAAGAGCAGTAAGGTGTGTGACAATGTTTTTCGAGTGTGCCTTCACTTGAATTGGCAAAGAAGAGGAAATTACAGATGTCACAAATGCAACTCTGACACGTTCCGATTCTGGTGTCTCCAATTGAACTAATTCTCCAACTTGACACATAATATTCGGATATGCGATTGGGCATGTCACTTCACTAAATGAAATATCCTTACTTGGTGTCGATGCAAGTTGAGAGAGTCCAATCTGAACACTATTCACACCACGACTATTATCAATCTCCAATTGATGCACCAGTAATGATCGAAACACTCGATGAGCATAAAAACGTTGCTCCACTTGAAGTGACTCTTCATCATCTTGACGTGGTGGTGACGCACTCACAAATCTTCTCGAATACATTCCTCTCTCCATATCCAAAGCAGCACCAACCATTTGCAATGCTGTCACATTCACTGAAAAATCAGAATTCGATCTAGAACCTTCAACAGTATTGTCACCATGATTTGAATCATGTAAAGTCTTGAATGACACATGATCCTTTCCAGACACAACCACGACATGAATCTTCATCATGGATGGAATTCGAGCTCTTCTCGAATGAAAACCAATCAACTTGTCTAAAAGGACCTCTTGTCCGACGTAGACTCCACCCATAAAGACATCATCACTCTCAATAACTGTTCCGACATAACCATTCGAAATGGATGGAAGATAATTTCGATCGGAAGGTTCCGATTGAGAGGCGACTATTTGAGCCTGTGCCATTCGTTGGATCCAATCAGAGGGTAATACTTGTGGTTGAGATGCTTTTGCTGATGATGATGCTAATGACTTTTCATGATCATGATGATGATGATGAATGAGAATTTTCGTGAATGGATTGTTAAGAAGAAGCCTTCTTGAACATCATCATGGTTGGATCATATGGTTTTTAATCATAATTATAATTTTTGATATCGGAATGCCATGATGATGATGATCAACCTCCAAATTCATATTTTCTTCAAACACAACAACACCTACGCAAAAACAACCTGAGGTTCTTCATCATCATGAATTGAATTTACAACAACCACAACAAATAAAAGAAGAAGAACAAAAAATTCAACAAAAAGCCTCTTCTTCATCATCCTCATGTTCCAACGTTGGGAGTTTGGACAATGATCAAGATGATGATGATGGAAGATACCCATCATGATGATTTTTTCATGTTTCCATCATCATCGTGTGTGTGTGTTTCCGTTCATGGATGCTTCTTCCATGTGCGTGTTGTTGTTGCCATTGTTGAAGGCTTTAAAAAGACTTCTCACTAGTAAGAAGAACATAACTCCGATAATCTACAATAGCCTAATCAAATTCAACCTTTTCAACCTTTTCAACCTTTCATGATTGAGCCTCAACAACAAAGGAGAAGTAATCGTTCTTTGAAGAATCATATTAGGGTCGTTCATATGAACGTGTGGTTAAAGCTTGATTCAATGATTTCTATATCAAAGGTTCCTTTTTTATCTCTCCAAAGGCAAGTTGTCTCTTGTCAAAAAAAAAGCATCACCATGGGCAAAACAGGTCGTCATCGAAAGGTTTGTAGATTCTCTCAGCTTTGAATTTCCTCTGATTCATGATTATCTGGCCAAACAATTGATTGTATATGTCTGTATCATCATCTCGCAACATACATCATTGTATAAATTTGCAAAATTTTCCCTCAGATTTCCTTCTTTTCTCTTCAGACACAAAATACTGAATTGAAAAAGGAGTGGTTTTGGAAACAAGGAGGAAGAATCAAGTCGTAGGTATATTCATTGATGATTTGAGGTTGCTTGTGATTCAATATGTGGGTTCTATTTCAATTTTTGTGCATATCGGAATTGCTGTTGGTGATGATACAATCATCACTGTATTGACTACTCGCTTCAAATGTACAACTTGACGTTGCCATGACATTTGGCACTTTCAAGATGGAAAAAACGTCTCTTTGTCATTTTCGAAAACACTCTCTACTATTACGCCTCCGAACAGGACAAGGAACCAAAAGGTGCCATCATCTTAAAGGATTCCTCTGTTGAAATTTGCAATCCAGAAGACACTGTCAAAAATGGAAAAAAACCACCTTCCGAAAATGGCCAATCTGATTATTATTCTCTCGTGGTCAAGACACCCTTTCGGTCTTTTTGGCTGTTAAATACAGATTTGAAAGTAGTACAACAATGGTCACAATTAATCACACAAGTGGTGAATGACAATGACAATCATTCCAAAAACTCATTGTCGAAACATGGAGGTTCGAAAAAATTGGGATGGATGATCAAGTCAGGAGGTAAACTTAAAGCATCGTGGAAACAACGATTTTTTGTTTTGAGAAATGACATGCTTTATTATTACAAACCTAAAAAAGAGAGTGACAATCAAAAGGACAGCAACAGTAGCCACAGCCACAACAATCATGCCTTACCTGATTTGGTAAATATTTCAGAATTGGATGCAAAACTACAGAATATGATTGCTCAAGGAGTGGTCACGTTCTACAATGCGACCATTCAATTCAAACTAAATCCAGCAAAGAAGAGGAAAAAGGTGAAAAATGCTGAAGATTTATTGCACGAGATTGAAGAATCAGGAACTTCACGAGATCGTTCGCGATCGGTAAGCTCCCTACGTCGAAGTACGGTCGACAAGAGATGGTCATTAACATCCATTTCAAATGGACAATTCATAATACCCGAAGAACCTTTCGATAATGATTTTCAAAAAACTTGGTTTGCCTTTGAAATTCGAATACCTTCTCGAACGTACACTATTTATGCGAAAACACAAGATGATTGTGACGAGTGGGTGTTATTCCTGTTCGAATCAATCATTAATGTTATGGGAGAGTTGTCACATTTTGTGAAAATTGGCCACTCTGATTTTGATGATGCCACCTCGACAACATCGGATGAAATGATCGAAAGTGGCTCCTCTCTCAACGCAGATAGTGCTCGCAGCTTATTGCCCTCACTGGAAAGCATCATGTCTGAGATCAGTTCTGTGAATAATGGCTCAGAAACAGAATCTCGATATCAATCCATGGATTATATTGAAGCTCAACCCATTTCAATCATTTCAGAAACAATTTTCGATGAAATTCAAAGAAGAAAGGAAGATGAAAAAGTAGTGGCGCTCTTGAAAAAGTCGAAAAAGAGAGAATCAATCACATTTAAAGGTTCTTACAGCGAAAAGTTTACATTCCTTGTAGCCGAAAATTCGCTGCAAGCAGATATGGTTCCCATCAAGCTCTATATTTTACCTGGAATTTACACAGAATGTCAAACTTTGGTTGTCTCTCAACCTTTAGAAATTCATGGATCTGTTTTAGAAAATTGCATTATTGAAATGCATTCATCAAAATTCTGTGAGCCAATGATTCGGATCAACAGTGAAAATGTTCGCTTCAGGAAATTGAGATTTCGAATTATTTCCGAATTGTCAAATGAACAAATTGAAATGAAAAATAGATTCATGCATGGAAAGCCCTCCAATGGAAAATCGAGTAATAACAGTGGCAAGGACTTTCGAATTCCATGCGCCATTCATGTTGAAAATGGAAGTCTTTTTCTCGATGAATGTGAAATTTCGTATGAAGATTGTACAGACCCTGAAGTGTTTGTAGATAATGATTTAGAAGGAGGATCGTGTTGTATTTGGGTGAGCCACAACTCGACTTGTGTCACCTATAATTGTTCTCTCTCAAATGCACACTATGGAGTGGTCACAAGCCAGAATGGAACGAGTGTGAGTTTTGGTGGTTCCATCAAATCGAAAATTGCTCCTTTCATGAACAATGACGAAACATCGAGTTCAAGAAATTATCATGTACAGGTATCTTCATGTAAATAAGAGAAATTCATTCAAATTGAACCAAATTATCAATCTAACCTGACCAAATTGAAACAATTTAGATATTCCTTAATAAATTTAGCAACTCTTTAAATTCACACCAAGTACTCGAAAACTAAATCTCTCGCAACCTCAGCTTTTCCATATTTTCTCCAGTTCACAAAATTAATACCACAATCCGACCATGTCGATGTTTTACCTTCTGATACAAACTTTTGATACTCTTCTTCAACCATCTTTTGCTCATCTTCGCTTTCCCAATACCAAACATGTTCGTACTTGTCTTTGATCCAGTAATGTGGAACAAGGGCAAAATCTCCCTTTTTTTGTCCCTCTTTGTCATTCATTCTCTTTTCAAGAATTATGTGATAAGGTAAATATGCGTCTTCATAAAAGTTTCTGTTGTGAGGATGGAAGGATCCTATTTTGTCTTGTCGTCCTGGATTGATTGTGACAAATTGCAATGGAAGGTGTTCCTGGGCGTGCAAAATTTTCTCGACATCATTCACACCATAAACTGCATCAAAGTGACAGTGTTTGGGAAACTTTCCTTCCAAAAAAAGTTTTTCCCTACTTTGATATCGAAGAGCCATTCCTTGTGAATTCAGACGTTCTGTATTGATAACGCTTTTTTCTGAAGAATAATCACTGTCATGTTTAAATAAATTCTTGTCTTTTTCTTTGTCTTTTAGTTTGCGATCCATCTTATTGTGGAAGCTTTTTGGACTTGCAAATGCAAAGTTTGAATAAATAGATGAATAATGTCGTCTCTCTTGTAACAATAGAAAAGCAAGACCTCGACAATTCAAGACGGATGGAGCTGGAATTCTCTGAACTTTCAAATAATATTTTTCTTGTACTGGATGAAGAAGTCCTTCTCTTTTCACATAATTCCTATTATAGTTTGGCACATAGATTCGAAAACCTCTACATGCATACTTGTATAATCTCTTTTCATAGGTGTAGGATTGTCGTGAAGTGTCAACCATATTATAGCGATAAATGATAGATCTACGTCCTCGTGGTGTTGTAAAAACATGGGTTCCATCAAATGCAAAACAACACGAGTCTACATCAAAGCCACACAAGACCTCTTCAATCGATGAATATAATCGCAAAATAATTTGAAAAGAACGAATAGAATAGGAAGTTCTGATAGTGATGGATTGACCACTGCGTATAAGAAATACCTGATCATCGTCAGTGTTTTTTCTAATCACTTGAATGATGTGCTTAATTTTTTCAAATGCCTGTTCTTTAGTGAGATCATACAAAAACATGTCTACATCAGAAGTTCTATAGCTGTGCTTTGAATTGTATCGTTCATAGTAGAATTTCATATTCTCATTGGGATCGTCAATTGCTTCTTTCTTATAGATTTGCAATTTTTTAACGTATGGATCCAATTTATCAAATTCCAGATCTTGTATATGTGCATAATCATTCAACAAGGTTGAATTGAGTGAATGAACGTTATTGAGTGTAAAAATTTGTCAAAATACATACCTCGATAACTGAAGGCACGATGAGCTTGAACCTTGTGCTCACAAATTTTCTGGTTTGTAGGAGCTCTCAACATGGTACATAAAATAGATCCACCTGCTAAACACACATTGGAATAATCTAACCCTTTGAGAAGATTGTTTGTGAATAAATTAAAGTTGTATATAAACTCCTCTCGGCAAGTGACAATCTCAGGTCTTGATAGGGCATTGTGTCGTCCATTAAAACTATTGAAAGGATTTTCAAAATTAAATAAGAGACTGCTCTCAGGAACCTCAATGGTTGGTGCAGGAGAAAAGCTTTCTAAATGATCAAAAACATTAATTAATATCTTCTTACTTTCTTCGAATAATTTCGGATTTTCTCTGAGAATGACAAATGCTTCTCGTAATGACTCTTCCTCTTCACGCATTTTCCAATTTGTTTCTCCAATTAATTCTCTCAAATGATCGTCTGTCACATAGCAATAATGAATATATTGGAAAAATTCTGGTAAATTATACTCCTTGCAAGTTTCATTCACTAGAGTTTCATGTTCTTGAGACCAAGTAATCTCCTCACGCTCAATCTTGCCATATTTTATGAATTTTAGCATGTATAAAATTTCAATATTACCAACAAGTGTCACCACAGGTGGGAGTGCAGAGTCTCCTCCGTGCTTCATCTGTTTCATGGCTGCAGAAAGTGCAAGAGGGAGGAATTTGCTTTGTTTAAATCTTAAAAGAGAGCTTATGAGAAGCGTGATGGAGCTTTGATTAATGATGAACTGAACACTAGCTTGTGTGAATTGTTGAAGAAATTGTTGTTGAGAGTCCACATTTTTACGTGGAGGCAGTAATTTAGCCAAATACTCGGTGTCAATTCGGTCAACCATTTGTGGAGTCAATACCGTAGTTTCAACAGCAGACAATGGTGTGGCTCCAAGTTGAGAGGAAATTCCCATTGTTAAACTAAAACTTTGTGAATTTTGATCGGTGTCTCTCTGTTGTTGATAATTCAAATCAAACGGATTGAACAAGGATTTGATTTTCGTTTCTAAATAAGATGCTAGAGAGGGAATGCAGTAAAATTCGGCCTCTTCTCGGATCGAATTCAATAACTTGATGGATGGGCATGAAAACATGGTTGCTTTAAGAATGTACTCGTTCACATAATATTTCTTCATCAAGTCATGATCAATTTGACAGGTACCAAATTTTTCTTCCAGCTGTTTTCGTAATCTTCTTGGTCCATCAAATCTATTCTCTGAAAAACAATAGAAAGGATAGTTCTTTGAATCATCAGTTCCTGTAGTAGTGTTGGTTCTTTCCATTGTCTTTTCTTCACCTCCAAGAACTTGTGCTTGAATGTATTTCCAATCTCGTCTCAATCTCAAATATGCCAATATATATGGAAAATAAGTGGCCTCTCGTTGAATTTTGATACATCCCTTCTCCTTCTCAATAATGAAACGATTATTAGAGGAGGATAATGGATTTTCTTCTTGTTCCTCCATGGAATTAAATTCTTGTTCACAGAGTGTGGTCAATAAATCTCGATCACACCCTTCAGAATTTTCCAAATCCACATCAAAGGACAAAATACTCGCCGGGACATGAAACACTTGTCCACCAACACTCACTCTAAACACTCGATCCTGTAACTTTTTCTTGATTGAACTCTTTAAAGTTTCATTGATGATTTGAGAGTTTACAGAATTGCCAATGGAAGAAGGACTTTCATGAATTCCACATTTCAATTTTTCAAATTTCTCAATGACTTGTTTCATTGAGAGATCATTTTCCTCTTCTTTGATACGATCTAAAAATTCATCCACAACCATGGTTTTGTTATTGCAATGATCATCCTTGAATGATGATGATTCCATTCGTTTAGGAATTTTTGAATCCGTGTCATGATCATCCTTGCCTTCATGAGTTTCATCATCATGATGATCTTGAAATTGATTGTGTTGATGAACAATTTCATTCCGATCGGAAAGTGTTGAAGAAAAAGATGTTGATGATAGATGCCGATCCAACAAGTACAATTCCAAAGCGTCCACACCATGAGGATCGGTCAATGGAACTTGTTGGGGAATGGTTTCAGGAGGTGTTTTGGTGCGTCGAGGGTCTCTTCTTCTTCGATACATTTTTTTTTCGACAAGTTCCATTTTCTTCTGGAAAGCAAAATTCTTATTCTCCCAAACTGAATTGTTGACATAGAGAACAGAAATCATCTTTCGTACCGCGTATCTTTGAGGAAGTGTATCTTTCATCATGCTTTCATATTGAGGTGGAATATCTTCATAATTTGTGAACATAATTTCACTGGTACGAGAACATTGCTCTAAAAATTGTTTTTGTTGACATTCTGTTATCCTGCTGTTGTGGTTGTTGTTGAGTGGATTGACGTGTCTCTTTGATTTTCTTGATATTCAAAGACTTTTTGATGTTGGTTTCTGACTTTTCATCTCCTTTGGTGAAAATGCGGCCTAAATCAATCAAGTACAAATGATTAAGGAAGATTTGAACCGGCAAATCTTCTTCCACATACCTTCAGAGGATCAAAGGAAGGATCCACTCTTCTTTTCATAAGAGCCATGGAATATTATTTCATCGTCAATGGCCTTAATGATCCTATCATGGAAGAAGAGTGGCAAAGATGTCCAACTTGTCATCTCCCTCACTCATTTCTGTACCCTGTTCAACAACCAAGGAGTATTCAAAGCCCGATTCAAGTTTTCCAACAGAGTATTACACAGATAATTCTTTCTTGAAATTATTGACCAAATTGTTTATCAAGCATTGTGTTATGGGCAAAGGTTATACATTGTGTTGTGACTGAAGAAGGAAGGTCTTTGTCCATTCAGAGGAATCTCTACGTTATGTAAATTCTTGTTGGCTGAATATGTCTTCCATTTAGTGCGAAGAATCGGAATGAAATGTTCAAATAATTTGACAATTTTGTCATAATTCTCTTTTGAAAATTGCATTGCCATTTGAATCTTGTTTCCTCTCTCTTCCCATGTGCCCTTATACATCCGACGTCCTTCATAATCTCTTTTTACATCAATTTGGTTGAATAAAGAATGGAAAAGGGATCATTTAGGTTTGGTATTTTAATGAAGGGGGTCGCCTTTGCTGTCATTCTGTTGTTTAAAAGGAGGAATTTGTATCTTGTTTAGGAAGTGGAACAAGGGGTAAAAAGGCTTGTAAGAAGAACAAGTTTTTTCTGAATTAATTTGTATTTGGAAAGTACAAGACTCGAACGAACGGCACTGAAAGTAGGAACACAATCGATATCTTAATATTTGAAAGAAGCAAAGAAACAAGTCACTCTGAATTGCCAAGGGAGACCAAGCACTAATAGGATGATCTATCACTTGCATGAATGACTTGAGGTTCTTCACAAGTGGCACTTCATTTGGGGTTCATGTCGAACAACATGTTGTCCGTGTTCACTCAAGAATGAAGTTGTAGTGAGATTTTCGACATTCTTCGCATTTGCATAGGCCGATTCCAGAAGAGCAGGTTGATCCTCTCGGAACACGTAAAAGATTTTAAATTTCATCGACTCTAGACCCGTGTGGGCAGTTCTCACTAGAGCCGTGCCCTCCTTTTGAACTTTGAGATTGGTTTTCCGAAGTAGATCAGCACCTCCAGGCATTTGTAGGATGCTTTCTCTTGCCTTAATGTCTTGATGGAGTTGAATGATTTCCGAATTGAGGAAATCCATATTGAAAATTTGAGAAAGAGAGGTAATTGGAGTGGTAGTAGTACCACTCAGGTAGCCCAATCGGTCCCGTAAGCCTTCACTAACGCTCTGTACGATGGGAAAATTAGGTCCCGTGATGATCACTCCCATTTGCTCTTTTCCTGCTGCTGTTGAAGGAACTTGTTGAGCGTACGAAATGGAATAGTTCTGAGGTAGAGTACCGTAACCTGCTGTAGCAACAGTTGGATTTGTGTAATGAATCGGCGAAAGAGAGGATGATGTTGAGGATGAAGAAATAGAGGATACATTTGAAGGAATACGATTCATTACAAAGGAAGATGAAGACGACACTTGGGGCAGCAATTTGTGTTGTTGAGGGGCTGTCATTTGGTGCAGCTGAGAAGAGGATGGATTTGATAATTTGTTAAGATCCTGAGCAACACTAGTGGTTGAGGTCGGCGTTGGATGATTGGAACTAGGAGACATAGTGTTTGATTTGTTGGTTGTTGATGTTGTGCCTACTCCTGTCAATGATGAAGAACTAGAGGATTTTGAATTGGTTTGTGAATCTGGATCCTTCTTGGATTTCCTCTTGGATGAAGATCGTGTTTTCTTTTTGGTTCCCTGGTTGTTGATTGTTTGTGATTCTTCCGAAGGGTGAGGAAGTTGAAAATTGGCTGAAGATGAATCGATGAGAGAAGGTTCGTCGTCACCTTTCGTTTGTTGGCATTCACCTTCTGGTCTTTGATTTTCGTGAGAGTTTTCGTTTTCCGGTGAAGATGAAGATGATGGCGAAAGGTTTGAAGCTTTCTTTTCCTTCTTTTGAGAAGGTGAAAGATCCACAGTCTCCTCCTCTCCAGAAAATTTCTTACTTTTGCTATTAGTTGTGGATCTTCCTCTCTTCTTCATTGACACCACTTCCACACAATTCAATCCCAGTTTAGTACATCTCGTACAAGGTCTCTCAAATCCACATCTGGTGTGGCGTTTTTGGCATTCAAAACAAGCTTTCGATGCTCGTTTTCTTCCATTGGGATAAGGCTTTGCATCAATTGTTTGATGGTTGTTTGATTTGTTGCGAGAGACGCAATTTGTGGTTGGCGAATGACGATCATTGTCTTGATTGCATGGATCCTCTTCATCAAGGATCAGATCTGAATGTTGCAAATGTTGGTCCTCATCGTTCGAATGACTCGAAGATGATGACGAGGATGGTGAAGTGCTTTGTTTTCTCTTTTGTTTCTTGAAGGCAAAGTGTGGCGTAAATGCACTGTTGTTTTCCTCTGCAGGATGCCCATTGTTACATGTCTCATGCATGTGGACTACTGCTATTGATGCATCGTCACATGTGGCCGAAGATTCACCAAGCATGTGACGGAATGATTTGTCGTTTGAACACTGTGTGATATGGTTGCCTTGTAGCAAATCCAAATTGTTATTGTTGAACCCTTCTCCTTTTAAAAAGGAAACAAGGTGATCAACGTTATCAACAGGAAACACACCATCTACTCCATTTAAGGGATACCACATAGAAAAATCCATTGTTTGTTGTTGGGGGTGAGGTTGTTGATGTTGATGTTGTGGTTGTGGTTGTTGAAGTACTTGTGGAGGTCGTAGAGACTCTTTTTGAAAGACGTTGGTGGTGGTGTTTTGATTAATGTGATGTTGTAGCGCGTGCTTGTCCATCATGAGATTGTTGTTGCTGTGTCCATTATGATTATTCCGCAACTCAGCGGCCGAATAATCTGAAAAGATGTTTGTCTCCTCGAAATTAGGTTGGTTATTGCCACCCTTTAGATGGTTGTTATTCATGGATGAAGCGGCTACAGGTGTGAGGATCGTCATCTCAGATGCATTGTTGTTGTTATCTCCTGATGCGGTTGATTGTTCCATAAATGAATAAGGAATATGCAAATGTTGAAATACGCCAAAATCTTCTTGAGATGTTGTAGCTGTGTTGGTTATTGTGGTTGTGATGGATGCGAAATGAGCATCGTGATGGGACGGCATCATTCTCGAGGATGAATTCAAAAGATGATTGCTGGCAGTGCTCGAATAATTCTGAAGAAGGGAAACAAAGGAAATGTTTCTTTCTTGCAGCTGTTGCTGTAATTGCACAAGAAATTGTTGATGATGCGGTGTGACTGAATTGACACTATTGACTACTACGGCAACAGGAGACGATGATAGCGTTGAAGCTTTGGACGACGTTATCATGAATCTTGTTTTGGGTAAATGTTAAACTGGAATTGACGTAGTATGGAAATTATTACGTCAATCAAGATCACTATAGATGGAGTAGTAATACTGGTAGTGGTGTAGTTGATGTTGTGGTTGTTGGTGAGGCTGGGTATTGGCACGTGTCGAACACAAGTGCGCACTTGTGAATACAATGTTTGTCTTTGGCGAGGAAATCAGATGGCTGATGTGAAATTTTCAATTTTTCTTTGGCAATTCTTTGTGGTTGTCTCAGAGTTGTTGTTGGTTGTGGTGGTCCACTAAACGCGCAACTTTTCCAGTGATGACTATGCAAGAAGTGAGAGGAAGTATTGATGAATGTTGTGATTGCGCACTACCAGCAATAGGAAATGCCACTTGTCAACAAGGATCTGGGAAGAGCAAAATACGACACTTTTTTTGAAATGTCAAACAATGCAGTGTTGTGTTTTTTTTTGTTGAAATCTACAAACTGGTTGTGTATGTCTGTTTGCTATCAATCAATACGTTGATGTTTGTTCTAACATGCTGTGTCCAGACCAAGGTTCGAGGACTTCAACAAGTATCAACGTTGATGGGTTCGATTTGACAAGGCGAAATCAAGAGCTCTGCGAGTTTTGCGTTGTTGCCACAACGCTCTTCATCAACACTGTTTTGTTCAACATGTGCCAAAGTGCGCACATTGCCTCTTAGAAACAATCATGTAGCAAACCCGTTTCAAGCCATCTAAAGGATCTCGCACATCGTTCTTGAGGTGCCCAGTCCAAATTAAATCGTACTCCACATCAACAACACTCTGGAAAAGAGGCACCACCAAATCAATTTTACGCCGAAATTGACCATGATTTTAGTTTTGTGAGATTCGTGTCGCTCACATCTCACTGTGAGGTAAGTCATACACAGAAATTTCATTTGGAAGCAAGTTCTTGAGCAGAAGCAAACATTGTTCATGCATTGGTCGTTTTCAAGGTATTACTGCTTTGAATTCATCATCCTTCAAATATGAACCACGAGGACTTGGCGGTATGTATAGCGATGAGATTGCAATGGGAACAAGCTCATTCCCAACTCTGCAATGGTTTCCTCAAATGTTTGTCCTCAACAGCTCCTTTAGTAATTCCAAAAAACTTCGGAGTTTTGAAAAGCGTTTTACAAAATTAGGGACTTTTGCAGTAGTACTCTATCGAACGTTCTACTCACGGACTCCATTTACAAATGTTTGGCATGCCCAAAACGTCAGACCATGTCAAGCAACATCACATTTAAAAGTTGTAGCTAAAGAATTTACTGGATTGTGACAAAAGATAATCTCGAACAGAACACATGTGAACATCAATAATGAATCACTACTATTGTGATTCAAACTCGTTCTTGTTGTTATTGCTGGTATATTCAAAGCTTAAACCCTTATTTTGTCTAATTTTCTCCAATGCAAATTTAAGAGTATCAATATTGGATTGAATAGTACCTGTCAATGTCAGTAACTTATCCTCACTATCCAACACATCTACTGAAAGCGTGTAAGGATTATATCTCAATGCAAAAGGTCTATCCAATTTGGTTGATGCAAATTTTCTCATTTGTTCTTTCATGTTATCAAAGCTTGTTGCCACATAATAGATTGGTTGATAGGTCGTAATTGGATAGCTATATTTACAAGCTATTTCAGGATCAAATTGTCTATATTCTGGTTTCTGACCAGTTTTTTCATCAATTCCATCAATGCTATATTTCAATTCTCCAAAAGATGACAATAATCCAGCTCCATAGGCCTTTGTTCTTGGAATTCCTTCCTTATCATTTTGAACACAGACACCAAATTCAACAGTGTACCAATAGAGTCTGACTAATTTTTCAATATCTTCTTCACTGGCTCCCAATGAGGCCAATCCAATTTGTTGACTGAAATCTGCAAAGTCACTGTCCGCAAAAAGTGGAGCGTGACCGAGAAGTTCATGAACGACATCTGGCTCAGGAGTGTAGAAGGGCACTGAATGGTGACGAATGTATTGAGTGCTGTGGAAGACTCGAAATGCTAATCCATTCAAAAAGTCACGAGCACTATGATGAATTTCAAAAATAATCATTCATCAAAATATTAGTCACACAGCAAGGAATATATATGATCCAAATCACAATGATTCATAAATCACCATCGATTGAATAACGTCACAAATCATCAAGAAATGACTCTTCTCAAATTTGATTCGAATAAAAAAACTCACCTTAATAAACCACTCACAGGTCTCAAACGAAATCCAGTCACATCTTGCAAGAATTTGGACACATCTTCTAATTGTGGAATATTATTTTCAGAATATCCACAATTTTGAACAAGCAATGGGAAAATGTAATTATATTGTTCACATGCATAGGTTGGATATAGTTTTGTTAATTCCTTGTAAATGACACTCCAAGTGCCAATTTCCTTTTCTGTATATTTCACCTTTGGAATGGGTTCTCCAATTTTATAACTCTTTGCAATCTCTGCAATGAGTGTTCTACGGCCACGATATTCATGGTCTGTAAATCCGGGCTGATGTGAATCATGACAACATTGTTGACAACCATCATTATTTTTCATCATTATTCAAATCATAATTATTGTATATGGGTTCAATATTATTTAACATTATGTGAAATGAACTCCATAGGTAGGTCGTTTTCAAGTACACTTACATGATCACTTTGCAATTCAGCTCCAGCTTCCAATGTTTGTGAGCTAAAATAATCAATATCCGACAATTTTCTTGGAAACCATGGAATAGATTTTCCTCCTAATAATTGAACTTCTTGAACCGAATCTGTTCGTTTCAATTCAGAGAGAGCACGTTCAATTTGTTCACTCGAAACATCTTCATCCACATCGACAATAAAGTTGAAGACCTTGTTGGAGTGACGAGCAGGTCTAGAAATCGAATTCAAATTATTGTTGTTGTAATTCATAATTGCATGAAAAGAATATATTTTCGAAAGGTGAATGATGACGGAGATGATGGAAGGATGATTATTATATATTATATTATATATTTGGCAAAAATTGACATTCGGTGATGGTCAACCATGATGATGATGATCAATGAATTCAAAATCAAATCATCAAGATTAAAAATTGTTGTTTTTAAGAAGTATTGTCATCATCATTATCACGATGGTTAAAAACATTTTGCAACAACATTTACATACTTGGATTCAATTTTTGTCAAGTTGACTTTGTGTTTCGACAAGACATCGAGAGAATTCTTCAAAGATCCGACACGATGAGCCAAAGTAAGAAAAAGAGAACGTTGTTTGTGGGACATTGTGCAAATTCAAAGAATAGTACGCTCTTTGAGAGATTTTTTAGTACAAAGAAACTGCTGGTTGAGTTGTGTCGTGAGGACAATTTTTTTGTAATCTTTGGGTCATCTCGGGAATGTTTGAATTTGCAATACTGCTTTCAACAGTGGACATTTGTTTCCCTTGGAGGCAATGCGCTTCTCAACATGTATTTGACAACAATTACTTTCTTGATGTGAGAACCATTTGCTCTCAATTCACTTTCTGTTTTTTAAAACAAATTCCAATTAATACAAGTTGGTTGCCACAGGTGTTCATTCATCAATGATTCAACAAAAAAGACTCTCCTCGAGTCGTTTAAACAACCTTCTTTTCAATTCATCATGGAACAATCATTTATGCTCAATCTAATGAAACACATTGAAATTCATAAATTCCATCAAAAAAAATGGCAACTCCGAAGAGTCTCTCTTTCACCATCATCGGCACGACAAAAGCCTTTCTTCTTCTTCTTTTGGTTGTTACTGGAGCAGTGATTCTTCCTTTCTGCGATTCCACATTTCTCTATGCCTTTCCGATTGGCTCATTAACTGCTAGAAAAGCTCCGACACTCAATGATCGTCCAATTATTGGTATTATGGCACAACCCACTGGATCTGCTCTCAGTCGGTTTGGAAAGACTTATATTGCTGCTTCCTATGTCAAGTGGATTGAGTCTGGAGGTGCCCGAGTGGTTCCTATTCCTTATAATTTGCCAGAAAGTGAATTGAGAAGATTATTTGAATCCTTGAATGGAGTGGTATTTCCTGGTGGTGGTACTGATCTCACTAATGATGATGGTTCTTGGACACCCTATTTGAAGAGTTTAGGATTGTTTGTGAATTGGTCCATTCAATCCTTTAATAATGGAGGAGATTATTTTCCAATTTGGGGAACATGTCTTGGAATGCAAAGTTTATCAATTATTTTGAGTGGAAATCCATACATTCTCGAGGGTGGATTTGATAGTTATAATATTAGCATGCCACTCAATTTTACTCATTCCATTCCTGAGACGAGACAAATCAGTAGAATTTTCAATACTTGTCCATTGACATACATGACTACTTTGAGTACCAAGGCTGTCACACTCAATAATCATCATTATGGTGTACCCATCTCTAATTGGAATTCCAATCAAAAAATTAATACTGAGAATAATTTATTAGCTACCAATAGAGATCGAAAGGGAAGAGAATTTGTTTCACTTTTTGAAAATAAGAGATATCCATTCTTTGCATCACAATTCCATCCTGAAAAGATTGCTTTCGAATGGTGTCACGAAGATATTGATCATTCCTATGATAGTTTATTAGCAAATCAATACTTTTCCCAATTCTTTGTGAATGAATGCAGAAAGAGCCAACATAAATTCAAAACTGAATCAGATGAATTGAAGGCTCTCATTTACAATTACACTCCAGTGTACACCTATCCAGTAGAGCCAGATTTCGCTCAATGCTATTTCTTTTAAATAATAAAGTAAATTTCTTTTTGGTCCCTGTCACGCACTTAAAATCGATGAGTCTCCACGAGGAGAATTGAACAAGAATGCCGTCATTGATCGAAGTCTCCATAATCTTAAGATCCATGATTGGTAAAATAATTGAGATTGCAACATATGTAGGTGGTTGTTTATTGCCTTTTTGGTCCAAAAGTAATCTTCGGGTAAAAAAGGATCCTCTTTGAATTGTGCAAAAAATTTTTAAAGCAAAAAATATAACAACAACGCCGTTGAAGAGATGACATCCGTTGTTTCAATATCAGGCGATCCGTTCGCCCAAAATGACGATGAAGAGATCATGATGATGGAAAACAACAACAACATGAACACTGCAACTGATGATGAAGAATATGAGAATAATAGTAATCAAAATAATAATCATCATCATCAAGCATCGTCGTCGGGCACTACATCCAACAACGATCCATCCAAAGACGATACTCCAGGAGGAAAGTTTGCTGCTATTGCATGTGTTTCATGCCGAAAGCTCCACCGCAAATGTGATAAAACTCTCCCACATTGTGCCTACTGTGTCAAGACTGGAAAGCAATGTGTGTATCCCTCACCGCGAAGAGGAAAACAATTTCAACAACAAAAGCAAAAACAAGGAGTTGTTCCATCATCTAATAATAATCATAATAATCATGATGTACTATCTCTTTCTGGCTCATCGACAAATCATCATCATCATCATCACCAACAATTAATCATAGTGAATCAGAGTGATCTTCATCATACCAATAATAATAACAATAATAATAACGGCATTGTAGGCATTCATCAATACCCTCATCCTCATCGACCACATAGCCATCAACATCTCTCCTCCTCCGCAGGAGCTCTTACTACCACATCGTCATCATCACTGGATAATACAAGCTCGTCCAACTCATCTCATGGAAGCAGTACCAACACTAACAACAATAGTCATAGCAACAACAACAATAATAATAACAGCACTAACACCACCACCACCACGAATAGCAATGAAACCATCTCCATTCAATACACTCCATACGATACTGGAAAGACACAACATGAACTCAATTACAAATATGTAGCAACGCAAAGTCTCGACCTTTACTACAACATTTTGAGTTTTGGATACCCTCTCATTGAGAGAGATCGGTTACAAGCACTCATTGACAATACTACACAAAAGAAACCAACGGCTGATAACAATATACAACTGTGGCAAAACAAGCTCGAACAAGAGAAGGACTATGGCCTTCTCTATTCCATGCAAGCGCTATGCCTACAACAAATGGGACATCGTGACATTTCCATGCATCTCTTTCAAAAGGGAAAACAAATTGTTTCGAAATTCTTTGATGAAGTAGAGACAATCAACATCCCAATTGCCATGAAATTCATAGCAGAATATCTACTTGGATCAGGAGAAAAGAAGAAGGCTCGTGTTATATCATCAATGGTCAAAGCAAACATTGCGCCTTATCTAAAGGGAGCACCTGGGTCGACGCCACCAACCGCAACGAAATCCAATTCCACTTCCAGCAGTAATCCAAACGACTTTTCTTGGATTGATAAGGAACCAAGGATTTTCCCTGCCGTCTTACTTGATACTCAATTGAGATTTTTAGACTTTTTCCTGATTGAGGAAGAAAGCCCAAACACTTTTATTTTCGAAGAGTTGGAGATATTGGGTCACAATAAGATGAAGCTTGACCTCAACAAGGTTGGAAAAAGCTGTAGACAACTCAATGAAGAAAATTCTCAAAAGTTGTTGGCCATCATTAAGACTTATGAATGCTTTACGGACTTGGTATTCAACACACTTGCCAAGAAAGATTCCTTGGTTTATTTGGTCGCTCAACTCACGAACAAGCAAGTGCATCTTGAAATCTTAAATAATTGCAATGCCCAAGCAATGGATATTGGTGAAATGTTAAAAGTTGCATACCAAATTATTGAGTTGACAAAGAATGCTTACTTTCCATACACTCCAATTTATGCTTGTAAGGCTGTCATTTTGGCATGCACGGTACGACTGAAGTACAACAATCAAGGAGCCAACATCAATGGAACGATCGATTTTAAGGACGATCTAAGAGCCATGCGAGTGTTGGCAAGTAGATTCTCTCTCATCCAAAAAGAATGTGGGCAACTCATCAAAACCATTGAGAGTGTTCTGTATACACAATCACTGACTCAAAACAACACTCGAGAGATGCCATTCTCCAACACGTCGTCACTCATGGATGAATCGAATCCATTCCGTTCTTTGCTTGGCAATTTTTATCCTACCTTATCTTCAGACTCTGCCATTTCAGACATTCTCAACATTGCTCCTCAATTGGGTGGTGGATATAGCACTGATGACATTTTTGGTATTATCGATTCCAACTATGACGATATTTTTGCGACACAAATTTTGGACTCGTTTTATGAGAACAATGTTTACGAAACTAGGTACAGGGCTCTAATGGAAGAGGTCATGGAAGGATCAGAACGATTCTCCATTTCCATCCAAAATCTTATCAAGCAACAACAAGCTCAACAAATACCAGATACCCTTCAACGATTAGAAGGGTTGAGAAAACTTCGTTTAGACTTGGCCAATGAAATGCTAGACATTGCTAAAAAAGCAAAATGATATTCCAAGCGTTATTGAAGCAGAACTTTTCCGAAGACAAGTATTGGCCTCGAATCAACATGCCATGCAATATCTTCAACAACAACAACAACAGCAACAGCTCGCACAAGCTCAACATCAATTTTCTCAGTTTATTGACTCGAATAACTTTAGTTTAGAAGATTATCCATTCGATCTTTAAAGCCACTTGTGAATAATAATTACTAATGTTATAGCACTAAACAAGTCAACTCATAATTTATTGTCAGAAGACAAAATCAATTTTCCTTTCATCTTCATGTATCTACACACTTGTTTAGGAATATCTTTGAGAGCAGCTTCCACAGCCTCATTCACAGTCTCATAGTCATTCAGTCTTACAAAAGTGACGCAATTACGAGAGGATTTCAATCCTCGATATTGAAGATCTGAGGTTGTTGGCAGAGTGCTTTGAATTCTGTATTGAATACTCTTCCTCTCACCTCCACTGGAACCAACTCCAGAGGAACAACTTGAATTGTTACTAAATACATCATTGTTAAAATTGATGGAACGATGTGTCTTGAATGCACATCCACTTCCAACACCAATCACAACGATGGATAAGGCAGCCTTATGAGACGCTTCCACAAACTTGTAAATAGTTTCTTCAACATGTATAAAATCATTGGGAATTAAAATGACAAGTAAATTATAAAGTACTGGATTGATGTGAGTGAGCGAGAGGGAATGATCATCATCTGTGAGATTGTTGCTGTAACCTTTCTTGGCCATTTGTCTCTCTCTGTAAAGATACAATAAAGTTTGAGTAATACTCTCCTCATTCTTCAAATTACAACTCAAATCAATCACATCACTAATGACAGGATAATAATCATTGGGTGCATATTTAGAGGCCATATTGAACACACCCGTGTCAAATAAATTTCCTTTGGATCCAGTTGAAAATCTTCTCTTGTCATCGTTACTGGATCCAGAGAAGGGTCGACTCGTGTTTGGTGGTGTCAAAGGGCTTGAAACTTCTTTCAAATTATCCATATAATTCAAATGAACAAATTCAGGAGAGGAAATTCTCTTTAAATGATCGGTTTTGCTTTCTTCATAGGTGAATTTGTTGGCATTGGTCAAGTCACGAGTACCCTTATGGACATTGGTCTCTGTGAATGCATAATGACTCGTCTTGACACAATCTTGCATGCTTAGTTTGTAAATACCATGTGTACTGGAAGTATATTGTCGATAAATCTATCATTTGTGTGTGTTCATAGAATTTCATAATTATTCATCATGATTGAAAATAATTGTTGTTCAATTGTTGAATTTTTATCCACAAAAGTTTCCAAATATTATAATTAACAGTTTCAAAATTTACATGTTGTTAAATGAACTTACAGGTGACAATTGATGAATTTTCAAAGGAGGATAATATCTTGGATACAACACTGAAAATATATAATTTTGTGACTTGTCAAAATCTTGTGAACCTGTCGAAGTGTCACTAAACTGCATCGAAGAAGATGTTTGATAATCCGATACCTCTTCTCCCTTACTGTATAAATTAAAAACTGGTTCATGACGATCATTTCCAAATCCAACTAAATGAAAATCAGTCATATTTGGATCATATTGAAATATTCTCTTGCTAATACTTTCCATACATTGTTCGTAAATGGATTTTTGACCTTTTGGAGGATTGTGTAAATTATCATTTCTTGGTTCACTTTGAATGTTCATTTTTGACATTTCATTATTTGAAAATTAATTCAATATTTCACATTGATTTCCTTAATTTTCAAACACTTACGTATTATCTTTGGTAAAATCTAATGCAAAATAACATTTAAATCTCAATCCTGTTTTCATATAATCCAAAAAAGTATACGTCACATCCAAATCCGATTGTTCCTCCATCTGTAGCACTCGTTCTTTGACTTTTTTAAATGTCAACGATCCATTTTGTGAACTCACCACACTCAATACTTTACGTCTTCGATGAACGACTGAAGGATTGTTTTCATCTTCAATAGGATCCATTCCTTGAGGTGCGAGAGTCTCTTCCTTCATGATGTGAATTCTTTTATCGACATAGAGTCGAACAGTGAGTGGTGATGCTTTGTGTGATGAGTTCAAGGATGAATGGTTTCCTCCAACATTATTATGAGAGTTGAAATTATTGCCTCCAACGCTCATGGTATTATTCATGTTGTTAGTGTTGGTGCTGTTGAGAGTGTTGAGAGTGTTAAGAGTGTTCATGGGAGAGACGTGATGGATGGTAGTGGTGGATGGAGAAATGTCACTTGTCGTCATGGGATCAAAAGTGACATTTTTCAATGACTTTCGATTCTTTTTGGATACATTGGTTTGATCTCTCGTTGCCACTTCATTAAGTCCAGTATTTGAAATGTGAAAAAATGGACCCAATAATAGAGTTTCATTGTTCTTATCATCCAGAGTTGTTGTTGTTGTTGTGACATTTGACAACATCATGCCTCCTGATTGTGACAATGGTTGCGATGGTGGCAATACTGGTGAATCAAAAAATTTGATAAAATCTTGATACAAGACTTCAGCTGCTCCAATTAATGTCTTGTAATGTCCAATTGTGGAAATGACAGCAGATTGAGAGGATGATTGTTTAAAGGAATAACGTGGAGTGGCAACATCCCCCAATTCATCAAATTGTTGTTTCGAAACTGTTTCCCAATAAAATAATTCAAATCGAAATCGAATAATTTTGAATTCAAGTGTTGGTTTGATGGTGAAGGGTTCAAAGGTTGGAGTTTTTGTACTTTTTGTGTTTGTTTCACTCGTGTACAGAGGAATGAAGGAACCTGTTTGATCCTTCTCTGTGAAAAATTGTTGAGAGACCACTAAAAAGCAGTCCTTATATTTCTTTTCAAGTTTGGCTTGAATTTCATCAAAATCTAAATAAACTTCGTTGTTGGTGAGTTTTTTCTTTTTTGAAACTTTTTGTGGTGATTTTGTGTCAGTGAGTTCTTCAGTAATAATTTGTGAGGTTGTGAGATCTGATGCAGAATTATTCGTATCCACTTGTTCAATGGTTGCAAATTCTTCATCAAAATCGGTAACTAGGGAGGATGGATATTTTTTGTTGGATGTGGAATTTTGTTGATTTTGTTCTAAAATCTTGTTGTTGCTTTGAATGGGAGCTGGTTTCTCAGTATTATTATTAATAATAATATTACTATTACTACTACTGCCAGATGGTCGATTCCAATGTTCGTGAGGAAAAGTTGCTTGAATCACAATGTCACAAAAATGTTTTTTCTGTTTGATTAGTTTTCTTCGAATGAGCAATCGTTGAGCTCCACAAATTTCTGCCACACATCCTTCATAGAATCCCAACACATTATTCGTACGAGTACTCACGAGAGCAAAAAGTAAAGGAGTAATTTTTTCAAAATGGAAAGGTATAATGGCTGTCGTTTGAAATCGTAAAATGTCATTGTCATTCTTTTTAAGTGTGGATGGAGTAGTTGTGCACAGCTTACTGACATTATTCGAAGAGAAAGAGGATGAATTTTGAAGAGTAAGCAAATCAACATCATGAGTGTGAGCGAGTGGAAGCCAAACATAGGTATCATCAGATTTCTTGACACGATGCAAGACATGAAGTTGAACAGGAAATTTGTCGAGAATGGGAATATCATTTCCTCCACTCGATTTTTGTTCTAATTTTTGGCGTTCTTGCTTGAGTGATTCTTCTAAACCCTTGAAACTAGAGGTGTTTGTAAAATTGTGAAATTGTGAAATTGAACAGAATGAATTCATTAGAAACATTTTCAAGAAGTAGCAAAGAAAATGAATTTAAAAATTGTCAATTCTCATGAAAAAACTCTTCAACTACCTACTTGTCAATAGAAAAATGTAAACAAACACTCGCATTCACCACAATATGACTTTCACTTCTCTTCTTTCGTCTAGGTCTAAATGAAGGTGAATCTCCTTCTGAAAATGAACTCGACTTCTCAGAGTCTATATCGTCTACAATCGATGGTGTCTTTTTCACAAATTTCTTTGCATTTAAATCGATGGCAGATTTCGAATTAAAAGAAGTTCTACTTTTCGATGTCAGTCGATTAGGAACTCCTTTCCTAGATTCAGTCGATGCACGTGATTCTCGCAATGAAGGAATTTCACTTTTTCGTAGCTCTAAATGATCCCTCTTCATCCAATCTTCAATTTTTCGTGTGCCTCCTCGACTTCCAATCAATGCATATTGAAGGTCTAATGATTGACTATTTCCAATTTCTGTTGTTGAAGTGTCACCTGTTGTTACATGTTCATGATGAACATTCTCCGATTTTGAATAAGTTCTATATCGAGGACTTGTTGGATGTTGATACGATAAAATATCTTCGAGTTGATCGAAAATATCTGAAGAGTCGTGAGAGGACATGCCACCAGCACTCATATTCGAATCATCTGTCGTGTTGTCTCCTCCTGGATGAAGCATATTCGGAGAATTTGAAGGTGACGAATGATTCGATGATGATAAATTATTAATCCTAGCAAAAGCTCCATTATTTTGAATGAGTTCTGTCCATTTTGAGAAAGACATTCCTTGTTTCATTCGTGTTGTGGAAGAATTATTTTGAGAGGACGAAGAGATGTGATCACGTCCTGCTGATGATGATGATGATACATTAAATGCTCGATGTGAGAGGGACCCGGAAGCAGAAGCTGCTTTTTTCGATCCAAATGACAAGCTTCGTTCTCTATATTTTGAAGATTTCTTTTCATTTGAGGTGGTTAATCGAATATTCGAACAAGTATCCTCATTCGTAAATTCTGGTGTCACACATGAGGAAGGACTATTGTTTGATTTTGGTTTCAATTTTGAAATATCCAACGATAAAGGTTTTGTGACAAGAGTACTGCTGTTCATTGCCGACGGAGCCAATGGTGACATGGTTTTCATGGTTGAGTGTGAAAATGCAGAGGATATTCCAGGCGATGTGACCATATTTTCCTTTCCAAAACTAGTCAATGATAAATTAATACTTCCTGTGCTGTTACTTGTCGAATGAAAATGTTTCCTCGAAGATGATGAAGGTGACGAGAGTTGATGAAAATTGTCAGCCAATGGAGAAGAATGATTTTTCACATCCAAATTTGGAGTTGTTCCTGTCGTACTAGATCCCAATAACATTAAATCACAAAATGACAGAGTTGGAAATTCACCAACAACTTCCATTAATTGTGCATCCTCATCCTGATCATGCGTAATTTTGTTGCTACGATTCATAGTTAAATTATTTTGAATATTTGTTGGATCGAAATTGTGTGAGGATGATGAATGATTTTCCATGACATGAGAATGAGGACTTGATGTAACATTGGAACTCATCGTATTACTCGTCGTCGTTGTTGTTGTCATTGTCGAATTCAACTCATACGACTTGTTGTGAAATGGTGGTGGACTTGTTGTTGTTGTGGAATTGTTTTTAGAATTTACAACAGATGATGACAATTGTTGTTGAGGAGAGGAAGATGGTGGAGTTTTTGTCCACAACAAGGGAATTCGTGGATGTGTGTTGGATGATGTGGTGTGTTGTTGTTGTGGTGGTGATGATGATGATTGAGACATACGATTCTCCTCCATCGATGAGGAAGAATGTGTTGTCGTTACACCATAGGAAGAAGAAGAAGAAGAAGGATCCCTAGAAGTAGTATTTGTTGTCGATACAGTTTCGATCGATACAGTTGCTGCAACAGTTGTATTTGTTGTTGTTGTTGTTGTCGTGTTAGTGTTGGATGATGATGAATGTATTGACGAGTCGGAAGGATCAAAGATGGACTTTTTTCGTTTCTCTTTCTTTTTAGAAGAAGAGGAGTTGTTATTGGAGGACGAGGAGGATGAAGGCTGTTGTTGTTGTTGCTGTTTGGAGGAGGATCGACGATGACGTGAAGGCATTGTTTTTATAGAGACAATTTAAAGGATGGCATTTGACAGGAGACATCTGCCAAACAAAAGAGAATGAAAAACATTCTGGCCTCTCATCACTCTCTCATTCTTTCCAGTAACACTCTTATAATGAAATATATTAAATTCAAGGAGTCAGATGGGGTCCATTCGATCTTCTCGTTGGCAATCGTCGTCGTCGTCATTGAAATTGAAGTATTCCTGCAATTTCCTTTTCCTGTTTCATGCCCTTAAAAATTCCTTTTAAAAAAAGAGGACAACAACAACACCACAGCAACTCACTCTTTGGAGTTCCAAACGTGTTATTTTCATCATCCTTTACGGAAGGTATTATTCATTGATTCATCGGCGCTCGATCCTTCCTTCAAACTCCGAGAGTTCGTTATAGAGATTTTTTACAGGAAACCTCAAAGAAATTCTTCATCATCCTCCTTTTTGATACATTCTCCTTTCATACAACAAGTTTGTATTATCCAATTGGCAAAGAAAGTTGTAGCGTATCATTATACTAGCAGCACCAGCAAATTCATTAACAATCTTTCATAATTCGTACGCACAACTAAATGTCGGATCAACAACAATCCTTTCCAAACAACAACACCTCAATGTGGATGAGGCAATCACAAAGTAGTATCACCACAAGCAAATCCAATAACATGTTATTATTGGGCAATGAAGAAGGTACGAATACAATAACAAATAGCTCGTTAGCCTCCGCAACAGCAACTCCTTCCGAAGAGAGAAGATCATTTGAGCTACGAGATGTCAAGAGGAGTGGAGGAGACTCAGCCTCTCAGGTCGAGAGCACATATTGCAATAATCTCTCTCAGGTCGAGAAAGGGCATCATCATCCTGTAAAGCAACACCATCATCATCATCACCATCATGCTCCGAAACCACCCTCGACAAAGGCAAAGAAAATTGAATTAGCAAAGAAAATTGGAAGAGTTGTATATACATTGTTTTTACTGGCAGTTTTGGCAGCATTGATAGCGCTCGATGTGATCACGTCTCCAAAAAACGCGTGGATTTCGAGAGGGTCTATAGTGATTGCTGTCACACTTTTTGGTCGATGGTTATATGGTAGGTTTTTAAAGTTCGCTTTCATTTTGAGGATTTTACACAGGTGTTGTTCTGAACACTTAAAGAATTCTTTTTCGAAATTTTCTATGAGTGGATTTTGGAATACTTTATTCAAGAAGATAAGAAACCAGAGGAGAAGGTGTAAATAGAAACATTGTAAAAAACATTGCAACTATGAGCATCATTTTTGAAAATAAGATTTTGGTGATGACGATAAAACACACGTGCATTTCACCGACGCAACAATAACCAAATGTCCATTGTAAAAATTTATTGTTGTTGAATTTCCTTAATAAAATATGAAACATCAGGCTTATTAGCACCTAGTAATCTTTGGACTGAGTCGAGAGGTTGAGTGGAGGCCTCAGTAGTCAAAACATTCTTTAAAAGAGAGGAGAACTTGGAAAGAGAATCTTTTGGCAAACAGGTGGCAGCAATGTGAGCAGCGCACACTTCAGCATACAGGTCTAAATATAATGGCTGATTTTTGAGGTTGAATAAACTCTTCGAGTAGAAGGAAAGATTAGGCACAAGTTGTGTGTATGGTTTGCAAAAACGTGATTCAATACTTGTGAGAATTTCAATTGGAGTGCTTTGTGTGGCGTCGATTGGTTTGAATACTTCCATTTCGTAGACAGAATAGACGAGTTGTTGAAGTAAATTGAGTGGGAATTCTCTTGGAGTGGAAGCAATTTGGGCAGCATATTCTTCTGGAATTGGTTGTCTTGAACCCTTGTGACAAAGATGTGCAGAAAGGAAACTTTCTTGTTGTGGCAATCTTTCAAAGACCTTACGAATCACATTAGACAACAAGTTCACCTCAAGAGCAGCAGCAGAGGTTTCATGAAGTACATAGAAAAGTGCTTGGCCCATGGTTCCTGATAGGCTTCTAAATTGCTTAATAGTCAAAGAATTAGGGAAGCTGTAAATATGGTCTCTCAGATACATTTGAATCACTGCGCTCTTTGTAGAGTCTTCACCCTGAGATGGATAAAACTTGGCCTTATCATACGAGTAATGATCATAATTGAATGTCTTTTCTCTATCAAAAAGATCAAGGTATATCTTTCCGACCACTTTTCCTTGTGAGACCACATTCAGTCTCTTAATATTGAGTGGAGACCATGTTTCTGAAGGAGCTAACTTTTCTGGAACAAGTTCAACACCGAACAAGTCAGATGCAAGAGTCTTTGACAACGCATCCAAACAGTTGGTTAATGAAAGATAATTTTCAACATCTGCTGGTAAATAGTTCACTCTTATGCGATTATAATAGAGATTGGAAAGCTGTTTGATGTCGAAACCAGGGGTGAAGAGTTTCAATTCTTCTGGAGTTTGTTTTGTCTTGTTGTAGTAACATTTCTTGAGAACAGGATCGTTCATTCTAGTAATCTTCAATTCAGACAATTTCTCAACTTCCCTCTTGATATCCAACTTGTCTCTCAACTCTCCGACAATTTGGATCACGTCATCTAATTTAGGAATATTACCTCGTCCCATATTACAAGATGCTGCCTTCAACTCGACAAAAGATGGATATCCAAGCAATTTGGCAAAAGCATTAGCAGCGTCGATAGCAGTTGAAAGCAACGAATTGAATTGGTTGTCATCTGAGCCTGTCATGAACTTTCTAACAGCTTCTTCATAGAGTCCTGATCTAAGACTTTCCTCAGTAACGTTAGTCAAAATAGCATCAAGATCCTTCTCCAAATTAATAACTACAAGCTTTTTCTTCTTGGCAACTTCCTTCTTCATTGACTCGTAATGGATTGGATTGAGTTCATAAATTTTCATTCCTCCTCTCACTTTTGAAATACTATTGTTTTCAATGTAATCGGTCAAATCTTTGACGGCTTTCTCAAACGCATCTTTTGCTTCAGTAAATTTATCACGATTAACGTCAGCAGAGGCATACAAATTTCTAGATTCACTCACAACAGGAACAGTCAAGGATGTTTCCACTTGTTTGAGGGCTCTATAAAATTTTTCATTGGAGAGAGCACGTTGAGAGACAAATTGAGAAAAGTTATCGGAAATTCCCAGAGCAAGAGCAGCCAAGTCTTCAAATGGATGTAATTTTGCAAATGTTTCCAGAGCTGTTGAATATTCAAATCTCAATTTGTTCAACTCGAATACACTGGCCGAAACGTTCTCTCCATTTTCAATGCTTTTCACCAAATCATCAACCTTTGCCTTGGCAATAACTAATGAGTCTCTCATTGACGTGGCATCTTTGAAAATTTTGAGCCCAAAGAATCCTGTATCTTCACCACTTTTAGATACATCAACATTCTTCTTTGTGTACACAAATTCATTCAAATATGATGGAGATTTGGCTGTTTCTGCAATATATTTTGCTGAAATTTTCTTCTTTGGGTAGAGTTTTTCAAGTGATGGTGGTTTTTGTTTGGTGAGTTCGGAGACATCCTTTGATGCTCGTTTAGCAGCTAGCCTTTCCTTACTTCTTTGCTCCAATTCCAACTTCTTTTGTTCCAATTTCTTTTGGTGTTCTTTTTGTTGGGTTCGTCTGAGTGCATCGGCCTTCTTTTTGTCAGTCTTGCTGTCTTTTTTTGTTCTGATGATTGTATTGGATGAAACAATGCCGGCGTTATTGAACAGAAGATGATTTGTTGTGTTCTTGTTGTTCAAAAGAGAATTAGAGACCGCTGGAATTGTTTGAGAAAATGTTGAAGGCTTATAGGCAGCCTTGGAGAGGGCAAACTTCCATACGGAAATCATGTTCTTGTTGTTGTTAGAAGATGAAAATTATTTTATGGATTCTCTTGATGAGGAATGTGGTGTCCACAGACAGGGAATTTTCTCGACAACGATGATAGTGATGATGGTGTAAAATGACTCGGCCAAAAGCTTGTGCTGAATTTTTTCTCTCTTTTACAATGGAATCTTCTGGCAATAATGGTTCCCTTCATTCTTCTTTTTCAAGGGGAACGATTGGCAAAGAGTGTTGAGCGTGTAGCTGACAAAATCAAAACACTGATTAGAGAGCTTCTCCTTTGTGTTGAAACATGCAAATCTTGAAGTCACCACTCCACTCTCCTCGCGCCTGACGTAATGCAGGAGATTTGAGACCTCCATTCATGTCGTCCTGACCACTTTTGTCCAAAACCACAACAGTCAAAAAAACCAGCTTTCAACGATTCCAAAATCATCCTTGATTTGGGTCAACTCAAACAAACAAACAAACAACAACAAATAACGCTATTTCGTACGAAAGCTCTTGCCTCTCTCGTCTTCTTCTTCTTCTTTTGCAATACAATTTCCCATTACAATGATGATGCATCACGATCCTATTGTCAGAATATCGGATTGCTCGTCCGTACATTCTACAAAGCAACCACAACAAGTATCAACAAGCAACAATAATCACCAACAAACGATTCAAATGACTCCATCATTGAAAAGTTTTCTCAACGATCTGGAAACGTGCTTTAGAAACGGACAAGGAAAAGTCAATCCTGAAGAAGTCAAAAGTATATTCAGAAAGTACAGCAACGAGATGGATATCAATGATTTTGAACCCTATTGCTATGCCGATACGACTGCAACCTACACGAGAAATTTAGTCATGAACAATCCATACTTTTCTCTTATTGTGCTCGGTAAGTTTTTCGTCACGTGATCATCACGGCCATCGCCATTACAACGAAATTAATATTCGAATATTTGTGATGAACAACTTTGTTCGCAACTTTCAAAACTGATGACCAAACATGATCATCGTCATTGTGATAACGACTGGATTGAACATGATACCCAATTCATACGGTTCTGATTGTTCTTGTCCTGGATCTTTGTTATGATATATGGAATTATTTTGCCTTCACCATGGAAATTCAATGGAATGATTCCACGGTTCACGCGTTGGCTATTGCTGATACTCCTCGAACCGTACGAAATATTACCCAAACCTACAACGACAACAACAACCAAAAACATATTGTTGCATGACCTGATGTTTTGTTATTGTTGTTGCTGTTGTTATTTGATTGGCCATTCGAATGTTTCCTATTACAATAATAACCGTCCGGAATTGGCTTGATCACCTTCTTGTCCATCATCAAAACCACAGTTTGGAATCCACAACAACACTCATGTATTCATGCCCATGGAGGTTCACAATGTTGGTTCAGAGTATTGAGAGGTCAAGTCAAGGAATGCAGATGGCTTGTGAATCCCAAACAAGATACTTCATTGTCGCCTGTAAACCCAACCAAAGAATTCATTGCAAATATGGGAACAATTGGTTACATTGACGACAGCAATGGTGTTCACTGTATTGTGAATATGGCTGATGAGATTTCCGTGTCATTGCATTGCTATGCCCCACCTTATCAAGAATGTGCATGCTACTCCGATGAAACTGGAGAAATTTTCAATGGAAAGGGTAAGTTTTTTGATGACTTGAAACTCTCTGTGTTTGCGAATTTATTATTGGTCACAAATGATTCATCGTGATGGCTTGTTTCGATGCATACTTGAATCATTTAGTCATGTTTGACTCTATTGGAGGTCAAATTTTAAGTGCCCACGATACCATGTACAACTTTTTACGAAAGGAAAAGGAAGAGACTTCTCAAAATCAACATTAAGATCATTTTCCATTTGTAAATACTCATTCCATCTCTTGAACTATTATTTTCTTCCACATGCATTTGTATACAAACTGTAACAATTTGATGCATTTCCAATCTCCACCTTTCTTCCCACACAATTTATATGAGAATTTTATTGTTGTTCAGCTGAGCACACCAATCACTCATGATAACTTGTGATACTTTTCTCTTGATGGAACAACAAGTTGCAATTTTGAATTTCAAAGAGATGATTTCATCATGGTTGTCAAATTTGTTCCTTTTTAAAACATTGTCAATTTGAAAAGCACTCCAAACAATGATCCCTATAAAAAGTTTGTTGCCTTACTTCCATAATATTTACAAGCAAGTCAACCACTCATAAAAGAACAATTCTTCTCAAAAAATGCATAGAAACCTCTCTGCTGAAGCACTGGAAGAAGCTGCAACGAAAGGCTTTTCTGCAGAGAAGGAGCAAACGCTATACCTTCAAGGCTTGTACTGCGAGGTGCAGATGAAGAAGGGAGATGTTTCTCGCATATTTGATCAATTTGAATGTCGTGTAGAAACCATTGAGGAGTATTGGGAGATGTTTGAACAAGAAGAAGAAGCCTTATCAAGCTCAAATGTCTCCATGTACCACAGTATTCTTTGCGTGATTAAGGGCTTTCTGATGGTCAACCCAAATTGTCTTGGTATTGAACGGATCCAGGAGATTGTGGTTCTGGTGGCGAAGAGATGCTTGTTATCTGAACGGCTTCTTTCGGAATGCTTTTCAAATGTTTTCGGAATGAACAGAGGAGAGAAATCGTCGACCTCTCACAACTACGTGGCCACCTTTCATTCGACATTGCGATTGTGCCTAACGGTGTTGTACATGAATTGTTGTAATCATGACATTTTGACATTACTGAAATCGATACATGAAACTGTCAGGGATATCTTGCACCAATTGAAAGATTCTCAGAAAGAATCAGCACCCCTTTTAGTGATTTTATTGAATGAATGTATTCATGTGGTCATTGAGGAATTTTTTGGTGAGGCTGTTGGGCATTCACAACACATGGAAAACTCAGACCATATACCTCTACAACCTTTGAACATTAACCAGACGGATAGAATACTCAATCATCTCGTCAATTATAGTTTCGAAATGCCGCTGCAGAGAGAAGATGATGAATGGCTAATAGGACAAAGTTCAAACCTTCCAATGTATTCAAACAGCCCTAAAGGAATGATTTCCGAGGGCGGCACTTCGCCAAACAATGATTACACACAATGGAACTTTATTGACTCCTTAATCCATATTCTGGAAAGTTCGTCTCTACAACTGAACGACAAATTGAGAAGCATGCAATGCCTCTTCAAAATCTCCATGTTGAGCGAATCATTTGCTTTTAAAACTCTTCCTCTCTTTGAAAGAATTCTTGTGATGGATCCAAACGAAGATCTGAGATCGTTTTCAGTCATGTGTCTTTGGGAATTAATGTTTGTTCATCCATCGTTGCAGCACTACGACTTGATGGTTAGCGTACTGGAGGAAGTGGGAGTGGATGAAGTTCTTGATATTACAACCTCAGAAGAGGTAAATTCTCGTTCCTCATGTTCCTTATTTGAGTTACTTTATGGTATCTCTTCCTTCACACAAAAAACAAAGTACACATTTCTCTTGACAGCAATCAGAATGCTTCGACACAAGAAATGTTCCAACCCTAAATTCGAAAAGATGCTTTTTGCATTCATCAAGGGAGAAAAGGTCAAATGTGAAAAGAAGGATCCAACCGTTGATCCTTTCTTTAAAAAGGTGTTGAGTCAGATCACTCTAGAAACAGATACAATGTCCATTCAAGTTGTAACAAATAATCACAAAAGAAGAAGTGGCAAAAAACAAAATGCCAAACATTCCTCTGAGGATCTCCAACACATCACCCATGAACATGTTCCTTCTTCTGAACCCTCATACTCCAACGTAGAAACAGAGGTCATCTCCTCCTACAACAACACCAACAACGATATTATGGAAGAAGACGAGTAAAACATTTGTTTCATATCGATCATACCGACAATGATCATGCTGAGAATCTGCTCGAGTCTACTACTATTCTTTCGAATATCCGCGCCCTCTAAATAATATAACAATATAAAAAAAATGATCACAAGCGCTCCTTCCTTACCAACCTTAACAACACCGAGAAAGGAAAAACATTCGTTAAAGATCACGAAGGAGGATCATGAGGAATCATCATCCTTGGAAGATCGGATCCATAACATTGAGGATTCAAAGAATAGCAATACATCACATTGCAGATCGGTTCAGACAGATATCACTGATCCCGAAGATCCTCTATTCGGGAAAGGCTCTCCTTTGTATTCTCCCTTATTGTACTCGAACAGGATTCCATTAACCTCTGAGGGAATGAATGAGAATACCCTGTCAATTCAATCACCCTTCAAGCCTTTTCAGTTTGAGGAAACGAATGCGAGGTCGAGTAATGAGGTACATTCCCGCCAATATTCTACAACGCAATCACCTGCAGAATTGAACATTTCACCACCAAAAGAAAATCCCATAGTTAAAACAATGAATGAAGAAACAAACGATGTGATGGTGTCACAATACAATCCCTCTGAACACCTGAATTTTTTGAACTATAATGATGTTAACCATGAAAATGAAAAAGGAGAGGACACATTCGATTTAAAATCATATTTGGAAAAGTATGGAGTGGGCAGTGTGGACATGAACGATGATGATCATGACGATCACCATCAATCTTATAGTCATGACGACGAAATTTATGAGGATGACGAAGAAACTCAAAATGCTTTGAACTTTGGAAGCACTTTTGGATACATTTCTAAAAACAAAGAAGAAAATGACGGCACAGTTGATGAGGAAGAGCATGAATACACTCATGAAAATGAAGAAGAAACACACCAAGACTATGATCATACGGAGCAAGCAACAGAAGAAAATAATCACAACTATCAATATGATGAAGAAGAGCAACAAAATACAAACAATCTCGATGACGAAGAAAATAGTCTTGAATCTGCACAAGACGACAATTCCGAATCGGAAGAGGATGCTCCTCAGCAACAAGAGCGAAGTTTTGTTCTCTACATGCCAAAAACGTTAACTCCAAAATCTCAATCGAGAGAAAATAACCACTCCTCCATTGTCATCAAGTCTCCAACTGGCTCTCAAAATCAATCAAATAGTAGTTCCATTGAAAAAAGAGATGTTCACTCACCAGTTTCCACAAATTTGCATGTACAGGAGAAGGCAATTTCAAAGAACTACACAAAGAACGTTCAACAAAGAGAAGACACAAAACGCGACAACAGACAATCAGTAACAATTAAGGAAGAGAAAAACGAACCGCCAGAGAACGATGACGATAGCTCCAAGCCCAAATTTTCAATGCTTAAAAGAAATTCTCGATGGGGCTCTTTGCTGAGTAAGATCTCAAAGCCTGGAACGTACGTCCCACCCACCAACAAGCACAGCAAAGCTGCTGTTTTATCAAAAACCGCAAAAAAACAGCAACAGCAAGAGGAATCAACCGAACTCAACCAAGAATCCTCACATCCACCTAAAAAACAAACAACGAATTCTCAAAAAAAGCCACCAACTCCAGAAATTTCATCTCAAAAGTCAACAACAGAGGGCACTATTAATGTCACCACCACTTCGCATGACACATCCCTTCTTCCACAACCAAAACGAGCAGCTCCAGCTGTACCCAAAGCCCAACAACCAAAACATGAAGAAGAACCACCCTCGTTGCAAAACTATTTTTCAAGAAGAGATCCTCCTATTGGTGAATTTAATACTGTTGGAGAGTATGGTCCATTAGAATTAGAACATTCAGATGACAACAATGACGAAGAGGAAGATAATAATGGTTGGGGAAGCTTCATTAATAGAAACACAGTGTACAATCCATACCACTACGAGCAACCATCCATTTCAAGCACCAAGTATCAGTCCCCTCATTTAAGTGGCACTACACAAACGAGAAGTCCAGTTCTTGGAGGTCAAATACACCCTCCATCAACATCATCTGTGATCGACAAGAGAGAGTCCATGAACTCTTTAAACTCGAATGTGTCACCATCGTATCAGCAACGTACAGGTTCCATCATTTCTAATTTCTTTCTTCCAAAAGTTCAAGAAGAGGAGAAGAAACGGCAAATGAAGGAAAAAATTGAAAAGAAGAAGGAAGAAAAGAGAAATCGAGAAGAGGAAGAAAAAAAGCTAAAGGAATTGGAAGAACAACTCATATTTTACAAGAATGAAAATGAAAAAACCAAACGACTCAAAGATGAGCTTGTCGTTGAAAGACAAAATATGGAGTGTGAACAATCTGAATTTAAGAGGTACATGGAAGAAGAGCGAGAACGCTTCGAAAAGTACAAACAACAAGAGTTGCAGAAAATCAATCGAGAAAAAAGAATACTTGAGAGACAATTGAAAGAACATCAACAATCTCTCTCCAGAAAGGAACATGAAAAGGAAGTGAATGAGCTTAAAGAAAGGTTGGAAAAACTTTTATTAGAAAAGAAGAATGAGAGCACCAAATATAAATCAACGATACAGGCCTTAAAGACTCGAAATGAACAACTCACAGAAAGAATTGTAGAGCTTGAAGAAATTTTAAAAAAGCGAGAGCTTGAAAGAATTGACAATGTGTTTGTGAACAAGAAAAAGCAAGTGTCACAAGAATCTTCGTCTCAGCAGGTTGTGACCTTGAGTCCACAAATGAACAATCAACCACATCAGCAACAACCTTCGATCACCAACAACAAAAGGCCAACCACAGATCCCTCAACAAACAACAACAGCAACAGCACACAACAGGTTAATTCGCTCATGTCATCACAACAAGCTCAGCATCATGCATCTCCTGTTATGAATGATTCACGCACCAATGCAAAGCCCAAGACAGCATCACTCTCGAATGCATCAAAGAAAACGCAATCATCTTCATCCTTTTCAAACACAGCACCATATTCAAAGGATCACAAATTAGCTCTTCTTAAACGAACGTACAAGGTTTCTGATCAAGAGTTTGTAGATGGAGAAATTGTGTGGGAGCCTTTACGTATTTCTACTGACTCTGTCACAAGTAAGGTAGATATGGGAAATGGAAAAATTGAGATTAAGTACAAAAGCGGACGAAGAGATATCCAGTTTTCGAATGGAACCACCAAAAAGTTGTATCCCGACAAGTCATGTCTCGTATTCTTCAACAATGGAGACATTAAGAAAACATTTGAAGATGGTGTAGTGGTGTATTATTATGATTCACTCCAAACGACACACATCTCTTATCCCAATGGATTGGAAATGTACAAATTCCCAAACACTCAAATTGAACGACATTTCCCTTCGGGCGAGAAGGAAATTGTTTTCCCTGACAAGACTGTAAAATTTGTGGACAGCAATGGCTCGGAAGAAATTTGGTTTTCCGACGGCACGTACACACAAACATTTCATTAAACTTTCAGATCATGTGTGTAGTTGTTTGTTAATTGAGGGTACGACAATTTGAAGACAAAAAAGTTCATAAAAAATAAAGAAAAGCAAAAACAATTTGAAGAACAAAATTTATGTGTGTTTTTTGTACAAGTTGAAGAGAAACACTCTCTCTTCCGAAGCCTAGGTTGATGACAAGTTACATCATCGGATTATAAGTTAAAGATCTGGGTCACAGTCACATTTATGTTCTCTCACCTCTAATTCTTCTAGCCAATTGCATATCCTTTGGCATGATTGTGACTCTCTTGGCGTGAATGGCACACAAGTTTGTATCTTCAAAGAGTGAGACGAGGTAAGCTTCTGAAGCTTCTTGGAGGGCTAACACAGCATTCGATTGGAATCTCAAGTCAGACTTGTAGTCTTGAGCAATTTCTCTGACCAATCTTTGGAAAGGCAATTTACGGATCAACAATTCAGTACTCTTTTGATACTTTCTGATTTCTCTCAAAGCGACTGTACCTGGCTTGTATCTGTGTGGCTTCTTCAAACCTCCGGTGGATGGTTGTTTAGCAGACTTTCTTGCAGCCTTTGAAGCCAATTGTTTACGTGGAGCTTTACCACCTGTGGACTTTCTTGCAGTTTGCTTGGTTCTTGCCATTGTTACTTTTCAAATGTTGTGTTGGTATTTTTTTATTGTTGTTGAAATCGTGTCTTTTGAGGAACCAGACTATTTATGAGAAATGTCGTTAACGGTTTTGGTGAGTTTACAAAGAAAAAATGAGGTGGATCGAATTTTTTGAGCTGAATCAAATTGAAGCAGCTTAAAAGGAAATTGGATCCACACTGCATTATCGAGGAATCATTTTGGGACATCATCAAATGGAGTATTGGAAAGAAATTCAGTTCGTATAACGTGAAAATAAACGAGAGTACAGAACATCATCATTTATTATTACTTCAGCTTGGACTTTTTAATTCGATTCTTCAACTCTTGCAATTTGTCAGAGTGCTTCTTTTTGCTGCTGTCAGTCGTACTAGCTGTGGTAGTGGCATCATCATCGGATTTTGTGGTGACATGCTTTCGTTTCTTTACAGTTGACACTTCTTCCTTCTTGATTGGCTGCTTCTTCTTGGTTGATTGTTGTTGGGTTGTAGCTGGAGAAGCTGATGTTGCATCATCAACGTCATCATCATCCTCTTCCACCACCACATGATCCTGCTCATATCTCACTTGCTTCATATTCATTCCGAACATGCTCTCCTCCTCATCATCATCATCACCACTTCCTTCATGATGATCCTCATCGTCCTTGGAAACATATCGATCATTGGTGAGAAGTAGGCAATTCAATCGTTGCATCAGGTACGTCGAGTGTAACATCTCCCTTGATTCTTGGTCATAGACTCTGAGGTATCGATCGGCCGATACACAACAAATCAACTTCTTATTGGGATGGAATTTAATATCCCTCACACTTCCTGCAATCTTTCTGGTAGATATGAATCTTCTTATTGCGTCGTTCTGTAAAGTTGTATTTAAACATTTTGCCAATGGCTGTACCCACAACTACTTCCCAAATGTTTTGCGAGGAGGGAGTCATGGCTGTAAAGTTATGATCTTCAAAGGTGTATTGATGAATGGGACGTTCCTGTGCTCTCCGATCAAAGTATCTCACCTGATGATAGGCTGTTCGTGTACAAATCAAATTACCAAACGAGTGTTCTCCTAATTGCTGATTTCTTTCATCTTCACTGCCATGGCAACTTCCCAAATAACAAATACCACTGTCCCAAATTGGTTGCTTCAGATTGAGATGATCATGAGGAACATTCTTTGCCTTAAAGACACACTTTTGTGTTTCCACGTCCCAAATTTTCATCAAGTTGTTGTTTCCAGCGACGGCCACTTCGAGTCGTTTCGAGTCCAATCTCTGAGCCACCATGACGCTCACATCTCCTCCCGTTAATTTCAATTCAGTTACTTGTGGCTCAATGACAATTTTGTGAGTTTGAACATCCTCTGTTACTTTGTAGCCGAGACTTGGATTGAGTTGTTGTTGTGATTTGGACGTTTGGTTATTTTCATCATCATCATCGCTGAGAGAACTCCCATCATGATGTTTGTTCTTGTCGGATCCAACACTCTCTCGAAGACTCACCAAGAAATCATCGGAAGGCTGAACAATATTATATTTTGAAATTGGAAAATGATAAATATTCAACATTCCTTCATTATCACACACATAGATATTTCGAGTATCATTGGAAATAGTTTCACAATGAAATCCTTGAATGTTTTTCAAGGATGATTGCACAGAAAATCGTCTCTGACCCGTGTTCACCCAATAAAAATCGATGGATCCATCATCGTAGAGGGCAGCCACTTCGGAATCATTGTTGGGATTGGCCCATTGAATTTTTCTCACTCCACGACCCTTCTTTTGCTCTCCGATGGTGATATTGACTTCACCTTTGACAACGTCGACCACCTTTAAGAGGCCAGTGTCTGTTCCGGTCACTACTCGCATTTCTTTTTATTCATTCAACAAAATTTTGTTGCTCTTCAAAAATTCCTTGTCAGAAACTTGTGGACTGACAACGGCCGTTCATCAGTTCTCAACACCAAGATGTGTGTTGGATCATCTAATGACGATTCGAATGCTCCAATCCAATGAAAGTAATTCATCAAGCAATGACGCCGAATTTGAGTTTGTTGTCAATTTGCTTTTTCGAGTTTTAAAAATATTGTGTGCACAACACGTATTCAGCTGTATCTATCAATCATCATCGAACAGAGAGGATAGCCTTAATCAATGTCCACCTCATCACTCTCAACATTGTCGAATTATAATTTGAAAATACCCATTCCACCTCGTTCTGGTCGCATTGAAGAAAACGATCCACTCTTCTCTGAACAAACACCAAATCAAATCAACAACAACGATCAAGTGATTACATTAATTGATGAAAAAGATCCGAATGTCATTCATGAGACACTCGAATCTGAGCAAGAGTTGATGCATTCGTTTGGGGGAGTCATCACTGAACCCTCTGAAGAGGAGAAAAAACAAATACGAAAAAAGTACAATTTGCCACCATTTAATACGTTATTTCCATATCGGCGAGGTAGAGATTATTGGAATTACAGATATGAGGAGAGAGCAAGCGAGTTATTCTATGATTGGTATCTCAGTTTTAACCAAATGAAATCAACTCTTCAACCATATTTAACAAGTTATGACATGCGAATATTAATTCCAGGCTGTGGTAATTCTCGTAAGTAAGGACATCATTACATTGACTCACCATCAAGTGATGCATCATGATTGTGCTCTCAAATTTTGTTATGAACTACAATTGTGACAATCTCAGGTCTGCCCCAACAATTGGTGAAAAGTGGTTTCAAAAACATTCTCTGTATTGATTACTCTGACGTAATTATTAAGAAAATGAGAAAAATTCATGAAAAGTACAGCGAATATGTAAAATGTAAGTCATTATCATGACAATTTTTCTCTCAATTAGTAGTGGTGGTGGTGGCGGATGTGCTGTATATGAAACTCTGTGCGTGTGGAATCCTCAATCATTGATACTGCGTGTCACCTTACTTTACAACACGTTGGATAGTCCATTGTGTTGACGCATGTTCCATGAAAATGATTGAATCTGACTCGTATGATCTTGTCATCGATAAGGCACTCACCGATTCAATGTCATGCTCAACAAGTGAAATTCGTTCATCGATCACAGATAATGTCACCCGATACTTTTTTCAAGTCTCGAGAATTCTAAAGCCAGGAGGAAAGTTTCTCATCTACTCTTCAAGAGATCGATCAGACCTCGTAAAGACGAGTGATGCATCGCTGTGGTCTTCTATTTGCACGACAAAGGTACCACGAATTCAAACCACTAATGAAAAGCTCCGAAATTTCTTTCCATCCAATCTCTCAAACAGCTCTTTTCACTTGCTTGTTCTCTCCAAGAAGGGTGAGGAAGATGAATTGCCTCCTGATGGTATGTTCCTACTCAGTGGAGGTGCCAAAAGTGAACAAGTTGACTCGGCATCAATAGCCATTGACGCCATGAGAAGATTTCAAAGTAAAAGCAACAGCATTCTGTCAAAGCTTGCTGATTTTGAGCGTGAAGTACGAGAGGAACAGCAACAGGAGTTTCTTTGAGCGTAATTTGGAAGAGTAAACACAAATTATTATTATCGATTAGAATTGTGTACACAATTATATACTTGTGAGTGATAATAATGAAAATTGTCATCAACTAATTGATTCATGTCGAATGTTTTCATATTATTATTGAATTTCATATCACCATCATCATCAGTGGAAAATTAGTATCATCATCATGAACAATTGTTCCAAATGTTGAATTGCTTCGTTGTTGAGAGTTGAGCAAACGAAATGAAATTAATTTTCAGATTCATAATAGGATCCACTCGGTTTAAACACGATAACAACAACAACCTTCTTCTTCATCACAGCGGGATCATATTTTATCAAATAGCACGGCTTTCATCATCACCTCCTAGCAGCATGTTGGAATGTAGACTTCATACAAAGCAAGAAACGATTTAAAGTCTTAATTTGGTGTTTTTTGGAGTGCTATTGCAACTGCAGTTGTAAGAGTCAACCCTCTGCCGCCACTGTGCTGTTTTCTCTCGAATGCACAAAAAAAGACAAAAAAAATAAAATACAAAATGTGGGCCAGACTCTACAATTTGTTCAACAGATTCGAAGAGGAGAGAAAGGTGAAGGGAGACTCAGCCATCCGTAACACTGAAGATGACTATGAATGGGCTGAAAAGTATCCTGAACATGAAGCAAGCCTAAAGCCTGTGGATAAGGTTGTTGCCGAGCAATTGGAAGCTTTCAATGTTGATGGAAAGGCACTCACAACAATTGATAACAGCGTTGGATTCTACAACGTTGCTTCTTTGGATGCCACTCCATACTCTGTTGAAAACGAACAAAATATTCAAGATAAAATTCACAAGATAATCGATGTTCTTCAAGAAAAGACCGATATTGATTTTTCCAATCCAAGTGTTGCTTTGGAGAAGTTGAGAGCAGATTTATGGGATCCATCCAAGACTGCTGAAAACAGCTACTGGGGTGTTGTTAGCAAGGAATTGAACATCAATCCAAGAGGCGTTGTTTTGGCAATCCCACCAGAACTTTTCAACAACACCATCGGTAGAGGTGATTCCGTCATTGGTGGTTGGTATGATGCCGCTGCCTATGATCCAAAGGTCCGTGAATTGTGGCTCAAGCAAGGATTGACTATTCAATTCGAGAAGCCAATGGCTGCCAAGTTACAAGGAAATCAAGCTGCCTTGTTCGGTCAAGAAGCTGCTAAGAGGCTCATTGAGCAAAAGAGAAAGGGTACTTCATACCACTATGGTTTCCTCAGAAACAAGATGGGATCAAAGGTCTTTGTCGGAACGCTCATTGGTTTCACCCTTTGGGGTTTGACTCTTAGATTCAATGTTCAAAACTGGAGAGATTGGATGTACCAAAGAACCAAGTTTGTAGAACGTTTGTATGAATTGGATGAAATTGGAGTTGCAACACCACAAAGCGAAAAGTTGGATGCTGCTCACCGTGAATGGTTGACTCATTACTATGAAGATGAGGAATAAGCTGATCATGATCAACTACAGCAATAACATTTTTCGCGAAAATCTCACTTTTTGATGGACTTGTACCACTAACATTAATCAAACACAAACATAAAAACCAACAGGGTTGTTTTCGAATTTCTTTGAAACTTGTTGTTGTGTTAAGATTCTTCTTGTGCAAGCTTAGTTTATTTTATTTTCCTTATTCATCATCGTCATGGCATTCGAGGATGAAGATTCTTCGAGCTTTTCTAAGCTTGTGTTCATCATAAAATAGTGATGAGTGAAATGTTTGGATGAGGGCTGTGTGGTTGTTGTTGCTGTTGCTGAATGGTTGTTTAGAGAAGGAGGTGTGGATGGTGTGAGTTTGCACTTTTTAAATTCTTGGCTACAAGGAGTGCTGTTACCGCTGACATTACAATCATGAGGAGTCAAAGGAGGTGCCTCCTTTCGTTTCCTCTCTTCCATGAGTCGTTGCTGAGATCGTGCCTTTCCATACTCAATCTTGGATTTTAGCTCTTCATTTTGCTTGTGAAGAGCCTTATTTTCCACCAACAGACGATTCATTTCCTCAAGTTTGCTCGACATTCCTGTCACAATACTCTCCTTCTCTTCCTCAAGCTCCTTAATTTTTTCGACAGCGTCATCAATTTCTCGTTTAAAAGCTTGTTCTTTGAGAGTAATTTCATCTTTCAATTGAGAAATGTAGTGATCCTTTTGTTGTAGAAGCTCCTCCAAGTGGAGGTGAGACGTCGACTTGGTAGCATCCTCTTCTTGAAGAGGCCTCATGAATGATTCCAATTTTTGCTCTTGCTGTTTGAATTGACTTTGTAGCAATCCAAAATCATATTCAAGCTCCTCCATTTCCTCTTCTTTTTGCTTCAATAATTGTGACAGAGAATCGACGGCTTCTTTGAGAGAACTCGTTTCGAATTCTTTAGATTGGTTCTCACTCTGCAGCTTTTCAATGGTCTCTAGAAGCGATTGAACCTCTTGTTTGTGGGAATGTGTTAAATGTGTCAATTGTTGTTGTAGATTTTCCATTTCGGTATTTGTATTTACAAAATTTTGTTGGTTCAATTTGTCAGTATGAAGACTCATTTCCAAATTTTCATTAAGAGTTTGAATTTGAGCTTCCAAACCCTCCTTACAAATTTCCATCTCTTCAATTCGTTCCTGTAAAGATGAAATTTGTTTCTTCAATTCACACACTAGTGCATGGTGTGAATTTAAAGTTTCTTGTTTTTCATTTTCATATTTCTGAGAGAGTTGAAGAGTCAATTCTTCTAATTGTGTTTGATGAGCACTTTTTAACATTGTCAACTCGTTTTCATGTTCTTGCTTTAACTGAGCAATGATCTTCTCTTGCTCTAGTTTCATGGAAGAAATTGTATGGTTGGAGTTTTCAATGGTGGTTGAGAGAGTGTGTTGAAGTTGTTTGATTTCTTCATCAAATCGTTGCTGACTACTTTTGGAGAGAGCTTGAATCCACTCAATGTCTTTTTCCTTTTCCTGAATGAGTTTTTTGAGGGATGCTTTTTCTTGCTCGTCGCCATCATGATTGCATTGTTGTGTTTGACCTGATTGAAGGAGTGAAATTTTTTCTTCGTATTGTCGAACGCAATCCTTCTTTTCCTTTTCTAATCGTGTGACTTCGGTCAAAAGTTGTGTTTTCAATTCTGCATTTTCTTTTTTGAGCTTTTTCAAAAGTGCCTTATCACCTAGTATTTCATTAATGGTGACACTATTTTGAATACTTTTCGCTCGATTCGCAAAACTAAGAGTGGATTGAGTTTCTTCAAAATACTGCAGAGCAGGCGTGACTGTACAAATAATGACCGTTTTCGAGTTTCCTCCGAGTGCACTCTGAAGAATTCTTGTCAATTTCGAATCTCTGTAGGGAATGTGAGTAGAATTTCCTTCACTCAATTTTGAAATGACTTTACCAAGTGTGAACAGACTCTTATTAATGGCAGCTCCTTCTTTCAATCTCTGACCCTCAGCAAGTGTGTTTGAAACTCGTTCAGATCCTGCCAAATCTACCAAATTGAGTGTACTGTACAAAACTCGTGTGTGAGAATCAGAGTCTGAAGACATGTCTAAATTTTCATCATCTTCCATGACTCGTTTTGCAATTTCTACATCCATCGATTCAATGGTAATTCTGAAAATAGTGTGAGATCGACTACTTCTCTCATTCATATTTGTCGCTCCAAAATGTCGATTGTGTTCACCTCGTTCCATTAATCGAAGTACTTGTTGAACATCTGAAACTTCTTCTTCTTTTGCTCCCTCTACGTAAACTCCTTTTGAGAGATCTTCTCTAATCTTCAACTTTTTGTTCTCTGTGTCTAACAAATCATTGATAATTTCATTATAAATTTCAAGATAAGAAACTCGTATTTGAAAAGCTCGATCTGGTGTTTGTGAAATGGTTGTAAAAACATCTCGAATTGCGAGAGGAATTATTCCTTCAGCTTCTTTGGAACCTTTCATTCTGTTGTTAAATTGTCATAAAAAAAGTTTGAATGTTGAGAATTAAATATATTGGAGAGGTGAATGGTGTTTTCAAACATTCATCAATTTTCATTTCGTCGTATATTCATGCATGAATTTCAATGAAGAAAACATTTTCAAACATTTTCATACATTACTTACGTAAACGTCTTTCCTGAGGATGTCTGTCCATAAGCAAATATCGTTCCATTATAGCCTCGCACCGATGCCATTACAATATGTTTGCACATATCGGAATAGATCAATTCCGTAGAGCTTTGTTGATCGTAGACATGATCAAAGGTATAACTGGTTGGAATACCGTTACCACTACTACTACTACCACTACCTCCATTATTATTATTGCTCATGTCCATATTATTATTGGAGTTGTTAGTATTGTTATTGCTGTTGATGCTGTTGATACTGTTGTTGTTATTTTGTTGTTGTTGGTGCTGTATCAACGAAGAAAGAGAGCCCGAGGATGAAGATGAAGAGAGGCTATTGTTATGACCACTACCACCACTACCACCACTACCTGAATTGATGATGGATGGATTCAACGGATGATGATAAATGGTATTATTGGAGGCTGTTTTCCATATGCACACAGAATTTCGGGACTTTTCCTTTTCATTGAGAGGGCGAATCCTCACACAGACTTTAATGCTGTCATTCATTTTTTTTGAATTCATTGAAATGGCTAGTTTGGGCGCGAGAATTGACCAACAAGTTTTCACACTCTGTGGGATCTTATCATCCGATTCATCATAGGGAAAGGAACGAATAGTCCTCCTATCTCTCTCTGAGTTCATGAAATGCGAATGTCGGGCGTCGCTCGATCGAATGTTGTGGTGGTGCTATGATTGGTGTGGATGAGAAATTCAGTGTTTCATGTGTGATTGATGAATCACAATGCTTTGGATCGCACGATTTTGTTCATGCCAACAACGGGAAGAAAATCCAACTCCAACTTGTTTCGATCTTTCTCTAGTAAGTACTCAATAAAGGATGCATAATTGATAACATTTTCACCACTCGATAGTTTTCGATTTGGAAAAAGGGAAGGAAAGACACAACACGGCACCACCACTGCTGCCTTATTGTATCGGAGTGAAACGTCAATAATGGCTTCTGTGGCTTGGTCTGGATGGAGACCAACAATTATTGAACTGTTCATGATCAGCTCTCGAAATTGCACGCTCCAATCTAGTTCTGAATTTGTGAAATATTCATGAATGTATTGTAAGCTAGTACCTGTTTCTTGCAGTTTTTGTAGTTGTTTTTCTGAAAGAGTTGCTTCTCTTGGATCAATGACAATGGATTTGATATGATACTCGGTCCACAAGTAAAACGAAACTTCACCCTTTCCTCCTGCCACATCTAGCACAACTCCAGATGAAAGAAATTCCTTTCCAAAATGGTCCACCAAGTATTTGGCAAAAATTTGAGCTCTTCGAGTCCTATTCAATTTTTCAACAGGGGTAAACTTTGGAGTGCAATCTACGAGGTCTGCATTTGAAAATCGAGAATCCGTTAATGCTGAATTGTCATTGATCATTCTTGAAAGTGGATTTGATTTTTGAAAATTAATTCCACAATATGGATCGTTTTCATCCCTATAATTTTGCTCTTTTTCCCTTTCATTAATAAAGAAGTGCCTTCTGTCACAATTTTTGTCTGTACATTCCAATCCTAATTTAAAATTATTGCAAAGTTTTCGTTTTGATTGTTTGTGACTCTCTGTTTCTTCTTCTTCCTCTGTATATCGTTGCCGAAGTGTATCAAGAATAATCATAGTCTCTGGGTTGTTGGCCCAATTTTCCATATTTTTCAAATAATTAAACGAATAAATTTGTGGAGGTGATTTTGAATTCAAATTATCTTTTTTCACCCAACATTCAATCCTATTTAATTATGGAAATTTAATTTCAATATGTAATAATATTATTGTGGTATGAAGAATTATTGATTGTCAATATTAGTGGTCAGTATCTCCAATATTTAAAAAACAATTTCTAACCACAACAAATGACCTACCAATTTCCAACATGCAATTCTTTCACCCATTCTTCTTCTCCTCTAATCATAAATTGAAGAGTAAACTCCGAAACATATTCAATATTTTTCATACAATAATCCCTCAAGAATTGATCATCATCATGTAGCAAACAATTTTCATTTCTTCTGTCCAAGGTTTGCTCTCCAAGTATTGATAACAATTTTATAAAAGCTAACTTTTTACCTAGCTTTCTCATGAAAAGAATCAGTCCCGAAAATTTTCTGTTTGTTCCACCTTCCTTGTTTGTTCTTTTCGAGAAATCGGAAAAGCCATCACCGACCGATAATTCCTGAAACATTTTTTCTCTCTTTTACGTTTCTTCTTTACAACCCCTTTCATGATAATGACGAGTTCAAAACCAATACCCATTCAGGTACCATGAGATGTTTTTCATCAGGTTCTTCAACAAGCATCTCCAAGTACATTATTGACTTCATATCCAATTGGGAGATCCTCTTAAAGAAAGGCTTATTTTCAACACGAATATGAGACACGTGTTTCCTAAAGGCACAACAACAAAAAAAATGAGAATAACAACAACAACCTCTTCATCATCCACCATTCCATGGTCGTGTTATCTTTTCATCATCACGATCGGAATACTTCTTCTTTTGACGACGACGGCACAACCTCTCAGAGCAGCCTCGTCTTCTTCCGATGATGATGATCATATAACCCCCCAAGAGGAAACACCAGAGCCAAAGAATATTAAAGTTACTTGTGGAAGTATTGTCAAATTACGACACAAGGGAATGAATTGCCGATTACATTCTCATGCTGTAAAATATGGTAGCGGAAGTGGACAACAAAGCGTCACGTGCTTCCCTGGAGAGGGTGATGAAAATAGTTATTGGGTGATAAAGGGAGCTTATTCTGCTGATAAAAAAGGGGAAGATTCTTGTCCTCATGGCACCGTTCTCAAGACTGGTTTAACCGTCCGATTGGAACATGCTCAAACAGGAGGCAGATTACACTCGCACTTGCATCTCTCGCCATTGTCCAGACAACAAGAGGTCTCTTGCTATGAAGGACAAGATACAGGAGACAATTGGATCGTTGAGCTTGTTAGTAGCAGTAGTAATGCTCTCGAAAAGGGAGATTCATTCCGTCTTAAACATGTCGATACTGGAAAGTATCTTCACTCACATAACATGCAATATGGAAATCCAATTCCTGGTCAATTAGAAGTGACCTGTGTTGGCTCATCAAATTCCAACACCATTTGGGTTGCTGAGGAAGGTGTTTATTATCCAACACAAAAAGAACTTGAAAATCATCACTAGACATAAACATGGTCCGTCATGCCATTAATTATTCATCGAATTCGGCTTTTTGTAAATCTCAGTGACAATTTTGTGTGAATGCATCTCTCTATTCAAGGTCACTCACCTCTTTCACTCAAAATAAAAGAAGGATTCACGACCTAACAATGTGGAAAATATTCAAAGGCCACCATATGGTGTAAAAATCATGGAACGATAACAGGAATGGCTACGGCCATATCACGATGAATGCACCTCATCCCGTCCGATTTGAGAAGTTAAGCATCGTCGAGCTGCATCAGTACTGAGGTTGGAGACAACTTGGGAACCTGCGGTGCTGTAGCCTTTTTTGCTTTATGAATTAGCCTGACGATGAAAGAAATTGTCACATTGCAGTGATGTAGACTGATTAGTTCTTCTTCTTAGTGTTAATATCATCAGCCTTCTGAAAACAAAACAATAAAAAAACAACACAATAAATCAAGAATCCGCCAAAAATTTTCTTACAAAATCTACAAAAAAAAATGAAACGCACGTCCAACGTCCCCCCTGCCAAAAAGCAAGGTCAGGAGAAGGCAGGAACCATCTCTCGAAGAACTGATACAACGGCCGATCATGATCCACAATCGGGGCATCAATTTGGAGGACAACTCAGTAAAAAAGTGATTAAGGCCGAGGATCAACTCCATCTCACAGAGGAAGAGTTGAATGTGGAAGTGGATCGAATTTTGGAAGCAACCAATCCGAATGCTCCTGAAAATATTGTTCGATTCAATCACGAAGATAGAACTTTTAAATTTGAACACACAGTCGAACAGGCAGCATTTCATTTTGCAGATGACGGGTAGGTGTAGTTTTAAAAGGCGATAGTAATTGATTCTATTCAAAATTTCATACACTTGTTCATTTACGGTCTTTTTCTGATCGATCAATTCAATCTTTAGATTCCTAATTTTAAAAGATGGTCCTGAAGCCAAACTTCAAAAGGAAGAAAATGAAAATAAGAGAGAATTGTTAAAGAAAAAGCTCAAAGAACAAGCAAACGTGGAAACCGATAACTTGGGTGCTGATGACATCCAACAAAAAAAGGACATACTCCGTAATCAGTTCAACTATTCGGATCGAGAGGTTCAAACCTTTAACTATCCTTTCAAGGAAGTAGAAATCATGACAGAGCCTCCAGCAGCAGAGACGTTTGAGGCAACAGCTACGCAATGGGAAATTTATGATTTCTATCAACAATATTTCGAAGAGCTCAAAAAACAAAATGGAAAGGGCAACGGTAGTGGAAAGAACAAGAAGCCCAACAGAGCTAAAACTCCTCAAGAAATTATTCACTCCAAAGAAATGGTCTCAACCTTGAAGCTCATGGAACGAATGCTCAATCAAAATTCTATGGAGGAAATTTTGCATGACTACAAGTATTGGGATGATCCATCAGACGATGTTGTCGAAGACAAGAAGAGGAGAACGGAGGGCTCCCTTCTTCCTCTTTGGAGATTCCCATTCCCAGAAAAGAAGAAGATGTCAGTGACTGGAGTTTGTTGGAATCCAAAATATTCTGATTTGTTCGCTGTGAGTTATGGAAGTTACAACTTTTTGAAGCAGGGTGGAGGAATGATTTGTTGTTACACCTTGAAAAATCCCGGAATTCCTGAATACACTTTCTATACAGAATCGGGGGCCATGTGCTTGGACTTCCATCCAAAACATCCATCTCTGCTAGCTGTTGGTTTGTATGATGGAACGTGTATGATATTCGATATTAAGCAAAAAGAAAGCAAACCATTAATATTATCCACAGTGAAGAGTGGAAAGCATAACGGCGTTGTTTGGCAAGTGAAATGGGAAACGGAGGGAATTTCTACCTCTCTTTCATTCTTCTCTGTGAGTAGTGATGGCAGGGTTACGAATTGGACCCTTTCAAAGAATGAACTTCAATATACAGACATTATGCACCTGAAATTGGAGTCTTCTTCAACAGTGGCATTTGAATCTGACAAATCCTTCTCTGCCAATGCCTCATTCACTCAAATGAATCCATCCAAAATTACGGAAGACTTTTTAGTGGCATATTCGGGCGGTACTTGTTTCGATTTCAATCCCAAGACACCTCATTTGTTTGTTGTTGGTACTGAAGAAGGAAAGATTCATTTATGCTCAAAGGCATACAATTCACAGTATATTCGGACGTATGAGGGTCATAACATGAATGTGTACAGTGTGAAATGGAACAGTTTCCATCCAAATGTTTTCCTTTCAGCAAGTGCAGATTGGAATGTCAAATTGTGGGACATGAATTATACACAACCTCTCATGACTTTTGATTTGGGAAGCGGTGTTGGAGATGTTGACTGGGCCCCATACTCATCCACTGTTTTTTGTGCTGTCACAGATGACGGAAGAGTTCAGGTGTTTGATTTAAGCGTCAACAAGAGAGATTCACTAACAGATGCATGTTCATTAATTGTCAAGAAGGCCAAATTGACTCATGTTCAATTTAATCCAGTCACAAGTGCCGAACTGCTCTACGATAGCGCCTACTTTGATAGTAAGAATCCTCAACTTCAACATAGGGCAGTAGAGGCACTCAACAAAATGAGCTTTGCGCTCCTTGTGGGAGACGATAAGGGACTCGTTCAAACGCTCAAGCTTTCTCCTAATCTTAGAAGACCTCCAGACCTCAAAGATAAGGAATCTGCACCAGCAACAGGAGGACAACAGCAAGGTGCAAAGAAGACAGAAACCACCACAACTACTACAGGTCAAAAGACAGTGCAACAAATGGAGGTTGAAAAACTCTCAGCAATTCTTGAAGTCGCTTTGAAACAGCAACAAGAATAAATCACAATTTCCATCAAGTGTTTCTTGTAATCGGACACGTGTCCATGTTAGCCAACTCCTTTCTTTGTTTTGAGTTGTTGATATTTTACGTGTATGTGTGCAACAATAGGTATCAGTCTCCCATTGTTAGTAAATGATGCAACAAACTCCTGAATCTCAGTTGTCGCAGTTTTCTTTATTAGACAGATTTTTTGACATTTTTCAAAAATATGTCTCTTCAAATTGTGTAATTTGTTGCTCACAAACAAGGATCTTCCAACATCATCTTCTTCTCATAAGGACAATGATCGATTAATGACGGATGCCAATGTCTCCTCTTTTCTCTGGAAATTGTTCTTCCTATTTTTTGAACCATAATATGAGGTTTGGCGAAATCATTCCACCAACCACCACCACCACACACATCTCATTGATGTCGTGGCACTGTCATTTGAAAGCATTCTCTTTACTTGTGAAAATATTTAGAAAAGGCAAAGTTTTTATGGATGGCTGAAGCGTTTGATTATTTTCGCGCCTTCTTGGCAAGGTCGCTGTGGAGGTCATCTTTTTTCGTCAAGATCACTAACAGAACCACTCACAACATACTAGTAGAGCTAAATGAGTATTAATAGTTAATATAATCTTCATCATCTCAACAATAATTATTCGCTTTACAAAATCCTCTTCGGGATCCTCGATTAAGCCAAAAAAAATGTTCAAAACCGCAACCTCTTCATTCTCTCTCTTAAAGTCTTCCCAAACATTCCGTCGTGTCGGTACCGCATCATCAACCATGGTGATGAACCACACCACCGTGAGAAACAAGCACCAATTACCAACCTTGGACTATCCTGTTGAGAACGGAATTGCTCCTTGTATTACTGCTCGCCAATTGGATTTCCACTACAACAAGCACCACAAGACCTATGTGGATAAGCTTAACCAATTGATTGAAGGTACCAGCTTTGAGAGTCAGCCTCTTGATGCCATCATTCAAAAGACTGCCTTTGATTCCGATCCAAAGAGTGTTTCCATCTTTAACAATGCTGCTCAACACTTCAATCACTCCTTCTATTGGAAATGTTTGGTTCCAAACGGAAGCAAGATTGACGATGCTCCAGCCATCAAGCAAGCCATTGAAAAGCAATTCGGATCAGTGGACGCTTTCAAACAACAATTCACTGAGAAGGCCACAACATTATTCGGAAGTGGTTGGACTTGGTTGGTGTTGGATGGTACTCAATTCAAGATTTGGAATGGTAGCAATGCCCAAACACCAATCGCCGAGAATTTGATCCCATTGTTGACCTGTGATGTTTGGGAGCACGCTTATTATTTGGATCATCAGAATCGAAGACCAGATTATTTGAAGACTTTCTGGGAGGCAGTGAATTGGTCCTTTGTGAACAAGGCATATACCATGGCTCGTGATCAACAAAGCATCAAGTTGTAAAGCAGCAATTGCCTGTTGGTGCAAGCCACAAGAATAATCTATCAAAATGAACGGATATATTGTTCAATAAAATTTAAATAAATTATTATTAAAATCGATAATGGTCGATCAAATTATTAACAATTGATGTTTAAACAATTTTCACCTTCAGAACGAGTTCTCAATGTTTTGGTGAGTTACTGGTGTTGTCCATCAAACCAAATCAATCGAAATTAGATTGTCATGTTCCAATGATCCCTTGACAGCAATAATCAACCGATTGAACAGGTTAAAGATCTCTTGACCTGGTCACAATCATCATTCAATTTGTTGGTAATCCGTTTCAGTGTTATGAGGTAGGGCAGAAGATGATGAGCTATCCCAAGAACATGCATCAATCTTGCCATTCGGTCGATTCTTTAAGCCTTCCACCCTTTTCGATTGAATGAATCGATAGAGAGTTGAAAAATCATCCCTATGAAACTCAAACACAATCACTCCAGCTGCAAGTACCAAATACACGACCAAAACAAATGCTGAAAAGAAGGAATACATTTCACGTTCATTCCACAGTGAGGAGACCAACAAACATAAATCCACAGTGGTAAATACCATCATGACTCCAACACAAAATAAAGAGAATTGTCCAAACTGAGAGAGTTGTGTTGTTTTTCAATTGAATTCACATGTGTATATTTCAATAAGGTCAGCCACCACCATTTCACACCGAATGTGATGTTCAATTGAATCGCCATGAAAAAGAATCATTAGAACCTTTTGTTTCAATGAATTGCACCCTCACACTTACCGAAGTTTGTATCGAATTAATTTCAGTAATTCTTTTCAGAGCTAAATAAATGAACAAGGAGAAACATCCAAATATTGCAAAAATCACCATTTCCACCATCCATGATACCAACACCCAAACCACATTGGTAAAGTTTCTTGGAATTTGCATTTCCAAAAAACCCAGCTCCACACTCAATCCAATACAACACAACAATCCAATCATACATAATAGGTACTTTTTCCAAGCACTTGTTCGTCGATGTGTTTGTAAATATCTCATCACTCCAAACCAATACATGAGAATGAGCAATAATGTACAATAGTTTAAGAATTCAGCGATTGAGGAAAACATGGTAAACCATTGAAAGGGATACATGGGTTGAGGAACATGAAGAGAAACAATTCTGCAACACAAGGATAAGAGTACAACGATGGAGGGACTAATTTGGAGGAAAGTATAGTCATGATTTGGAACTTGGATCCAAATCAACAGTTTTGGAATGACCAGTAAGAAGAGAGCGGCTATTGCAAGTATTGAACTCGCAAGTGTCATTCCAACTTTTTTAAAATCATTCATGATGGAAATGGCGCCCTTCTTGTCACAAAATAATTCAAATTGATCCGATTGAAAGCAATAACATGTGTAAATATAAGGAATTTTCTGCTTTAAGGAATTTGTTGTCAAAGGAGTAATGACTGGAATTCCAATATTAATGGCTCCACAATAACGAATATATTTTGGAAAGGATGTCACCATTGTCTGAATGGAGCTGTTGCTATTTCGACATGTTTGATTTTCCAATAATTGATGATATTCTTGGAAACCTTTTGCCATCGAACAATAATGACAATAGTTAATAAAATCAAATATTCGATCTCCAATGATTTCACTCATCCTCTCACCCTTATCATCACACAACACTTGTGTACAATTCGGTAACAAGTTGGATGAAGTACCAAATGTTTCACACAAATTATGAACCACTTCTCTTGAGTAAAATCGTGCATTTGGAAAAGCATCCAATTTCCAATATTCCTCAACGACTGAGGTAGCTATATTTGGCACTGAAATACTTTCGCATCCCATTGGAGGATATTTAGGGTTTCTTAATATTTCATAAGAATTCGAATCAAGTAAATCTGAAAAGAAAGAGCCTTCTCCCATGATTGTTTTACAATTTCTCCAACTTTTGGAAAGGTTATAAATGATGGATGGTTTTAAATCATCATCAAGCCTCGGAGTGATTTCGGGATTTCGTTTGTCAGAATGGAATAATGCAAAAATTTGAGCATTCGGAATCCACATGAGCAGCAACACGAGCAGTATCATTCTCGTTGTCTTTGGACATTTGAATTTCCTCCTCTGAGAACCACCAATAGTCGTCCTTGTTGCAAAAGATGATACGGAACTTTTAAACATTTTTTTTTTGTAAAAAGATTGTGAACTTGACAATTATGGTTTCGCATAATCTCAATTTTTCATTACAAAAAAAATGACTCAAGAGTCGTTCGTCAACCAATCTCATCGTATTCGCTCCATTGCCTCATCAACATCTTCATCATGGATATCCTCCTCTTCCTCTTCGTTATTTCATCAAATTCCGCCCGAGGTTTGGACTGATCAAATATTTCAATTTATGGGAGGAAGTTGGATATTTAGTATCGGAAGGCTTGTTTGTCGTGAATGGAATACTAGGATTATTCATCATGATTTATTGTTGCAAATTAAATTACATGTTTCTTTAAAGTTTCATAGGTTTGAAGAGAAATCAAAATATTTGTTACAGAAATCAGTTGAGTCGTTCGTGAAGAGTTGTGTACGTGAGAGAATGATGGGAGTCAAAGATTTGACATTTAGTGGATTGTGTTATTTGCCGTTCTATGAAAATAGTCAATCTATAAATTATTATGGATCGAATTGTGATCACACAAGTTTAAAGATGATCGAAGTTGAAACAGAAAATGGCAAATGTATTGACATTGATCCAAAGAAATAATCCTTTTGAATACTTTGCACAGCTGACATCATTGAATATTAGAGAAAACTTTTTAGATTGGACTGTGTGTAAATATTTGGCGCATGAAAAAAAGTTGCAACATTTGACTCATTTAAATATTAGTAATAACCATGTTTCTGATGAGGGACTGACACATTTGAGTGAAAGCACCAGTTTAAATAAACTCGTAACATTGGATTTGAGCAGAAATCGTATTAGCTCAAAAGCGATTGCAAAATTTCGATCGAGCGCAATATTTTCACAACTCACAGAATTAGATCTCAGTTTTAATAAGTTGCAAGATGAAGGAGTTACTGCATTATTCAGTCAGAATAGAAAAAACAATGACATCAACACTGGTAATGATCGATCAAATCTCACCAAACTCGTACTATGTCGAATCAATATGACCGACAAGCCATTGCCAATTCGTCACTGTTGAAAAAAATCAAATACTTGGGCTTGAGTTTTAATTCAATACAAGACGAAGGAATGCAAGCACTTTCAAATAGTACAAATTTTGCATCACCATCTTCCTTATTGACTCATCTTTATTTGGTTGGAAATGGAGTTTCCAATGCTGAATTGTTTTGTAGTCCAAATTTTTCAAATCTGACCGAGTTGTGTTTAATGGCCAATGACATACCAAATTCCAAAGCAAGTCGTATTTTAGAGTATCTTCAAAAATTAAAATCATTTCGATATTGAGAGAAGTGATTTAAGTCTTCAAGGATAGGATTTTATTGGAATCTGTAGTTTGACTGTAAAGGTTTTCGTTAATACGTTCAATAATACTGTAGAGACTTATTTCAAACGTTTCACCTTTTAAGAATAATAAGTGAGTTGCTCTTCTTGGATGAATGTGTGGAGATTTGGATCCAAATCAAAGAACAGGAACTTGGAATGTTTCTCGATCCATTCCACGCGTACGCACAAATGTTCGAGAGAATGCGAACGTTTTGAACGGAGTGACCAAAAAGTCTTTTCGAAAATCTCGAAAAACAGTTAAAAAGATCATTCGAAAAGTACTTCTCAATATAACAACACTAGAAAAAAAATTGTCACACCAATGAGTAGTAGTACCCAACAACAACAACATAAACCACCAGTCATTCTCGTCGTGGGAGGAAGTGGAAAAGTTGGTTCCGAATTGGTTTCGAGTCTTCTCGATCGAAATGCTCGAGTTCGAATTCTCGTTCGAAACATTGAGAATGCAAAATCCAAGTTTGGAGACAAGGTCGAGTATGCAGCTGGCGATGTCTCTCAAGATCTCGATCGTTTAGATCCAAGTGCCTTTCAACAGATTGAACGTTTATTTATCCTTGTTCCAAACAATCCACAACAAGTTTCACAAGAATTGAATGTGTTGAAAAAAGTCCTTCAACAAAGTTCAACCACATTGCGACAAGTGGTGAAATTGAGTGTATTGAATGCAGATGCGAGTCGACCTCTTGGAGATTTACAACGTTTACATGGACAAATTGAGAATCGAATTGAGGATTATTTGAATGAAAAGGCACCGCATGTGCATTTCACCGTGTTGAGACCCAATAACTTTATGCAAAATTTGTTGGCTGAAGCGAGTGGAATTCAAAAACAAGGTGTCTTGTATCGTCCAAAGGCAGAGCCGTTCGAATATCGTGTGTCCTTTATTGATACTCGAGATATTGGAGAGGCAGCTGCAACTGTGTTGACACAAGATCCTCAGAAGCATTCAGGACGTGCCTATGAGTTAACTGGACCAGAGGCATTGAGTTGGGAAGAAATGGTTCAAAAAGTGTCTCAAGTATCAAATCATAAGGTGGAAGTGGTCTATGTGGATGATGCTGAATTTTACAATGCCTTGACATTCTTGCCAGAGTTTTATCGATTTTATTTTGTCAAGTTGATGCAGACCTATCGTGTGGAGAGACGTTCAGGAATCATTGCTGGTGATTACAAGTTGATCACGGGAAAGGAAGCGAGAAGATATGATGACTTTTTGAAAGAGAATGCTTCAAGTTTTTAACGAATTGTGTGAAATGGTTCAATAAATCAATTCGTTAACAATCAATTCAATGCATTTTTTAGGAGGACAAAACTTCAACAATTAATGCACCTTTTTATTGTTTTGAATTGAACTCACACACATTCACAACAACAACGGCTTAACAGAAAGAGCCAATTCAACCTGTCTCAACAATTCTGGAAAGTTCTCGGCTGGGCGCTTTCCTAAAATGTCAACCTGATACAGGTCAGCATTGTAATACTTGGCCAATCTAAACAAGGCAGAAACATCGTCTTCAAACATGAAAACAATTCCCCTGTTCTGTTTGTTTGAACATTGTGCAAGCTTGGGTTGTTTTGCCAGAATTTGATCCAAAAACAAATCTGATGAAGCACCCAAAAAGCAATGGAGACATGTATCACCATTTTCGTTTTGGTAGAGCAATTCTTCAGGAGAAATAAAGTTCAAAATGGATGGTTGTATCAAATAATTAGAAAATGCAAGGGCATAAGATATGAATGGAACGTGCATAGTTTTCTCGCTCGTGACTTTTTCAAGATCTTTCTTTACGAAAAGGCACTTGACAGGCTTGAAAATATTGTAGATCATATCGTTCACTTGAGGTTTGGTATGTTCAGACAAGTATTTGAGAGTATTCAACAGAATTGGAGATGATGCTTCATAATTTGGTTCTCTTAAATGTCTCAAAATGACGGCACGAACTAATTTTGCAAATTTCTCGTCATTTCCATATTTTGTTTTGACATGTTCCATCACATCGACCAATTCATCGTGAGGTAATCTAAACAAGATTTCGTCCCAATGCTGCACTCTCAGGCCAAGTCGTAAAGCATCTAAAACGCTTGATGTTGAGAATGCATTAGCGAATCTACCGTTTTGATAAGTATTCGCTAGATAAATCATATATTCTCGAATTTGTGAATAATGTTTTTGTTCATATTCATGATATGTCAAATCTACTTCTTCAATTGGATACAATCCATCTCTGAAAAGACAATCCATGAACCGTTTCAATAGTGCCATATCAGTAAAGAGTGCTAAATTAAATACTTCGTGAATGATTCGAACTACATCACTACCGACGGAAGACTTCAACAATCTTTCGGCTAACTGTTCCGGTGTTACACTGGAAAGGGTTGTAAAGTAAACATTGACACGTTCTTGCGGAGCCTTGTTTCTTCCTCTGTTTGGTAGGTTGCAATCACGAACCTTAGTACCATTCACATAAAACGAGATATTCTTTTTTTCAGGAGCATCAATGTCATCAACGTAATCCTCGATTTCACTATTTGCATGGTTAAAAACAACATGTGTCAGATTTGGAAACATATGGAGCATACTGTCGAAATGATCAGCAAAGATATAAATCTCTTCATTGAGGGCGTCCAAAGTCAACGTTTTCAAAGAGGGATAAGTAAAAGTACGAGTAGCCGTTTCATCATAAATAAGAGCCAAAACGCTTTGATCCTCGGCCATGGTGTCATAATGTCTCACATCACCGAGCTCGGGAGCAGCATCAAAAAAGGTCAGAGAGGCTAATTCTGTGCAACAACGGAGAATGATTTGTATTGTTCCAGGATCTCTAGCACAAATTACCAAGGATTTCAAATATTTGTTCGTTCCAATATATTGAACAGTTTCTTTCACGTTTGGAGTCTTTACATCCTCGTTATCAAACAGTTCATGTGTGGATGCCAGCTCAATGGGAGCACTTCGAATATAGAGCGATCTCATGGAATGGCAGGACAAAGGGTGAATCACTTCTTCTTCGGCGAGTTTTGATTCAGAGTCACTACTACTCTCAGAAACATCACCAGCCCCGCTTGAAGATGGTGCTGCAGTGGTATGACCATTATTATTATTATCGAGATTGGAACTGTCCACTTTTGAATCATCACTAACATCCATCGTTTCAGGGTTTGTGTCCTTGTCGATTTTTGAATTCTCGGATTCTTCTGATGCTTCCTTCTTTTCCTTTGATTCTATTTCTTCTTCTGTGAGTGAATCGAACATTGATACACATTGATACATGAGGGGATCATTGTCTGAATGATCCTTATTTGTTAAATACTGGCTCTGGCCTTTGATGAATGCAAAAAAGTATTTTGCAATCTCAAAATCATCCAAATCGAACATGGACAAGTCAATGCTCTCACAGGAAAAGAGTTTGTGCTTCATACGAATTGCATATTCTCTACAAACCAAACGCATCTTGTGGAATGTAACAAAACTGCTGTCTCTTACCATGGCACAATCAAAAACTCTTCTCTTGTTCAACTCAATTGGATTCAAAGGATCACAAATATATGACAGGAGTTCCTCAGTGGATACTCCTGTAGATACAGAGTTGTGTTTGATATTCTCAAATGTTTCTCTGAGACAATTTCTTGTTGAAAAGGTTGGAATAAAATCAATAATATCATAAAGCACATCTCGAGGCAATGAGCGAAGTAAAGACAAGGAGGTAGAATCAATTTCAGTAGGCTGATTCGTTGTTGATGATGATACATCATTTTCCCTTCTTTTGCGGTCTTGTACAATCCATTCTTGTACTTCGGCGGATACATTGCTATAGTCTGGATCTCGTCCGTTCTTGGCATCACTCAAAGCTTCTTTAATGAGATCCGATACTTGTTTTCTCTTCTTTGTTTCAATATCCTCAACGTCCGATGAAGAAGACTTTCTTTTCTTGTGTTTGAATAATAAACACGCCGCTCTCTTTGCTCTTGCCATGGTGTGTGTGGTGAGGGTGGTGTGTGGTGTATGATTGTGAACAATACACGTATTTTTTTTTCTTGTTTTTGGAAGAAAATTAAGATTACAAAGGACATGAGCCAATCTCAAAAACTCATCATGACGGTGGTTGTAAATCGCTTTCCATCAGGAGTTTTTGGACAGGAGATCGAGGAGCTCTTCCATAAAGCCACAACCTGGTGGAAAAATCGCGGAGAATCATTAAAAAAAATTACTCCACACAAATCTCCCGCAATGGCCTTGCACTCACAAAATTTCATCTTGTCATTAACAATAATGTCATTAGCAATGCTGTGTCTTCTCATTCACAGTGCTGCCTGTGGCCCTCCCATGTGTAACAACAATCTCTCTGATCTGAAGCAAGCTTTTTCTTCCTCCTTGTTGGCCCCAGCTCTTGTCATATGGATTCACAACCATGCCCAAGGAAATTCCACATTGAAAAATCTCCCATGCACCGCATGTTTGCCATGTTGTAATGTTCTCTTGCAGTTGGAAAGAGTCTCCACACAACATAGGGAGGTCATGTCTCACATCGTTTCCATGGTGGATCATGTGGATTGGACATGTTCAGCTCAAGAGTGTCCATTACATGATCATTTGAGAAGATCTTTATCAAAGGTGATTGAGGAGAAGAGTGCTTCAGTTTTGGAGGTATTGGAATTCATGAGTCAGCAAGCAACACAAGGTGAGAGTGCAATCATTGCTTCAAGAATCAAGCAACACTTGCTAGAATATGCCTCTGAAGTAATTAGAAATGGAAATTCAAAACCAAAACAACATAATATGAAAGACTTTATTTCCAACGTGATGAGTTGTCCTTGCACGGCATGTCCTTTGGAGTGTTCGTTCAGATAATTAATTGCTTTCACCAATGAATCGCTTTTTTGAGTCTTCTATAAAGAATGATTCAATAAATTGAGATGATGAAAGTAGGTGTAACTGATTTGTTTTATTGAAAGAAGTCACTTCGTTCAAGGCAAAGCTAGGATTGATCTTCTTCACAATGTCATTTAAATTGTGACGGAAATATCAATTTGTTGTTGTATGCAATTTTGTAGTCTGCAATCCATTCAATTGAAATTCAGATGTCATGAGAAAATCATCTTGGCAATTTTCTACCATGATTTTCTCATTAATTATACTTGTATTTTTCTACCATACGTTTGGCAAGAAAGCTGTCAGAAGCAGTCATGTAATAATTCTGATCTTTCAAGCACGTTGCAAGAATGTCATCAAATTTAATATCTTCACAATCAAGTCCAGAATGTCCTTGCTGCCCACAATTAAAACAATATTTCTTATTTGAGAATGACTTGTATGATGTGGAGCAATTCTGATGATATCATACATTCACACAATTCATTCGAATATAATTTCACAGCCATTATTGTAATCATATAATTATTCGAACAATTGCAGCTTTTAAAATTCATAACATGCAACACATGAAAACATACCAAATGTCCCTTCTCTCCACACACAAAACAAATCACATTCTCTGGAATGTCATCTTTAGAAATGATATACTGTTTCATTGGGCATTTAACTTGTGTATGCCCCTTCTTGTTGCACCATTCACAAACGTTGGCGCCTGCCTTAGCATGAGGACAATTTTCAAGTTTGTGTTTTTCCAAGCAATTAGGACAATAATTGTTTGTACATTTCTCTTCATCGTGTTCTCCGCCACACGTTTTACAAACAAATTCGTATTCACTTTTTGAGCCACATTGAAGCGATAAATCTAGCCTAATATTTTCATCAATATTTTCCACTTGTTCCTCTTCGGAAGATGGTGATGCATCGGTTAGATTTTTGTCTGATATTTCTAAAATTGGAATTTGAATAGAAGAAGTCTTATTAACGGATGAAGTACTCTTTTTACCCGATGATCCACTTGTTGTTGTTGCTGCAGCAGACTTATTCAATTTCTGTGTTACTTTTTGTTGTTTAATTTGTTCTTTGAGTAATTTAAACTTTGGTTTGTTTTGAAATGTGTTCGGAGAGGTTGTTGATGATGAAGCTTCTCCTTGTTTCTTTTTTGCCATTTTTTCTTCAAAGTTTTTTCAGATGTAAACGGCAGAACGGAGCACTTTTGACAGCAGAATCAGAGCATTGAGAGAATTTAAAAACATTCATTGGAGAAGGTTTTGAAAGATCAAGAAAACATGTACTTCATTTCCATGTTATAACATCAAGAACGACAACTCTTCTCAGCAATATATTTTTGTTTCAAAAAATCGCGCCATTTCATTGACGCCAAAAAATACAATTAAAAAAAATGTCATTCGATGGTGCTGATGGTTGGACCAAACTTTTCGATGAGAGCACAATTTTGAGACGAGTATTGAGCTATTTATCGTTTGAAGAGCAATGTAGACAATCGGAATTGGTTTGCAAGAGATGGAAGGAATTTTCGAATGTTGAGGGATTTAATTTGGAAAATTCCAGACATGTACAGACCAAGTTTGAAAATACAATTTTGCCCAACTTGCTCTCCCGTCACGGAGATTCGTTGAAAAGTTTTCGAGTCGAATGTAGCTTTTGGGAGCAAAAGAATACAAAATTAATGACCACTGACGTTCTTCGAATGATTGTCAGAGCATCTCCAAATCTCGTCGAGTTGTCACTTCCCATGTGTTCCAATTTAACATCATCCACAGAAACAAGTCCTCTTCAATGCTTGGTAACTCTTGAAAAACTTGAAAAATTGAATTTGAGCGGATGTAACTTGATCGACGAACATTTAAAACCATTGACGAAATTGTCCAAAATTAAGGAACTGAACTTGAGCATTAACCGATATGTGAGCGATTTGGGAATCAAATACTTGTTCCAGCAATCAACGAGTACAATTGGTTCATGCATGCAAGCCCTTGATCTAAGCTTTACATCGATTGGAGACGATTCCATTAACTGTCTCCGAAATGTCGCTACTTTGAAACAATTGCATGTAATGCACTCAGCTGTCACCCACAAATCATTGCTAAATTTTTGCACATTCGCTCATGGACCTAAACTTGAAAAGCTGAACCTTCTTAATTGTGCAATGGTGAAAGAATTGCCATTCCTCAATTGTGAAAGTCTTAAAAATTTGAAGGCCTTCATGTACTCTGTTCCAAACAATCCATCCATTGAGAATTACCTTTCTCTTCTCTCAAAGTTTTCTCAATTATCTGAGCTCGTTCTTGTCAATATGAACGTTCTTTCGCGTCGCATGATGCAAGTGATCTCTCAAATAACAACCTTAGATACACTGAGCTTACGATGCAACAAAATAGAAGACTCGAAAAATGATGCACGTCAAGAACATGCTGTTGCAGAAATGTTAGAAAAGTTATCCAATTTGAAAAAGTTGGATCTTCAAGTGGTTGAAATGGATCCAATTTCAGAGGGCATTATTGAAACTCTAAAATCGCTTCCTCACCTCGAATTTCTTTCTATTCAAAGCTCTGAAAAAGTGAAGACAACCAAATTGTTGAACGAGTTGCTCACCAAATATTCAGACTCTCGCGTTGGTGAAAAGTTGAAATTCATATCGATTGAGGTCCCTGGGTACAGTATTGATGCAAGTGGCTTCAAGTTTTTTGCTAATAACTGTAAACAGCTGGAGTCTCTCTGTGTCCCTCTGAGTGATAACATTCCATTCTCCAAGTTGACTCTTTCCAACTTGAAGCATTTCATATTAACACAGTCCTCCATGACAAGACCGATATCTGACGAAACCATGTGTGAATTGTTGGCACAGAAAGGTCACTCACTGGAGAAATTATCGCTTCGAGCCGGTTCGGGAATGGCCCAAGTATTGGAAAATATCGTCAGGTACTGTCCCAATTTGATTGAGTTGGAGGTTGACCTTAATATTTTGTCCAGTGATGACGCAGTTTCATGTAGCATTGACTCGTCCATTCAATCCCTCAGCAAGTTGAATAATTTGCAAAGATTGTCTCTTTCAGGAAACGAAAATCTGTGGAGTATTAACAAGTCGATTGTTCCTTTAGCAAGAGGTATGAATCACTTGACTGAATTGTGTTTACCATCTTCGAAAATTGCAACTTGTTCCTCGTTGCTCTTTGAAAAATTGTTTCCTCACACCACAATCCAAGAAATCTAACTCTTAGGATTCCCAAAATGATAAATAAATAGAATATTTTAATTATTGTAACTGGAGCTTATGAGTCGTCGCCCTTAGATCTATTCGATGCATGTACTTTCCTTCCATCGCTTCAGAAACAGAACATTCAATTTGGCTGAATTCAGATTATATTTCTTCATCACATTCACTCTAACCTTATCGAAAACAAATTGATTTGTAATATCAAAGAATGACTTGTCATAAGACTCTGGATCTACTACAAACACCCTTCTCTCGTCATAGACATGAGAATTATTGTAGACCATTTCTTGGAACCATGGTGATTTGTCAGCATGAAGACAGCTATACACTGGTTCCGAGCTGGTCTTGAATTGGAAGTCACACAAGAAATGCTCTCCATCATGGTGCTCGTATCCAAACACAACCAATAGAATGTAATCTTTGAATATGGATCTTGCTGCAAAACATAGCTGCCACATGGATCCATCTTGTTTTAACTTGGTAGCTTCCTCGAGTTGAGGAATTTCTGCGAAATGTAAACCAGACATCATGTTTGTGATAAATTCTTTGGCTTTGAGGATTGGTGATTTTTCCTTTCCAGTTCCTTCAACTTTTGGAATGACCATCTTCAAATGGAATGAAGATTCAAAGTTCTCCCACAGTGTCAAAAAGTCTTGATGAAGCAAATTAATTGGTCTTGAAAGTACGTGTGACATTTTGATCTTAAAAGGAGTACATCTGATCGTTACAAGCTCTTCTTGTTTGTTTCCTTCATCGAGCAAATCAATTCCTCCAGAAGACTTCAAGTGCGTACATTTTACAATAATATTGAAACAATAATGACCAAATTCTGTCATTGTGAACTCCAAGTCGAATTCATACGATTGGTTAACAGCTAAATCACCAACATTGTTTGATGCTTGTTGGGTCTTTTCAAATAGAGTGAGCGGACCCTCCATACCAACCTCTACAGATGTTTGGAAAATATCACACGGAGATGTGTTATGTATCTTGACGTGAAGGAAAGCAGTATAGGATTCTGGAATAACAGAATATGAAGCTGTGACGCAAATAGGGTCACTTGGTTGAGAAATTACGAGAGAGTAGAATTTTGCTTCAGTATTAGTTTGGCGGATCTTGGTGTTGGTAGACGTTGCGGTCATTAATTGTTTGCCCTTCTTCAATTGATACAAATCCTGTTCATGTAAATTTGCCGTTATAGTATTGAGTTGTTGAATGCCTTCGATGTATGCAGTTAATAATTTCTCGTCATCCTCAGCAAAATAGGACTTGAATATTGGATGGTCCTTGTTAAATACTTTGCCATAGATGAGCTCAATATCAGACACAGAGGCAGTATCTTTGGTAATATTATATTTCATAGCATAGTCGACTCGAAGGAGAGTCTTTCTTAGCAAGTCTGTAATGTCGTCTCTCGTGTCTTGTTGTTTTTCCAGCAATGCTCGCAAGTATTCGTGAGTATCTCTGAGCTTTGGTGTAAATCTGAGACACACACTCAATAAACAGTAAAGTAATGTTTCAATTTTTTCTTTGCTAGAAGCTCCTCCTGAGCTTTTCAATGTGGAGGAAATCATAAATCTGGTATGGTCAAATACCAAATCACCACTTTCTCTGCCGGCTGCTTGTTTTTGTAATTCAACGAAATTACTCAAAATACACATGGAAATAATCTCTGCAAACTCTGTTTTCATCTTCAAAATAATATCCAAGCACTTGTTGAGTATCTTTTGAATTTTCTTTCTCTGATCCTCATTCGTGTTGAAAGACATGTAGGATTCGCCACACAAATCGGTCAAAATTAATGAAAACTCAGAAATTGCTGCAGTAAGTCCTGATGAAAATTTCCAAGTGAATGAGCTCATTCCAAACTCTGAAATACCAATTCCAACATCTAACCAGGCATGAATGAGAGAGTAATCGATGGCAGCTTCAGAGGTCTTTGGCTCTGAATTATTGCTTGGTGTGTATGGTTTTTGTGAAAGATATTCTCTGCAAATACAGAATAAAAGCTCGTTTCTAATTAGTTCTTCGAAAGGAGAGTCAGGAACAGTAATTAACTTTGCAATGAAACCTTCCTTTAGAAATAAGTCAATCTCTACTGGGTCATTGAGTTGATCAGTCAATTTCAAAAAGTGCTGTTTTGTTCGTGTATTAATACTGCACTGAATCAGTGTTCTGACAATACTCGAAAGAATATACATTCTGTTAACTGCATCTCCAACTTTCATAATATGTTCAACTAATTTCACTGAAACAGTATATTTGTCTCTCACTGTGTTGAGCACTGAGCAAACATCTTTCATTAAATCATCATAGAAAAATGATGACTCTTCTCTGTACAATAATCCTAAATAGGCAGTTATGGCATCATCGATTAAATTATTTGTACAAGCAGTGAGGTCGCTTGGCATAGAGCTGTCTATTGCTGTCAATAAGATACAATGGGCTGTTTCAAGAACAGTTGCGCACTCTACACTTTGAAGCATGGGTCTCAATACGTTTGTTGTGCTAATAAGGACTATTGCGCAAAAGAATGGAATAGTTAAAAAGTTAATTCCACAAATGATATTTTTCAATGTTAAGTTCAACATACCGCTTTCGAATGTTAAAGCGTTTTCCCTCTGCGATTGATGAGATAACTCGTCTTGTAAATAGAGTGAAATATAGGTCAAAGGTCTTAAAGCAGGATATCTTCGTCTGACATCCATACATTTCAGTCTAGATAATAATGTGTGATAGTAGGGCTTCATTGCAGAAATCCACTGCATGCTTTCCTTTGTGACAGAAATTGGTAAGGTCTCACTATGAAGGTGACGAGCACAATCTCCACAAATAAATTCTCTCAGCTAACCATTCATGAAAATGGATTCATAATATTAGTGGTAGTATATTGGTTAAAATGTTTTCACATCAATGAACATCATTAGTCAAGAGAATTAGTTGAAAGGATGTGTGAAAGCACATATAAATTACATACAATTTCAAAGCCAATAAACGCAATCTCTTGGTTGTCATCCTTGATAGAACGAAGAACCCAGTCTGCAAAATATTTAGCTGTTGAAGACTCACTTGTATTTTGTTGGAATGCTGTGGATCGGAGAGTTTCTGATTGCCTCAGTGATATGGCTAGACATTTGATGAAGTGAAGAGAAGCAATTCTGACATGATCATATCCGTACTTGAATAGACATTCCTAAAGAAGAGAGTAATATATCATCATCATCACGATCATATAATAGTCATACGATGGTAGAAATGATAGGAATAAGTGTGCAGTACACAATAATTATTACAAAAATTTCAAATATTATCATCATCATCATCCATGATTAAATTAAATTTTGATATTTGGTTTCGAGAGGAATAAATCATCTCTCAAATAGACTCACATCAGTAACTACATACTTCAACTTGTCTACGATTTTTAACAAAAAACTCTTGAAGTTGTGTTCCAATACCACATAGTCCAACAACAGTTCTAAAAGCCCAAACACATAAATCCGGATTTGCTGAAGAATTAGTCATATCATCCACAATCACCTTCATAACAAAATTCCAATCGTGTCTACTCGTAATGGCACATCCTTTGATCAACTGATAACACAATTTCTTGACCAGTGGATCCGATGACTTGACCAACACGGCATTAATCACTGTAGAAACATAATTCTGAATATCCTTTCCGGCTGTATACAGTCTATGAAGAATCAACAAGGCATTGGTTTGTTTGGTTGGGTCCGATGAACTCAACTCGGCAGCAATGCTGATATTCTCCAATTCCATTTTTTTCGATGATGATCCGAATAGGAAAGCTGAGTTCAAGGCTATTTGCACATGGATGAACCAGAAGAATGAGAAAACTGGGTTTGGTATGAATAGAGAATCAAACTTTGTATTTGTAAATACTTAAAAAACAAGTAAACAGTCTCCACCACATTTTGAAATAATGATACCTAATTTATTAAGGATCTGAACAAACAATTTGGAAAGATTGGACTCTTCATCGGATCTTTCTCAAACATGTCCATGAAACAGTATACTGTTTTTCAAAAACACAAGGATGATCAAGAGTAATCAATTATTGATTCAATTCTTCTCCTTCATCCAACATGGAATCCTCATCAACACTATCCTTATTCAATTCTTGATAATCCTTCTCCAAAGCAGCCAAATCTTCACGTGCTTCATTGAATTCACCTTCTTCCATACCTTCCGAAACAAAGTGATGGACATAGGCTCTCTTGGCGAACAACAAATCAAACTTGTCATTCATTCGAGCAAAGACTTGAGAAATGGCAGTGTTGTTGGAAATCATGGCGCATGATCGGTCGACTTGAGCCAAGCATGAATCTTCCAAGGCGGTTGGTTTTTGAGAATTGACACCAATCTTGAAAGCACATGGACTCCAATCCACGAATTGAATTCCTGATTTGCTTCTCACATTCTTTACAGCATCAGTGACTTCCTTATTGACAATATCTCCACGATACATCAAACAGCTGGCAATATATTTACCACTTCGAGGATCACATTTAGCCATCATGTTGTCCACCTCAAAGACGCTTGAAGTCAACTCTCCAACAGTATTCTCATAATAATGATGTTCTTGTCGAGAAATCATTGGAGCCAAAGAGGACAACATGAAGTGAATTCTTGGATATGGAACCAAATTGGTATGATATTCATTCATATCCACATTCAAGGATCCAGAGAAACGCAAGGAGCAACTCAAGGCAGAAACGGTTTGAGCAATGACATGATTTAAATTGCGATAGTTGGCTCTCTCAATCTTCAAACGTTGTTTGCAAATATCATAAATGGCTTGATTGTCCAAAACGACAGAAATGTCATTGTTCTCCAAGAGGGAATGAGTAGACAAGACGGAATTGTAAGGTTCGACAACTGAAGTCGACAATTGAGGAGATGGATAAATGGTGTAGGAGAGTTTTGTCTTTTTAGGGAATTCGACACTCAATCTCTCAACGAGAAGTGAAGCAAAACCAGAACCAGTACCACCGCCAACTGAGTGGAAAATTTGGAATCCTTGAAGAGAGGTACAGTTGTCAGCAATCTTTCTCAAGCGATCAATAGTGACATCCAACATGTCCTTACCGACGGTATAGTGACCTCTTGCAAAGTTATTGGAACAATCTTCCTTTCCAGAAACGAGTTGAGCAGGATTGTACAATTGCTTGAATGAAGAGTTGCGAACAGAGTCAATGACAGAAGGTTCCAAATCGACCATGAGACTACGTGGGACGAGTTTTCCGCTTGATGCTTCGTTGAAGAGAACGGAACAGTCGTGATTCGAGGAGTTCTTGGCAACCACACGAGAACCGTCTTGATTAATTCCGTGTTCGGCACACATGAGGGACCAAACTTGTTCACCGACTTGGATACCTGCTTGACCGATGTGCAAGGAAATGATTTCTCTCATTTTGTGAAACGATGATTTTGAGGTTGTTGTTGAGAATGATGAAGAGGTTTTACAGGCTTCTTATAATGAGAAGTGTAATTATTTTTTTTGTTATTTGTGTGAAATGACAAGTGGCAGCTGCAATTTTGAATGGTTTTTCTGATGTAACGGAAAGAAAAGGCGCCATTATTGGTTGACCACTTTGGGCGGGCTTTCAAACCTCCCAACAATTCTGCAGAATTCCTTCAAACTTCGTTCTTTTTCCAGGTGGACGTTTCACACAAAGACTCCATGCCACAATTGCCATGGCAATGATCAGGACATCAACCTATTTAAATGTAGAAATTTGAGTTTCGTTCTTATTTGAATGGCGTTGCACCAAGTTCATTCGCTAAATGAGCCAGTTCATTATCTCTGGGAAAAGCTTTTTTAAAAGTGGTTACATTTCCCAATATATTCTGATGAAACTCAAATCATCTCGAGAGGAATTGTTAATTTTTATTCAAAAGTATAACGATGTCATGTATAATAGATAATACCATCAAAAATTATGTAGTTTTGGTGTGTCCGAAGATAGCTCACAAATTCTGGCGTGATCAAAGGTATGCACGGACGGTCATGACTCATACAACAGTCATCTTGCATCATTATTTTCCTTTCACAACCATTAATTTTCATAATTTCCAGTTATTCCTGCCATGTTGGTATTTGCTCCATTTTGTTGTTGATGTTTCAATTCAATTTCATTTTTCTGTTCATTTCCTTCTTCGGCACCGTCACCTGCAGCTTCCTCCTCTTCTTCATCGATCATTAATCGAGCTCGAATGAACAGGAGTATTCTTGGAAGAGCTAACAAACATGCAAGTGCCATACCAGCAAATACGATGGCACCTGCGATACTGGCAGCAACGATGGAAGCATTCGGAAATGGACGTCTATGAGGAGGAAGAATGTCGATTGCTTTCACAGGTGCGAGCAAAGATGTTGTTGTGACAATGAAGAGAAAGAGGGTGAAAAGAACCCGGTTCGTTCTTGTTGAAGAGAACATTTTTTTAAAGTGAACGGAGGACAAGGACTGACATTTGAGGGCGTTCACAAATGAACGGAGCTTTGAAACTTTTTATGTTTACTAATATTTGAGAGAGTTTAAAAAAAAATACAAAGGGTTTTGAGAGAATTAATTTTTGCGAACAATGGGAATGAATGGCAGCGAGCTCGCTTGTTTTTAGTTTTGTTGAAAACATTGATTTAAGATTGGGGTTCCTTTAATCTTTTTGGAGGAATCTGACATTATGAATAAGCAACAAGAGAACAACATGAAAAGCTGAAGTTCTTTTTCTATTATCAAAGAACTCAGCTTCTTTCCATTTTCAGAGGGTGAGTCTCTCTATGGAAAAGGAATAAAAAAAAATGTTCAGCTCTCGTTCGGCACAATCGACTCTCTCCAAATCGAATCAAGAGTTGGAGAGACGGAAAAAGAATGCAGTTTTTCTCGGAGATGTGGATACACGTTCCAATATCAAGCAAATTAGTTTAATTAAAACAATAAGAGAGGAATTTGATGGTGAGTAACGAGAAAGGGTAAATGGTTAAAATGGGGGTTTTAATTTTTTGATGGAATGAACTTGATGTCCGAAATTTGAAAATCAATTATTTTCGGCTTTGTTTGGCAAAATCCTTATACCATTTGGAACTATACATTTCGAATCGAATATTTAATATTAATTTTTAAAACTCGTAGTCTATTATTCTTCTAGAAAATGCAACCACCATAAAGAACGTTGGTATGAAATTAAAGAGCCACGAAAACAACATAAGAGTAACAAGTACAGTACGACGATATATGATTTTTTGAATCCAAATATTGAAAGTATTGAATCGTTAAAAGCATACTCGATTTGTTGTGAAGTATTGAGCTCGGAAATTCTTTCAAAAGTTTGTTTCACTATAATTCTGTTCAATGTCAATCGAACATATGTTCATGACTTTGGATAATTCATAATAATACAATTCAAAATTAGGACGCAGAATCGACAGCAGATTTTCTGGGAGGATCAGATTTGGAATTTTATTATTTTGTCAAATTAAAAGCCACTAGTGAAGGTAAAATGGTCATCCTATTTGGAGAATTATTCAATGTGGAAATTAGTGTCTGCCCTTCTGACACCTCCAATCCGTCCGAATCAAGTGTGCCAAATTCTTCATCGTCTCACCATTGATTGACCTCAAGGCAACAATTTGTAAATACACACTCTCCAGCATGAAGAATAAATGCTCTTTCTAATAACAACAACAACAACAATAATATAACACGATGATCAAAGCACTGAACTTGGCACTTGAGTTCCAAGATCTGAAAACCAACAAAAAAATGCAACAATTACCACCACTGCAAGAGGATGTCATTTTCTCTCGCACTAGTGCCACGGTTATTCTCAAGCGGAGAGCTCAACGATTAGCTCGGAGATGGAAAAAACATGAAAATGCCATCTATGACATCTTTACGGTGGCTCTGGCATTTCTGGATGTGCAAGATCAATTCATGAATTTAGTGATGGTGAATAAGTGGTTCTATCAATACATACATGAATGCATGAAAATGATACAAATTGTGGAATATCCATTTGTTGAAAATCAAAAATCACTTTATGGATTTTTATATAAATTATATCATGTTAAGAATGGAAATTATCTTCAATTTCATCACGGTGATGATCACGAGGAGGAGGAGGATGAAGAGGAAATTCCGAACCAAGAAAAAAGTACTGATCCTCAAACACAACAACAAGATTCAAATATTCCCAAACCACCACCAACACCACAGTCATCACACATCTTAGAAAGGCTTTTCTATCCCATACCTGAACTGTTTGAATACGATGATACTCTTCCTAAACTTTTTCGAGAAATTCCAACATTTAAAATCAGACAAGTCATTCTGTATGCTCATTACGGAAAAAAGTATGGATTTCAATTACCAAAGGTTTGCGCTTACATTGGACGTAATATTGGGGGATTTATATTTCTGGATTGTACTCAGGTGCACCAAGATTATGTCCTGGTGAAGCCAAACTTGGTTTCGAATTGTGTGACCATTAATACGATATTAATGGGAAATGACCCACTCATTGATACTCGTAAGATGGACATTGATTCCGTTTTAAACATGATGGGTTCCTATCAACTATTCTCATTATCACCTTGCAATTTTCAATTTTCAACAAAGGAAATTAAGGAATATGTTGCATTTGATTTGCACGGAACTGTGCAAGCTTCAAATAATTTATGGAAAGCCGTCAAGAAACACACTCGTCTCTATCCCTATTTTCAGAACATATTTCATACGCTTGGTCTCTATTACTTGGAATCCATGTATTCTGAATTTTCAAATATTGCAGAAGCAAATTTTCGAGTTTTCTATGACAAGTGGACACAAAAAACACAAATTCGAAGAAATCGTGTTCAATTTCTGATTTCAGAGGCCATCATGCAAGAAAGGTCTATCTCAGAATTTGTAACAAGTGCGGCAAAGATTAATGACTATTTAGAAAAACGTAAACGATCAGCTGTTGAAAAGGTAAAACTTGAAAATCTCGTTCAATGGATCAAACAAAACTCTCAACATGTGAAATTCACACTCAATTCTATTCCTGGCCATTTATTCGTTTGACCAATGAATGGACAAGTACAACAGTTTGATCAAGAAAAGTTTGTTGAATGACATGTAAATTGCTTTTATTTCAAATTGAAATCGATTTTGTGAATATGAATTCCATCCTTTAAAGGCAACAAGAAAAAATGCAAGGAAACAGTAGACTCTTTTTTTTCGTCCTGACGATCCTTTCATTCGTCATGATGACACTTGAACCCTATCATCATCATGGAGCTGTTCATGCTTCCTCTATATCCATCCCAAATAATAGAAACAAGGTTATTGCTGGAACACCCAAACACTCCTATCAAGTCGGAGAGCAAGAATATTGGTTTTATCAACGAATTGATCATTTCAATGCTTTGAATACGGATACGTTTCCACAACGTTTTTACAAATATGTACCACCAGGTGTTTCACCAGAGAGTCCGAATCATATCCTATATATTTGTCCTGAAGGTAAGTGGTTCAGGATGAAATATGATGAAATATTTCCGTATTTAAAATTATTTAAAATCAACACATGATGATGATTAAAATTCAAACATTTTCACACACACAGGTACATGTGGAGGAACACCAAATAATTATGTGAGAAATTATGCACAAGAGTTGAAAGCAACGATTTACACTTTGGAACATCGTTTTTATGGAGTATCGGGTAAGTGAATGACATCATGATGAATGACAATATTTTGAAAAACAAATATTATGGAATAACAATGATAAACTTCAAAAATATTCAATGAATGGCTACTTTGTCTTATGGAATGGTTAATTTCTGAACCGATGTGAAATCAACAATGCATGTCAACTCGTTAAAATTATGAAAATTTTAATCCACTCATAATTTCTTATTCACAAATTGCTCATGCAGTCCCTTATGGATCCATGAAGACTGAAAATTTAGCAAAATATTTAAGTACAGAAGCCGCTCTTGCTGACTTATCAGTGTTTATTGAATATATTTCAACATTACCAACCTATAACAACCAAACTCATCAATTCATCATTGTGGGTTGTTCCTATCCAGGTAAGGGGTGTTTTAAAGTTGATCAACTCATTTGCACTCACCATGAATTATCATGTTATTGTGTGAACACACCATTTTTATGGAATTTCACAATTCATATTTTTCACTTTCCATTTTCATAGGTGCATTAAGTTCCTTCTTCTCCATGAAATATCCACATTTAATTAAGGGAGCTCTTTCGTCGAGCGGAGTTGTGAACTCGATTCTTGATTTTTACACCTTTGATTTACATGTTCAACATGCGGCTGGACCAGAGTGTGCCAACAATCTCATTCGAGTCACATCAATCATGGAAAAGATGAATCCAAATGACATTCTTAAAGATTTCCAAGCTCCAGCCGATATGGACATTCGTGATTTATTTTTACTTTTTGCTGATATTGGAGCAGAGAGCATTCAATACGGTTATCATGAGGAGTTGTGTAATGCATTGAAATCAGGAGACATCTCTCGCGATGATGTTTTATATAGTAATTTCAACAAGTATGCACTGAAATTCTTTTATCCAGTGTTTGGTACAACTCCTTTGGATTATTACAACAGAGCGATTGGAAATGAGACCTATGATGCGAAAATGGGAGCCAATGCTGATCGTTCTTGGTGGTTCCAAACATGCTCAGAATTGGCCTATTTCCAAACAGCTCCTCCAATGCCATTACCTTCCATTCGAACTCGACGTTTGGATCTTGCCTATTTTTATGACAAGTGCAACAAAATTTTCGGATACAACATCAAACCCAATACTCAATTTGTGAATAATCAATATGGAGCAAAGAAGTTGTTGGATACTACATTGGGAAGAACGGTATTTGCCAATGGTTCACAAGATCCATGGTTGAAAGCTAGTGTCGATATTGATCCTCGAAAGTTTAGTTTTGTGGCAGAATGTGAGAATTGTGGACATTGCAATGATTTACGTGGTTGTCCATCACTTCCAAGTGACTCTGGAGCAAGTGATCACTGTTTAGGAACTGGAAATGAACAAGTCAAAATGATTCGAGCACAAACACTGGCCATTATGAAAATTTGGTTTGGAATGTAAGGAAAATTGCTCCAAATTTTGACAAATTGATGAAACAATAAAACAAGCATGAAACGTTTCTTCTTCCTTTAAGGCAAGAGAAACTATATCTCACCGAAGAATGAAGCTCGAGTAATTGTTTTTAGTTGCATAATAGTCGAATGGAACTCCATTCCATGAAATTTTCAACTTCAAAAAAAATCCAATTAGTTTATTGTTAGCACCATTGGTGCTGGTAATCCGTGAGGATTGGGGATTGTTTTTGAAATGGTTTTTTGAATCTTGAGTTTTCATAGTATCAACTTCAAAAAAAATGAGAAAACTCTCAAAATCTTCCACGACGTCGAAAAGCAAGCCACAACAAGGAGCCAAGAAGAGCCAACGGGGAGGCAACAAGGCTGTCAATATGCAACATAAGAGAAAGGTCCGAGATGTGGAGAATGATGATGAGGTACATTTGAGTGATTTGGATGAAGCTGATTTTGAATTTGCGGAGAGAATGAGTAGTTTAGCCTCTATGAAAGAGTAAGTGGTTATAATTGGGAAAGAAGAGAGGTTCAATTTGTTGTTATGATTGAATATGTCTAGTTCCGATTTTGATACCAACAAGAAACGGAAGAAAAAACCAAAGTTTGGTGCTTCGGAGAGTGAAATTATGTCAGACGATGATGACGATGGAAACAACAACAACTCAAAAGTATCGGAAGATGAGGATGATGTGAAAGTAAAACAATTGGAAGAAAATTACTCAAAAACAAGACTTGGAAAGATCGTAGAAAAGGCTGAAAAAGTTCTTGAACAGAACGAAAAGGAAGAGTCGCAAAAGAAAGTGAAAATGAAACTTCCTATCAAGGGAGAAGACGGTGTCATCCAAAAACAAGTCCAAGTTTTGGAAGACGAAAAACAACAGAAAAAAGGCTTGACGAAACAAGCAAAGAAAGACAAGAAGGAGCAACAAAAAAAGAAGAGCGAAAATGATGAACAAGAAGACGAAGAAATTGAAGAGGAAGATGAGGATGAAGTTTTTGACTCACTCCATGGAAAAATTGAGGAAAAACCAGAAGAAACTGAACAACAAAAAGAAACCAAAAAACAAGAGAAATTAAGACTACGACAAATTTTAAATGATCCCGTTCTTAGAGATAAACGAAGACAGCAATTGAGTGTAGAGATTGGTTCAATAGCATCTTCAATTTTGGAAGTTCCTGATCTGAATGTATGTATTTTTTTGCATCATGAATGACGAAAATGATCTATTGTGAAATGTGATATTTTAAAATTGCTTCGAAATGCATAGCTGGGTAAAATTACAAGAATTTATGACCTGTGTATGGACGGAGATGTTTACGTGAAAAAGTTAGCAGTACTCTCAATGTGTGCTCTCTTTAAGGACTTACTTCCTGATTACAAAATTAATTTAGAAGCTGCAGGAGAAGCAACACGTTTCTCAAAAGAGGTCAAATCCAGAAGAAATTTCGAAGGTAGTATTTTGAAACACTACCAGAAATATGTACAATTTATTGAAAAGCATGCTAAAACTGCATCTTCGAAAATTCAATTTATTGCTGCCAAGTGCATGAGCGAACTTTTAGTTCATAGACCATACTTTAACTTCACACGAGATATAACTTCTATTGTCGTTCCTTTACTTGACTCCAAGAATGATCAAGTTCGAGAAATTGTGGCAGAGAATATTTCCCTTTTGTTCTCCAATGATCCCACAAAAGGGTCCACGACACTTGACATTGTCGAAGAAATTGCCACTTTGATCACAAAGAAAAAGTATGAAGTTTCTCCCACCATGTTTGACGTTTTTCTTTCCTTGAGACTAAAGACAGCGCTTAAGGATAAAGTGCTTCCCGATACAATTGTCAACAGGAAGAAAAATAAGAAGAATAAGAAGAGGGCTAAGGATTTATCTGAAAATGAGGAACTTCAACGAGAGTTAAAAGAAGCTCAAGGATCTACCTCATCTGAAGTTAGAAAAATCCAAACCGATATTCTGAGAAATGTGATTGTATGCTATGTGAGAGTTCTCAAACAACAACCAGAGTCTCCAATTGTCTTTAGTGCTTTGGCAGGTTTGGCCAAATTTTCACACTTGATGAATGTGGACTTGTTATACTCATTACTCGATTATATGAAGGCCTTGCTTGAGTCTGCAGAGAATGTGAATGAGCTTGTTCAATCACACCTTAGCGAAGATGAAATCAAGCGTTTTAAACCTGTGGAGCTTCCAATTCGAACTGTTTTACAAACCTTGATTACAACAGCTCGATTATTGTCTGGTATTGGAGGTGCCATAGATATTGATCCAAAAGAATTCTACACTCAACTTTATAACGTGATTGATCGTGTAATCACATCCAAATATGAAGAGACTAACTTTAGGTTGTTGGTTGATGCATTGGTATTACTTCTCCTGAAACCTGTGAAGATTCCTCTGGTAAGAGTGGCTGCTTTCATCAAAAAGATGTGTTGCTACTGTTTCACAACTCATATTCACATCACTGTCTGCTTTTTAGAAATTATTAGGGAGCTCTTCATCAAATATCCAAGCGCTAAACAAATGTTAAGTGGCGAAGAGAGTGGAATTGGAAGTTATTCTTTTGATGAGACAGTACCTGATAGTACAACGCCTTTTGCAAGCCCACTTTTTGAATTGAGTCAACTACAAACCCATTATCATCCTCAATTACAACTTGCCCTCGATGGTATTCGAGGAGTGCTAGGAATTATGACCAGATATCAGCAAACCAAAGCTAAAGAGGAATTGAAACAAATGACATGTGACGATTATCAACAAATTCTTTCCGATTACACACCTTTTACAGGAATTTTGAAACCTCCTGTGCAAGCTCCACCTCCTCACCCACTGCAAGAAAAGTTAGAAAGACTCATGGAAAAGAAGAGCAATCCAGACTACAACAAGAAGAAGAAACAAAAGATTCAAGAGAAACAAATTTATGTTACACCCTCAATAGTGCACATGAGATCAACATTTGCTCAAGAATGTCTAGAAAAGTCTTCCAAATTGCTTTAATTAAATCTGGTGTGTGATTAACATCTATCTAATGTTACAGCTGATCGTGAGTGTGTGAAAAGTGTCTACAAGTTTATTTCACAAGAGACTGCAAGATTTTTAAGAACTTTTGAACTCCCATGGCTCCTGAACCATTCGTTCGCACTCCTCTTGTCACATTCACAAAATTGAAATAAGGAACTCCATTTGTTGAGAAGCTGGCTCTTCTTGCTTCATCTTTCACTTGAGTCAAATAGAGATCACCGCTGTTCGTTAATGGGTCCTCAAGGAAAAAGTTTTCAGTAACATCTTTTTCAATATGACAATCCTTTACAATTTGTTTTAACACTTCCACTTTGGAAACATCTAGAGCTTGTTCGAAATACGATCTGAATATGCGTTCTGAAACTTGATTTTGAGTGTCATATTCTCGTGGTGGATACCTCTCTGCGACTAATTTCATGAGTCGATGTGCATTCAGAGAGTTAATCATGGGCAAATTCATATTCGCGACATTCATTGTTGTAATTCCAAGATCTTGGCCCATTTGTTCAATATGAGCCAACATGGGCATGGCCTTCAAAAGTAATGACGGATTTTTCTTTTCTTCTTCACTAAATTCCACGCCAAATTTCACTTTGAAGAATCTGGCTCGTTCTTGACCTTCTGCAGGAATTGAGGGATTCAATAAGAAAGGTTTCCATTCAATCGAGTAGGTGATGTTTGTGATTGGACTTGAAGTATTGATATACTTGGCTCCCAGTAATTCTAGAGCCTTCTCAAGTTGTGTCTTTCCGAGAAAACAGAATGGACATCCAACATCGGAAATAATTTCAATGTGAATGTGTTGTTGAGTTGAATGATGATTCATTGTTGAACATGACGTTTCTTGTTGAACATGATGAGAATGTTGTGTATTTGGTACGCAATGGGAATAGTCACATGCATCACCAGAACATGATGATGGTGCTGAGGCGTCGTCGTTGGGTGGAGACATTTTTTTACATTCATTTGTTCATCCTCAAACAAACAGCAGTTTATGTATCCATCGTTGTTGGGTTTTACCAAATATGTCATGCGGATGTAATAATGTTGCGGATGTTTTCCATACTAATGAATCATGCATTCGTGGATCCGTTGCATGTATCCAACGCACTACTGCAGTGTATGATTGAGGAGAAGGTCTATAAGATATACGTGTCCATATCTGCATTGTTTTTCATTCCGTTTGTAAAAATCGAAAATGGGTTTTTGAGAACTGTTGGAGATAATTTGTTTGTGAAAGCACGTATTCCATAGTAGAGAAGTCCTATTTGGAGAATGACATACATTGGGATGAATGAAATAGTATAGGACCAAGAAATAACTTCATCCATTCGTAAAATGACAAAAACTAGTGACAAAATAACAATACACATAAAGGCAATAAATGTCAAACTCCAAATTAGACTAACACATGCTTTTGTTGATGCAACACTAAGGTCAAACGATAGTTTGATTTGGTAGACTGTGTGAAAAATTGTATGCAATATTGTTGACAGTTGAGAAACCTCAAGTATTCGAAAAAACTACGTACTGAAAATTAAAATAATCACAATATAGAGAGGACAGCAAATAATGTACCATTTCACATTAGCAGTAAAGAACGGAATGGCAAATTTCAATACAACTGCTCCACAAAACATTCCTAATCCCAACCATGCTAAAAACAATACATATGGATACACTCTCTTTCCAGTTTTGTAAATAATCTGAGTGCATGTGTACATCCAAATCAAGCACGTTCCTGCAACCACAGCACACGGTAAATAGAGAGGTACTTCTGGAAATAAAGAGATAAAAAATGTACAGCACGGTGTTAAAGGCAGCAATATTCCAGCGACTAATTGAATAATTCTTCCTCTCGGGCTCAAACAATATGCATAAGACGACCAAAATCCTACACAATCTCCAGAGACCCATCGATAGAGAACTATTGGCCAACCAATTGTGGGAATCCATAACATAACTGTTAGAATGATAGCAATGACGCTACTACCAACTGCTGGTGCAAAGCAAATAAACCATGGCCAATCAATGTATGAATCCAGCTTTAAGGCTAACAAAACAATGAACGCCATAAAGAATAACCATGAAATCATCTTGACATGGTTTAGCCATCTTGTAATGGGTCTATACCTTTTCTTGATTTGGTTGACATATAATTTCAAAAGCTTGCCTCTTATAATGGGATTTCTAATTTTCTCTTGTCTGAAAATGCAATATGAAGAGTAGAGCTTATCAATCGGCACCCTTGAGTATCGTACGTGGGGTGTATGTCCTCTTCTTTGATAACTAGGAGCTTTTTCTTTAAAATCACGATATTGTTGAGCTATGGACGCTTTGAGTTGTGCAAACCAGCCTGTTGTATGTCCCTCAGCATTAGTTGTCGCTTTTTCATTATTGTTGTATGAACCATCAATTTCAAGTTGCTCTGATGTCATACTAAAGTGCTTGTTTGGAATGGATTTGAGTTCCATGGATGGTATTGGATTATTATTACTTTCTTCAATGTTGATTGTTTTGAAATCATCCTCTCCACTTAATATGCCTAGTTCTTTAGAACGTCTTTCTACAACATCCTTTAGGGAGCTAGTATTAAAATTTTCATCGGCTGTGGCAGTACTATTTTTGCGTGGAAAAATTCTTGACGCAGAAGTGTTAAAACTTGTGACACTTTGCAAATTGGCTGGTTCACCTCTATTAAATACTCTATTCATGGTTTCAAAGAAAATATTGATATCCTCATCATAAGCTATTGCACTTTGGATTTCATCAGAGTTTTCCTCTTGGTCGTTCATAATTGATACATCGTCTGCACCTGTCAATTCGTTGTGCGGTATTGAGGCTTCAATGTTATTGACTTGAGGAATTGGGATAGGTTGAGGAAGTTTTTGTTCATACTCGTTTTTAAGTTCGAAATACTTGTTGTACAAGGTTTCTTCTTGTGAAGGTTGATAAAATGTGGCAAATGCATCAATTGCTTTCAATAATTGCTGTTGACGGAAATTTAAATCTGAATTTTCAGGAGCATCCAAATTTTGCAATAATTCTCGTCGTCTCTCAGGTTTGGCATTGTACAAATTTGCAAATCGCTCAGGTAGTGAAACTTTAGAAAATTTAATGTAGCATTCCAGATATAAATATTGATCCCACACAGCGTTAGAGTGACAGATATGATAGTAGTAGGAGGCAGTCTATTAAGGGATGAAAATTGTCAGTCTTAATTGCAAAATTTCTCTAGAAAAACTTACCAAGGAAAAGCGAAGAATGGATTTGCAATCCAAAAATGATAAAATTACATGTAACACATCGTCGAAAAGATGATGAAAATTAGTTAGACTGTTCGGTAATTGTTTTGGAATGCTATCATGATGTGGGTATTCTGAAAGATATGGTATTGATCTAATGAATTGTTCATTGTTTGAATGTGCATTGTCCCTCTGCCCAACAGCAATCGTTTTGGCCCAATAACTCAATTCAGAGTAGAGTGTAAAAAGAAATCCTTCACTAGAATCACGATAAATGGTTGGGTGAGTTGGTAGTGTTTTTGGAACTTGAGTTGGATTATTGTTGATAATCTCCTCATTAAGCTCTTCAACAGAGGTCGTTGGTATATTATTATTGTTTTCTAAATTTGAACTAGCTGGTGGTTGTTGAATGATTATTGAAATATGTGTCGAGTCATGGTTGTGATGATGATTAGAAAGATTGAACGGATTGGAACTTGGAAATGGTCTGATTTCATTGGAGTGCAATGAAAGTGATTGTCGTCGGCTTTTAGGTGTTATGGATGTCGTCATTGCATCCACATGTGGATCAGCAGCAAGGATCTGCTGAGGGTGATGATGAATGGACATGTTGGAAGAAGATGGAGGTGTTTTTGGACGAAGAGCCGATGACGACAGATTGGAACCTGTGCTTTTCGTGCTGGCCAAACTAATTCTCCGTTTGGTGCTTGTTGTAATTTGTGGTGGTGGTTGATTATGTATGGATGATGATGGATCCATAATTTCGAGAGACGATAAAGTTGGGAGAGTATTTTGCAAAATACTCTGTTGTAATTGCTGTTCCGATATCAAGGTCGTCGTCGTCGTCGTGGTTGTTGTATTCATAGTGGGCGTAGAAGGATGATGAAGATTGATTGATGATTCATCCGACATGATATCGGAGACCACCTCATACGAATGTTGTTGGTGCTGGTTTTGCAATAGTTCAAAATTCATTCGTTGTGAGGACGACAATGTAGTCGTCTCTTGTTGCTGATGCTGATGGACAAAGACATGATCATTACCATTTGCCATTCAAAAGAACGCGTCGTCGTCGAGAGAATTGATGTGATGAAAAAGAAGAATCAAGAGAATTTTTTCCGATTTACTACTATTCCTGAAATCTCATCAAATCACAAACGGTTACTTGTTGTTCCAAACAAATATTTAATCGATCAAAATCATGAGAATAGCTTTTGGGTACAATTTACAAGTTTCAAGAGTGGATGTTTCATCGTCAAAGAAGGTATTGGGAATGGCTTTTAGGCGGAACGAGGAAAGATGCAAATGAGGCACTAATAATTGCCTTAAATCTCGAATGGTTTTGTGTTTTGAGAGGTAGACCATAAATTGCTGACCAGAAGAAGATCTCAATTTGATCGTGCAAATGTCTTTGGAACCTGATTGCTGCGAGAGGGAGTTCTCCTCATCTCGAATTTCTACAATATCGGAAGTTTTAGTTTCGTTTTTAGAATTGCCTCCTGAGATGACTCGCTCAATGTCATCACGAACAGGTATTACTTTGCCATTCTTGATCACTTGCTTTGGAAGAAGATCCAGGAAGCTCTCCTTGTCAAGAGGTGGATTTGGAGGTCCATTTTCTTCCACATATTTCAAATAGTCAAGACCGACCACATTGGAGTTGTTTTCTTTGAGGTAATTCGATTTTCCAATGGATCGTTCCTCAGTCTTTGAAAAAGGCTCTGATGTTTTATCTACAATTTTCAGTTTCACTCCATCTGGATGTTTCTCTTTGAATTCATAGGGGAAGTATCCATCCACTTCTTTAAACAAATGCCAAAATTTTGTGAAATAGTTTCGTTTGTGAATAAACTAAATGAAGATACTTACAAATGTCTGTCAAAAAAGCTTTTGTAATTTGCCATTTGTATGGCTTAAAAGGTCCATTATCAACAACAATTCCATTTTTCCAAAACGTCACAGTGCTCACAGGTTTTTGTTTGAGCTGTTTAATATTGCTATTCATCTTTGACACTTCCACCAATTCTTCATTGTCAATCATCTTATTCAAAGCTTGGACTCGTTGCTCAAGCAGTTTCATGTTGATATGTGGACCCATTTCGTCGTCAGAAATTTGAGGTGGAGAAACTGTGGATTGCACTTGAGGCACTTCAGGTGTCTTCCATGAATTAGTACTCTTGACAGGAGTGTAAGAGGAGTCGAAAGGATGTTTGATATCATGATATTCGAGAAATTTAAACATCGCATTCATGGTGCTTTGTTGTTGGTTGAGCTCTTTTTTCTGACATTCTCATCGGTCAATTCTTTAGCTCCTTAAAAATTGCAAACCTACCTGTTTTTCTATTTGTATTTTCTGTTTGTGAATCACATCTTGAAGATCCTTAATAGTTGATTCTCTGGAGGTTAAAATAATTTTTTGTTCAGAGCATGTTTGCTCTAACTTTTTCAGTCGAGACAAGAGGGTCACCGTCAAATCATCCCTCTCAGGAATATCTTATTATGGGTGTCACACCATTGTATAAAATCCAAATCCACTCACCTTCGTCTTCATTGACTTGCACTGGCTTTAGAGGAGAATTACTTCTGCTCTTACTTTCACTTTTCCTTGGTGGAAGAATTCCCATTCCATTTAAATTGCTATTCACAGAATTATGAATTATAGAGGGTTTGGAAAGAATTTTTGAATTCAAGTTTTTCCGATTATTGGCCATTAATTGAGATTGTAAATTATTCTTGTTAAACAACATCTTTTCGGATGATCCCGATGATGGCCTCGACGACGAACTAGAGACATTACTATTATCTAAACTTGATGGGTTCAACCCAACATTCCTATTCGGTGATCTCTTCCGGATCAAATTGTTGTGATGAAGATTGCCATTCCCGTTCTCAAATCCTGAGGACGACGACATTTCAATTATTTTTTTTCATGAATTTTGAAAGTCGTAGAGAGAATGAGCGGGCAATCTGTTCCTGTCTCTACACTCCAAAAATTCACTCCACAAAGAATCACTTGAAAAATCGAAGCTGCAGGAATGGCGTGGAAATATATGATTCATTCTTGACTAGGAGTGAATTCCCTCTACATTGGTCATTTCTGTTCTTCTGTTAACCATACAAAACACATCATGAAAAAGGTCGGGGCCTTTGTGGTTTAGAGATAGCAAAAGACTGGAACAATGTTTTCATTTGATAAGCCAATAAAAGTGCAGTCAAATGAACTCGTTCAACTTGAAGTCTTTGTGATTGAAACTTGAAGCTGTTGCATGAACCACGGACCTGACACATCCAAACAAAAACAATGCCTCCCAAAAAATGGTTGAAGCGAACATCGGTTTCATCCAATAGTGGTTGTAGTAATTTTAGTATTCATAATATTCATAATAGTGGAAGAGATTTAAATACAGCAAGTCCTTCCGAAAAGTTGGATCCTTCCATTATTTCTCATATATTTTCATCAGTTTCAAAATTAAATTGGGATCAATTTGAAGAGTATTGTGGTGAATATGGATCAGAAATTGTTGTTACTCAGAGATGGTTTGGAATGAATTTGGCTCATGTTTTAGTCAATCGTGGAGATGATGATTTGATGAGCTCTTTGCATATTCGAAATACTTCATCAATGATTACCAGTAATCCCACTCATAGGATGATGATGGACATTAACGATTCCCAGACGCAAACAACAAATTATGATAGCTACGAATGCAGTAGTAACAACAATGAAGTTCTCCCAATACAAAAGAATATCCAATTTGTAAATGATTTTTTGTGTCAATTAATCAAGAAAGGAGTGGATTTAAATGATGAAGATTCTCGCAATCAATTGAAGCCCATTCATTTATGTGCTAAAAGATGTTCGAAAAGTTTTTTGTGGATTTTGACCATGATTATTGAGGGACACCAAAAGCCCACATGCATGTGCAGAAACGGTTTTACTCCTCTCCATTATGCAATTTCATTTAATCGATTGGAGTTAGTGAGAGACATGTTGGAAACAAGTGCAAGTCTGGATTTTGGAGAATTTATACCTACTCGTTTTGTTTCGAGCTATGAAAAGACTAAAGAGGAAGCAATGGGATCTTCTCAACACAGACGTGTATTATTTCCAATACACATTGCAGCGAAGGAAGGACATTCAGAGCTACTGAAATACTTGATACTTCATGGGACCAGCACTCTGAAAATGAATTCACAATTATTTCAAACGCTGCTAGAATGCTATGGATTGACGAATAATGCATTTGAATCTGTGTGTACTGAAGAGGAATCATTGAACAGATTTATTGTGAATATGACCACGCTCGACATGTTTTCCATGTCTCCACTCATGTTCGCCATCAAGGAAGGACACACTTCTTGTGTTCAAGTGTTATTATCATTTGGGGCAAATCCCAATCAAAGTGATGCTCGTGGAAAGTCCTGTTTAATTTATGCAAACGAAAACCTGTTACACAAAGAGACCATCATGCACATGCTAGGAATGGATAATGCAGCTCCTTATTTACCTCATGCATTTAAGGACGATTCTCATTCATTTCTTTTAAGTTGTTTCCTTAAACCACAATCAAATCAAAATGATGCTCTTGAAAACAATGAACATGAAACAACAACAGAATCATCAACACAGAAGGAAGAGTTGACGGACAACATTGACGATAATATTTACTACATCTAATAATAGTAGACCTCCCAGTATCATCACTGAACAAAAAAGTACTTGTTCAGTTTTCGCGAACAAAATTCGCCGCAACAACATTATTGTCCCATATCATGTCTCTTGCCATTAATCGAAGTCACATTATTGTGTTTGAATCCATTCCAACAACAAAAAAATGTTTAAATTCATTGAAAAGAGCACACTGGCTCAACTAATCACCGAACAAACTGATGAAGCTAGAAGTTATTTACTCATCGATTGCAGAGAGCCTCACGAATTTTCAAGCACTGAACTGCCACACCTTCCCACTGCTCTTAATATCCCATTGAAGTGTATCACATCCAATTTCTCTGAACTGACGTCAACACAATTTTTATCCCAGTATGGACTTGAAAAACCATGTCACCATGATCCCATCATTATTTATTGTAGATCAGGGGCTAGAGCACAAAAAGCAGCTCAAGAAATGATTGATCTAGGATATGAGAATGTTTATGTCTACAAAGGAAGTGCAAATGAGTGGTGGGGGAAAGTGTAGACTCTAGAGTTCATAGTGCAAGATAGTCATTCCATTGTAAATATCCAAAATGTAAATAAAAATCGCAAACATTAAGGAAATTGCCAATGTCAAATCTCATCTTTGAAAAACGAAATTAAATTTAATTGAATGTTATTATAGACAGAAGTTGTTTATTTACAAAATGCATACACACAGTAAAATGTCCAATTAATAGTATGACAAGAGATCGGCAACAGTTCTTTGAATGTCACCATTGTACTTGTTCAACAATCGAAGGTTCAATTCTTCAGAATTGAATCCCATATCCCTGAGGATGGAAAGTTGTTGAGAGTATGGATGCTCTTGAACAGTTTGAGTTGGTTGTTGAGCAGTAGTATTGGTGACAATTCCATTGTTGTTGTTGTCAACAGATGGATAAAGTTGAGCATCCAATTCCAGTTCTTGTGGTTGTTCATCAACCTGTGAATGGGGAGCGGATGGCTCACTCACAACGACAGTTTCTTTTGGTTGGTGTTGGTCACTGGCTTGATCTGAAGATGCTTGAGGAGATGTTGATTGTTGTTGGCCTACGGTTTCGTTCTGTTGCTGTTCGAATTGCGATATCAAATTCTGAACAAAGCTCTTTCCTCTTGGTTCCACCAGTGTAAAGCTATGGAAACCCTCTGCATGCTGTTGAGCTTTCTCCTCAAAACACTTGCCGCACAAATCAAAATCCTCACAATCTTGGCATTTCAAACGTTGCCCAACAAAGTTACTTTGGTTACATTCATCACAAGTCACACCAAAGTGTGGAATATTGTTAACATTCTCCTTTGCCAAGTTAATAAGTCCACCAAATTGTTGTCTTAATTGTTCGCGTTGTTCTGGTGAAAATGAAAAGTTATTGGCGGCGTTGTTATTGGAATTGAAACAACGACCAAATTCACCAAGGAATGGGAACAAGTGGGCAAATGGATGACCATTCGATCCACATGAAGATCCAGAAACAAATGGGCATTGAGATCTTTCAGTCTGTGATGCATTTGAACGGCAATTGTTGTTGTTATCAGCATTGCAACACTTATTGGCTTCTTCTTTCTTCTCTTCGTTCTTATTTCCTGATTCTTGTGCATCATTTTCTGAAGGTGTTTCGAAAAAGGCACCCAACACATGGTCAATCAAATTCGATAATGGAATTTCATTTGCTTCTTGTTGATGATGACCATGAGATGAATGTTGGAACCTTTTTCTTCTTGGACAACAACCTCTTCGTTGAGCTCCAAACCATGGCAAGTTAAAGGATAACTTTTCATGAGTGTGTTGTTGTTGTTGTTCAAAAGCCTCCTCTTGAGATGGAACGCTTGCAGTTTGCTGCTGCTTCTTCAAGATGGAAACCTTGATGACTTTCTGACCTCTCAACAAGCTCCAAAGGACATTCCAATCGTCCTCGTTGGAAACTGTAACCCATTGATTTTCATCGTCCAAGTAAAAGATCGTTTGTTGTGGTTCAGAAGCATTATTCTCAATGATCTTTCTCTCTTCCAAGAATTTGAGAAATTCATTCAAGGAGGTCAAATAAGGAATCACCAAACGATGAATACTCGTTGCCTTTTGAACATCCAAGGCTTGTGGTTGAGATGGAACGGACTTGTTTTCAAAGACATAGACCTTGAAATGTTGTTGTTGTTGTTGTGGTACTTGGGGTTGTTGGAAAGGAACATAACCCGAGTAGGGATAATTGTTATTATTATTATTGCTCATCATGATGAAAGTATTTGAAATTGGTGGTTGTTGCTTGGATGGTTTCAAATAGAACTCTCTTCAAAGAAGATATATCAAAACTTTTTTTGTTGAATTTGATCATCAACTCGAGTTATTCCATGCACGCCTTTTAAATCTTCGAGAATAAACGGAAGGTCGGAAAGGAAACCAATGTCGTCGACGTTGTTCGTTGAGGAGGTGATGTCTCTTCCAATAGATTGGATCATTCTAAAATTATGAACAACTTTCCTTGAGAGTGCGCACGAATTGAAAAAGTTCAATCAGTTCATGAAAGTGCTTGCGCATGCAGGTTGGTGCGCTGTCAATGGTTTTGAATGAAATAGAAGTGAAATTGAATATAAATGCCATGAACAACAACACTTGAAAATTCATTGGTAACCTCCTTATTGCTTAATAAGCGTCAAAGAAGAAGGAAAACCAAAGAAGCATCAGCAGCTGTTCATTCATCTTGGCCCTCTTGTTTTTTTTTACAATTGGCAACAAACCACTTTCATGCCCAAAAAGATGTCAAACCCGATCCAAAGAAATAAAACGCGAGTTTCAACGAATAAAAATGGGCAACCGAAACACCTCATCCTCTCTCCATAACTCATCACACCCGATAGATGATCAAGAGGATTTTGTAGCTGAATCCGAGCATGTTCACTCCACCCGAAAAGGTTTAAAGCATCATGATCATCATCATTCAAAGCCCGTTTACTCCATCGAGAGTTATCATCTTGGAAGAGATGAGATTTTACATACAAGAGCGTTATTTCAAGCGTTTGGAGAGCATCAAAATGTTGTTCAAGGAAATATTAATTCACAAATTTCAAAATATTTGAGCGGTGGAGAATATATTGTGAAAATTAGCAGTGGAGCTCATCACACCCTGTTGATGACTAACCTTGGAGGATTAATGAGCTTTGGAAAAAACACGGATGGTCAACTGTATGTTTCGTTGTTGAATCCTGTCAAAAAAATTGTAGCATTTGGACGTGGTGATTAATTTGAAATATTTGCATGTCATGCCCTTAAAATGGTTTAATCATCATCTCCAATTCTAGTGGTATTGGAGATTTAGGAGTGCAGTATTCACCTGATATTTGTAGAGTGAGACCAGCATATAAGGAACTCGATGAACATGCAGTTGAAATTTGCTGTGGTCATAATCATTCAGTAATTCTTACAAACTATGGACGAATAATGGCCTGTGGTATGTTAATTGTCATTTATTTACTCATGTCATCACCGTACCATGGTTCATGAATTGAAAATTGCCCATTTCCTCAGGCTGGAACGCAAACTGCCAGTGTGGACTACCCTTTGGTAGCGTTGATTCATTCACTGTAGTTCCATTCAATCGCTACACCAAAATGCTGAGATGTGGAGGTAATTCAACATGTATATTAACCACTCGCAATCTACTCTACGTGACCGGTAGTCTTGGAATCAAGTACCAAAAATTCTCAGAATTTGAATGTGTTCAAGATTTTAGGGAGCTCTTAAATGAGGGTGAAATTATTGAGGATTTTCAATGTGGAGGGCAAACGATTGTGGTCGTCACATCCTTTAAAAACATATACGCACTTGGAGACTCTTCTTACCGTCAATTTGGAAAAATTAATGTTGATTCCTCTCGTTTCACAAACATTACCAAACAATTACCCTTTTATTCCCAAAATTTATTGAGCTTTAGTTGTGGAATGTATCACAATGTATTTTTACTGAATAATGGAGCCATATACGCAGCTGGCTATAATGGATATGGACAATGTGGCGTTGGGGATTTAAGAGACACCGATGATTTTACATTACTGACAAAATTTTACAAAATCAAGAATTCTGAACAGAGTATTTTAACAAAGAATAAGACCAAAAAAATAGAGTACACTTGTTACAATGTAGCTTTGGATAAAGATGAAAAGCAAAAACCACTATCACAGCCCTTCACCATTGGAGAACATGAAATGATAAAGAGTGTTTATGCAGGTTCCTATCATACCATCTTTGTGAGCAATGTAGGAAATGTGTATGCTTGCGGTAACAATGAATATGATCAATGTAACTTTCCAGAGTTGGAAGAAGAAGAGATTAAATCTATGCCTCACATCAGACAAATGAATCTTCAACCAAAAGCAGATATTGTAATCTTTGCCAACACTTCTGCTAATATTACCATAGTTGCAGAAAAGGGAGGCATGAACTCTTTCTTTTACATTTCTTTGAAAAAGAGAGCAAGACAAGGAGAATTGTCAGATATTGTTTGCATTTGTTAATATGGGGAAATCAAAGAACAAGTGACAATTCTTGAAATTCCAAAATAAAACTATTTTTAAAAAAAAAAACAAGAACATGTTCCCTCACACTCAACACCATCAACAACAACAAGACAATCCTCCGAAGGAAGACAAGAGCCATTCAAAGGGAAGACAATCACCACCCTCACGTACGAGCAATACTAGTAGTACTAGACGAAAAATTCTTTTTCAAGAGGCACAAGAAGCGTAAGTTTTGGGATGATCTTCTTTTTATTGGATATCAACATTCCGTGACCGTACACAGTGACAGTGCAAAAATTATGCAGTCCATTTCAAAGTTTCTCTCGTTTGATTCAGGCATGACAAGTGGATACTCGTCTTCACGTAAAGGAATTCAAAAGAAGTCGTCATCATCGTCCTCCAATTTGCTTTCTTCGAATCGAATTTCAATTTCATCCACCGAGCTAGGAAATCAAATTGTCAACATGTCAATGACATGGAAAAAGACAATCGGTAGTGTCGACGATCAACATGTTGAACAACAGAAAGATCATCATTCCTCCAGCACTACAGAGGTGAGTGCCCAAGCCTCTGAACATGAAGCAACATCAACAACAGAACAAGAAATTTCAAGTTCGACGCTGCAAGTCATTCATGACCTATTTGATCAACGATTTCTTGAACATCAACTAGATAACATGCACTTGAAGTGATTCACAAGGTCAACATTTTGAAGGTTTGCCTTTCTAATTAATTTGTAAAAAAAATGTTGAACCTGAGCTTGCGGAGGAAGCCTTCATTCTTCGTCTTGAGGAATACTGCGGGTTTTTTACTCTCTCAACTTCAACACTCTCAACAACAACAAGAACTTTTACAACAACAATTATTTGTGAATAGAAACGCATTTCGGAATGATGTAAATAAAAACGTGAGATGCTTTTCAAATGATAATTTCCAGAGGATGGCCAAAATGACTTCAACTCTCGGACTCGGGCGTTTTTCTGAAAAAACATCCATTGAAAAGAATAGATTTCCAATGATTAAAACTAGGTCCGGGAAGCATATTCAATATGTGGATCAATGTGTGATTAGAGTGAGAGGAGGAACTGGAGGAAACGGACTTGTACATTTTCTAAGAGAAAAATTTAAACCCATCGGAAAAGCAAGTGGAGGAGATGGTGGAAATGGTGGAAGTGTGTTTATCAAGGCAACAAGTAGTAGACACTCACTCTGTGGTATTGACCATATTCAAAAGGCCAAAGATGGTGACAATGGTCAGAAGAGAAACAAAAACGGGAGGAAAGGAGAACATACGATAATTTATGTACCTCTTGGAACACAAGTTTTTGACGCAGATACTGGTGACTTTATTGCAGACCTTCAAAATGATGGTGATGAAATTTTGGCAGCTAAGGGAGGTAGAGGTGGACTTGGAAATCAACACTACTCCTCCAGTACGAATAGAAGTCCAAAACAAAGTCAAGAAGGACAAAAAGGAGAATCCAGGCATTTACTTTTAAAATTGAAAACCATTGCTGACGTGGGATTGCTAGGATTTCCAAATGCAGGAAAATCCACACTGTTAGGAGCGATATCAAATGCCAAGCCAAAAGTAGCTGCATATTCATTCACAACCTTACATCCCACGGTTGGAGAAGTTTTTCATCAAGAGACTGGATATTCCTTTACATGTGCTGATATTCCTGGTTTAATTGAGGGCATGAATAGCAAATTCAAAACAAGGGGTTTAGGTCATGATTTTTTGCAACATATTGAACGAACAAAATTACTTCTCTATGTCGTTGATGTGAGCGGACTTGAGGGCCTTGGTATTCAATACAATGAGGAAACGGGAGAGATCAAGTACGAATTTATTACTGAGGCATCTCCATTTGACTATGATTCGAATACTTCGAGTGAGGAGATCAATGAGCTTTCCAAACACGCTGAAAAGAGAGTCACAAAATCACTTTCTTCTGTACAGACCAATGATGACTCGTATCATTTGAGAGAGTCTGCATTAGCAGACTATTTTGGAGAGGATGAAGCCGAAGATGTTTTGAACGATTTAGATGACGAGAATGAAGACGCACTCACAAGGCGAATGAATAAGAGACAAAAAGCTCAGCACAGCTTTAGAAAGAGGACTCCTCTTTTGAGAACCTTATCACCTGAAGAGTCTGCAAGAATTCGTTCCAGAGAACATGAAACAAGGATCAATACTGAACAAACTCTTCAAGAGCAATTTGACGACGATAATGACAATAATTCTGCCATTTCTGCAGAGGACAATCTACAAAGCATGACCGATTTTGACACCATGCAACTTGACGACGAAGATTACAACTCTCTTCAAATAGATGTCAACAACACTGAAGAAAATCTTCCTGAACATGATCCTTATCGTAACACCGTACTTGATACACTCCCAGAAATTAAGAGAAAACAACGATTATTCCAACCTTGGGATATTTTGAGACTACTACAAAAAGAAGTAGAACTCTACATGTCAGGTCTTTCAGAACGAGCTGCCTGCATTGTTGCTAACAAGATGGACGTTCCTGGTGCTGAGAAGAATTTCGAAAAACTGAAAGAGTTTGTGAAAAACGAGTTTGGTGATATTCCCATTGTTCCAATCTCGGCGAAGGATGGATTGAATGTCGAGCAAGTGAAATTATTCTGTATTGGTTATTTGGAAAGACGAAAGAAAAAAGCTGAGACGACAGGCCCTCAAGAGTAATACCACACAACACACACGTTCAGGCCATACTAAGTTGTGCACAATGGGGAATGCCTCAGTCTATGATTTGTAATTTCGAGATAAGGAATCGGCCCACATTTTGTAATTTCGAGATAAGGAATTTTTTGATTACCAATTAAAAAAAACTAGAACGCAAGGCACAAAACCTCTCTTCACGATTGACTCGCTCTTTTAAGGAACCAGAAAGAGTAATAACAACAACCAAAACAACCAAAACAACAACCACAACACACTCGCTTCATTTCTATTCGCCACTACTAGTACTGTAAGAACAACGCCCCTCATTATTGAGCGCATCATCCAGAGGAACAATAATCATCATCATTGAACAATTCCATCTTGTTTATAAACTGAAAGAGCGGAACAACCCAATTGTTTGCACTACTGGACCAGCCCGAGAGTCGACATCTTTTCAAACTCAACCTTCTCTGTTACATCATCATCATCGCCCCAACTCATCATGGCAAATCATATTAGAGAGTCTCAAGCCTGGAAAGAGAGATGTATGCATGAAGACAAGGCTGCTCTTTCCTTCATCAATTCCTACATTCTGGCACGGGAGATGAGCAACAACTCCCCAGTGTCCAAAGGACCCAACAACATACCTCCAGGATTTAAACCAAAGGCGTTGCCTCACTTGCTTGAGCCTATAGAAAAGAAATCTCCCTCCTCCATTAATAATAATAATAACAATGGAGACCTATCGAACCGATCCAGTAGGGTTTCAGAAGATGATTCCCTCTCTGTGCGATCATACAAATCCAATGCCAGCTCAATTTCAAATGGTTCTCGCTCAGGAAGATCGGACCGCTCAAACAGAAGCTCCGCCCTTGATGAAGAGAGTAAGAGAAAGATTGATATGCTGGAGAAGAGTCTCAACGAAGAACGAAAAGGACGACTCGAAGTTCAGCAAGAACTCGAAAGTTTGAAACAACTCATTAAGGAAAACTTGAAAAAGTGACATGTGTGAGAAAATTGTAGCGTATAATCGAAGATTCAACGACATTGACTCTATTCATGCTTGCGAATAAATTTCTTTTGAGAAGGTATCAAAGACAACAACATATCATGCAATTCATTTACTTGTGAGTTTGCATTCGTTTCATTGGGCTGATTGGACGAAGATCCACATCTTCAGCGAGGGAGCTGCTTTGAAATAGAGTCAACTTCTTGAATACAGTACCTGAAGCTGATCGTGAAAGACGAGTCGTGGCAGAAGCTTGATCATCTGAGTTGAATCGTTGTCGATACTTGGAAGGAGAAGAAACCAGAGGTTGTTGCTTGCTCAAAAACCAGTCTTTGAATTGAGGATAAGTGTTAAAGAAATCTGTTTGATTGAGCAACACATCGTATGCCGTTGAAGAAGAATTGTTGGAACTCTTTGCTGTCGTTGAGGAAGTGGTAGTGGCATTTGAGTGGTGATCTTCCCTCAACTCTGATTGAGGAGAAATCAATCCACTCATTAACATTTCATAAATCATTGAAACTAGCACTTCTTTGTCTCCTTTTGGTTGTGTCACTTTTAGTGAGCTTGTTGTTGTTATTGCAGAATTGGATGATGTCATGTGAGAAGAAGAATCATGATCATTAGAGGGAGGTAAATTAGGTGGAGATAAAACACTCGACGATGCAGATGAAGGAGAAGTACAACGCTGTTTGTAGTATCGAGCCAACGTTGTTGCTGCATAGTAGAGTGGTGTCTTGTTTTTGGCATCTCTTGCACTCAGTACTGGATGTTCACATATAAAAGTTGGACAAGATTTGCCAAGTCTATCATTCGAGAGGACCAATGAGTTGGAAGGACAAGTTAAAAAAGACGGACTGGAAGGTGGTGACAATGTTCTTTTAGGAGAAGGTGGGCTTACATTCGACGAAGACGAACACATGGTTGGTAGTGCGTCAGTTGCTTCGTGACCAATTTCGAGAGAGTGTGGTTGTTGTCGTTTACAAGAATTTCCTTGTCGTACAGACATGATCACCACTCGAGGAGGAAAGCTCATCGCCAAGATAATTTCCATGATATCTAAAGATCCATGTTTGCATGCTAAATGCACTGGAGTTTGACCGTTGGAGTCTTTGATTAAAAGTAACTCTGAAAAAGTGTCACGGTCAAATGTGAGAGCAATAATTCTGAAAAAATCCACACAATCATACAACGCAGCCAAATGAAGTGAAGTTCTCTTGGATTGATCGACTAATAAGGTGAGTGCTGTCGCTACATGATGTTTGACACCTGTCAAAGGTGCTTGAGAATGTTCTTGTCTCTGATTCATGACACTTTCGGCAGAGAGTAAAAAGTTAAGACATGAAATTTTCTCAAAAGAAGAACTCTTCGAATGACAGCTCTTGTATTCCTTAATGGCCACCATGAGAGGCGTGCAACCATTCTCATCCTTTGCATGAATGAGAACCTTACCATGTGAACTCAATTTTTGAATGATTGTGTCACATGTTTTCGATCGTTCTTTGTCTTTTCCAATGATTTTTGAGGAAATTAAAGTGTCACATGTGGGAGGACTTTTACACATATCTTCAACGGTCTCTCTGTAGACTAAATCATCAACCTCCTCATGGAACACTACTTCTTCAAAATAGACCTCTTCTCTACTCTTGTCTTTGATTCGTGATCGTTGTCTTTCTTTTTCCAAATCATCTCGATCCATCAACAGCATTTTGATACCTTCCAAATCCAAATTGGCAGCTGCAATGTGTAATAAAGTTCGAGAATTTGTCGATTTTTTCGTTCGAATGGAATTGGTGGGTAAGACACTCAACAAAAATCTTACCGTATCATGCTTTCCACTTTGCATGGCCAATAGAAGAGGGGTATTTCCATAAATGTCTCTTGCATCTGTCATTTCCTTTGCGCATTGAAATAAAAGCTGAACAATGAGAACATGGCCAGCTGCTGCTGCGAAATGCATTGGAGTTGCGAGTGTTGCATCCACAACTCGGGTGTTAATGTCACTTCTTGTGAGTAATTCTCTTACAATGGCAATATGTCCCGCAGCAGATGCTTTGTGAAGACCTGACAGTTTTCTGTCATCCAACACATTCACATTGTAATAACTTGTATTTGCAATGACAGAATGATTTCTGATGGTATCCAAAAAGTGTAACAATGCAGTAAAATCAATTAAATCTCCTTGTGAACATGCATTTAAGAAGGAATGTTTCCATTCTTGAGGCGGATATTTTGAAATTTCATTATCCTCCTTCTTCGATGAACTTGATGTGAATGTCATCACGGAGCACTCTTTTGGATGTTGTGGTTGTTGTGGTTGTTGCTGTGGTTGTTGCTGTGGTTGTGGTTCAATAATGGAGAGCTGATCTGTTCCATTCACTAACATGATGTTAGGAAGAGAAAGTTGTTGTTGTTGCAATTCAGAGGTTGAGTCTTCGGGGAGAGTGGTTTTGTTTTCCTTTCGAATTGTTGTTGTTTCATCATTCAAACAACAAGTCAAGACTATTGAATCATCAATTTGAGAGGTTGTTGACATGCCAATTGTCTTGTTGTTGTTGAAAGTATTCGACAAGGTGAATTCGAGACAATCAGAGGATGATGGCATTGAGTCGAATACCGGAAGAGTTTGTTCTCTATACGAATTGACACGGAGAAACTGTTGTAAGGTTCAAAGTTGTGCGAGAGAGCGGTTTGTGATAATTACGACGAAAATAGGAGATGATAAACGAGATGAAGAAATTAATGTTAGTGCAAAGGTTTGTTGCTCATGAAGAAGGTTTGGAAGTCTGAGAAGAAGAACCCTTTGTTGATTGTGTTTGATGTGTTTTTGAATCCTTTATGAGGAGGAACAACGTTTTTTTATGATGCAGCACAATAAATTGACACTTGACAGTTTGCCAACTCTGAGCATCAAAACAAGAAAAATGATACTTAACAACAGAAAACCTCCAAATTAACATTTACTCATCAATGAACCTCAAGTTATAGGTGGTGCAGTATTCAACAAATTTGAGCCTGAAAACATGAATAGAATAGTCAACTTGGCATTCCTTATTCTCCAGCTTTTTCCTTAATTCCATGAACTGAGAGATGTCATTCGCACAACGATCAGTGCGAAATTGGACTTGGAGAAATATAGCTATCGAATCGTTTTGTTTCCAATGATTGCTATTTAGCCAGAATGGAGGTAGAAAATAGTACCCAAAAGCAACTCAGGAGTTTCTTGAATTGATTACCCAATTTGTAGAGAATAATCAGCATCTTTTTCATTATTGTTCATCATCACGAAGAGAACAGCAGCTTCAATTGACCTTTCATCATCAAGAGAACACACATGTTATTCATGAATGATTAACTTTTCCAATTTCCAACCATTTTCTTTCATGGTCTTTCTCTTTGCAACTTGCTCTTCTATTTTCTGCCAAGTACAATCACATCCCGAATGTTGTGCCACAATATAAGCCTGACACGATAAGGGCGATGGTCGACTCACAGCCGTAAACATGGAAAAGGCTTTCATTCGACAGACAATATCCAAATGGCACGTATTGAGCATACATTCACGAAATTGATGATCGCAAGTGGCTTTTGGAACACCACACGAGGAGTAACACAGATCATGTTGATTACAGCAATGGATGAATTCACGAGCTACCACATTGGAGATGATGGAAACGACCATCTGACTCTGAGGACCACATCCGTTGGGTGTAGGACGATAGTTTTGTCTGGCAGTTTTACATTTGGGAAGAGAGGACCAGATACAATCGACTCCCATGACGAATATTTGGTTGATTTGGTTGTTGTTGAGATGATGATGATGGAAGGTTTGGATGAAAAGGAGAAGAAGAAAGAGGAGAAGAAAGAGGTGATGGAATGTACGGAGGATGTTGGAGAAGAGGAAGGAATAGGTTGGTCCACGGGTAGTAGCCATGATTCTACTTGTTGTATGTGTTCGGAAAGGAACCACTGTTTTGTGGTGATGCAACAGCATCTTCATCATGATGGCAATTATTGTTATTTGAAATTATTATGTGTTTGTTTACAACGAGGAGATGAAGAATGTCTGTAATAGAGAGATAGAAACAACTGGAGAAATGTTGATGATATCCAATGAGAGGTGCAAGTTTCCAACCGGGTATCGATAGTGGCGATGTTTTTTGTTGGAATTCTTTTGGATTTGACTTTCTTCTTTTGGTGACAAGTTTTCTTTCTGAGCTGTGTTTCACAGTTTGACTCTCTGAAAAGCATACAGAAGGTCTCTATTGAGGTCGTTTTTATTGTTGTAAGGTGTCAAATACCAAGTCCTCTCGATAATTATTGTCATTGTCCTCATTATGAAAGGAAATGTATCCCAATTGATTACTAGCAATATGCGTTCCATTGTATTGTTGAATGGCAGAATAATGTGTATGGCCTGAAATCCACAATACCACTGGAGAGCCCATTAAATGATGTAAATCAGTGGCAAACGCTGTGTTGATCAATCGAGTTTCACTATTCTGAGTTTGTTCATAATAAGGTGAAGAAACTCCAGTGGTCATGGGTGCATGATGAGTGACGACAATTATCTTGCGTTGTTGAGTTGAATTTTTGTTTCTCTCTTGTTCAATGGCATCTTTTAGAAAATTGTAATCTCTATTGAAAAACCAATTTGTATCATCAACGGTAAGCTTTCTCGTGATATTGTGGAAGTTACTTTGGTTATTGTCCTTTATCTTGATGATATGATAATCATTCATGGACTGATAAAAGGGTTCAGGAAAATATTCAAAAGATTAGATGTCATCCAATAATTCTTAATGTCAAGTACAAAACATGAATGACAAGTACCTACATTTTGAACGATGGATTTTGCATGATCTGGAACTTGAGACCACAAAGCACAGCCTAAAAACGAAATCTTCTCTCCGCTGTTGGAAGTAATCTCCACACTGCCTCGATCCAAAAAGTAGACATTATTGAACTGAGAGCACACCTTGTTCATTTGTTCATTACAACTCCAATATTCATTGTTGTAAAATTCTTGAAAACAGAAATGAATTCATCATGATTATGAAAAGAAATAGAATGAAACATATTATTTTCATCATGATCACGAAGAATCGATGCTAGAGATCTAGAACACATACCATGATTTCCAGCAACGACGATCACATGAGCATACTTTTCGGAAACATCTTTCAAGAAATCAGAATAGCTCTTTTGAAAAGCATTTCCGATATCTCCAGCCAACACCAACACCTCTCCGTACACCTTCTCGCATAAATTGGTTCCATGCAATTAATTGCTTGTATTTATTTTGAAACAGATCGTACGAATCAAAATGTTCAATATGGAGATCGCTTAATAGTTGAATTTTCATTTTTTTCGACTTGATCTTTTTTTTTTCTTTTTTCAACTTTGGAAGAGAATAATCCATCACGCATCTTTTTGTCACACCATTTGTATTTCAATAGTGGAGGATATTCAATGTTGGATTGATTAGCACGAACTTGACAATGGTACGAATTATGGTTTCAGAGGTTGAATTTCTCTAAGAGTTCGAAGGGGAAGAGAAGTCTTTTACCTTAAAAACTCTGTAAATCGAAAAACACATGTGCTGTACTCAAAATATCGCTTGAACGACAACAACAACCTCTAAATCAATAGTAGTTGATTTCAAAGATTAATTGATTGTATAAAGTTATCCATTCTCTTCTGGAGAAAGAGCAAGACAATCATTGTCTCGGCATCATTGGAGATTCAATAAAGATTTTCAAAGACCAAGTTCTGAGGTTCGAATTGCGATTGGCACTTCAATCCATTCCAACATCAAACATTAAAGTAGCAATTTTGTTTAATTGCTCAATACGATCACAACACCAATCAATCTTTTTTGGAAAGATGCTTGACAGCGGCTTTTTGGAGCAAAGACCACATGAAGTATCTTTAGGGATAAATACGATCCATTGACAATAAAGATATTTGTGAAGAGTGCAGTACATGATCATCAATAGGATCTTGTCGTCTCCTTCTCCAATTTTCTCTAAAAAAACAAATTTCCATATACAAGCAGCAATCAAATATATTTTGCTGCACAGAGTTGTGGTTGCTTGTACTCTAACAACACATATTGGTGTGGATTACCATTATTAATTCGTGATTTGATTTTCAAGGATCCTTTCATTTCGAAAAACACGTGTTTTCTCCCTGAATTCAACAAGACTCATCCTCAACGTCTCTCTCCACACACAATTCAGCACAGCGCGAGTGTTTAAGACTCCTACGAGCTGTCCTGGCCAATCGGTTTTTCTCGGTACTTCTTGTTTGTTGTAAACGACGTCATCGTTGCTATTTTAAGAGCACACAAGATCATCACCAGCAACGTCTTATTTTTGTACTTGCTGCCTTTTAGAAGTGAGAGCGTAAAGAGAGAGTGAGTTGCGGAAGAGTGACTCGACTTGTGTGTGCGTTCCACTTTTCGGTTATCAGAATCAAAAGCAGAGGACTTTCGAATCAACAGGAGTTCCAAATCCTCTTTTAAAAAAATTTCTTCATTTTGCCTCACGCTCTCTTTCTCAGCAGGCCGGGTCATTTCATAACGCCCTCATCATCATCACGCGAAGGACACCAACAAGTAAGAGTCTCATACCATCCTCCTCTCCTCACGGACCAACAATATAAACATTCTATAATACCAACTACACCCAATAGTACCCATGAGTTGTTCATCACCCACCAATTTTGACGATTTTGAATCGTTATTTGCTGATCACGATGAAGGACTAGAGAGTCTGTATCAGAGCCCAACTGGTGCCAGTATGGCTTCATCGAATAGTAGTGGAACGGATCATTCATCATCAAATCAACAACAGCAAGCACGTCAAGACCCAATCACCTATGATGTTCTTAGTGATGGATATGCCTTCGGCTTGAATGAATTTGATCTTTCCCTGCAATCATTGCCTGCCCAAAAGCAAAAGACAGGTGATTTGGCTGCGGCTAATCCATTCTTCTCTCAAGCAACTAATGCCTTCAATCCTCTCACTGGATTTGTCTATCCAGCAACAACAACAACTACTAATGGAAATGTTGCAACCACCAATCCAACCAAGAATGCCTTTGGTGCTACTACAGCTTTCAATCCCCAATTCCCAATGAATCAGCTCGGAATGTACTTCCCACAGGCATTCCCTTTCCCTCAATTTGGAGGTCAACCATTCCCAAGTTGCTTCCCTAATACATTGGCTTTCTCTTCTCCCAATATATCACCAATTATGCCCGTAACATTGAATACAAGCCCAATCAATAATACAACAACAACATCACAAAACAACAATACAACTAATAGTATTGAAAATGGCAAAACAAAGACTGCCAGAAGAAAGACTAGTAACACTAAGAAGAACACCAAGTCTTCGACTAGTAATAATAATAACAACAATACTCAAACCTCTTCGACTGATAGTAGTGATTCCAAAGCAACAACATCTCCATCTGATTCTGTTACCCAAACAGCAACAACAACAGCCAATTCTGCCACATCACCAGAATCGATCGAATCAACCGCTCTGAGTCACTCTTCTGACAATGACTCTGCATCATCCTCTGGAAAGAAATCATCTTCTGACAATGAAAAGAAGAGAAAGAGAAAAACAAAGGGATCTCCTGCAACTAATTCTACTCCAGAAAAAGCTTTAACACCAGAAGAAGAGAAGGAAATGAAGAGACAGCGTCGTCTCATTAAAAACCGTGAATCTGCTCAAGCATCGAGAGAGCGTAAAAAAGTATACATCCAAGGTTTGGAAAAGAAGGTTGATGGATTGGCTCAAGAGAATTCTGAATTGCATAATCATTGCTCGGCTCTTGAGCAAGAGAATGAAATTCTCAGACAACGATTGAAAATGCTGGGTGAAGTTGTCGAAGAACCATCAACTAAGAAGAGAAAGATGTCTCCCTTCGCAATGAAGGTGCCAATTCCTTCAAATCCATTCATGCTTGACTTCTGGAGCTTATTTGGAATGGGAGCAATGCAACAACAACAAGCTCAAGCTAATCCAGCAATGGATGTGAATACCATGAGAATGGATCCTCGTGCCTCTACATCATCGAGAAGAGTTGTCATGTTTATCATGCTTTTCTGTGTTGCCATGTTCCTCGTTTTTCCAAGATCTTCCGATGTCAAGTTTGACAGCAACATGAAACCAGAAATGTCGGTTGACGAAGCTACTGCCAATAGAATGAGAGTTGCATCAAGAACCATTCTTTCATCAGAACCAGCAGAAAAAGATACATCCATGATAGATGTTTCCATAGAGCCTACTCAGAGCATTGTTGTGGATGATGAGTTCAAGAAGAATGTTGCTGACATTTACAACTCATTCTCTGAGCTCAGACAAGCTGCTGCTTCTGAATCAGTCAAGCAAGAAGATGGTGAAGAAAGCACTACACCAGTAACTGCTCAAGAAAGAGCTGAAATGGATCTTGCTTCTCAAATCAATGTTGTTTTTGATTCTGATAAGATTTCCTTGACCTTCCCAAAGTCGATCCTTGTCAAGAATGAAGAAGCAGATGATGCTATGGTTGATGAAACTCAATCATCCAATGCAACAACCGACGGAAAGATTTCACTTCTCTCCACCAAATTACTTAGAGAAATTTGTCGTGTTGTAAGACAATAATAAACCTGTGTACATACGTGACCACCATTATTTATTTGAAACACTTTGTTTTATTAAGCTTAATTGGGCCTCTAATCTGTCGAACATGTCAAAAGCCAAACAAAACCAAAACAAATTACAACTGGTTATTCGTTGGTGTGTTCCCATGCATCATCACACATTCATGTTGGACGGAGTCATACCCAAGGAGGGAGTTGATGTTGCTGCCATATTCATAGACATTCTTTGCAATTGTTGTTGCTGCAATTGCATTTCACGTTGCATCTGTAATATTGTTTCTGCATTACTGTTGGGTTGCATCATGGGTGGTGGTTGTGGAGTGGTTGTAACGGTCGTTGCGGTCACAGGAGGCACGGTGGTGGTCGGTGGAGAACTTGAAGCAGCCGCTGCTGCAGCCAAACATCTCGATCTGCAACTATAGTAAGCAACAGTACTCAAAATAAGGACAAAAAAGAAGAAACCCACAGGAATACCAATCGAAAGACCATAGAGAGCACCATCACTCAAGTCACCACTTCTAGTGGTGGTCGAAGTTGATTGACATCCAACGTAGAGACTACAAGTATAGCCAATTCCACAACATTCATAATTATCGATTTGACAGCCACCCGTGTAGGTGCGTTGACAACAAGTCCTACCACTCGCACAGTAGACATAGTATCCATCCGATTTGGTACAACATTTATTCTCTTGTTGAGTGCTGAAAGGAGTTGGGAGGAGAGTCCTGGGAGGACGGCGAAGTTTGGGGTTCTCTGAGGGATGACCCATTGGAAGTGCATGTGAAACGAGTATAAAACTGCTTCCAATAATGACAAGCACTAATAGGAGCAACTTCTTTCTGAGAGGATGATTCATTCTGTTCATCATCATGAGTCTCGTGAAGGTTAATCTTGAGAATTTGGAATGTTGTAAAGGGTATTGTTGAAGATTTTTACGAGTCAACAAATAGTGCACACGTGACTTCTTCAGTTCATACTAACCTGTCAACACGTCACCGCCGCTGGCGTGAAGAAATGTTTTTTCTTTCACCTTCAGATTTTCCTATTTGAACATGTTTATCCTTAAAAAATCCTTTTTAATGCGATACGACAAATCTAGCTGCTAGGATATTAGTGTCTGTTGATTGTAAATTAAACAGTCGATGACTTGTTTTCAATGTTTGATTGTTTTTGAGTGGCTGCTATTCTTCTTCGATAGAAAATACCATAAACCCATCGAGTTCTATATTGCAATACAAGTCCTAATATTAAGGCAAATCCACACATTGCAGTAGTAATAAAGAAAGTGAGTTGGAAACAATCTCTACCATGACAAGTGGTAACTCTTGGAGCAATGACACCTTCTTGATAAATATATCCAGCTAAACTTGTGGCCAATGCATAACTTCCAGCTGCTGCTGCTAAATTCACAATCGAAAAGTTCATTCCGAAATATTTAGATCCATATCGTTCACTACAGAAAGATGGAGCTAGAGAGAAAATTCCACCATTAAAGAATCCCATGACACAAATCATTCCATAAATACCATTCACAGGAATCCATGCAAAAATAAAGTGAACCACACCCATCATGAAAACAGCCATATTAAAGAAGGAAATACGTGTGAGATGATAATGAGGAAGAAGGAACTTGTCACTCAAAAATCCAAATACAATTCGTCCAATGCAGTTGCTGTGGTTGAAGAGTGTGAATGATTCACATAATTGTTACGATGAAAAAAAAGCCAATACTGAAATGTGTGAAAAATTCACAACTTGTACTTACAACACTGAAAGCAATTGCACCATGAGATTTTGCTGACCATGATAACCTCCATAAGCCAACACAATAGACCCCAAATTATTGATAATGACCAAACCACAACCAGCAGCAATCATGTACACAATGAAGAACATATAAAAGTCCAATGTCAACAACATTCTAAATGGATAAAGGGTTGGAGGATCCATGGATTTGTTGGCACTAATATCTGCAAAGATTTTCTTTCCTTTGAGAGGTGTTTCAGTGGTAGCTGCTTCTTCATAGGTTACAGCAGCTCCTTCTTCTTGTGACTTGTCAATGGTTGTGTCAAGTTCAGATTTTTCTTGTTGTGGCAAATCATGATGTTTCAAGAGTGAAGTTCTTTCGGAATTTTGTTGATCTGATTCCTCTTGTTTGATTCTTTTTTGTGGGGTTTTGTTCGAAGGGTCCTTACTGATGGTATTCATAAAAATACATCCAGAAAATATAATGACCGTTCCAAAAATTGCTGTAAATAACAGATAAGGTTCCAAATCCTGTGAAAAGATGTAACTGTAAGCGGATGAGAAGAAGAAGCTGAATAAGAGAAAAAAATAGGCATTCATGGATCTATGACAAGTCATTGACATATACACATACCTTGACAAACCAAAACATGAGGCCAAAATACCAACTAGTGTTATTAATTGAAATTATTGATTCACATGAGAATGAATCTTCAATTATTCAACACTTACCCACAAGACCTCTATTCGACTCTGAAAAATTCTTTAAATTGGTGGACATGGATGCTAAATAACCACCTGCGCTTCCACTACCCATGATTAAAAAGAAAATACCTCCTAATATGTAATGATTCGGTAGCTTTTCCAAATATAAAAGTAAAAACAAAAAGTATCCTGCAAAATACAACCCAGCTGAAACAATTGAACAAATCCGTGCACCAGCAAAGTCATTCACTAATGAAATTGGCAAGCTAAAGTATGTTCCTAAATTTGCAAGAGCTGCAATGGTTGTGACTTCGTATTGCGAGTATCCCAACTCTCTAAAGTGACCAGTCAAGTTCGACGGTCGTTCATGATAATGTTCATGTGTGTGTGAAATCGATCATTTTTTCACACGAGTTCAAGCGCACACATGAAATCCAAACATGGATATTCATCATTGATCAATGCGTTCAAATTCATTGCTTCAAAAAAACATACCTCTTAATCATCGGGCTGATGGATGAAAATGCATATTGCGTTCCTGACACCAACATCATCAAACATCCAATAATTAATGCCAACCACTTTTTAGAAAAATCAAAAACAGTCCAGAAGGTAATTTTTCGCTTCTTCTTTTCAATTCCTTCTTTCCATAGCGGCTCATCATCATGCGGCAATTGGTGTGGCTTTTCATAATAGGCTGCTACTACAACTGAATCATCTTGTTGTTTCTTCTTCTTCTCTTCATCGTTGAATTGAGCTGTTGCTACATCCATTGCTCCATAACTATCGGTACTATGCGAAACGACCAGTCCTTGTTCCAAAGCACCTTGATGACCTTCAGTGGACATTCCTTCCTCCGATGATGATGGAGAAGAGGTGTTGGAAGAGGAGTGGTGGTGGTGGCGGCGGCTTTGGTGTTGAGGCGGAGTCATTTTTTTGTTTGTTGAATTTTCATGTTTTTGAAAATGCGCGAGAAATATTCGCGTTTTTTTTTCACCAATCGGAAGAGGAGCATGAAGTTGAATAGTGGTGAACTGGAAACAGATATTTTTCGACAGAATTAATAACCTGTTCGTGGATCCTCATGCTCAATAGAAATAGAAAGAAAAAGTCGATTCTTTTAAAGACAGCTAAGGTCGGAAAGACATTGCAATGGATTGATATTTATTTGAGAATTACCATTTGTGTTTATTGTCATATTTGAATGATATTCATTCCATAACAAGTCTTTACACACAATTAAGAGATTGGGGTTGACAACAAAAGTCCATTCACAAAGATTTTCAATTAATATTTTAAAAAAAAATACAGGAATGGGTTTATTGAAAAATAAACAAATTATAGGTACTCAATTGTCCGACGATAGTGTGTCTAATGGGTGTGTAGGTGTGAGGTGTAGATGTCGCCGGAGTTGAGTTAATATTTTAAAAAAAATGTTCAAGTTCTTCCGACCACATGTTTCTTTCGCGTGCCAAAAATTGCAGACATTGAAATCGCCACTATCATCCTCCTCTCAGATATCATGTAGGGTTACTTCTTTGCCATCCACATGTATCCATCAAGAACAACAACAACAACAACGAAAATATTCTCGGAATGAGCAGCATGTTTCTCTCAATTCATCCATTGATGAAAATTCTTCTCATCATCGGGTTGTGTTCTCGGGAATTCAACCTACAGGGAATTTACATTTAGGAAATTATTTGGGAGCTGTAAAAAATTGGGTTACTCTTTGCAATGATGATTTGAGTACCAAACGTCAAATTGAGAGTCTTATTCATCCAAAAGACAAGGAAAATCAAAGACCTTCTTCCATACCTCTCAATCAAGCCTCTTCCAATGCGCCATTGTTTCATGAAAAATTCTTTTGCGTTGTGGATTTACATGCCATTACAATGCCACAGGATCCAAAGGCTCTCAGAGAATCGTCTGTAAATTTAATTGCCATGTTGTTGGCATGTGGATTGGATCCGAACAAGTGCTCTCTATTTTTCCAATCACAAATTCCTGCTCACTCACAATTGTCTTGGATTCTTGGATGTTTTATTACGGAAAATAGATTGAAACGAATGCATCATTACAAGGATAAGAAGACAGAAAATAGCTCGATTGGACTTGTGAGTTATCCTGTATTGATGAGTGCTGATATTTTGCTGTACAGTTTGAAGGGTAATGAATTATATATTCCAGTAGGAGATGATCAAAGACAACACTTAGAATTGGCCCAAGAAGTAGCTCAACAAATGAATTTCAAATTTGAAGGGCTTTTCGATGTACCAAGAGGAATTTATCCACCACACGCATATAGAGTGATGAGTTTGAGAGATGGAACAAAAAAGATGAGCAAGAGCGATACAAGCGACATGTCACGTATTAACATTGTCGACTCGGATGATTTAATTGCTCAAAAAATTAAGAAAGCTAAAACAGATGCACTCACAGAACTCACTTATGATAAGGAAAAAAGACCAGAGGTTGCGAATCTTATTGATATTTATGCTGCTTTGCAAGGAAAAACAGCAGAAGAGGTTGTTCAGATGTATTCGTCTATTACAGAGAATGTAAATTCAAAGTTTAAGCATGACTTGGCAGAGATTGTCGTGCAAGCGATCAAGCCAATCCGAGAGAATTATAATAGATATTTGAATGATCCTCAATTCATTCAGCAAGTGGTTACACGAGGATCTGAACGAGCAAACGAGGTGACACAGAAAGCCCTTCGTCAAATTATGGATAGGGTTGGATTCTATTAATTTTACATTGATACAATGGTATATATGATATTATATTGATATTATTTGATGGAAAGTTCAATTAAAGATTACCAAGTTGGCTACTGAGTGTGTCCTAAGTGGTTTATTCATCTTGATTGTTGTTATCATTTGTGTTATTGGAATTTGGAATTAATTCATCCTTAATCTTTTTCAAAATCTTTCGTATTTTAGAGCTCTCAATGATCATACAGAGCCCTTGTTGGAATGTGTCGTCTGTGAGCGTCACTGTGGATGAATCTTCAGTAAAATCGCTCTTGATTGGATAAGTAAACGAAACAAACGCTCTCTCATAATAAAATTGCTCTTCTGGTTTGTAGAAGAGTGCTTCGTCTTTGACCTTCTTCACCTGACCTGCCAATGGACTCTTCATGTGGAATACTTTGGTGAGAATCAAATAATATTGGAATTTTGAGAAATTATTTTCTTTTTGTTCTCTTTCCAATTCTTCAAACAGATTGACGTGAAGCATGCCTCCAACTTCATATGGTAAATTTATCACTCTCTCATTGACAATAATTCCCAGTTTCGAATTGTCAAAAACTTCACACAACTTGGCATACTTGTCCTTGTCTGCACATTTTTGAAGCACAAAAGCTTTGATTTGCTTCATGCATTGCTTCTTTTTAAGAAGCTTATAATCCAACAAAGAAATAAGACCATACATGTCCATAGTCCAATCCCATTGGCTTGGGTCAACTTCATCATCATCTTTCATGCCACTCCACGACGATTGCTTTTGTTGTTCCTTCGATGATTCTTCCTTAGTGACATTTAGCTGAGCTGAAGAAGCAGCAGCAGTAGGAACATTATCATTCGCAGTCTTAATCACCGAAGTCAATGGATTTGGAATTTTGTTTTGTTCATCACCCAACAAGAGTTCAGTCATTTCTACATAATTAAATTCATTTCCTTGTAAATAATTTCTAATATATAACTCGACACCAAAGTAATCCTTCTCTAAATCCGGAACATTGACATCAAAATCAACAATGAGTGGTCCCGATGCTTCCGAGGTTCCATCATCATAATCCACATAATCTTGTCCGACATTCAACAATGTATCATCATCATCTTGCATCGTCTCTTCATCATTCATTGTTGAATTTTTATGATCATCATGGAATTTATGATTCTGTTCTTCAGAATTTCCTTGTTTTCGTTTAGTTCCCTTCTTTTGAGAGCGAGAAGAAGAGTTTGTTTGTTGATCGGAGAGCATTTTTTTTAATTTCAAATTTTATTTCAAGAATGAATTTCAAAAACTTGTTGAACCTTAAAGTGTTTCTGTGGTCTTCTCGCACTCTCCTCCAAGAACACCTCAACAACAACAACAGCACTGTCAATGGATGGATGGATGGACGGACGGATGAATGGCTCGACCTAACAACGTTTGACCTTTTTTCAGAGACTTGATTTTCACTTTGCAATATCAAGAAAGAGCTTTTCGTGGCCATAACAAATTACAGGAAAGAGAGTGTGAAATGTTCCATGGTTTGTAACCAAAAAGCCCTCCACAAACCAAATCTACAGTAATTTCTTGGTATTTAGTATGTTCGATCGATTGTTCCACAGATTGATAAGGTGAAGGGAGGGCCCAAATTTTGTTTCCAGTTTAAATTAAACTTGTGACAGGTCAAAACTGCCATCCACCATGTGTGAGTTTGTGAGTAGAAGGGTATAAAAACTGCTAAATTTTGTTGGTTGTCATTAGTTAATTTGAATGAAACCATGCAGCTGGCATTTCATTTTGATCCGATTTAATAGCATTTTGTCTTTTGTCCAATCCATTAATTTTGCAAAAACATGATCAAAAGAAGATATGAATTACTTCAATGTCAGACAAAACCTTTTGGTTGTATTTCCGTCTGATTTAATGAAAAATTGAGTTGACAACCACAGAATTTCCTTTAAAAAGTTCAGAAACATCGTCTCAACCTCTCCACCTGAGTTCAGAAACATTGTCCCAACCTAACACACCTACACTTGAATGATATTGGACTCTCTTCTGTGGTGTGAGAACAAATATTGTATTCTCGATGTTGGAAAGTATATTCAAAATAATTTGAAAAGATTCGAATGACCTTCATAAAGAACAAAAAAGTTGGAAAACAAACCGATCATCAAAATTAACAAAAAAGTTCAAATGGTTGAATATTCTTGTTTTGGTATTTCCTGATATAAACGTATAATTATTCACGTGGTTTATACACATTCTTAAACGAAACAACCACAGGCCATAAAACTGTAGTCGAATTGTTTTTAGAATGAAAACTGTAAATCCTTGTGTCCATTGACATTGAATTCAATCCATTGTGTCCATTCCATTCAAAATTTCGAAATCTATTCTTGTTGTTGCTTCAATCTCAGAGTTGTGAGTGTGACCACGAGTGATTTCCATTTTCAACAATTCTCTCATTTCAGCAATGAGTCGTTTCACATGGATGTCGCCGTCATGTCCAAGTTCATTTATATCCTTGAGTGGTTAAATCGCCAAAATGAGAGGAAAACGTCACCTTGAAATCCATTTTCCAAAAACTCTTCCAAATGTTCAATCGAATGTATGACAGTACTCAAATCAAAAGAACAACAATTAATAATATATGGTTTCATCCATTCTTTCTTTGAATGATTTGTCCATTCCCTTCAATTCCCCTCAAGATTGATCTTCATTGAATAGAAAGAATTCAACCCCGTTCTGAATTTCCATCTCATCTGAACCATTTCCTTTGCGTTGGTTTCGAACAAACATCATCCACTTACATAAGTTGTCGTTTGACATTTTGGTTGGGAAAGCGCGCAATTGGAGTGTTGAAACATCAAAGTTCATGTTTGGAATGATCCTCCTCTCTTTCTCCTCGAGGAGGTGTCCATCAAATGCTGTCGACGGGTTTTTGCAGCGATTAGTTGTAGTGATGAATCTTGTTGAGGACATGTTTTAATTGTGCTTAAATCACGACAATGATGTCCCAGTCTCTCAGTGTGCTGTGTGGTAGAGACTGGGACATGATCTTTTTAGATGGTAATGTTCATCATGATCAACGTCGTGTCAACTATGGAAACAGAATCTTCTTGTCGTCGTTGACATGTCGCAAGTCATTTCCCTCATTTTTGCTATTCAATAGGAGCCAGATCAGGAGCGCTAAATGCCTTAGCAAAGATAACAATGGCAACTCTAGTCACCAATTGGTTGCTCTAGCAGACATGGCTTCTGAACATTACTAGGTGAAATCATGGCAAGAGTTCCACACTGATCAAGAACGTCACACGATGGTGATGACCTAATTTAGAAATAAATGCGTCAGTGAGGACTCAATAATTCCAATTTGCGAGAGCCAAAGACATGCAATTCCATATCAATATTATTCTTGTAGGCAGCACTTCGCCACAAGTCCTCGATTATGAATAGCAATAAATTCTCATAATAGCACCGGTATTCCATTTCTCCTCACAAAATTTCACATCTTGTGGTTGCATGACAAAATGTGGCACTTGATTGGAGTGGTTGACTTCAACTCTCTGCTGCGATTTCAAAAGTTGTGAATTACTCGATCGAACAATCACGTGGAACAACCCTTGCGGAACCTAATTCCACTTTTGACGAATCGAATATGCGGAAATTCGGTTTTATACTTTTATGTTCAAGACCGAGGACAAATTTGAAGAAGATACAACGACATAAGCTGTTCCAGTTTTGGCCCCAAAAAGTAGTCGAGGAAAATAACTAATTTAAAAAACAACAACGAGCGAGTTAGCGTTGAGGCTCAAACAACAACCATAGCACACGAACTCAAGTCGCGCCCAAGCAAAAAGAACAGCAAAAACAACAAGAACCACTTCCTTATCAACAATTGTTGCGAGTACACATATATTAAACTCTGCGTGTGTAAACACCAACCTCCATCGTACCCACAAACATCAGCTGCAGCAACAGAAGCAAAATCAACACTCATCCTCATCTTGAGTCATCTTGTGAGAGTTGCTGCAAATAGCTTGTTCAACTTTCCCACATTTTCTGAAAGCTCTCTCTTCCCGATAGACCATCAGCAGCATCTCGTGTCCTATCGGCAACCCAAACCCAAATCAACCTTCTCATTCATTCATTCCTTGTGTTTCAGCCATCATGAATCAATCACCGACAACCACAGCAGTGACCAGTAGCCATTCGGACTCTTCACCCCATTCCATTCTCAACAACAAGGGTTCTGAAAATCAACAACAATCCTCTGCAACCACAACTTTACATCAAGGGTCCCCCATTCATCATCATCATCATCCTCAGGATGGTGAATCTCAACAAGAAGATTTATCTGTTTTATTGGCAGCGAAACAACAAAAGCTCTCACAATGGTCCTCCTCCATTGGAGATAAATTAGGAGGAATGGGTAACGTTCCAAATCATGTTTATCCATTAGGGAGCAATAATAGTAGGACCAATACGGAGCAGCAAAATACAACGTTGGTTACTACTAACGCGCCAACCATTAGTAATACGGGTTCTCATAATGGTGGCGCAACACTGGTGGGCACGAATAGTGCTAGTACTAATTTTCCTCAAAATGCGGCGACATCCCAACCAAGTGCCACAGGTCAATTTCACAAAGTTTCAACTTCTCCATCCACTCCAATCAACACAATGAGTAACAACCACATGTTGGCACTTTCCACACAAAACATGCATGTATCTTCACAAGACGGTGCTTTTGATCAAATGATGATGGTGACAAATGCCCCAAATCAAATGCCCCATCCATCAACAAGCATCAACCATCGACAGAATAGTTGTAGTAACGGTGGTACAATGATGACATCAAAAAGAAGCTCAAGCAGTCTTTCGTCCTTGTGCACTTCTCAACAACAATTCTCACATGAAGTAACACTGCCGCCACCATCGCTGAACTCAAACCCCTCTCATTCATCTCCTCCTCCTCCTAATTTATCCTCTACTAGTACTACTTTATACTATCCACCACCGTCGCAGCCATCTTCGAGTTCATCCTCTTCACAGAATCTTCAACATATGTTTTCGTCGAACAGTGGAAATCATCCAAACAAGAACATTGCAACTACCACTACCACCAACAACAACAATAATTCGTCGTCGTATTCATCATCGTCTGCCACTCCACCACCACCATCTGTCCCATTCAATCATCTTCATCGCTCTTCGCCTTTTCACCACCATCATCACCAGCATGAAATGCCATCTCCTTCAGATCCTTATGAAATGGTCAACTCATCATCGAGTAGTAACGAAAAATTACCAAGTCTGCATTCTTTGATGGAACAACACGCACCATCAACAGCAGATACTCCCATCAAAAACTCCTCTTCACAGCAGCAGCCAATCCCAACCAGAGCAAGCAATCACCACCACCACATGTCTCCCACCACCTCTCACCATGGTGCATCGTCCCATCACTATCACCACTCTGCTGCACAACATGGAACCTCAAACATGCGTGTACCCTATAATAGTTCCTCCATGCCACATGCAACCACAAATTCACAACCGGTTCCTTACCATGTGGATTCTTTGCATTCCTACGGAAGCAGTAACAAGGCATCTCATCACATGGACATGTATCCAAGTGTGCAGCAGCCTACCGCATCTTCCTCTCATCCTTCCACACAACATTTTCCAATTCGCCACTCACAACAGTCATCCTGGAGTCATGGAAGTGAAGCAGGTTCTCACAACATGTATCCTCCTGGAGTGGCTTCAGCCTCTTCTACTTCTTCTTCGAGAAAAGTAAGATCTGGAAGTGGTGCATCCGGAGTTGTTGCTGCTGCTTCTCGTGAGAATGAAACACCACAATCATCTTCCAACTATACTTTTGAACATCCAGTGAAAATCAATACTCACCAAAAGAAGAAGGCAAAAGAAAGTACTGATGACTACAATGAAGATAAGAAAAATTGGAAAAAGAAGAGATTATTTAGCTTGGATGAAGTCACAGATTTAGTTGCTTTCGTTAAGCAACGATCTGACAGTCAAGAATTGGCGCGAGATGTCAATTATGCCATTTTCAAAGAGTACGAAAAATTACAAGGTGAAAGAAGAAGAGCAAGTGTCTACAGAAAGAAATACGTTCAACTATTTGAGAGAAATTTAATTGGAAAGGATGGAACCATTGATCCATCACTCTTTCAAGAGTATGATCAAAGATCGTATCCAAAGATTTCAAGCAAATCGTACGCTTCTGAGGATGTACCTTCTAAGGAAGAAAGTACAAAGAGAAAGTACGATGAAGAATCATTTTCTGAATCTGACGATAGTTTAGATGAGGAGAAGAAAGGAGGAGGTTCAGACTCTCCAGTGCATGTACCTTCAACAGCAAGCTACAAACGAGCTAAATCAGACACTAAGAATGTCATGGAAGAGAATACCAATTATGAAGAATCTGAAAAGGATTCGACACCTACCACTCGAACATCTTCTGAAATGCAACATGATTCTAAAATTACCATTTGTGTCTCATTGAACGGAAGAAATTATTTACACATTTTGGAGAGAGATTCATTCAAAAGCACTGAACAATTATTTGTTCACTTTAATGAACAATCATACTCATCTCTGAGAGGTTTATCAACCACAAGCAACACTTCTGTTGAGGACGAGAATAATCAAGCTCCCACTGATCACCTTCAACTTCAAACCATTGATTATTTCGATAATGCATTTCAAGAATGGATTGAAGTGAATTCGCTATCGATTCAGCGAGTGCTAGGAACACATCCAATAAAGCTACGCCTAAACATTGCGTAAGTTTAAGTACTTGAATATGATTGTTGGTTTTTAAAATTTGACCTTTTGCGGTTACTCTTCAGGAAAGTTGTGACAACGGTAGTGGTTGAATCCAAATTGAATAATTGTTCCTTGGGAGACTTGTAAAAAGAAATAATTCGTTGCGACATCTCAGCAATACAGAATATTTAAGCCACCAATTAGATGAAAACATTTCTTCATAAAAAAAAATTATTTGAATTAAAAATTAAAAAAATGAGTAAACGTTCACTCGGATTGAATCAGTATCATTCGGAAAGTGATGAGAGCGAGGAAGAAGAAATTAATTATCACCATGACAAAACAATAGACTCTTCGGGAGATGAAAAAATGATAGGAAGAAATGATAAATTGAAGAGAAAATTGGAAAAAGTGCGGAGGATAAAAAACTCAATGACTAAAAAGAGAAAACAAGACAACAAACCCGAACCATCTAGTTCCTCATCCTCTGAAAACAATACTACCAGTAATAATGCAGAAAATAATGTACAAGTAGGAACGGGCTCCTCTTCAATTTCCTCACCTGGAGAAAATTTCAAATCATACATGTTCTTACCGTGTAATTTTAGCGATAAGATGATCAAGTCTGTTGATGAATTACTCCGAGAAGTACTGTATAGAGACCCATATAATTTTCTAACATTTAATCCATGTAGCTCGAGTGATCCTTTTTTTGTTGGATATCATGTAAGCCTTTCAAAAACTTTCAATATTGAAAAGAAGAAGGCACAAGAGTTTAGAACAAATCTCGAAAAGTCATTGAAAGAGAATGTAAAATCACCCATTTTTATATCCTTTAAAAGCGTCAGCATGTATTTAGGATCAAATAATTTAACTCCTTCCGATACCAAGCCTACATTTGCTATATATTTAGCATTTGATTTGACGGAAGAAAGTGAGAAGCGCATTGAAAACCAAATTTCAAAATCTCTCTGTAAACCGTCCTCCAATGGAAAATCTCTCATGAATGAGAGTGATTTGTGGTTTTCTAACAAACATATTTCATTCGCTTGCCGATTTTTCCACGACAAGGAATCACAAGTAACATATTACCGAGAATGTTTGAAACAATTTACGAAAAACACTTCTGACAATTATCCTACCCATTTCAAAATTTGCTCCATTCACACAGCGGCACAACATTTAATTGGAACAAACTTCAATTGCAGCGAGAGCAACAGAATGACTGCCAGCGAAGCCAGAAAAGAAATTCTCTCTAGCAAAGTGCAATGCAAAAACATTGAGTTGCACATTGGTGTAAAAACATTTTCAATCCCTCTGCCCGATGTTCAAGAAACTGTCCCTTCTCCTCCAACACAATTGATCATTTCATTTTCATTCATTGATGAGTAGATTGATCATGAATGAACTTGGCAATCAATGTCTCAATAAACACAAGCTATTGGAATTGTTTGTGTCAGCTAGCCGTTACACCAATTTGGCGCTCATCAAACTTCATCAGCACAAAAAATGCCAAGAAATCGGCTCGAGCAACTCTATGAAGATGAATTCGATGGATTCATTGAGTTTGAAGACGAGGATCAAAAACTAGAAATGCTTCGAGAAGAACAGGCATTACTAGAGTTTGACGACGATGAAATTGAGGAAGGAGCGACTCAAAAGCGACCACTTGCAAAACATAACAAGAAAAGACAATCAGGAGTCTCATCATCAACAACCACATCAACAACCATCTCCAACACACAACAGAACAACAAGGGAAGAAAAAAGAAGCAAAAACAGGGCGGTGAGGATGAAGAATCCTCATCGGGACCAAAACTTCCTCTCAAATACCGAAGAATTGCCAAATATACAGACAAACAAATTGGTTTTCATGTATTGCATCAATCCTTGAGTGAGAATAACGAATTTAATGAACTTGCACTCACCTCTCTGACTCCTTCCAATGAAAAGACTATTCTCTTAAGACGTCTCAATATTTATTTAGATACTCTTCATGATTGGTGTAGAACCATCTTTCCTGATTTATCGTTTGATGAGGCTCTTGCTTTTATGGAATCTCAATCATTCAGTAATCGTGTACATCAATCTATGGAGTGGGGACGATCGACATTTAGTTCTCGTTATCAGAAAGCCGTACAAGCAAAAGAACAACGAAAGAGAAAAAGAACGACCAAGTCATCTACGGTGAAATCTTCTTCCACGAAGAATTCGATTTTGGATGAAATGGATGAGGAAGCAAGTGGACAACATCATGGACAGGAAGAAGAGGAGGAGGAACAGGAGCAGCCATTCGAGAATGACCTCCATGAAGATTTGCAATCAAACAAGCAAGATCGTCATGAAGTGACTGAAGATGACGACAATGAAATGCACGACAACAAGGAGATTGGTGGCAACGATACCACTTCGACTTGGTCCCCTTACAAGTCACAACCTTACTCGAAAGAAGATGGAGAAGAAGAATTTCGATTTGAGGACTACAACAATGATGACGAGGAAGAAGACGAAGAAGACGAAAAAAAAGACGAAGAAGAACCATCTCCAAAAAAGAAGAAACCATCTCCTCATGATGACAATGAAGAAGAAGAGACACTAGCCTCTGACCCACATCATCAAGACCCACACTCAGAACAAGTTACAGTTACCACAACAAGGAAAAAGAGAAAGCATTCGAGAAAATCAGCTGCAGAAATCTTTCTTGGGGATTTATTACCTTCAAATCGTGTGGAGGCAGCAAATGAATCTTCAGAGCCCAATGCATCATTTTCTCAATCTCTCATTCCTTCAAGTCGTCATGACCATGAGAACGAGGTCACTCCTCTCGAAGAAAGTTTGGAAATCTAAGGACTAAATTTGCAACTGTTAGAGTGTTTATTGGTCAAGTCATTGAATCTCTTTGATGTACCCACCTTCATCTTCGTCTTATAGAAGTGTTGCATGTCACCGAACAGTAGCGAATGTTGTGAACAACAACATTAAATACCTTCTTCATCTTTTTACAGTTTCTGAGAAAACCAATATGAACTTTTGCTTCCAAATAAAAAAGACCTATCTTTCAAACATGGTACTTCAATTGGCTGATTGATTGGTACATTACAACGACACGTTATGATTGACATGACAAGTGTGTTGATGACTGCACCTCCAATCGATTTTTTCACACACCACCCATCAAAAAAAATCCTTCTTTCCACTCTTCTTCATTGGTACGTTCATTGTGTGTGTGTGATGAATTGCAAATAAGAAAGCTTACCTCTTGTGTGATTTTATTCGAATTTCATTTTATATTGATGAATGTCAATTGAATTCTAACACACTAAAATCAACATGTGTGTGTTTTTCGAATCTTTTGCTCGAATCTTTTGCTCGATCTTTTGATGTGTGTGTGAATGAATGAATGGTCTCTTTTCCAATGTCAACCTTTTGATCATATTGACCACCACGACTATGAATTCTTCTTTCGTCGAAATCATCATGTTCATCAAATGATTCCATCACACCCACCACCACCACTCCAACAATAATAATTTTTTGATGATGACTCCGTCAATCATAACCTTGTTTTCGTACAAAACAAACTCATGAACACAATCATTCATCACCACTACACCTCACGACAATGTCAAAAACAACACTTGAACAACATTCACCACCATTACTACTACTACCAACACCACAGAACACAATGTCCATTGTCAGACAATCACTCTATCGTCACGTCTTTGGTGAACCATACAAAAACGAATTCACTTATTTGAACATTCGTCCAAACGTTGGTGCTTGGGATAGCAACTGGCTCGCTGCCAATGCTCTCTTCGTTGCAGTTCCATGGCAAGGAGGTGGTGGTTCCGTCGCTGTTCTCAATCAAAAGAACGTTGGTAAGCAAAGTGCTGACTTGCCTTTGGTTTCAGGTCACACTGGTGCTGTTTTGGATTTAAAGTTCCATCCTTTCAATCAATACATTTTGGCTACTGGTTCAGTGGACACCACAGCAAAGATTTGGGTTCTTCCACAAGAAGGTTTGACTCAATCTATGACTGAGGCTCAAGTGACATTGGAAGGTCACATGAAGAAAGTTGGTTTGTTGGAGTTCCACCCAACTGCTAACAACGTCTTGTTGACAGCTGGTCAAGATCACAAAGTAGTTTTATGGGATATTGAAAATGGAAAGGCTCAAGTTGAAATGAAGGATTTATGGAAGGATATTCAAAGTGTTTCATTCAACAAGAATGGTTCTCTCTTTGCTTCTACATCCAAGGATAAGAAATTGAGAATTATTGATCCACGTAAGGGATCTGTGGCCATGGAAGCTGAAGGTCACTCTGGTACAAAGGGTTCTCGTGTTCAATGGATCACTAATGGTGACAAGATTTTCACAGTTGGTTTCTCCAAGACAAGTGAAAGACAATACATGTACTGGGATCCAAGAAATTTGGAAAAACCAATCAACACTACAAATATTGACATGGCTTCTGGTCTCATTATGCCATTCTATGATCCTGATACCAATTTGTTGTTCTTGGCTGGTAAGGGTGATGGTAACATTAGATTCTATGAATTGACCAATGAGGAGCCATACATTCATAGTTTGAGTGAATTCAGATCCACTGATCCACAAATGGGTATGGCCATGTTGCCAAAGATTGCTGTGGATACAACCACCAACGAAATTGTTAGATTATTCAAATTGACTGCTAACCAAATCACTCCAATCTCATTCACTGTTCCAAGAAAATCAGAATTGTTCCAATCTGACATTTATCCAAAGACTGCTTCACCAACTCCATCATTGAGTGCCAGTGATTACTTTAGTGGTCAAGATGCTGATCCAACTTTGGTTTCCATGAATCCTGAGGATAAGGAAATTGATGTTCAACAATTCAAAGACTTTAAGCCAAACGTTGAAGTGAAGGCCAAACCACCAAAGACTGTTTTGCCAAAAGTTGTTTCCAATCCACAAGAATTGCAAAAGCAAAACGAGGAATTGAGAGCTCGTGTCGAAGCTTTGGAAAAGGAAAATTGGGAATTGAAGCAAGAGTTGAAGAAGTATCAATAAAAAGTGCAGTGAAGAAACATTTCTATTTTGTAATTATTTGCGAAGAGTTGATCAATTTCGAGTCTCTTTTGTGATCACACTTTGATCCAATGGTTCAAATCGATCGAATTGAGAGACTCTTTTTTGCAATTTCTAGTTTTGAAGGGAAAACACACAAAAAATGTTCTCGTTTGGAGCTTCTTCTTCATCATCATCATCGGGTTCATCAGCACCGTCCATTCCCTTCGGTAGTGTTGGTAGTGGTGGTAGTACCTTCTCGTCAAGCACGTCTTCACTGGGATTTTCGTTTGGTAGTACAGCGACGACTACTAGTGTTCCATCATCATCCTCTTTTGGTTTTGGATCAACAACGAACACCAACACAACTTCTTCCTCTCTGTTCGGATCAGCTTTTGGAGCAAGTACAGGTTTTGGAGGACCAACACCCTCCTCTTCATTATTTGGGTCATCATCGTCCACAACAACACCGTTTGGGTTTGGAGGTGTTAGCGGCAGGGGAAGGAGAAGCCATTCACAATTGTCAAGAAAATTAAAGAGTAAGAAAAAAGAAGATACTTCATGGCAAGCACTCACACAAAAGTGGCATACTTTGAAATTGGATGGAAATGAAGATCATTCAAGCTCCGAAAAAGACACGACACTCACAGACCACAACAACAGCAGTAACTCTTCATCTCAGGAAATGATCACAATTGTGTGTAAAAAAGAAAAGAATGATCTTGGAGTGTTTACCGATCATTCAGAAGACAGGATTTTTACTATGAGTAGAGAAGTGTTAAGTACAAGCTCCAAAGTGATGAAACAAATGTTAGATTCATTTAATGAGAAGGAAAATGGAAAAATTAGTGAGACAACGTTAAACGAAAACACAACATTAGATTTTTTAAAGATTACAAACAGTGACAACTCTTCGCTTGAGTTTCTTTTGCCACCAAATATTGTGTTATATCTATTAATGGCAATGAATGATATTACGCTTCCAAGTGATATTGAGAATAATGATTTCAAAATTTTAGTTAAGGTTGCAGTAAGATTAGAATGCAATTCTACGACTCAAAACAACATAATTAATGCTACTCCTTGTAATGGAGCATCATACGACATCTTGCAGTTTCTTTATAACAAACAAAAAGAGCTGGACCCATCCATCGATTATTCATCAATTTATACTCCTCTATGCAGTGAAATGATTGGAGTTTTAAATAGTATAATTTCAGAGAAAATTTACCAAGAATGGAGTGAAGACTTCTTTTTCTTTGTACTACATTACTGTCTAAAAGACAAGTGTCATGTATTCACAATCCTCAAATTAATACGCGGATGGATTGAACATCAAACTGGATTTTCTGTTGTCCAAAATTCTGGAACCCAGATCAATTCTTGTACAGAAAATTCGGACACTTCACAACAACCACAACAGCAAGATACAAGCTCTACCGAAATCGTCACTAATTCTACATCGGACCTTGTCTCTGAAAATAACAACAAAATTCCATTAGAAAACAAAGAAGAAAAACTCACCAAGCTCAGAAAGTATCTTCTTGAATTGGTCAGTCTCGACATGAAAGAAGAAACAACCTTCTTGGACATACCCAACAACCTCCGTGCATTCTTTCTCAAAATTACTGATCCAGAAATTGTCTCTGAAAAGTTACTTTTCAAGTTTTATCGAGAAGTATTCAGCATTATTACTCCATAAACGATCAGTTGTTGTGTGGTTGTGGTTATTGGTTGCTTTGGAATTGTTTCTTCTTCTTTTGAATCATTCGAATCACCTTTCCTCACACACAAAAAAAGTTTGGAAAAAAAAATATCAAAACGTTTCTGAAGCCTTTGTGTCTTTTTTGTTCAATTTTTGTTGTTGTTGTGCTTTCGGGGATTCATCTGTTGATCAGCTAGCCGACGAAGAAGAAGAAATAACAATTCATTGCCTCTCTAGAGATTGTTTTTCATCATCACAAAAGTTTTGAAATTGCTTCCGAACCCTAGAATCACAGCCAACTCAATTGAGTCGATATCATAATATTGTACCATCATCATCATGTCTATGAATTCCAGCTTTGTAGGAACACCTACAAAAAAGAAGAGCAAAAAAGGACAAAACATTCCTCCTGAAGATCCCGAAAGTATAAAACTTTTCAATGAATTAACAAAGAATTCAAAAAAGGCTGATTCTATACGTATTGTGAGCCGCGTGAATACATTGTACTCTTCTCCTTTTGCTTCAGCAAGATCACAGACAAAAAACACCAATAGTGATGCTTTTGTTGATTTAATTCCTAAATTGTCAACTTGTGGTGATTTTCTCAACAGCTGTATCGAAAGATTGGAGAAGGGAATACCTCTTAGAGAGCTCGAAATTAAACAATTATGTATTCGAGCGCAGGACGTATTAATGAATGAGAGCAATATTGTGAAAGTGACATCTCCTGTTACTGTAGTCGGTGACATTCATGGCCAATTTTGGGATGTTATTGAAATGTTTAAGATTGGAGGACCAATACCAAATACTAATTATTTATTTTTAGGAGATTATGTGGATCGAGGAAAACACAGTGTTCTTACGATGAGCCTTTTAATTTGCTACAAATTGAAATGGCCTCAAAGGATTACGCTACTGAGAGGAAATCATGAAACACGAGGAATATCAAGAACTTATGGATTCTACAAGGAATGTATTGAATATTATGGAAGTCCTAATACTTGGAAATATTTTACTGATCTTTTCGACTATTTAACAGTTGCGGCTTTAATTGACGAAAAGATATTTTGTGTACATGGTGGACTATCGCCTGCTATTACTTCACTGGATCAAATACGAGTATTAGATAGATTTGGAGAGCCTGGTATGGAGGGACCACTCGTAGATCTTCTTTGGTCAGATCCAGATCCAGATAGAGATGGCTTTGGATCTAATCATTCTCGAGGAGCTGGTTATTTATTTGGAGGAGATATTGTGAAAAAGTTTCTACATTTTAATGGAGCCATTCACATGTGTCGAGCACATCAACTGTGTGACGCTGGATATAGATTGCTTTTTGACGACCAACTTAGTACGGTTTGGAGCGCACCAAATTATTGCTACAGGTGTGGAAACAAGGCATCTGTTCTGGAAGTCGATCAAGAGTTGAATATGTTTTTCAATATATTTGAGGATGCACCTGAGGAGGTACGTGTTGTCAAAAATTCTCAAATTTTTTATTATCAAACATAATTGTGACATGACGATAACTTATTTTCAATACAGGCAAGAGAAAACTGTGTAGATAAAAGTTTACATGGAAGCGTCATGAAGATGATAAAACCCAAAATGAGTGATTTTCAAGCAATGACAACAATTAATGGAAGTGACGAGGTGACAGGATTTGATATTTCACAATATTTCCTTTAATTAAATTTTTAGATTGTACTATAAATTATTTTAAGTCTTGTTAGCTTGATTTTATGTGAGATATATAATATTTACACACGGATCTGTGCACATGACTATAAGTTAGAAGGGTGGAGTGCTTGAAGAAGACGAGGATGGTTGTGACAGTCTTAATGAAGTTAATTGTCTTTCTACGTCCAAAAGTTCTTGTCGCCTTGCGTTGAGCTTTCCTTCCAAGTTTGTAAGCATTGCTTGGGCTCTACCTCTTTGTATTTCGTTCTTAGATTTTTCTAAATTTTCTGTAGCAAGTGAAACTTGGTTTTGGATTGTTTGAATATCCCGTTCTGCACTATTTTTGAGTTGTAAAAGACTTTGATATTGTGGGGTTTGGGTAACGTCAATTTGTTGTTGAGGAGCTGTTGTTGATACTTCCTCAAACATATTTTCATCATCTTCTGACTCAGATTCTGAATCCGAACTTGTTTCGTCTTGCTCTACGGGAGGTTTGGTTGTTTGCTTTGTTTGAGCAGGTTTTGCTTCTATTGGACCTAAAGATTGTTTGCTCATTGATGTGCTGTTGGATATGTGAGATTCCTCTCCTTCAGAGGGAGTTTCATCTTGCATCATGTCACCACTGGTGGAGACAGGCTTTGGTAAAGTAGGTGGAGCACCGAATACGAATGGCTGATTTGGTGTTGTAACAGCCTGGCTGATTGGTGTGGACATGGATGAAGGTGCACTCGTTACACTCATGCTGTCGTCATTAATGATTTGTTGTTGTGATGGCACAGAGCTTAGTTTGGACTGATCTCCTGCGGAAACTGTTGACATGGTATCGTCTGGTTTCTTATTTGCACTAACCTCATCGAACATATCTGACTCATCTGATTCATCCTCTGAATCGCTTGCGTCAGAGTCAGACGATGATGTGCTCATTTCTTCCTCCAGTGCTGCTAATCGCTCTTGTTCAGAAGCATACTCAATAAATTCAATTTTCACTTTTGTTGGGTCCTCTTCTTCCAACATTTGAATGTACTTTTCTTTCAGTTTTTTGATATCTTTTCTTGTGATGTCTATTTTTTGAGCATTCCAATGACGAAGCACACGTGCAAGAGACGGAGAGATACCGTCCTCCATTAAATAACTTGTGTTTAAATCCTTAGCTTTTCTCTTCTTTGGTTCATGATGATGATGAGATTTTTGCATGTAAAATCTGGCTCTTCTCTGTCTTGATTTTTGAAATTCTGATTCTAAATCCTGAGGTTTCTGTACAATGATCATTTGGCTAACGTCTCCACATTTGTAATATGTTTGGCAATCTACTGATTTGTATGCTTCTATGTGTGTTGGAAGATCAACGAGTGTACATGGTAAAATTTGCTTTTCAAATTGAAACCTTCCTCTCCTGTTCTTGTCAATTCCGTACTCAATATCGCTCAAGTATCCGTTCTCATCGTTATTCCGTTTATGTATTTTCTTATCTTCCTCTGTCAAACGAGCCCCCTGTAGAAATTGTAGAATATCAACATCATCTCCGAATTTTATACTCATATGAAGATCAATCCGATGGTTTTTATCGGAAGATTTACTATCTTTCGACTCCTTTTTCAGTCTTTGTCTGATCTTTTCAGCAATATCCTCCGGTACTCTAAGAATAAACTGTTTTTCTTCAAAATCATCATCTTCATCCTTCAATGAATTAATATCCACACCCAATGATGCGGCTGTTTGTGCAACATCTGCTGATTTGTTGGATTTACTAGATTTTGACTTGGATGATTTTTCCGAAGATTTATCTTTTGATTTATCCTTTGATGAAGATTCCGCTTTCTTTTTTGAAGAGGAAGATGAAGAAGATTTCTTTTTTGGATGATTCCTTCTCTTTGGAGGATGAAGACGACTTCTTCTCGCTGGGCATTTTTTTTTGAATTGAA